GCGACCGTATCTTCGCAACCATTCCTCCTCCAACTCCGGAGTACCTTCGGAGTCTTCGGGAAGAACACGTCCGAGCTTCGGAGACGGTCTCGCAGCGCCTCGCATTGGCTTTCCAGCGCAACAAACCCCACGATCCTCGGAACAGCGCAGTCCCGGGCTTCCTCCGAGAATTCGAGGACGTCTTCGCCAAGGAGTCCTTTGATGAACTGCCCATGCCGCGTCCGTGGGATCACGCCATTGAGCTAGTGGACGGAGCGGAACCGACCTCTACCAAGTGCTACCCGCTGTCCCCCGCGGAGCAGAAACAGCTGGACGAGTTTCTGGAAGAAAATCTCCGGACTGGTCGGATCCGCCCCAGCAAGTCGCCCATGGCCGCCCCGGTGTTCTTTGTTAAGAAGAAGGACGGATCGCTCCGCTTGGTCCAGGACTACCGGAAGCTCAACAGCATGACGGTCAAGAATCGGTACCCACTTCCGCTCATCTCGGACTTGGTGGATAAACTCCGGAACGCTCGCTACTTCTCCAAGCTTGACGTCCGGTGGGGTTTCAACAACGTCCGGATCAAGGAGGGCGACGAGTGGAAGGCCGCGTTCCGGACTACGCGTGGACTCTTCGAGCCGTTGGTAATGTTCTTCGGACTGACGAATAGCCCATCTACCTTCCAAACCATGATGAACGACCTCTTCCGGGAGCTCATTACGGAAGGTGTGGTCATTATCTATCTGGATGACATTCTGATCTACACCAAGACGCGCGAAGAGCATCGCCGGGTCCTCAGGCGTGTCCTGGAGATCCTCCAGCGGAACAAGCTCTTCCTCCGAGCAGACAAGTGCGAATTCGAGCAGACCAAGGTGGAGTATCTTGGAGTTGTCATCTCTGAGGGTAAGATCGAGATGGATCCCGTGAAGGTTTCCGGAGTCGCGGACTGGCCGACCCCCCGGACTCGGACTGAACTCCAATCCTTCCTCGGGTTCGTCAATTTCTACCGCCGCTTCATCAAGGACTACTCGCATATCGCCCGGCCTCTCTTTGACCTCACTTGCGCAAAGGAATGGCAGTGGAACGACTCCGCTCAATCCGCATTTCTTCGGATCAAGGAGCTGATCACTTCGGAGCCCGTTCTGGTCTTTCCGAAGGAGGATCGGCCATACCGGGTTGAAGCGGACTCGTCGGATTACGCTACGGGTGCGGTCTTGTCGCAGCTGGATCCGGATGATGGTAAATGGCATCCTGTCGCATTCTACTCTAAAAGTCTACAGGCTGCGGAGCGGAACTATGAAATACACGACAAGGAGATGCTTTCAATCATCCGGGCGCTCGAAGAATGGCGGCACTACCTTGAAGGCGCGGAGACTCCGTTCGAGATCTGGACGGACCACAAGAACCTGGAGTACTTCATCAAGGCCCAGAAACTCAATCGTCGTCAGGCCCGCTGGTCGCTATACCTCTCCCGCTTTGACTTCACTCTCCAGCATCGTCCGGGTCGGACAATGGGTAAGCCGGATGCTCTCTCGCGCCGCTCGGATCACTCGGATGGTAAGGATGACAACAAGGATGTGGTTTTACTTAAGCCGTCCTACTTTGCCGTCCGTGCCACGGGTGTCACTCTTGAAGGGGAGGAGAAGGATATCCTCACGGCTATCCGGACTGGAATGCGGAATGCGAAGTTTGAAGATGCAGTGGCAAAGGCGGCAGAGGAGTTGAAGAAGGCCCAGGGCAGTCGCAAGACAGTCCGAAGCGCGGAATGGTCTCAATCGGACGGACTCCTGATGTTCCGGGGTAAGATCTACGTTCCGGACTCACCGGACTTGCGTCGGACCATTGTAGCTCAGCACCACGACACCAAGGTCGCAGGACACGCCGGCAGGTGGAAGACCCTCGAGCTCGTTTCGCGCAGCTACTGGTGGCCCAACATGTCCCGGTACGTCGGATCCTACACCCGCCATTGCGACCTCTGTCTCCGGACGAAGGCCCAAAGGCATCCGCCCATGGGTGAACTCCATCCGCTTCCCATTCCGGATGAACGCTGGGATCGCCTGAGTGTTGACTTCATCGTCGAGCTTCCGGAGTCTGATGGGTTTGATGCTGTCATGAATGTGGTCGACTCCGTAAGCAAACGCGCCCACTTCATTCCGACTCACACCACAGTGTCTGCCCTCGGATCCGCAAACTTGTACCTGCAGAACGTCTGGAAGCTGCACGGACTCCCTCGGTCCGTTGTGTCCGACCGGGGTCCACAATTCGTCGCAGAGTTCACCCGAGAAGTCTACCGGATGCTCGGAATCAAGCTGGCTGCCTCCACTGCGTACCACCCTCAGTCCGACGGACAGACGGAACGGACCAACCAGGAACTCGAGTCCTATCTCCGGATCTTCGTCGGAGAGCGTCAGGACGACTGGGCTCGCCTCCTGCCTATGGCGGAGTTCGCGTACAACAACCGGGTCCATGCGTCCACTCAGCAGTCACCCTTCCTCCTGGATACCGGCCGTCATCCTCGTCTCGGGTTCGAACCTCATCAGCCACCGTCTCGGATGGAGTCCGCAAACGAGTTCGTAGACCGGATGAAGTCCGCAGTCGACGAGGCTCATTCCGCATTGGTCAAGGCTCAGGACGACATGAAGCGCTACTACGATCAGCGTCGGACTCCTGCTCCGGAGTACCAACCGGGTGACAAGGTCTGGCTGGACTCGTCGGACATCAACCTTGCCCGATCCTCCCGGAAACTCGGACACGCACGACTCGGTCCTTACAAGGTCGTCCGGAAGGTTGGCAAGGCAGCGTACCGACTCCAGCTCCCTCCGGGCTTATCCCGTCTCCATCCCGTCTTCCCGGTGGTCAAACTCTCTCCCTTCGTTCCGGACCCCATCCCGGGTAGACGCCCTGTCGCTCCGCCACCTCCGCAGCTCGTTGACGGAGAAGAGGAGCATGAGGTAGAAGAGGTCCGAAATAGCAGACGGTTCGGTCGGGTCCTGAAGTATCTGGTGCGTTGGCGAGGCTATGGCATTGAGCACGACTCCTGGGAGCCCGCGAGCAACCTCCAGCATGCTGCCCGGAAGGTCAAGGACTTCCATGATCGTCATCCAGATGCAGTACGCGTACTCCGGACGAGTCCGATGAATCCGACGACTGCTCTACCTCTCCGGATGACTCCTGCAGCACTGGACCAGTCCTGGGAGCGTTGGCGTAGTCGGAAGGCTCCGGGCTCTGCGCAATCGTACTTCGACATCTTCTCGCAGCAATCCGGAGTTTCGGGGTTGGTGAATTCATGGCGCGGCAGGCAGGAATCTTTGCGTCGGGTCGCCGCAACCTTGAAGGGGGGGTGATGTAAGGGGACACTCCTATTTTCCCCTTTTCCCCTGTCCTGTCCCCTTCCTCCTCGTCCCTTTCCTCTTTCTTTCATTCCCTTTCCTTTCCTTTCGTCCCCTTTCCTTTCCGCTTCCCTTCCGTTCACCCCCCTCGCATCCGAGCCTCGTCCGGTGACTCCGAAGTCTTCCCACGCTTCGGACGCCTCGGACTCGCTCGGACTCGCTCGGACTCATAGATACACTCCGGGGCTCGTCCGGGCTACCTCCATCTTCCTTTCCCACTTCGTTATTCCTTGTCCCCACTCCCCCAGGTCGCTGGCACGGCTCCTGTACATTCCCCTTCCACTTCATTATCACATGCCCCCTCGTACCTTGTGATATTCGTTCGTACCTGTGGCTGGTGTACTGTACAGTTACCCTTCATTCCTCCCACGCTACTACAGTATATACTTCGCTTCCTAGCATGGAGAATCCCCATCCTGTTCTCTTTGGATTCTCCCTCTGCTAGGTGAGCAGCTCTCTCATGTATTGTAGTTAGTCTTATTCATCTCTTCGGATTCTCCCTCTGCTAGGCCTGCACTGTGCGGCCATCTTGAGGTTGCCCTTACAAATGCAGGATAACTGTACAGTACACCAGCCACAAGTCCAAGCGAATATCACAAGGTACAAGGAAACATGTGATAATGAAGTGGAGGGTAAATGCACAGGAGTCGTGCCAGCGACTTGGGGAAGTAAGGGCAAAGAGTAATGAAGTGGGGGAAAAGGATAGAGGTAACCCAGACGAGCCCCGAAGAGTATAGACGAGTCCGAGCGAGTCCGAAGTGTCCGAAGTGCGGGAAGACTCCGGAGTCACCGGACACGGCTCGGATGCGAAAGGAGTGGGTGGAAAGGAAGTGAAAGGAAAGGGAGCGAAAAGGAACGAAGGGGAAAGAAGGGAATGTAGGTAAGAGTCTATAGGATGAAGGAAAGGAGAGAAAATAGGAGTGTCCCCTTACAGGTCCGGACTCACTCAGACTTGTATATACACTTTGGGGCTCATCCAGACAATGACTTATCCTGATGTAAAAGTACTTAATTCAGATGTCAACTGACTAGATTGGACCCAAATTCTCAGATACCCGAGTGGAACCCACAACATCAATTTCCAGTCCATTTACAGTAAAATTGTCAGTCTAAGTCTGGCAAAGTTCAGCATAGTCAGTATTTTTGACCTATGCTGACTTATGTACAATACTAAGGGTGACTGTGGGAAGGAATTTTCCACTTTTGAAGCAAGAAGCAAGGCCCTACTATGCTTTTGATACATCACTTCCTCACTGGTAGTATCAGTTGTGGATGTATCATGATGGAACCACATTGTAGTAGAACACTCAGGACAAGGATGAGAGGATCAAGGTATAGGATTTGTGGTTGTGGTACGGAAGTAAATATCATACAAGGCATCACTACTGTTATATAGTAGCACCTAGATCACATGAGTTAGGGAAAATAGGAGAAAGGGGATGTAACTTGTTTACACATGGCACCCACTGTAAGTACCATTATTGATGTATAACAAGGACTTATACAGGTGGTTTCCATCAATACATTGTATAACTCTGCTCTGATGTGACTATTGGTACATGGTAACTCCGCTACCTGGCTGCATGTGGAGGTTTGTCAGTGGTCCCATAGCATTGATAATGTTTGCCTTACCTATTGTTGAAGTGGCTTGTGGCGTTCAACATCAACCAGAATGTCCTGATTGGTTGTAATGGATGTACTCAAATTGTGGGTTTGTACATCAGAATGGGCACAAATTGTTGGTGCTGCGCTGCGTCGAAATTGGCGGTAGCAAATATAGATGAAAATGGAGGCCAATATAAACACCAACGTTCCAAGGACACCACCAATCATTGCGATCGTTGGCAGAGGTGTCTGTGAATGGGATATCCGGTCGGTGGTGATTGCAGTTGCCGAGAGGGTCGTTTGCGAGCCAGTGACAGTAGCTGAGATAGGCAAGCTGAGTGGTATCTCGATTTCTAAGTAGTCTAGAAACACTAGACTACAGTCGATGCAGGTGCTGACTAGGGTATGCACTGCAAATTGAAGGGGAGGGCTGGCGTAGAATAATTGGTGATAGAGGGTCTTAGTATGATTAGGTCCAGAGAAGGGAGCAGGGCTACCATCATCCACCTCGTAAGTGATGTTGGTGATCATATGAGGGTTTTGTGGGTCGATTCCAGTTGATGTGCCAAACACCTTCACAGATGTTCCTTCATCAATGGGTTAGTAATGGGTGCTCGACTATTGACATCATTCATACCAAGAAATGTGAAGGTGAAGAATGCACCTCGTGTTGCCGTCCATGTGGTTGTAGTGTTGAATTCTTGGCCTGAACCCTCCTTTGTCCAACCATCGGAATACTTTATTTGGCCGTCTGCATCGTCCACAGTGTAGGTTCTTGAAGTCATTGCTAAAGTCTAGATACTTTGTCAGCGAAAGTAAGTCGTGGTGGGCAGCATAGACCGATAGCTTTCGCCGCACGATTATAACGAGAATCAGGCATACATGGAGGGAATGCCACCTTATCAATGATTTCGCAGCGACGGTTTGTAGCGGAGTAAGCAAGCGATTACGAAGCTCGAGTCTCAGATCTTCAACGATGCATTCTCCGCCCGCATCTCGTCTTGCCCTAGGGCGCATTTGCCACGTACTTCGGTCGGAGTAACTCACTTTCCGTAGTAAGCTCGATTCGCAAATGAGACCAATAGTTGCGACAAATCTAGTATATAGCTCGAGCCAGGCTCTGAGCCACCATGTCAGTCAGGATAAGGATACACAGGATGAGTAGACGTCGACTCCTCAGGAGCCCTTGACGCTTCATAACTACCCACTCGGAGGGGTTGGTAGCTGGCGGACAGCATGGTGGCGACGTTTGCCAAGCTGCTGATCGAAGGATCACCGATTACCGAGTCGACTAGTACAATCGCAGACTCACCTGGGGCTCGGGTGCTCTGGAGTGTTCCGAAGCGTAGGCGTTGTTGTCAACAGGGGCCTCGTGGGTACTTGCCAATCGGGTCGACGGTGTAGCCGAGAGTACACCTGGTCTTGGAGTAGCTGCTGGGGACGATGACTGAAGTACTTGAAATGGGTGTCCTCGCATGTCGTGTGTCTCTGGGCCTACGTCTTCTAGCGTTTCGTGTTGGTATCCTCGATACCACAGAAAGAATGCCAGCATCAATAACAGCAACGCAAATCCTCCCGCAATCCCGCCTACAATAGCACCAATCGGCGACGTGGTCGTACGAGCAGCTGATACTGCAGGAGCTGAGGCGGCAATGACTATGGATGTGATGGTGTAGGTGGCAACACCGGAGAGTGGACTCGTAGACGGCCCGATGGTCATCTCGACCACGAAGTAGTCCAATCAAACCATACTCCCTTCATCTGCGCAGGTGCCGACAAGGGTATGTTCTATGTTTGGAAGAGGTGGGCTCTGATAGAATAATTACTGATATTGTGAGGCTCCGCTAGGGATCCCAGCGAACTGCACAGGGGAGTTGCCGTCTAACGAATACGTTGTATTGGGGAATGTACCGGGGTTGTCTTCCTGATGCTCGGTCAGTGTCCCGTAGATTTTGATGGAGGTTCCTGGGGCGGAAGTAGGTTGGAGGCACCTAACAGTAGCGGGAATTCATACCAGTAAATCTCAACGTGAATGTCGCGCCTTGTATTCTTGTAGCACTCGTGGTATGATTGTATTCATTACTGCCGCCCGCCAACTCCCATCCAATAAAGTTTGACCGTCCGGATCGTCTATGATCGTATCGTCAGTTTTCGAGTTCATTGCTTCGGTTTGTTAAGGGAGGAGGTTGGGCACTCTGGTAATTGATAAACAGGCCTTAAGTCATGATCGAAGTTGATTCACTGATTTCAGTAGGTGCGACGACGATGGAAGCGCCCATCAGAGGTGTGATGATGGGCCGAGGGAGCCTTCTTACGAAACATTGGGTACTCAGCTTCAAAGTTGAACGACCGCATGTCCTCGCGGACAACTGTACATGCATGACGGGAAGTGGCAGTTAGCGAACTCGCGCATGGTCCTAATGAACCGACTCTGGCATGATCGTGGTATCTAAGCAGTCGGGCGACACATGTTATAGTGCCTGGTTGTTTGATCATCAGTTGACGGTTTCTCGAGCGAGTGGCAGTGGGAATTCTACGGGAACGGTCACCGACTGTCAAGTGCTTGAAGCACGATAAGCACTCCGCAACGGAAATGACTTGGACCATCTCTTGCGCGTGGCCTGCCTGTGCTGTGAGTGGTGAGTGCACTCTGAAGCGAGAGGCAACTCGCGTGGACTTGATGATTGTCTTCAGGAGTACCTGCGATTCTTTCTTGGTCGCTGCTGGGGCTAGTAACAAGAGCGCTCCTTCGCAGAGCATACTTTGGTAGACTCCTTGTTCACATTGTTCACAGTAGCTTCAATCATCAGTCGAGATGCTTGGGACATGCGATCCATCACTGATCAGAAAGGTGTCTGGATAAGCGAGGGTGCCTCAACGATGGAGAACGTCCATTCCTGACTTGTGGAGGGGCCAAAGGATAAAAATACAATAGATAATGCCGAACTCACCCGAGCGCAGGATAGGCGTGCTGATTGACCTCAATACTGCGGGTCGGGGTGTTCCAAGATTGTGTATTCTGGTAGGGAAAACATGTCAACAATAGCAGTCCCGTTGGCTGCGTGTAGCGGGTGACCAGGCTGGAAATAAAAAGGTTTTACGTCGAGTTACTTATTATTCCAGGCTAGTGGGTTAAAAATACAAAGAGCAACCCGCGAAACGGAGTGTACACGTGCCAAATTGTTTGAATATATCACGTCGTAGCCTTTCTTTGCTCAGAGTTTGGACAACGTCTTCCCAGCAATTCTTTGTCCGCGGAGCAGCATAGGACGGATGGACTCCTTCAGTGGAAGACGTCAATCAAAGATAGGAAGTATAAACGAGCTCGATACGAACCCGATATGCAGGAGTCACTTCATCTTGATTTAATGGTTCCGTCTGAGCTGCATCCCAGAGGGCTTGGTAGGCGTTGCCGTCGTAGACACCCAATGCGCTAAGTGCATGCGTCAGTCAGATGCAAGCCGTTACACAAAGAGACGACCCACCTATTCAGTTCAAAGTCGGTAAATCCGAATGCATCAGTCAGTCCGACGGCCTCAGGAAGAAGCTCTTCACATAACGCCTTAACGGCTTTGCGCAGAGTCAAGGTTGGATCACGCCCTTGTTCTGATGTAGCCAATATGCCGAAAGACAGGATATCCACAAGGGCGGACTCCACAGTCGTGAGTAGGTGCTAAAATGATTCATCTGTGAGTGTGTCTAGGTAAGTAAAACCCAACTTAACCTACCAGTAGATACACTTTTGCAACGACAGCTGCGCTGCGCCCTTCCAGACCGCCCTTCGAATTTAGATTCTTGATCATCTCCCCTACTTGCCTGGCTATGAAAGCCTCTGTCACAGCCTTTGAGACACGCTGATTCATGCTTGCATCTGTATCGTTGGCGTTATGGGCAAGTTCCTGAACGATTTTCACCGCGCGCCACTCGAGGTAGAGAATTGGTGTCTCTGGGACGCTCCAGTCGCTCGATAAGGAAGGCTGGCCTCGAAGTAGGCGGAGGTATGCAGATGACGGAGGGAGCGATTTCACGTCTGTTGACGGCGTGAAGGACCGAAAAGCTTTGAGTGCGGCGCGTATCACTTGTTGATCCAGAACAAAGTTATCGCCCTCGTAGCTAACGTGCAGGAGTTTCAGGTCAAGGGCATCCGAGAGGCGTGCATCTTACTTACGTTGCACTTGGTACGTAATCTGCATACATACTGCCCAAACCTGAAAATGCGCTGTACCCATGGCCACCCATGGATCTACGGGCAGTTTCAATGTCAAGTATACCTACGCTAGTTATGATCACTTTGAGACCACTGGTTATGGCGTGCAGCTCCGCCAAAAGAGAGGCATCTCCCGTTGATAGACGAGCTGCCATTTCATCGAAGGACCGAGTCTGCATAAGTCCCAATGAAATGTGGCCAGAGGTTTCAGAATACTGGAAGTACACACTAAGGCCCGACCAAGCTCGATGTATACGTATGCGTGGGCCAAGATTGGGAGAAGGCGGTAGTATGTAGACGGGTAGGAGATGACCTGACGCTCGAGACCATCTGAGCCAACTTCTCCTTGACGTCGAACTGTAGTGTAGCGGATAGATATGGTGGCCGCTGTAGTCCAAACTCATGAGCAAATGGTCTCGGGGGCTCTGTAGATCCTTACCTCTAGCAATCGCCCAGCCCCCGCTGCTAACCATACTAACGCACCTTTAGGCGGCACCCTTTGCTACTGTAACAAAGAACATACCTCGAACGTATATAAAGCATCTAGCCAGACGATTATGAGTTAACTTCGTTCAAGCAGAAAGATCTGTAACTTACACCGCCGTAACTAAGCTTCGCATGAAGAGGGTTGACATATTTACCTTCATCGGTAACTTGGGCAAACTTGGACAGCATATTTTCCTTCGGTACGCGGACGTGGTCAAATCGGGCAAACCCATTATCTGGTGCTTGGTAACCATGTAGGACTTTCGGTCCAATATCTCCAAGAGTTATACCAGGTAGAGGCTTATGAGTATCTGCTGAGGTTCAGAGAGACTTGTCATCTAAAAGGATGTGATACGTACTCATATCCCTCAGCTGCATAAAGAATAAATGGGGCCCGACATCCTGTCCTCCCGGTAGAAGCAGCTTGGCCTGCACGACGCCGTGTGTAGAAGTCTTGCCCAAGGCGCCAATCCACCACTTGGTACTCGTAAGTGTGGGAGAATGGATTTCGAACTCTTGGGTGTCTGGAATGAAGGTAGCGGTTGTCTCTAGTTTAGAAACATTGGATCCGTGTCCGAGTTCGGTTTGAAGGTAACATCCAAGGATGCCTCTGGACGCAATCAGGTTCGCATATTTTCCCAACAAAGTCGGCGAAGCTTGCATCCGGAAGACGGGTTCGAACGCTAATAAAAGTTACGATGAAGCTCAAGCTTCCGATGCTATAGACGAACACGTACCGACCATATGCAAGTTGATGGACAATGCTTCATCGACAGCCGAGAGAGCGAGGTTAAGCTCTTCTGGCGTCCACGCGTGATGCTCCTGCAACTCGAATAATCGGTCCGTTATTTTCTGGCCGCGCTCATATCTTTCCGTTCGTGACATGAATTCCCTGCAACAGAACGCCAATGAATCCTAACAGGGGACTTGCATAGGACTCCACTAACCGTCGAGATTTGTCAAATGTGGGGTCGTTGGCAATCACCCCGGACACCTTCACCCGCTTGTTCCAGTTGCTCGTACCACCTGCCAGCTAATATTAGCCGTCGTCCTTGAGACCACTACGAAGACGAACGCACCGTGAAGGTAGTCCCGTGCTGTGGGTATGTCGATTGTAGATTTGCTTCTGGCATCAGCCAGATCAAGAACCTGCTTACTCGTAACCTGGGCCCTGGACATTCCGGCGGTGTAGTTGTTTTTCAACCATGGTGAATGAATGTGGTGTTCTTATGGCCAGGTCAGGCTATAGTGGATGCCCGATGCCGGCAGCGCGTGAGCAGTCGGGCGCTTACATTGGTCCATGGACTAGTCTTGCCGTGTTGTTTGCCGAAAACGGCTTGCGACGGCCGCGCGCTGCGCTCAGAAGAACATCAATCGTCACGAAGCCGCCCTCTTTTCTTTCGTACCCACTTTCACTTATTCTCTAGATACCGCACTCGCCGTTCTCCTCGACGACCGCCATCCCAGTCGCCCCACACTTATTGGGAAGTAACCCCGCGTCCCTCGAAGACCAAGCCTTTCTCGGCGTTCTCAAGAGCCTTGGCAGCGCGGCATGCACCTCAACTTTCTCTTGTTTCTTGCCAATGTCCTTGGCATTGTTCATGGCAAAGTCACCGTTTACTACCAGCAGGGCCAGACGCCGCTCGGGACAGCGTCTTCAACAGCAAATCCAACTGAGAATACTGGGTTGGCAGCCTACAACCAGGTGACGCTTTCACCTCCAGCGCTACCAGACCCCAAGCCGCCCACCGACTTTGTTATACAACTTCAAAATGGAGGAACACCAGGAGCCTCGATACCTCAGGAGGGCTCCTTCTTTGGATTCTCCATCGAAATGTCGGTGGTAAATCAAGTTTGTGAGTAAACGGGATTAAGGTCACACCTCTGCTGCTGACCTGACTGCTACGTAGTGGGCAAGAACGCGTGGGTTTTATTATTTGACCCCACATCGTGTTGTCTTATCGTATGACAGGTCGCACCTTCAGATTCCTTTCCTGAATTTGATGGCCAACATTCAACAACGTGCAGGCCGTGTGCTGGTCCGTGTTGGTGGTAATACACAGGAAACCGCAACACTCGTCGACAGCCTCCCTGACGGTCGTGCTCTTGAGAAGGATCTTCTTGGCGTTTCAAATCCGGTTAGCAGTTTGCCTATTTTGACGATGAACTGGTGGATGAACTTCGAGTTGGCCAGACACAAACCCCTCCACTTTTGTTTACGCCCGAAATTTTATATATGATGAATAATATTTCGTCGCTCGTTAATGTCCGGTGGTTCTTGGGTGCGTTGACAAAGCTGATTCTGAGCGTGGTACAATTCTCACCTTTTGCTAGGTATTCCATTCAACGACACGAACAATTTCAGGTTGGGAATTGCGGAGACTGGCACTGCAATCTTAGGCGACTACCTCATTGGTTTGCAAGCAGGCAACGAACCTGACCTGTACCTTCGCCATCAGCATCGTCAAGATGTGAGTATATATCGGTTGCCTTAACTTTCTTCTTCTGACATTCTGAAAGCCTTATGGTCCCGGTGACTACGTTAATGAAGTCGGGAAATTAGTTACTGCTATGGCGGGCGATTCCTTTTCTCGAGCCCGTTCTCTGCTCATCGGCCCCAATCTTGCTATGGGTGACTGGACGCCTGAACAAATCTGGGATACCGGATTTGTCGACCAGTTCAATGATAACCTCCAATACCTTGCAATGGAAAAGTAGGTCCAGCTTTCGCCAACATGCGCTCGTCACTGACGCCTATTAATAATAGATACCCTACTGACAATTGTGCTGCGCAATTCAATACTGGTGGAACCTTGCAAGTCCCGCAAGAAGTGTTCCCAAGCTTCCTGACCCACACAGCTGGCCAAAACATCGTGAAGCCGTATCTCAACTCCACGTTGTTCGCTCAGACTAAGAACAAGAAGATGTTGATGTTCGAGACCAACACAGCCTCTTGCGGTGGATTCCCCGGTATCTCTGACGCATTCGGTGCTGCTTTGTGGGCGTTGGATTACTCCCTGCAGATGGCTCATGCGAACTTCTCTGGAGCCTTGTTCCACGTTGGTGGTCAAAACGTGTTTTACAACGTAGGTGTCATGTTCTTCTGTATGCCATCGTTTATTAATTGTTCGTCCCACATAGCCTTTCACTTGTACGTCTTCTCGCAGTTGATTTGGTTCTTGATCCTGAATGCCCTTTAGCCCCTCCTACTAACGAATCGACCTTCCACCAATGGACGATTGGACCCATCTACTACTCCGCCCTTGTCATCGCAGAAGCTCTTGGTTCTTCTAACAAGTCCCAAGTTCTTGACCTTGGTATCAATGGCGGTAATGAATTCACTCCTGGGTACGCAATATACGAAGATGGAAATCCCGTCCGCGTGGTCCTCCTCAATTACATGACGGACGCCTCGGGCGCAAGCGCTTACACGGCTAGAATCGCCATCGGGGGCAGCGGCATTAACCAACCCAACGCATCCCCTGCTCAAGTTAAAGTCAAATACCTCTCTGCTGCGTCCGTTTCTCAGATCGGTAACATTACATGGGCCAACCAGACCTTCGGCTCCCACTTCGACTCGGATGGCCGGCTCATGGGTGAAGAGGTTATCCAGACCGTTGACTGTGACCAGGGCACCAACCTGTGCAGCATTACGGTCCCCGCCCCAGGCGCCGCTTTGGTATTCTTGAGCGATAGCGCGTTGACAGAGACCGGTGGCGCGCCGTCGACGACATTTGCAACGACGGCTCTGACAAAGACTCTTAATACCGCCTCCATTGACCCCACCCTGTTGGCGACGAGTAACGGTCACCGTACCGGAAAGGTCGGGAGCACTAGCCCTGGATCTGCGAGTAGTGGATGGGGACTGAAGGATACCCTCCCTGGCCTTTCGTTACTTGTAGCCGTGGCTGCAGGGGGAATGGTTTTGGGAAGAGCGTTGACTCCATGATCTCCACGTATGGATAAAGGATCGGACTCTTCGTGCTGTTCATTGTCTCGCAATTCAGAACATGTAACGAATAATATTATACCTCATCGCACTCTTTATTTCTGGTAGTTTGACACTCGCTTAGTTTTCACGTTCGTTACTTTTTGGATATTTTGCTGTACATCATTTGTGGACAATTGGGCAGGACTCCGAAACTTTGAGACCCGTGGTACAAACGCAAGGACTGATTACTTTAGAACTGAATAATTAACTGTAATCAATACATGAGTGTGTTTTCCTGTCCTTTTGGCATTACCCGATGAAGGGGATGGCAGTTGCTGTGGTCACTGAGGTGAATAGCTCCTATGTAGACTTCAGAGTCGCACGTGTTGATTCGACTCAAGTCACTTCGAGTTGGACGTGCGACGCGACCATGGTCTACAAAACCCGATTAACGTCGTACGCTCGTCGTATTTCTTACAACGTCGAGAGGGGAATGTTTTCTGGCTCTCTCAAGCGGCCAACTATCCCAGCGCGATGCATCTGCACCTCCAGGAGCTCGAGGTCGGACGCTACGAAGGCAGCGCCTGCAGCGGAAGACGTGAATGCAGCCTTAAATTCTCCGTCCGTCGCGCAAGAAACCGAGGACGTTACTTTGATGGATAAACTGTTGACCACAGTCCGTAAGTTCTGTGCCTTCGTCGCCGTCGTTTGCGGCTGTGACTTGCGTGATAGGTCGTTCATCGAACCCAGCATTCCACTCGTGCGTGAGGTTGAAAGTAGTTGGTAAAGATTAAGCTCACCACATGTGCGTAGGATAATGCCACTACGCAAGCCGGGTCTGTGGGCGGAGACCCTGCTCAGCGACGCTTCCTCTTCGTCCTCAACGCCAGAACCCTCGCAGAAATCTCCCGAAAGCCCCCCGACTCCGAGAAACATGACGGACTCGTACTCAGAACTAATCTTGCCGTTTGGGTCGTCTCCAGACCTTCTTGAGCAATACACCAATGCAGCTGGGGGGATACGGACGGGAAAGCGAGTACTAGGCTCCTCCACTTGACGCGATCTGACCGCATTACTTACTAGACTGATGGAACACCTCGATTCATTGGCTGGGTCTATTGCTTACAAGCACATGTTGGGGCCCGATGTCGAGACGCTAGGAAAGATCCATGAACGCGGGTTCTACATCGTCACGGCATCAGTTGATCGGTGTGCTCGCTTTCACCCTCAAATTCAACGTAGCTACAACCCTATCCCTAAGATTAGACATGCTCTCCGCTCTCGATCCGTCTCGAAATCTTCGTTTGAGCGGGCAGGTTATATATACGGGCAGAAGCTCAATGGAGGTTGTCGTCAAGATGGAGAGCATCCCTGTTGATGGGGCAGGCGAGGAAACGGTCCTCATTGGTGCGATACACATTTCATTAAGCCTTCACATCCCTATAACTGCACGAGGCAGGAAGATTCTCGATGGTCTGTCGAGACGCGTACACGCACAGCGCGCGGGATGTCAACCCTCTCATTACTTCCACCGCTGCGGAGAAGCAGCTGTTTGCGTTGGGAGACAGTGCGTTGCTTCTGTATACCTTTTCTGATGCAATCAAGGAAAACCTTCCATCACTGTAGAGATCAAGCATCGCCGACAAAGTCAGGCGCTTCGTTCCCTTTCGCGCGTCCCGCCAAGCTCGGAAGAAGCCCAGGTGTTACATGAATTCTGGCTCAAATTCGGGAAGGAGGAGACATGGAAGAAGTCGGTCGCGGTAGATGGGAAGGAAAGAGTGTGGATGGGTGAGACGATGGTGGAGAAGACCATGTTGATGTTCCCTCAAGAGCGGAAGTGCGTTTTGAACATGCTGCGATCAACTTCCTCGTGGTGTTATTGACTAGAACCCCTTGATTAGTGTGCATTCTAAAGTATTCGGAGGGTACTTGATGCGTCTTGCTTATGAGGTGAGTTGCATCTAATGGTAATATACAGCAAAAATGTACTTACGTGCTTTGGATCCATAGCTTGGCTTCACGAACGCTAGCCTGTTCACTCGAGGCCATGTCCGCTTCCTCTCGCTCGACAAGATCGCCTTCGCCCGCCCTGTCCCCATCGGATCGATCTTGAAACTCACGTCGTGCGTCCTGCATTCCACATCAACACCACAGTTCCCCGTACTTGTCGTCAGTCATTTTGATATCGCCCGCCCGTCGTGATGTAGCTGATCGTCTGTATTTCATTGATCATTCTGATATATTGCAGCATATTGGTGTCAAAGCAGATGTCATCGACCCAAAGACAGGACAAGAACAAACTACGAATGATTTCCGCTTTACGTGGTGCCGCGACCATGGGCCGCCGCTGGAGAAGGTGGTTGTGCCACGTACATACCGAGGTGAGGTTACACTATGGAATTACATGTCATCTGCGTCCATGCCAACTTATATGTGCTTGCTTCCTTCTAGGTTCGATGTTGTGGTTAGAGGGCCGACGTGCACTGCAGATTGGGAATGCCATCCGTGACCTCCGAACTCATGCAACTAATCCAGCGAATTCATCGAAAGACTCTTAAAGCGCGACTATCTAAGCACGGTATGGTGTAGATTTGCCAGTAATATTGGGTATGATTACAGATAAGTGCTAAGATAATGTGACACCCTTCGCATTATTTCTTGTTACCAATGGGAGGATATTTCCGAAAGTTCGCTGATTGTGGGGGGATATTATGGCTGACTTGGAAGGCGAGTCGCGGTCGAAGTGCTCCTTAATAAGCCCCTAACCCTCACTGTCCCTCTAGATTTCTTGAGGCACTCCCCCACCACGCAGTCTCGCGTCCAGCTTGAGATTGAATGATTCTCCTGAAACAAAGTTTATTGGGTCGACGATCTTGCCATCAATAATCCTCTAGCTAGCGAGTTGGGCGACGAGGCATGACACCCTCTCGATTTTCACCGGTGTAGACGATCATCTTGGATGCTCAGCGAGATAGGTTGATGTCATCCCCTTTGCTTTAGGCTTTATGGTCCCTTCACGTTGACGGACTCGCACAGAGTGACCAGCTGCCACACGGGCGCTGGATAAACAATGTGTGGGGTCGGTGGCAATGAGTGGGGTTGTACCTGGGTTACTGGAAACACCGCATCGTCAAGTGTTCTGGAGTACCAATCATATCTCTATCATCCCTCCTGCTGACTGAATCATTCCATTTTTTCTCGAAGTAAATGAAATCAGCCCCGCTTCTCCCTTGAGCCACAATGATATGAAATTCGAATCCTTCGCAACCAACGAGATATTGCCACCGTGACTGATTTGTATGTCCAAGGGGAAGAAAGCTCAATTTTCCAACGCGAAGCTTTGCAGTAAGTAAATATCTATGTATCACTTTTCGATGTGATGCCTCGCATGACGCTTGCTCACGACTGGGCTGATGGATTGGCTGTGGGTCCGCCGCGCGCGAGGTAGGAAGATGGGAATCTGGTATCAATATTGCAGTGCCGATGCTCCCCCGCCGTCGGGTTGTTGTTGAATTGATCTGGCCAGTTGATGTAAGCTGAATCAAGTAGTAGACGGATTGGTCGCATCAAGACACTGAACCTCTGCGCGAGGAGGCCGACTGACTCGTTTCCATCGTCTCAGCCCTCTCCAGGTGCCTCGTTTACCCCTTGGTAACACTGACAAGTCGACAGACATAGACCTAGCTTAAACACGCGACAAAGTTATCGAGTTCACCATAGTTCAGCAGGCCTGAGAATCCGAGCGGGGTACAAAGTACATGAAGAGGAAGCAAATCATTGAGCGAAAGGGCAGCATTGGGGGAATCCGGATGGCCAATTCTCATGTCTTTCTCTGTACTGCCTGTGCATGGTCCTTGGGGGTGAATTCGACGGGAACATGACGGGAACATGATGGGAACAATTCATTTGATTCCGAGATCTTGGATTCAGGGTCCCAGGCTTGTAATGGGATATAGAGCTTCTGCTGCCGTCACCACGGCCGACCTGGGTTTCTTTATCCCTCTCATCTCCTCCTCGGTGGCTTCCTTTCTTTTCTCCCCAATTCCCTCCAATTCCTTTCCTTTTTTACCGGCCTGGCTGCTCTGTTTCCTTGCGACATTTGCTTTTGATCTTGGCTGTACCACTTCAATCAGAACTTCTGATTTGATTAGTGAAATCTCCACGCACATATATACTCGCCTTTCCGCTTCAGTGTCCTTCGTCGAACCATCTAATGCCTTCTGCGCGGGCGCTGTCAAGATGTGTGCAGCGTAAGCTTGAATCTGCCGTGAGTTCATTCAGAAATCTGCGTTAAGAAGTTAATGACGGAACCTTGCGACAGTACGCCAGGATAACGCTCAACAAGACCACCACCTTCTTTTTCCTTCTCGCTTTCGCCCACTGCCTTGCGCAGGGGATTATTCAGGCCACTCTTTTCTCAGTCGACACAGCGTACACCAGCCTACTCGACTCAATCATCGACCAGACAGTCATTTACACCGACCCTGTGACTCTGGCCAAGAAAAACATCGCCCCCACCAACTTCACCTATTTGAGGGGGGATAGGGGAAATGGGGATTTCTCGGGGTTCGTTTTGAAGATGTGCGACGACATACCCTTCGCTGGTTTACCGAGTGATCCGTGTATAGAGGTGTTCGCAGATGGGGTGAGTGGCATACACCTGCTAAAGATGGGTTCTGTGTGACCAATCAAGCTCTTGTAGGACATTCCTTTCCCTGAGGGAGAGGCACCAGTCCCTGTCCAAGTATGTGGTTTCCAATTGCCATTATGTAACGATTTACTGAACGACCGCAGCTCCATACCATGCAGAAGTACCAGCTTCGCCCCGTCTATGATAAAATTAATACCTCTCTTGTGATTGGTGTGGACATATTGCAGAACGAGTTAACCTCTTCCTTCCGTCTACCCTTGCGCCGTTAGCTGACATTCACCTACAGGCGGCCCATCCGATCCAGTCCCGTCCTCACCACACAGTGCACGAAGGTCTTAGACTATCCCAGGCAACTGTAGGTCGCCGTTCACATCTTAAATATGTCGAAGTTAATACCCTCCCTTCCAGCCTCAATAATGCGCGCCGGGAAGATTTGTCCTTCATTTTCATACAATTCTGGCTGTTCAGCGTGTCAGTGGTCGCTGTGAGTGCGGCCTTCTCGGTAGCCTTGTTAACGATGCTGACACAAAGGGGATTCTACATTTGTGAAGATCATGTACGAGTCCATTCCTCATACGTACGTATCATTTCTGTCTGGCAACGGTGAAACGAGGGATCAGTACTTACGTCTTCACTTGTAGATTGTCAGTTCTGTTTGCTCGCGCCCTTGCAACCGGCTGGTCTGGATACGCGCTATGGCGAACGAAGCACAACTCCAAGGTCTTTGAGACTCTGTTCATCAGTGATTAGCCCAAGGATGTGCCTTTACTTGCTGGCTAACATAGGATACAGGGGACAACACGCCGTGTAGAATCGACCTTTGGGATGGCTGGAGTCAAGCGAGAGTCGATGCTGAGGTGTGTTCTGCCTTCTCCCTCTTCGTTCTCCGTTCCGCTTGCGCCTATGCAGCCACCGCTGATCAACAGCGGTTGTAACACCGGGTTATTTTCAAACGTTCCGGAACAGCCTCACTGGGTTCGAGTATAGAGCGGTGGAACCATCATCCATCATGATAGGGATGACATCTTCATTTCCCGCATATGAAATGTTGGTTTCCAACTTGCGTCTCATTTCTGGTCCCCGTTCAGAAATCTGCCCCTCTGCCTCCGGCATCCGCCGTTTGCCACTTCTTCTGTGATACCAGGATTCTGGAAATCGCTTTACTTCCTCGTAGTTACCTTTCGGTTGCCCCCAACCTATCAGAACCGTGACGATGTGCATTTTCTCACCTGCGTCGCCCATTTTTAGATTCCTGATATCATCCTCAACTGTACGGCGCTGACCTTATCTTGCTACCTCTCATGGACGCTGGTTAAGGTATGCATCCATTCATCTGAGCGAACGCCTCAGTTTGCTGACTGCAAGCTCAGAGGTACAATCAGCAATCGTTCAAATGCATGGGGCCTCCACAGGCAATCGTCAAGATCTACCGAGTACGCCGCGTTTGATTTGCTGCGCGCACACCAACTCAGCTAATCGCTTGATTGATTATCACAGTTTTTTATGGCCGTCCTCGTGTCTCTTCAGCTGGGAACGCTCTTTCTTGTCGCCGCAATGGGCCTTTGGACTGACCAAATGTTCAACACCGCGATTGGCCGCACATCCCAATTCATAGAGGTGTACGAGGCTCTTATTATTGGCACGACCGTGGTAAGTTTCGTTGTTAAGTGACCGTGCATAGTACGCGTGCTTATCGGGGGTCCCAAATAGCTCTTACTTCCATGGATAGCTTTGGTAAGATTAAGCTAGTACATGTTTTCGTCGTTGCTCACTTTTGGATCTGACAGGGTTGGTATGCCATCCGTCATGAAAGGAAGGTGTTGATGGCCATCTTCTTGGTTATTGGCTTCGTGTTCTTGGGCGGGTGGTCCAGCATGTTTTACTCTCGCGTCTATGCGTGGTTAGTGCTCTCCTCATTACGATACACGCATTCTGATGCAGGTTTGTTATAGGTCGCTTGTACAGTGGCCGTTCTTGTTCAGTATGACGGTTTGCTCCTTCGTGTTGATCGTTGCCAGTATGATCCTCGGAATCATCTGCTGGCTCAATTTCAACAAAGGGTTATCCCAGTACCGTGCGTTTTCCCGTTGATGCAACGGGGTTGACGACTGACCGACGTGTGACACTCAGTGCGCGCTGAAGCTATCCTTGCCTCGTCCAACTTTGCCCCAAGTGTGTTCAAGCACGATCCCGATGCTGTTTCCCAAGCTTCCCACGATCTCGCACCCTCTGACCCTGAGAAAGGTGCACCCAAGGCCAACCACAACCCCAGCCCGTCGTACGGCTCTGATAACCCTCTTCCTACCTACTATCTACCTACGCTGCATTCCTACGAATCCAACGCTTCTCGTATCTGACCAGCGTAGTTCTTTCTGGAGTGTGTTTCCCTTCTTTTCTTGCTGTGCGACCTTTTGGCTTTGTATTGGTGTTGGTACTCTTCGTTCTTGTCGTGGACACGAGCAGCGTTTTGGACTCAATATACCGTTTACGTTGTAGATAGAAGATGGAGGAGTTGAACTGAACAAGACTGTACTTTTAGCATCCATGGCTTTTGATTGAGTTCACGAATTTTATCGGTTGGACTTGAACGTCTGGCAGCAGCCTAACTCAACAGAACGTAGCCTCCGAAGCACTTAGGTGACCAGATCAAAGAAAGAGAACGAAGTCTATTGGGTATAATACGTTGGTGCAGGAATACAATCTATGTCTATTAAGCCCCGAATATAAAAATTATACTACTTCGAATGCTGACCCGCCGGCCTTCGCATCGAGTTCTATCACTGCATCCAAGCCTAAGCGTTCCGCGTAGCAAATCAGTGTGATGTTGTCTCTGTGAGATAAAGAGAGATGCGTACCCATAACCTTGAAGAATTCCTTCGGATCCATCCCTTGGGCAGACACGAAGTCTGTGCCTGTCTTCTTGAGCGAGTGCATGGCGGCGCGGCATGCGTGAACCATTGCAACACAAGACACCAGCGAGAAAACTGTGAAACGATCATGGTCAGCGGACCTGTCGGAAGAGTGACGGTGCAAGAAGTGGGCACGAACTGATGATCTTGGCACCCATCTGTTCAGCCTCTCTGTATGTGAAAGGAGGAGTCAAGCCGCCGGAGATGACATTGACGAGAACGGGAATCGGTGCCAATGCGGCAACGGTTGATTCCAGGAGTTCTTTGGATTTGACGCCTTCGATGAAGCAGACATCTGCACCGGCGGCGGCGGCGAGTTTCAATCGCTCGATTGCCTCCTCCATACCCAGTACCTGGGCAGAGTCAGTCCGCCCGATGATGACCTGTGACCAAAAAGATGGGTCAGTTGCCGAGATCATTTCAAGTAGCGAAATGTACATACGAAGTCGGATCCTCCAGGGATGGCGTCACGAGCGATGACGGCGGCACGGATGCGGGTAAGGAACTCTTCGCGAGAGACAACTTGTTTGCCAAGCAAATGGCCGCATCGCTTGGTCTGAACCTGATCTTCGATATGAAGACCAGCAACACCCGATTTGGCGTATTGGGTGACAGTACGTGCGACCATGGCGGGGCCACCGAAACCCGTGTCGGCGTCAGCGATGACGGGGCAAGTGGGGTCGAGACTGGTGACCATTTGTGCAGACTGAGAGGAAGATGGCATGTCAGTAAACAGGATGCTTTGTAATGATTGTGTCGAGGACATACGTCTACGAAGTCGTTCAATGTAGCGATGGCAAGATCGGGTTGCCCCATGCGAGAAGCGGTGGTAGCAGCGCCGGATTGGTAAAGACAGGTAAACCCGGCTTCGAGGGCACATCTAGCGCTGATACCGTCGCAGATGCCAGGAGCAACCTGGGATGAGAGGACGGGGTCAATCCAGGCCTCTTCGCCAGGGAATATTACTTACCACGATACCTGGGCGAGCGAGCATCTGGCGTAGACGTGTGGCAGGGTTCTCGGAGAGAGGTCCCTCGAGATAGTTCTTCGGGTCCAAGCGGGCATTGTAGTAAACACCATGAGCGGGCGAGGCTACTGGCGCTGGCGCTGGAGCGGGGGTCTGGGCGGAAGACTTGGTGAAATAGTCAAGAGCGGGGGCCATTGCGTTGAACTTGAGAGATTACAAATGGGAGAGTATTGAAGGATGTAGAGAGCTCTAGGAGTTGAAAGAAAGAGGGCGGAATGAGATGAGGTTCGTTCTGCATGTAGTAATATTTATACGGTTCTGAAGTCTCAATGAGACCTAGGTAGGCATCTAAAGCAAGCATTATCGGACAGAGAAGCAAGCAGACAACGCACATCCGTTTCTCGCGGGGAGTTAACATTCTATCTGCAAGTGCGACATCGTTATGTTTACAACCGAGTCTGTGTAGTATAAGCAAGCACTGTGCCTCTCGTCGGTTATCAGTTGGTCTAAGTTTGATCTGTCCGCGACCGCTGGGTAGCGGGAAGCTGGCTTGGCGTACCAAAAATAAGGTTCTCAAGTGGTAGGACGTGAGCCAGATGTTACGCGACGGAGTTTCCTGACCCTGAGGGGACATAGATGATCGTCGCGCTGGCGGTATCCTGTTTGGGCCAAAAGTATGTGGTCACATGTGCAGTAGAAGATTAGATTAGATATTAGCTCTAATATCTGGCCCTAGTGAGCTGCTTCTGTTATACCACTATCAAAGCAAGGCCATAAAGTGCTGCAGGCAGCACTCATAAAAAAAAGCAATTCTCGGCACACTCAACATGGGGCAAAGGCACAAAAGAGATGGAAGTTGTCACAGTGTACAGTCACCTTTGGAAGGGATGAAAACACTGGCCTTGCTATGCAATCTTTCATCAAGCTACAGTGGAATAAAGGTTAATGAATGGTAGACTCAGATTTGTACACCATACTTCTTCTTAATCTCATAGATATATACATAGCATACAAACATCCTCTAGATCATGTTGGGTTAGCAAACATATGGTGAGTCTCTTGCTGGATGTTGTCACACCCTTTTTGAAAGTAGGGTCACTGGTTCCTGGATAGAAGATCAAGTGTTGGCCCAGGTATTCTAGAAGCTTTCTTTGTATTGGTTTCAGGGATAGGGGTCATTACAGAAAAGAGTATCTATTTGTTTGTCTTTGGTGGATAGGAATGGCATATACATGAGTAATGGAAAGATATGATCTATGTTTTGTATTTTTGGGGCAAGCATGAGCAGAGTTTTGGCTAAAGAGGTTAGTAACCAAGAATAGGGATTCTGTAAGGAGACACTCCTATTTTCCCCTATTCTCTCTGTCCCTATCCCTTCCCCCTTGCTCCTTTCCTCTTCCTTTCATTCTACAGACTCTTATTTACTGTAAGGGGACACTCCTATTTTCTCCTATTCCCCCTTGACGGCGTTTGCAGTGGACTTGTTGGCAGCCTTGCCCTTCCCTTTTCCTTCTGCCATGTTGTCCTTTGACTTCTTTTTTTCAGGACAGTCTCTTTTCCAGTGATCTTTTGAGCCACATCTGAAGCAACCTTCTTGCTTCTTCCCCTTTTCTTTCCCCTTTCTGTGCCCCTTGTTCAAGCCTCCAGTTGCCAATAAAGCTTCATCAGTGTCATGGTCCTTATTCTGGTGCTTGCCATGCCTAACATTACATTCAAGATCCTGGCACAAGTGCTCATCGATGATGAGCTGAATCAGGTAGTTGGAATCAAGGGTGTTTCCTGCCACATGATTTGCACTGCAGATAGTGGAGGCAAATGATTGCAGATGCCACGGAACCAAGCTGACAACGACCATCAAGTATTCTTTGTCATCAATGGTTACTCCGCATGCCGCCAACTCCTCTCGATGTACACGTAACTGTTTGAGGAACTCCTGTACATCCTCCTTTTTGCCACAACACGAGTCCATGAACTTTCGACACATTCTGGCCATCACATAGATGCCCTTTTTTGAGTACTCCTTTACAATTGCGTCCCAGCAACACTTGACGTTCAAGGCACCAAGAACAAGCACCAGTGCTGTATCAGGCAACTTCTGTGTCAGCAAAGCTTGCGCTGCCGCTTCGTCCTTTTTCCACTGGGTAAACGCCAGGTTTGGCAATGCTTCACTGGTGTCGGCCTCATCTCCACCAATTGCAGCAACTGTCTCTGGTGGGCACAGCATCATGCCGTTGAAATGCCCCCCAAAACCCTTCGCATCAACCCCAATCTTGAAGCACTCACTGAACATAGTAAAGTTCTTTCCCGAGGACAAGAGTTTGGGTACACTGGTGAGAGAATCGGAGAGTGATGTGGTAACAGATGACTGTAAGGGCAACCTCAAGATGGCCGACAGCACAGGCCTAGCAGAGGGAGAATCCAAAGAGATGAATAAGACTAACTACAATACATGAGAGAGCTGCTCACCTAGCAGAGGGAGAATCCAAAGAGAACAGGATAAGGATTCTCCATGCTAGGAAGCGAAGTATATACTGTAGTAGCGTGGGAGGAATGAAGGGTAACTGTACAGTACACCAGCCACAAGTCGGAACGAATATCACAAGGTATGAGGAAACATGTGATAATGAAGTGGAAGGGGAATGTACAGGAGTCGTGCCAGCGACCTGGGAAGGTAAGGGCGAAGAGTAATGAAGTGGGGAAGGAGGACAGAGGTAACCCGGACGAGCCCTGAAGTGTATATACGAGTCCAAGTGAGTCCGAGTGAATCCGAAGTGTGGGAAGACTCCGGAGTCACCTGACGCGACTCGGACGCGACTCGGATGCGAAAGGAGTGGGCGGAAAGAAAGTGGAAAGGAAAGGGAGCAAAGGGGAATGAAAGAGAACGAAAGGGATGTAAGTACATAAGAGTCCATGGGATGAAGGAAAGGAGAAAAGAACAAGGAGGAAGGGAGAGGGACAGGGGAATAGGAGAAAATAGGAGTGTCCCCTTACAGAAACGGAGCAACACATATATAAGCGCAAGTTGTGTGCATGAATACATAATCAGCTGTAAGTACGGATGGCTGTGATAAAGAGATGAAACGAGACGGTAAGCAAGTTGCGTGTGGTGCAAACTTGCATTACCTGTTTTGATTAACCAGTATCCGCATACAGATACCTGACTCTTTTGGTTTGCAAGGAGCTCGCTGTAAGGGGACACTCCTATTTTCTCCTATTCCCCCTGTCCCGCCCCCTTCCTCCTTGTTCCTTTCCCCTTTCCTTCATTCCCTTTCCTTTCCTTTTGTCCCCTTACCTTTCCACTTCCCTTCCGTTCACTCCCTTCGCATCCGAGCCCCGTCCGGTGACTCCGAAGTCTTCCCGCGCTTCGGACTCGCCTCAGACTCGCTCGGACGGCTCGGACTCGCTCGGACTCGTAGATACACTTCGGGGCTCGTCCGGGCTACCTCTATCCTCCTTTCCCACTTCATTACCCCTTGTCCCCACTTCCCCAGGTCGCTGGCACGACTCCTGTACATTCCCCTTCCACTTCATTATCACATGCCCCCTCGTACCTTGTGATATTCGTTCGTACCTGTGGCTGGTGTACTGTACAGTTACCCTTCATTCCTCCCACGCTACTACAGTATATACTTCGCTTCCTAGCATGGAGAATCCTTATCCTGTTCTCTTTGGATTCTCCCTCTGCTAGGTGAGCAGCTCTCTCATGTATTGCAGTTAGTCTTATTCATCTCTTTGGATTCTCCCTCTGCTAGGCCTGCGCTGTCGGCCATCTTGAGGTTGCCCTTACACTCGCCCTCTGTTTGCTACCCCAACACTGATAGCCAGAGATTAGGTTATGGCTGACATAGTTACTACCAGTGTGTGCTTGCTGCTAGTTTTCTAGGACTGCAAGGTCCACCAGTAGGCATCTTCAGGGCCCATAACCTTTTGAATGAGCATCTGTCCATCAATCCTAATGGGGAGGACAAGTGTGCACTGAGTGAAAGACTAATGTCTACTCACTGGTTGTTAAAGCTAATACTACTTGTAGCTATGTAGCTTGAGGTGCACACTTAGGTAGTTCTCTGGGTAGAGCACTGGTAGATTGTAGATGTAAGGGGACACTCCTATTTTCTCCTATTCCCCCTATCCCTATCCCTTCTCATTGTTCCTTTCTCTTTCCTTCATTCCACAGACTCTTATTTACATCCTCTTTGTCCTCTTTGTTCCCTTTCTCTTCCACCTCTTCCCTCACATTCAGGTCATATTTGATGACTCCAAAGTGTTCTCCCACTCTGGACTCACTCAGACTTGTTTGTACACTTTGGGGCTCATCTGGACAACCTCTACACCCTTCCCCCACTTTGTTACTTCCCATTCCTTCCCACTTCCCCAGGTTACCGGCATGACTTCTGTACATTCCCCCTCTACTCCATTATCACATGCCCCCTTGTACCTTGTGATATTCATTTGTACTTGTGGCTGATTGTTAAGAGCCACACTCACAGGGGGCTCGGGGTACACGGACCCACAGGTGCGCGGCTCCACGTAGAGGCGCAGAGGGGAACAAGGGAAGCGAGAACATACGGGCTTGGCTTCAGCTACTGGCTACGCCTCCCACGCCCTGTATTTCCGGAGAGAGTCCTACGCGGGTACCGAGGGTACGGGCGGAGGCGAGAGGATGAGACGGGAAGACCTCAACGGAGAGGCAAGGATGCGAATGCGGAAAGGAACTAATATTTGAACTAAGGTAACTGTATGTACAGTACAGGAATATATACTGGGAAACACATGGTGTCCACGCGTTCACAAAACAGCAATGAGTCTGGTCATAGTAAGTACAGTGTGCTCGAATATGTACTTAGTGTGTAATCCGAGAAGTCTGAGTGGCCGCGTGTATACGCAGCCCGAGCCCATAGCCGGGAACGCATGTGAATGCACCCCTAGTAGCCCCTAAGGGGTTTCTTGGATGCGCCTATAACACTGATGTACTGTACAATTATCTTGCATCCCTCCCACACTACTAAAGTATATACTTCACATCCTAGTGTGGAGAATCCCTATCCTGTTCTCTTTGGATTCTCCCTCTGCTAGGCCTGCGCTGCTGGCCATCTTGAGGTTGCCCTTACAGTAGACAGATACAGGCTCCTTATATACTGTAATCTACCTATGACATAAATATATCTGCAGTCAATACCTAGTCAGTATGACTCACACCATTAGTAAGATCCTTCTATGAAGTTCTACTGCAGACTGTGGTCTGACTCATGTCCTGATGGTCATGATCATGTGAAGGTGCATGCACAACACTATTGGCCATCTTGAGATTGCCTCCACAGATTCTGATATGTAAAAAGGGCAGGTGTATTCAACCTCCACTCCAAGAGGTGCTATCAAGCATTTTTTAAGGAAGACATACAAGAGGATTCTGACTCCAAGCCCGGTGAAGAAGAAGAGGCACGATCTAGTGTCCTAAATAAATTTGAGTATGTCTTCACTGCTGTGAAACTAAATCATTTTATTGTGTTCCCCGTGGCCATTATTGCCCAGAGAGAAGACAACACCTGTCTTCTCAGTGCTAATGTTCAGTTTGCCAATAAGGCCAATAATAGTGTAACATGCTTGATAGGGGGTCGACTCTGCTTCATTTGTGAATTGTCTTGCTGTTAGATAAAGTTCAGGTCTTACTCTAGCATAGGAGAGACTAAGGAAAGGGCACTTAGCACAGTGGTAGCGCGCCTGCTTTGCACGACAAGCTCCGTGATTGCATGAGGCCGTGGGTTCAATCCCCACAGTGTCCAGCTACTTTTTCCCCCTATCTCCCTTAAAACTTCGTGCTGAACGACGCTCCGATGCGCATTGGAGTTTTACTCGTCATTCGGACATCGTGGGTACCGTAGTACTCCTTATTACCCTGAGGGAAAACAGGACCCGAAGTCAGAAAAGGCAGAAGAGTAGTAATTGATTTATCATCGAAGTGATACAGTATCCGGCATAACTTTTCTTCCACGCTTGCCTCTATGTTTTCCTATTTCATATCAGTTATATCTGCATTTTCTGGCACCTTCTCTGATTTGATCCCATGTTTGCACGTTTCCCCCAGATGAGGCAGCGAGGGTGTAGTGAGTGTTGTGACGATATCAACGCGTGTTCGGTGCCAAGGACCAGCGAGGACAATATTTGATTCCGTCGAAGTATACGAACGATTCCTCAAGTCGCCAACTGTGCAGTCATGAAAGTGCGCCCAATAATTACCGTATGGACGGGTGCTTTGTCAAAGTGACCTCTGGCCCGCACACTGACCATGACGAATGCATGCAATCATTTCCTGACTGACACTCAATCCTTCCATGTACGCGCCGTGAAGAAACCCTGCCTTTGTTCAATAGATGACAGATAACATCAGAAAGCTGAACGTACCAAAGTACCTCAAACTCGTTGCCTCGCCGGCAAACCAAAGCCTTTTTCGTTTACCGCAGCCAATGCTTGCGCGGAGGTTATCGTGGTGCTCGCGAGTAAAGGAAGCTGGCCAATTGGAATACGATCCTCTGTACAGCGGATCGGAGTGCCAGCGAGGGAAAAAGAAATCAGAAGGTGGCGGAATATCTGTCTTCGGAAACATGGAGTGCAAGACCCCCATCACTTCTGACTGTACCTGTTGATCCGGAAGAGCCTCGATACGCTCGCTGTATTGGCCCTTTGGCGAGTCAAGGGTCAGCAAGAAGATGCGATGGGTGGAAGGCGAGGCCGCACCGTGACTGTAACGAACAGGATACCTGAGCCGTTGAGAAATTTTGGATGATCGAGGCTCTGCCATACAGGATAGCGTCCTCTTTCCTTGTCGGCATAAAGTCCCAACTGCAGTGTAATAAGAGACAGGCCATGTGAGAGGAGAGGATGGTAAACTCGCCTCAGTGTCAAACCAAAACTTGCGCGAGAATTGCAGGAATACCTTGGTGTAAGTAGTCATGGTCACAGATTGGATAGCTTCCATCTTCCAATCTTTGTCGCAAACGGAGTTGTGAGCCAACACCTCACACAGAAGACGAACAACGCACCGGGTAGCTCAGGCTCAAACCTGACATCGTCATTTTGAAGCACGCCCAAGCTGAACGTACAGAGCACATAATCACCAAAAATCAATGTCCCGTTAGCCAGAGTGACCCGCACGCCCGAACGTGCATACCCGATGGTTCTGACCGTCGAGGATAGTAGTAATTGAGAAGGCCGCAGAAATTCCTTCGCCTCTGCAGTTATGATGACCTTGAAGCCACGTTGATCAATGGAAAGTCGGGCTTCGTCGGAGAAGGTACCTATGTGCAATCATGATTACGATCAACGAGCAGAATGAGTGACGTTTACCTTGAGATACCCTTACCAACCCGGCGGCAGCCAAAGAGGTCGCTGAAGGGGTATCCCCGTATTCCCAGTCAAAATTGAAATCTAAAACACGCGGAATGAGTTTTGCAAGCAAATATATAGTGAAATCTCCAACGTACACTCCGCAACCTTATCATGGGATGATTGAGGTTTCGCTCCTACGAGAGAATATCCTTCTCGAGCATTCAAGTCGACAAGATTGTCAGCCACTCTCTTGCCTAGAGTCGTATACTGTCAGATCAAAGTATTCTCTGGTGTCGGGCAGACGAACCCGCCAATCTGCTGATTTTGTCCAGATTATCTGCTGCATCGTCAACAACGTTGGTATAATTCACAAGACCCGATCCATCGTAGGTTGCTATCAATAGGATAAGTTGGAATAACACCTGAGGGCTGAGACCGCCAGACTCACTGATGCTCGAGTAGTCATTAAACACAGTCCTGGCATTATGCTTCCTAGCCAGGTCCCAGATGGGATTGGACGGTCCGTCCCCTACTTGAGTCCCCTGTACCCAATTCGCGCCTAACTCAATAGTTGTACCGTTCCCAAAAGTGTGCGAGCGGAGTCGACCACCGATTTCATCTCGAGCCTCGATTACCAGAAAGTTGTGGTGACCGTTGCGGTAAAGCGTTCGGGCTGCAGTGATACCTGCGACACCGGCCCCGAGAATGAGGATTCTTGGATTGGACTTAGCGTTCGGGTTGGTATTCGCTTGCGGAGGTACCTGCATTTCTGCACTGAGGCAGAATGGCAATACTGCCAGCCCTCGCAGCATGGACGATATCCCAACCATCTCGAAAATACTGCAGACAATATGTAAACGGTAATGTCGCCGTTAGATTCGAGGGGTAAGTTCATTCTCTACTGTATAGAGAGCCATCCATTTTATACGCCCCATTTCACCTCTTCAAAGCCAGAATAGTCTATGGTCAGGCGCAGGGTGAAAGTCCGAGAAGCATGGCATAGTAATGAAGGCCATAACCTAAATAAAAAGCATACATGACATATTTTCCTTCTGTCCGAAGTGCCCATTGATAGACAACTCACCCGCGAACCAAGGCCGCAAGGCTTGGCATGATTACTGGCGACCAATCTTGAAAGAAGCGCTAGGGCATCCGAGTTATAACTTCGAATAGGAATTATTCTGGCGGCAGATCGCAGCTAGTATCAGTTGATGTGGGTCGGTACCAGGAGAAATATTGTGACCACGATGTGACTCAGGACAGCTATGCATCGAAGGATAAGCCAACGCTGGGGCACTTTTGGATGCTGCTATGAGTGTTGTTTTGCATATGAGAATTTCGCTGGCCAAAGACGGTCACGCTAGGGATGGCTCGTGTTGCTTGGGCTTGGCTTAGGCGTGAAGGTTTCCTGCAACAAATTTATCACTCGAACTGTCGCTAGTAGTGCATCTTTGTTGGGAAACGTACCTGGAAGAACTCGTGGATACGAGTTCTCCATTTATCTAGCAAAATCTTGAAGATTGCCCGTCAGCAACGTGCGCAGAGCAAGATTCATTTCCCGCTTTCATACTCAAGCCCTCAGTCAATGCCGCTGACTCGATATCTGAAAGGAATGCGAACATCTGGTTGGTCAAAGGCACCCCCAGCCCTGTAGAGACCGGCTGACACAGGATTTCTTGTTCGAAGAAGAGGTCGAAGCGCAGCGGCTTAACTTCGGCGAAGATTCTTGAGAATGTAATACTACCACAGTAATTGCCTTCATTGTTGTCCCGGATATCAAGTATTGTGTATGAGACTAGGGCCTTAAGCAGATATTCCCGGCTCCAACCCCAAAGCGTACACCCTATTAGCATTGTAGAACAGAGCATTTCGAACAATCTGAACAGCCTGTGCCTCGGTGATTTCCCCGTGTCTGACGACATCGGCGAGGGCTTCATATAGAGCCTGGCGCGCCTGGATAGTACCAAGGTAAAAGGATTCTGGCCACCAATGCCCATCCGCTACGGCTCTCGCATCAGTTATGGGCAGGAGAATCTAGATATATACATACTAGACCATAAAATCTTGTTCGTTGGACACAGTTCTAGGACCTGTTGTATGATCGCTCGCTGGCCATGCCCGGAGACAAACGGAAAGACCTTTGGGAGATTCTCTGAACAGGCTATTCGCCAAGGAAGAAACGAGAAGAAAAGTTTTGCACCTCGCCGAAGTCTAGGAATACATTTGAGTAGACAGCTGTCAGATAGCCGGCTTCGCGAGTGAACGGATACGCTGAGTGTAGGAGTACGAATGTCGCATCAGGGAAAGCCTTGATGATTGGTTGCAGCTTGGACGGCGAAGCGTTGACAAGAGTGATGTCGTTGTCACCCAGTCCCGTGTGGAATTGCACTGTACTCGGATAGGTCATACATATCGAGGGTCGAGTATTTGCTTACCAGGTTTGCGGTGCATTGTGGAAACTTCCAAGGCAGTCCGTACGACGTGATCGTTAAGTGCCTTATGCGCGAGTCGGATTTTCCCTTCGTCTTTGTACACCTTGAATATATCGAGTAGGGAGAACTTTAGACTGGCAGGCGGGGAGAACGTTGAGACGTCAAGACCGGTGCGATAGCAAACAATCGACTTGAACCCGACGACATTAGGGTCGTGAGCGCATGCAGTTAGTGTCTCCGACAATCTACTCTTGAAAGCATCAAGGATGGGCGTGACTTGTAGGTGGTCTGTAGAGAGATGAGGTATGATCACTTCCTTGAGAATTTCCTGCCAATCAACGAGCTTAATGAGTACATAAATAGAACAGACGTCAAGCAGCGACTCACCTCCGCCACCGCTTCAACTCTCACCAAACGCTTTGCGGGGGACGGTGTGAACCGATCGTGCCAATGATACTCCTCCGCCAATAGCTTGTTGCTGGTGTTGACCAGGCCGTCGTCGATCAAGATACATCGAATTCCGGTTGGCTTGAAGCAGGTTTCGCAGAGCTCCTCGTAACCTATCTTATCCCTAGCTGTCTTAATATCACTCCATGTCGTGGTATTTGGATCGAGTTTATACAGTTCGCTGAGTTGATGAGTGGCACGTAGGCAAGCTATCGTGTGTACAGAGTCTTGTTGCGCCTCCCCTTCGGCCTCCGAAATGAGGCCTTCGAATGGTAGAGCGTGGCGATGCTTGTCCTTCAACAATGGGTGAGCGTGGTTGTCTATTGCAGGAAAATTATGCGCGGCGGCGTATAGCTCAGGATACTCTGGGGAAGACATTGCTGTTGCCGATATCAGCCTTGCTCGCGATAGGATCAGAAGCAAGATAACACCCACGGTTGAACAGAATACCCACCGAGTCCAAAATAGAGACGGAAGCAAAACATATCTAATCAGATAAATGTCAGCCATCTTATCAGATCGTCTTTCAATCGCATCCCACATCATGGCCGTTGATACAAATGTTTTGGAGACCGTTATCCGAGGCGCTTTGCCTGTGATGCACCTCGAAATCGAGGATCAGTCAAATGGGTGCGGGGAGAACTATGCCATCATCCTCGTTAGCGAGGTGCGTCGTAACGGAAGTTCGTGGTTCAAGGACGCTCACAGTTTGTAACGAGTAGGCTTTCGAAGGGAAAACAACGCTGGCACGCCATCGTTGGGGTAAAGATATTCTGATCCACCCTATTTGGTGCATATGATGCTGACAAGCTCTGGTGATAGTCAATGACTTGCTGAAGAAAGAGATAGCGCAAATGCACGCATTCTCGCAGGTACGTACCCCGCAAACGATGCACTGGCGATGATCCGTATATAAATCCGTTCCAGAAAACCTTCACACCCAAGCAATACGAGGCATATTTGGCCAAGAACGCCTAAACGGCGCTCGTCGTTGGTAGTACCCGTCGTTGGCTGCAAGGTGTCCAAATTGTAATATTGTCTCTGAAAATAAACATTCGCCCCATGAGTCCGCCATCAGGAGCATCAAACTCTACCATGAACGAAGTCCGTACCTCAGCGCTCAGTCCGGATTCATGGTTTGATTGTAACCCGAGCCTCATCCCAGCATGTTTTTTCCTGGACTGATCGTGAGAACACTCCTGGACTGATACCGTCAACATCTCAGTCCTCAGCGAGCGACGATCGATATCAAGTGATACACTATGATTCCTAGAACTAAAAGGACAAGCAGCCGTCCCGGCGCGTACTTGAATATTGTCCGCAGCGACACACTGATATTGTGAGTGCGGCGGTGGCGGACTCGCAGGTGAGTCGTCGACTGCTGCGAGATTGGGCGCAAGGCTGGACTCTAGTACAGCTTTTACAACGAGCAAACGCGTGTACCTTTTCGTTCAGGTTAGTGATGACTTATCTATCATTGTTATGCCATGCTTCTCGACACTCACCGTGTCAATTTTAGCAGATGCCCTCATGGTCATGGGCTCTTCCGGCCTTGGAGAAGTGATGGGCCTAGAGAGTATAAAGGGGACAAAAAACGAGGGAATGAACTCGCCCTCTAATTCGAGCGCGGCTTTTCCCTGTGTCTAGGTTTTGCTGGTACCTAAATGACTGCGTTATCGCCCATACTGCGGGGACTGGCGCTATTGACATTGTGCCTTGTCTCCCTTAATGCAGGCGTGCAGGCGTTCTCTCAAGGCGATACCACTACTCGCGACTCATTGCAGTCCAATCCACGGATCCTGGTTCTCGGGGGCGGCGTCGCAGGCATTATCGCGGCACGAACGCTTCATCAAAATGGGCTCGACAACTTCCTGATAATCGAGGCGCGGGACGAGATCGGTGGGCGGCTCCGCTCGCATACTTTTGGGAACGGCACGACTATCGAACTTGGGGCGAATTGGGTGCAAGGAACTCAAGTGGGGGGCGGACCGTCCAATCCTATCTGGGACCTGGCTAGAAAGCATAACGTGACGACCGTGTTCAACGACTACTCGAGCATCAGTAAGTTCAACGCCCTCAGCACTCGCGTATGATACAAAATACTCTCTCTAGTAACCTACGATGAAGCGGGTCCTGTGGATTATATCGACGTCGTCGACGATGCAGTAGACAATCTAGACAAAATAACTGAACTAGCGGGTACGTCTACCCACGTTCAGGCAGAATAATTTCCACCAGTCGAACACAACCCTAGGCGAGAGAGTGGCCGGCAATCTTGTCGACTTGAACGCTCGTGCGGGATATTCTCTTGTGGGAGCGAAACCTCAATCTCCCCATGCTAGGGCAGCTGAATGTAAGTTTAAGCTTTCAGTCCTGTACTCTTGCCCCAAGGGTTTATTCTACATGCTCAGACTGGAACTTTGATTGGGAGTACGGAGATACCCCCTCAGGAAGCTCCTTGGTAGCTGCAGGATTGGTGAGGGTGTTCCAGGATGTGTTTAGCTTTGACTCACTTCTTTCGTTGTATCAGAATAATAACTTCACATTCGACACCGACCAAGGCGGCTTCTCCGACGAAAACCGACTTTCCATCGATCAGCGCGGTTTCAAAACTATTATAACCGAAGAAGCAAAGGCATTTTTGCGACCTTCTCAGTTATTGCTGAACTCGACGGTGAAAAGCGTCAGATACGGGAATTCAGGTGTACAAGTGACACTCGCGAACGGGACATCGATTTCGGGCGACTACGTGCTCTGTACGTTCAGCTTGGGCGTGCTTCAAAATGACGATGTCGAGTTCGATCCTGAGCTACCCGGTACGATGTCCGTCTTCTGTGCACAAATTGAACTTACACTGCTGTTTGCGACAAAGATTGGAAGATGGAGGCGATTCAGTCTCTGACAATGACTACGTATACTAAGATATTTCTAAAATATGAGCGCAAGTTTTGGTTTGACACGGAGGTGAATCTACTTCTCTTTCCTTCTGCCACCTCTGACCGTGAAACCGTACGCCACAGATGGGCTTATACGCTGACAAAGAAAGGGGCCGCTATCCCGTCTGGCAGAGCCTCGACCACCCAAAGTTTCTCCAGGGTTCGGGAATCTTGTTCGTTACAGTCACTGTGCGTCTGCACATTCGGTCTACCTCATCTGCTCGCTGACCCTTGCGCGTCAAAGGGGCAATACAGCGAGCGTATCGAGGCTCTTCCGGACCGACAAGTTCAATCTGAAGTGATGGGGGTCCTGCGTTCTATGTTCCCGAAGACAGACATCCCGCCGGCTTCTGATTTCTTTTTCCCTCGATGGCACTCTGATCCGCTGTACAGAGGATCGTATTCCAATTGGCCAGCCTCCTTTACGCGCGACCATCATGATAACTTTCGCGCAAGCGTTAGTGTCGGCGGACGTGAAAGGCTTTGGTTTGCCGGCGAGGCGACGAGTTTCAAGTACTTCGGTGCGTCTGGGGTTACGTTATTGCCTACTATTTGATCAACGAAGGCAGGTTTCCTACACGGCGCATATACTGAGGGATTGGATGTCGCTCAAGAGATGATCAAATGCATCCGCCGCGGTCAGTGCACTGGGTTGAGCCACTTTGACGAAGTACGAAATGTCCACCCGTACGGTACCAATTAGGTTAGCTGACCGTGCGAATATATACACCCATGTCATGCGCTCGTCGAACTCCTTCCGCTTGACCACCATGAGCTCCTTGCACTGCTGCAGCACTGTGAGGTTCTCGTCTTTCCTGCTACTGAGTTACCTCGCATACACGGCCTTACTCGGGCGGAAATTGGGGACGCTTGCTTCCTGTTCCATGGCAGCTTGCAATGACTGCTAGTCCGTCGGGCTCGAGAGGCAGCCCTGGCGGTGAGCACGACATTTAGCCACAAGCGCTTCGCCCATGTTTCAAAAGTTCACGCAGGTGAATCAGAAGATACGCGATCCAAGTGAAACCCTCAGCACGCTTGTTCACGCGTCGTGTCCCTGGTGATGCCAAACACGCCCAATCCGTGAACATCGAAGTGGAAGCCAAAGCGCCGAAGCAGCTGCGACTCTCCTGAAGACATTCTGGCAGTGTGTAACTACGTGAAATTGCGGATCCTAACGACGGCGAGCCTTGGTACAAATGCGCATCCAGGAAAGAAGCGTGATGTGTTTCTTCGGATGTGATCGAAGCTCGAGCATCATCAGAGACTCACTAACTTGGATCGCTCTATAAAAGCGCGGGTTCGTGAATTCGTGACCTTGCTGCCCTTTCCCTCTTCCCATCTACCCGCCACATATCCCCATTCTACGCCATCGCGCCCCTTATCCTACCCATGCGCACAGTCTATGTCCCCTGGGCTCTTATAGGGCTCCCCATCTTTCTCCTCAGCAGCATCGTCAATGGCGGGACTGTCCCTCTGGCAACCAAAAAGGTGGCCACCGCTTGGTTTGCAGGATGGCACGCCGACCAAGGTTACCCCGTTAGCAAGATCAATTGGTCTCAATACACTGAGATGGCGTATTCATTTGCGTGAGAGATGCTACCTCTGATCCTTATTGATCGCCTTTCTCACTTCGTCGTAGCATCGTCACAAAGGACGGCGGGCTTAGTTTGGAAGGCTCTAATCCTGGTGTATTGCCAGATTTCGTTAAGCAAGCCAGGAATAACGTGAGTTTAGTTCAATTTCGTCCCCAATCATGCTCACTGTTCTTCAGAACGTTCGACCCTTGATCGCCATTGGCGGATGGACCGGCTCAAGATATTTCTCAACCGCCGTCGCCAACGCTCAGAGCCGGAAAGCGTTTGTCAAAGCCGTGGTGAATTTTGTCAAGAAGTATAACCTTGACGGTGTCGACTTTGAGTATGTCTTCAATCCTCGGCGGTTCAGCTGTCTTAACAACCCGGGTTCTCTACAGTTGGGAATACCCTGGTCGACAGGGCATTGGTTGCAATACCATATCACCCTCTGACACCCCCAATTTCCTAGCCTTCCTCCAAGAACTTCGCCGTGACCCTTTGGCAAAAAATATGCTCCTCAGCGCTGCAGTCTCGATCACGCCTTTTGCGTCTGCAGACGGTACACCCTCTACTGATGTGTCTGCATTTAGCAAAGTCCTGGACTACATTGCCATCATGAACTACGATATATGGGGCTCGTGGTCGCCCGCCGTTGGCCCAAACGCACCTCTGTTCGACTCCTGTGCCGCCCAAGGAAATAGAGCCGGATCAGCAACCTCCGCTATTGTAGCTTGGTCAACCGCTGGTATGCCTTTGGATCAGATTGTCCTCGGCGTTCCTGCGTACGGACATTCCTTCCGCGTTCGGCGTGCCCAAGCCTTTGAACTAGGCAGCACTACGAAATTAGCCGCGTACCCGCCCTTTGACAAATCCCAGCCACCTACGGGGGATAAGTGGGACGACCCAGCTGGCGTGGACGAGTGTGGTAATACTAGCGGGCCCGGAGGCAACTTCAATTTCTGGGGTATTGTCCAGGCCAAGCTCCTCAATGCCGATGGGACGCCAAAGCCTGGTGTGCCATACCGTTTCGATTCGTGTAGTCAAACCGTAAGTTTTCCATGCTCAATTGTATGATTTGACGCTGATACAGCAACGTTGTAGTCATATGTGTACGACACTGCCAACGAGGTTATGATTTCGTTTGACGATAAACGGTCGTTCCAAATGAAGGGCATGTTTATCAAGGTGAAGCAACTTCGGGGGTTTGCGATGTGGGAAGCGGGCGGTGATTCGAATGATGTTCTCGTCAGGACGCTCCGCGATGCTGCTGGCTTCCGATGATAGTGCAAAATGTCGCAATATAGTATCGAGTTGCTTGGAATGTATGTTGATAGAGAAAAAATTGCTACCTTAACTCGTTCATGAGTGACTCGAAGGGTATTCGCGAACATAGAACTCCTACAGACAACAGGCACTTCAGCTCGAGCGATGACTTGGTAGGATGAGCTTCTTGCTTGGGGGGTGCTAAAATTGTTGATGATGCCGAAGGACGAGAAATAGATTAGAAAAGACCCCAAGACCACCAGCCAGGCCTGCAGGCCATCCTCGAGGTAGCCGTCATCACCCCTTTGGCCGAGACGACGGTGCGTTGCGAGACTGACACTGGCTTTTCAGGAGACAAGACAAGGGAATTGGGATTCGACGTCATGGCGGTTATCGAAGTGACCATTTACGATGTGGTTGTTTAGGCTGATAGAAACCAGCCTCTCTTCGAGAGTATGACAGTCGATCCTCTTAGAAGTGGTTGTTGCCATTATGTGCACTCCGCGTAGATGCGCCGCTCGCACTTCGGTGTGTTTTAGCGGTGATGAAAAACTTTTGGAAGACAAATCCATCAGAGTGTGAGTACGCGGTATTGGATGTGGCGATAGGGAGCCATTCACTCACATATCAGCTGCGCAGGACATGGAGGACGTAGAGTATACCATAGACTTTCAAGAATCTCTGCAGTAGGGGCGCTGATAAACGAACTCAGGGTCGAGGAGCTGTTGGCGTTTGGACCGTGCCATGCTGTTCCATGGCAATGTCTGACCCCAACACCTATCTTGTAGATGATGCCGATGCTCGAGTCCGATATTCTGCAGGATGGGAACAAATGGGAGGTGACAACGAGTACAATCAAACAACACACTACACGTTCACAGCCGGAGCATCCTTCACATTCTCATTTGTAGGTGAGATTGATTCAACTTTGCAGATTGGTCAGGTCCTCAGCACTGATGGGTTCTAGGTACTTCTGTGAGTGTCTTTGGGACGATAGACAACCTCGGTGAGGGTCCCATGGTGCATTTTTCACGCGAAGGCCTGTTTTCACTGACAACATTGGCTGAGTAGACAGCGAGGGCCGCAGTCCCAACTCCACCTACGAGCTCGATGGCACAACACCTGTGGTATTCAGGGGAAGGCCTGTTCAAGGTGTTATATATCAACAATTGTTCTACCAATCCCCCACCCTTCCGAACATGCCACATACGCTGGTGGGACGCTCTGCAGATGCCGGAAGCCGCATCTTCATCGACTTCCTTGCCGTCACAGCGCCTCCAGTTACGTCAACTACGCTCCAGCCGACCTCCCAGTCGGCCACGTCGTCAGTTACATCTTCTAATACTGAAACTGCGACCATAGCTGTGGGCTCCGGCTCGTCGTTGTCGAGTAACAACATCGGAGCAATTGTGGGAGGCGTGGTCGGAGGCCTGGCTTTATTGGCGATCCTGTTGATCTTGACGTGGTGGTTTACCAGGCGTCGCACAAAGATTCAAACAATGGGTGAGTGAGCTCCGTTGCTATTAACAGTCGGGTTCTCATTACCGACTCCTACATTAAAAAGGGCAAATGGCTGAACATCAAGTACACCCTTTCGTCGCACCCATAATACCCTCAAATCAGTCTGATACAAGAAGTGATTTGCCCATCCGATCCTCTATGACCCACACGCCGCAGCAGGAGTTCGATCCTGCTCAACTATGGGATCCTGCGTCTTTAGCATATGCTCCATCACACATCGGAGGGGGAACTACCGCCAGTTTGAGTCCGCCATCCATGGGAGATGGTGCTTCGAGTTACTTTCCTGCCCCAGTGACTTCGACAACTGTTGGGCCGCCACTGGGGATGAAAGGTGGCACCCACCTGACACATGCCCCAAGCACCTCAGTAGCCACCAGCGCTCGGAGCGACGTGTTGGGTGACGCTCCCCCGCCTGCGTATGACAGTTAGCTGATTCACCAACTTTCGAGTGCTTTTCATTCGACCCCTTCATTGCATTAGCCATCAATGGTTCTTGCATTTGTGGTAGTCCTCCACTTATTTATGTTGATGCTAGTGTGTTGTTCCCGTCCATAGGTAACCCATAATACACTGTTGCAAGATCCCAGTCGCTGAAGAAGATTCGTCAGATAGTGGTTAGTTCAAATGGGCCATGTTCCATTTCTTTCCCTCAAGTCTTTGCACTCTCAGGCCTGAGCAGTCTCATACCGTGACGCATACTGCTTGAGCTGTGATGGCGAGTGATGTGAGTTCCACTGATCGTCCTTCGAAATCGACGCAGACTAGCACACTGACAGGGAAATGGTGGAATAGACGAGGAAGCGCTGAGATACTTCCTGGAACAACATTGTGGAGATAGGAGAAATAGGGGGCAAATGTGACCGAATTCGCTTCCGCAACGACATCCGCTTGTCAGCCAACCACATTCTACTCATCTATTCTAAATTTATGGACCACACAATGCACTGGCGAGGCGAGCACGAGCACGAGCCAGAAGGCAACGAAGAAAATGATCCAGCCTACGAACTCCTTCTTCCGGGCGAACACACCAACACATATCGCGACAGGCCTAAACGGTGAGTCAACTGTGGAAACCACGGCCTACCAAAGCACCCGCCTAACGCCATTTACCGCCAACTAGTCCTCCTTGGTACAAACGTTCAGCGTACATTTTATTATGTGCTGCCGCCTTGCTATTCATAAGTACGGTCTTGTACACAATCGACGTGTTCTCTGGATATTCGCTTAGGAAGACACTATCATCGGCAAGCAGCAACTACGTTGGCTCCGTTGTTTCTCATCTTTGGCCGGAAGGTATGGCTAACCGCACGGATAATTGGGAGAACGAAAACAGCAAGACCATGCATGCCTTATTCAAGTGTCTGGCCAACGGCGGGTGTGGAGAAAACCAAACCAGCATTGTCCTGTTATCCTCGCCGCACTTCAAGGACTCGATAGCAGGCCATACTTCGGGCGAGGATATTTGGTGAGTAATTTCATTCCACTTCGACTTCTCAGCGCCTCAGACTCAACATCCTACAGGGCGATAAGTATAGTACGTTTGGGGTCCATATCGTTTCACATGAGAACTCATTGAAGATACTTCCAGCTCTTGTCTTTGAAGGAAATGGGATATACCGCCGTCTACGCGCCACACAACTCTGAGCTCCTCCGTACCTATAGGCAATACCCCGACCTAGTCAAGATCATCATCAGCGAAGGCTCCGACGCGGAAAGCTGCTTCAAAGACCCTCAATGCACCAAGACAAAGGACCATCCGCTCGGAATACCCGCTTGGAAAATGCTTGCGATGCATTTCTGGACGGGTTCCAGCCACCCACTGGGTAACCAATGGACGCTTTCTCCAGAAAACTTCCCGCTTCTCAGTCCGGGAAACTCGAAAGACAACGTATATCTGGGATACAGTGTCGAACGCGCCTGCAAGGAGATTCCGATCATGCCTATGGATGAACGACCCAACCAAGGCTTCGTCTATGGCAAGCGACTCGATTATTTCTTCGGCAAGGACTTTGCTTGGGAAGGCGTGTCGTTCGTACCTCCCTTTCCCATCCAGCTCGTCGCTGGATTCTCGAACGACTCCTCGGTTCTCTCGCCTCCGCCTGAGGGTATCGACAATATGGGCGTCATGCCAAAGCATAGATTTTACGAACACTTGGGGATGAGCCGCGTATTGATTGGCATTGGCCGACCAGTCTTGAGCCCCACGCCATATGATGCGCTATGCATGGGTGTTCCATTTATCAACCCAATCATGCATTGGGACAAGAAGAAGCCAGACGATCGGTCAAAGTGGGAGGCACAACATGACGGCCTGAAGTACGAAAGTCCACCCTACGTTTACAACGTCAAGAAAGGCGATGGGGAAGGTTTATGGAAAGCAGTGAAAGACGCACTTGATCATCCGATTGACAGGTGAGTGTGCTGTCACAGTACGATGCTCTCTCTAAACCAAGGACAGATATATTGTACCAAACATGACGATGGCATCGCTGGGAGCACGATTGGGTGCTCTTGTCGAGAAAGACTGGAAGAGCCAAGCTGAGCAGTTATTGGAACTAAGGAAAAAGACGGGCAAGGGCGAGGTTAGTCGTGTTTAATCTTGTGGACCAATCACTAACCGTCCGTTCAAGCTGTTCGAAATATAGGGAAGTGAGGGTAGGTTGCTACAAGTACATAAAAGATCATCCAAATCTACATACAATACGACATCCATATAAATATCACGAAACTAGGATAGATCAGTGGTCATCTCCAGGCTTGCCTGAACACGATCCATGGCTTCAATGGCAGCCTTCAGTTGATCTGCAGAGCCAACTTCTTGTACCCGCTCGTTGTCTTCGTCAAGCCCAGTCCGCCGTCCCTCGGCCGCATTCCGCTCCCTCGCGCGGACAAGTAGCTGAGACACTGCCCAGTTGAGATACCCAGTTTTGCTGGTTTCCCAAGGTCGTTTACCAGGGTCCGAAAGACGATACTGCGTGAGCGAGGAGAGTGTTGCCGGGTCAAGGTCAGGTAGTGCTGACACTGATTTATACAATTCGAACAACTTCTGAGGAAGGCCCTCGATGGTGTCGAACGTAGGATCGTGGAGGAAGGACAGACGCTCCCGCCGTTTTTCAGCTCGACGACGCCCTGCTCGGGAAACATGTACGGCACGCGTCAGCACTCTTCCAAGACGCCGTTGCTAAGATATTCGTCAGAGAGAGAAGCATTGGGAGAAACAAGAAGTGGGACGCACATCTTGCAGCTGCAGTCTTAACTCGACTATCTCGTCCATGAGCTCCTTCTCCCTCTCAGGGGATTGTGTCAGGTCGAGACCTTCCTGGTGGGGCAGTACGATTGGCAAATCCGGCGGCACAGCGAATACGTTTCGAAGCGACCAAGCCTCGAAGAAGTCGAACGCGACGTCAGTATGGTACTCCAGCAACGTTTGGAAGGCGACAAGGCCTTGCTCGACCTCGCCTGTTGGATCCCATTCGGACTCCTTCATTGTATCGCTGCCCCCTTCCTTCTTGGCACGTTCATCAGCCCACCGCTGCAGAAATTCCTCTAAACCATTGACGGCGTCTGTGACAGCATTGTTGGCGATGTTGATAATATCGTCCAGTAGAAGCTGAGGAGAGAATCCAAGAGCTTCTGGTAGAAGAAGAGGCGGAGCATTGACTGCCTGTTGTTCAGTCATATCCTCGCCAACGTAAAGGATTTGAATACGCGACCTCAACGTTTGATAACTTGGTTTGCCTCCAGAATTTCTCTCACGACGCGATATATATGATCACGTGACTTATAGCCCGTAGCGGCGTTCGCTCGGGCTGCCGCCGTTTCTTATCTTTACCACCATGACCCCGACCGCGCTCGGTTTGCTTTTGGCACCTCTCCAACCAGCTTCGATTCATGATTCTTGTCTTTCTAGCAAATTTTACGGGATATACAACCACGGGGACGCAACAACCAGAAGTCTGTACCTTGGAGACCTCGAATGCCTCACATCGTTTGATGTGAGTGGGGGGGACGCAGCATTGGCTGGTTATACCCCCAGTCCAGACGATGTTTTAGCATGGGTCTATCAAGCACCAGCTAGCGAAGAGCTCTTATCGTCGCACCCCCCGTTTCCCCGGGCGCTGGACACGTTCATTTATCAAATATCGCCCAAGGGTGACTATGACGACTCCAACCAGTTGCCACTTGAAAGCACATCAGATCGTGCGCTTCTCTACCGCTCGGATACCTCTGCCCTCGTATACGTGAATCGCGAAATTGCTCGACGGCTCGACACACTCATTCCCCCCATGTGGAAGTCGGCGTTGCTTCCGTCTTCACCGATAGCTTCTTACCCAGTTCCTACCGATGCCGTCAAGCGGATCAAGCACATCACGTCGTCCTTGAAATTCAGCCCAGATATTGCCGCCACGGTGAACAGCATCTCAATCCCCCAGATGCGCAATGACATTCGTTTCCTCACGGGTGAAGACGGCAAATCCGGAATAGTCTCCCGGCACTCGTTCGCAGATGGCAGTCGAGTGGCGGCTGCGTGGCTGAAAGATCGCTTCGAGGAGACGGGAGCACATTGCACGCTCAAGGCATTCTCCCAAGGCTTCGCACCGAATGTCATATGGTACGTGTGAACACTCACAAGCAACTTGGTAGTAATGCCGTTTGTAGCCGCTATAATGCAGACGTGAAAACGAATGCCACTATCATCCTTGGTGCTCACTACGATAGCCGTGGATCCTTCGGCAACACGCGTGCGCCAGGCGGAGACGACGACGGGTCGGGGACCATTTCCCTCCTCTCGATCGCCCGAACTATCGCGAGCAAGAAGGTCAAATTCCACACGAACGTGGAGCTGGTCGCATTCGCTGGTGAGGAGCAGGGTCTCGTGGGATCGCGGGCATACGCACGCGAGCTGAGGGCGGCTGGCGCGAATGTGACGATGATGATACAGGCAGACATGCTCGCCTACCGAGCCCCTAACGAGCCCCTGCAGCTGGGCCTCCCAGAATCGTGAGTGCATGCACAATGTACGGCGGCGCGTCGCGTAACGGGCTGTGTAGGATTGGTACCCCGGCGGTCGTGCAGCTAGTGTCCAACGTGTCTGCGCTGTACAGCCCGGAGTTGACGGTCGGCTTCACGAAGGCGTGCTGCAGCGATCACCAGGTATGTTATACGCGGCACGCGGGAGGTCCCGATGCTAAGCGCTTTGCTAGTCGTTCCACGAGCAGGGCTTCGCGTCCACGCAGGTGTTCGAGCGCGCGGGATGGAGTGAGTCACTAACTCCCACAAACTAACTCTTACCAACGATCGCTTACCGTCCGTGCTTGCTTGCAGTCGCCGATCCCATGTATCACAACAGCGGCGATGTGAGCGACCGCGAAGGCTACGACTTCGAGCAAGTGAAGGCCATTGCGAAGGTTCAGGTAAAGTGCGGAGAGCCACATAGAATGAGTGCTGATTGTGTATTTTTGCAGTTTGCGACGGTGCTGCACGTTGCGGGGTTCACGACCAGCGGGTAGGCACAGCGGGGTGCTCGGGGTGGATGACACGTAGACATTGATTGGTTATCGTTATTCGTTTATTTGTGAGATGGAGTTAATGCACGGTCGGAATGGGGAACGTGGGCGTGCAGACACCGGCGTGAGAGGAGTTGCTAGTCCGCGGGTTCGTTGTGTCTCTGTACGTCCATTCCCCTCGTCGTTCGATATCCAATGACGAGTTGGCCACTTGATACGCCCGTTGGCGCGTATATGCTATGCAGGCTAATCTTTGTTCCCTGTCAAAGTTTTCATGTTTCAAGACGGAGTTGTGTATGGATCGTTTGTCTTGACACCCTCAAAGATAGGAAGAGTAGATTGCTGATGATGGGTGCCTAACTTGTAAGTGAGTACCGACGGGTTACGGCACTGCGATCGAAGGACAACGGTGCGCCTAGTCATCCATACGTTTGCTCGCCCGCTTAGTGCACACTTGGTACACTCCACGCAGGCAAATGTGCATATGTGAATAAATCGCCAGGCTCATTACGCGTCAGATCGCACGTATTCAATTCAACTCAATTGCAGTCGTCCAGGATACCGCTTTGGACCGGCATTCCGAGATTGCTCCTATCGGCAAACCCACTGATTCATTATTAGAGTATACTCCTGCGCTCGTGTCGTTCGCTTGGGGCTACTGGGGCGTGAGTGCATGTTGCATCCCGCCGAATGTGCTGTGTACGCACACCCAAGTATAGACACGCCGCCGTCTCCCTGCAAGCGCGCCGCGGAACCCGACCCGCCGTCGCGCGTATCACCGACCTAAGCAAGGCAAACAGCATCCTAACGCCGACAGCCTGATCAGCGCGCAACAGGGTCAGTCGCGACCCATTCTGTTTTGGGACTTGCCATTCGCGTCCGAAATTACGCACCTTCGCTGTAGATGAGCCCATACCGCCGTCAACTCGCTAGCTCTCAGCCGGCGACATGGGAAAATGTAACGCACGGAGCGCCACTTCAGATCTTCCTTCAAAGCGCATTGCTCGAACAGACATCGGCCTCTTTCTGGATGCATCATCGGTCCAGACTTGTGGGTTATGACGAGGAGCCCCTGAATCTGCGAGGGTCTACGAAAGATGCGGAACACATTCGCTCAAGGGATTACACAAATTGGCTTGAATAACAGACACTGTACGGTCCGATCAATGTTTTGTGATTTGTGATCATGATGGCAACCCTTGTTGGGTATTCTGACCATTGCTTTGCGCAGTTTCCCAAAACGGTGCGTTCGAGCACTCCAGAGGTCGTCCACTCCATTCTCCTAGGATGCATCGGATCAGGTATCGCTACGCCCTGCAACATCTCCGCGTGCTGTAGTGGGTCGTGCAGCCCCAAATGTTTGGCCAGCGTTTGGCAACCCCGACGCGTCGAGCCCGCTCCTGCATCATTCTATTCATTTTATTTTAGGACCTTTGAGCTGGGCATATCCGCTGAGAATTCGACATATAAAAGGGCTCGTATGTCAGAGTGCTTAAGCATCGGTTCTCAGACATGATTCCTGTTCGCGGCCTTGCGTTGCTCGCCCTTTCGTTCTTCGCCCGTTCTGCCATCGGCGCTGTGTTCCAAGATCCCTCTGAACTGCGGGGAACTCAGTACGATTTCATCGTTATAGGCGGTAAGCTGTTTCTCATCGTCGCAGTGAGCCTTTGGTCTGAAGTTACGCGTCGTAGCGGGTACTGCTGGGAACGTCATTGCATCTCGTCTGTCGGAAAACCCAGCTTGGAAGGTCTTGGTCATTGAAGCTGGTAGAAGGTATTTTCCAGTCGCCGATTGCCCCCCGCTTGTTTGTCGTTTTGACTCGGGTTCAGCAATGAAGGCTACGATTCCGACTTGATCAAAATTCCTTTCATGGGCCCCTTGGCGTCCCCTAACACGTCGTTCGACTGGAACTACACTACGACTGCTCAAAGCGCGTTGAACAACCAAGTGCTGACTTATCCTCGCGGATACGTTCTTGGAGGGAGTAGTTCGACGAGTGGGTTAACTTCATGTTCATGAGTGTACCCGATAATGACCGTTCAATCCGCCATAGATTACATGGTGTACACTCGTTGTGCATCCGACGGCTATGATCAATTCGCGGAGATCGCAGGCGACGATGGCTGGACTTGGGACAACCTATTCCCATATATTATCAAGGTAGGTTTTCTTTGGCGACATTGCCAATTCGTCATTTAACAACACACCACTTATGTAGAATGAACATCATGTCCCACCGAATGATGGGCATAACGAGACCGGCCAGTTTACTCCCAACTTACACGGTTACGAAGGTCCCTTGTTTACTAGGTATTTACCTCGGTCATGTCTGAAATGTCTGTGCTTACGTTCAAACCAGTCTTCCCGGATTCCTCACTGAAATTGATGACCGAGTGCTCGCGACGACGCAGGAGCTTGCAGAGTTCCCGTTTAATGAGGACTTCAATTCCGGCAATCCTCTCGGCGTTTGTGAGTGTCACGATGCATGAGCCAACGTAGTGTGCCCTAACAAGATCACTGCAGCGTGGATGCAGTCTACTATCAAGGGCCCTCTTCGTAGCAGCTCGGCGACTGCTTTCCTCACCCCAGCGCTCGATTCCCGCAACAACATCGATCTATTGTATCAGACTCAGGTCACGAAATTGTTCCAAACTGGTACGGAGCACGGTCTACCTGTGTTCCGTGGTGTAGAGTTTGCAAGAAGCTCGTCAGGTTCGCTCACGAATTTACCCTGATATTAATTGATATGACAACTGATGCTATCATTGCATGAAGCACCCCGGTTCAACCTTACTGCATCGAAGGAGATTGTCCTCAGGTAGGTTGACTTCGCCATTGCGTCGAGTTCAGAGACTCATTTGCCCTCAGTGCTGGTGCCGTTGGCACACCACAGATTCTCATGCTCTCCGGCATCGGAGAACCAAGTGAACTGAGAAGTGTTGGCATTCACCCTATCGTCAACCTCCCCGAAGTTGGCAAGAACCTTCAAGACCATGTTGGTGTGATTCCTATGCTTTGGAATATCCTTCTCACTTCATACCATAGCCCATCGTCCCACTGCAGTGGTCAGTGAACAGCAACAACACCATGGACCCCATCCTTCGAGGAGAGCAACCTGCATTTGACGATGCCATGAATGAGTATACCACCCAAGGCTCAGGTCGCATCGCAGCCAACGGAGTCTCCAACCACATGTATGTTTTACAACGTTGGACACTACTTCCTAAATGGTTAACACTGTACTCAGGGCGTATTTCCGACTTCCTGAGAACTCTTCGGTCCTTGCGACTTACGGTGATCCTACTCCTGGACCAAGGACCCCTCATTTTGAGCAAGCCTATGGTGTAAGTCCGTCACTCGTAGCTACCGAAACGATACTCAACCGTAGGCGCAGAATGGCTTCTTCACAACGTCCCAACAGATTCCAACTTCTGGAACGTACTTGACTATCATCAATGTAGTAGTCTCGCCAACATCTCGTGAGTGTTATCCTGCCATGACGCGCTTTGTTGGTCAACGGTATTCCAATGCAGGTGGCACCATAACTTTGGCATCGTCTGACCCCTTCGCTCACCCAATAATTGACCCCCAACTTCTCGCCACTGACTTCGATATGGCCGTGATGGTAGAGGCCATCAAATCATCCCAACGCTTCACTGCCGCCCATGCTTGGGACGGGTACGTCACAGGCATCTACACAGACGCTGCGAACACCACTACGGACGCCGGGATCGTCGAATATGTCCGCCAATGGGCCACAACCATCAAGCACCCATTCTCCACTGCCGCAGCAAATGCTGATCCGAACAAGGGTGTTGTCGATGGAAAGTTGCTACTCAAAAAGGCGCGCGGTGTTCGGATTGTTGACGGCTCTGTCTTTGTATGCCTTCGTCTCGCTCCAACACTGATGCACTGACTCATTGATCCATCCAACAGCCTATTATCCCAGGAGGGCACACTCAAACTCCCGTGTATATTATTGCTGAGAGGGCTTCGGACATAATCAAGGCGGCATGGCCTTGAGAGGGCGACTTCTGGTATATTTAAGTATCTAAGTAGACTTGCCATATACTATATCTTTTTTCAATACTTAAATGATGTACAAGCAACCACTGTGTTCATCTCAGTGTTGTGCCGTTCTGCGACTAGTCGGTGAAGTCGATGAAGTCGCACGACTTGCAGACCACGGGCTACAGGTTGAACCGGTCGACGATCAGTGGTAGGCGGGAGGGTGTTCTTCACTCTCCGTATCACCGATAGTAGAATGCCGGGAAGACGAGGATGGAGCGCCGAAGGTACCCATAGAGTACATAGGTCGACCTTTGCGTGGGAATTGGGTTGTCGCACTGGGGGAAGGGAATGAGGGCGCATTGGCAGTATTAAGACTGGCCATGGGCGAGGTTTCTGTCGGTGATACGGTCGAGTAAACAGAGGAAACGGATGGAGCAAAAGTAGGATATTGGAGGGTCGGTGGAGGTTGCGGCACGAGATGGGTTGTTGACGTAGTTGACATCGTTGCTTGCATCTCAGTGCCTGCTGTTTAGTTGTCAGTTAATTCATTCAAATCCTGCACAACGAGCGGCGCTTACTTGTTACAGCTCTCGGTCGACGCCGATGCCATAGGAATAGAAACAAGCCAATAAGCACGAGTATCATGGCACCAATTACACCGCCAACGACTGCTCCCACCGGGAAGGCGGAGGAAGAGGAAGAGGAGGCGTATTCGGTGTATGTGGCGGTAGTGGTGATAATTACGGTAGACTCCGTTTGTGACGAAGCCCCAGACGTAGTTGGACTCGGCGGGGAGGTGACCACGAAGAAATCAATCCATACGAGGCTACCCTGGTCGGCACAGGTTCCCACTAGAGTATGCTTGGTATTCGGGAGGTCGGCGGGGGATTGGTAGAATATTTGTTGGTATTGTACCCTGGGTGAGGGTTTACCGGCATAAGGGATAGGCGAAGTACCGTCTAAGGAGTAGGTTGTATTTGGAAATGATCCGTTGAAGCCTTCTTGGGTCAGCGTGCCCAAGACTTTGACCGAAGTACCTATTAGACTACTATCAGCAATGTCAATATGTGTCCGTGAATACGAACTTACCTGTGAAGCTGAATGTGAAGCTCGCGCCAGCAGTCGATGTAGCGTGTACTGTCCGATTATACTCGTTGGGACCGCCGTCCATATGCCATCCCGACGAGTACTGGATTCGCGGGTCCGTGTCGTCTATGATCGCCGCGCTTTCGGTTGACATGGTAGGCCTACGTGGTGGTGGTGGTGGTAAATGTGGAAGAGAGGAAAGAAGGGGCCATCCCTAGATTATTCACGGAACGTATATGAGATAGCCAGCTACGACCGTGCTCGGGCCTTGCTTGGATCATTACCAGGGGCTTTGCTTCCTCTGATAGGTATGGAAGATACGTCAACTACTCCGTTGCGATGGTTTGTTGATGCAGCACATATTTCGGCACCGCTTTGTCAAGTCGACCTTACAGGGAGTCGGGGTACATGCCCACGAGATAACCCAGTACAGAGGCATCCTGCACTCGAGTTGTCAGGGTCGTGTTCCGAGTCCAGTGGTCAAACCGAGGGCCTTGGGTAGTAACTGAGGTCAGTACGCACTCGGAAGCTCACATGCAATGTCACGTACCACGCTTCTTCGACATAGCATCCACACTAGATCCTTAGACCTTAAGCCTTGACATCTACATGGGCCGGTCAGATGGTACATAGTTGGAAGTGCATACGGTTGTGCCAACTTGAAGCAGTACGCCGGACATGATCGGCGCCGTTCTGGATTCCAGTGAATTGCATGATAGACAATATATGGATCATGGCGGTGACCACAAGGCGCTCAAGAGAGCGGTATTCAGTCGATGGCAAGAATGCAGGTGATGATGTTCTGATATTCTCACCGCCATTGACAGCCGTGGTGGTGGACGATGAGAAAGAATGATGAGCAAGACAGGGGTGGTGCCAGAGATTATCCAGCTGCAAGACAAAAGGAATTCTAATGCAAAACAAAAAGGAAACAAAATAGGGCAGGCAGGCAACCACTGGCTTACGCTAACTATACGACTCCACATCCGCTGCCAGCTTATCAGCCTTCACTACGTCCTTCTCCGCAGTAGGACCAGACCCCAACCCCGAACTCGAATCCCCGCTGATCCTCTCGAGCTTATTCTCCCCGACGCCGTCACCAATGTTCGAGATCGGCCCAGTGAACCAATGCACGCCTCCGTAAACAGGCAGATAATACCAAACAATCGAAAGGAAGAGCACGCCTCCCATGACGACGACAGTGTAGTTCATGTCTGGAGCATCAGTTTGTGGCGTTGTTGGGAAGAGGAACACGATGACCATGAAAAACATGAACAGAACAGCAACGATCCCCACAGGGAGACTCTGGGAGCAACACATAATAATGATTATTCTTGTGTCAAGGAGATTGGGTTGGTTAATACGTACGAAGACGCCGAGGCTGAAGGGGCCAGGTTTGAAGTCGTTGTCTCCAAGGAATCGGGCTGCAATGGGGATGGCATAGGCGATATATGATGCGGTAATGGATATGGAGAACACCGCGCTTATGGCCGTCGCTCCAGCAAGAGCGAGAAGGCCGAGGAGAATTGAACAGCCTGCCACAAACCAGACCGTGTTCACAGGAGTCTTGGTGTAGCTGTTCATTCTATAGAGCCAGCTCGAGAAAGGCAAAGCACCGTCACGGGCAAAAGCGAATGTCTGTCGCGACGCAGCTAAAAGCTATCGAGGTAAAGGTCAATGTTGAGGGCAGTCCGATTTGTTAGGAAACCTAAAATAGACGAACCATGCTAGAACCCATCATGTATTGCACTAGCACGACTACCGACCAGACGCCCAAGGTTGCTTTCTCTCCGAAGCTATTGAAGAAGATCGTGGCCATTGGTTGGCCAATCGGGCTGTTAACGATAGCATCCAAATCCGTGCCCATGCAGAAAGCAAGCGAGATATTGATTGCTAGACAATGTCCATATTAGCTTTCAGCGAGACTTGTGGACTTTGAGGTAAACATACCTGTGCCAAGCACGCCTGCAATACCTACGGCGTTGATGATGGCCCATGGAACGGCAGTGGCAGCATTGGAAGCCTCCTCGCTGATATGAACAGCAGAGTCAAATGAACCTAGAATGGAAATGTCAATCAACGTCGAGAAGCGGTATTGTAACTTCGGCGCTGACCGATTGTCCATAAAGGAGCCAAGAAACTCAGAATGAAAGCGTAGCCGTTAGGCCAGCCATTCACTGAAAACGGGTTGAGAACGCCATCAGAGGTAATCTGATCCGGGAAAGGGCTCACTATTCGTAAAATCGCCTAGTGCATATGATGCAGTGTTTTTGAACTCGCTGGGTGTTGCTATAGGTAATGCGATGATTATGGCGAAGCAAAGTCTGCGGAGCGCGGTCCGGTGAATACTGCAGCCAGGGGGCCAGACTACACTGAGGGACTCACATAACATTAAGTACGACATATACTGTTTGCAATCTAGCCAAAACAGGCGTGGCCAATCCACATAGAACGGCATGAGAAAGGACAACGGCGGCATAGACACCCCTACGCGCGCGAATGAGTTGTCATGTAGAGTTGGAAAGGAGCGGGGTGACGAACAGAGTTTGAGCATCCGTGGGTGAATATGATTCATGCGTCCCGATTGAGGCGGCAGCAAGGATTTGGACTGCACATCCCCAATCAATAGAGGCAAGAGCTGCTATGGAGCCGATTGTATTGGCATCTTGTAACCAGCGCTTTAGCTGTTGCACGCGCTGGACAAGGCGACCACTCACATCCCACTATCCAACACAGCAGATTCCTCCACCTCGGCGACGAAAGGGAATACGTCCAAAAGTACAACTATGGCCGTGAGTTCGAAGGTTGCAGACCGATACAGTACGGCTCACGTACACCACCGGACGTAGGAGCTGCTGAGCCTAGCTCTGCCATAGCCATACCTACGAATAGGATGAACACGCTGGCGACTGCCCACTGTCCAACGTAACCAAGGTGAGCTGGTACAGGCGAAACTTCAGGAAAAGACGTACACCCCACACCATCGCTGCAGGGCCGCCGTTTGGAATCGAATTGAACATCACCGACGCGATCGACGGTAACAGTCCGATGATCGAGAATGCTATGCCGAAGCACTTTGGCAGGATTTTAGCATGACTTCACGATGAATTGTTCGCGAAAACACACCTCGAGGGGGGAGAAGGCTCTCTGGAACTCCTGCTTGTATCCCAGCTGCGCCAGCAATTGTTCGTCGGCAAGCTGTACGGCCTCGCGCGTGTCCACGCTCCCATTTCCATCCTCTAAACGCTTCTCCGTCGACATATCGATGAGTCTAGGATAATGTCCGTGCTCGTTTGCGAATCGGGGGCGAAGTTAAAGAGTGACGGGCGCTGGGCGCTGGAAAGGAAGCAGGGGGCTTCTTTGGAGTATAGGCGTCGATATAGTGGCCACACTGGGAGCCATGGTTCGTGATACGCGTGTCTTGTATATACTCGACGAAAGTTTGCTTATCATAAGGCAGAAATAGCCCTGCCTGATGGGGAAGCAAGGAAGTGGGTGACTGGCGACCTTGTGAAAAGAAGGCATTCAGTGTCGGCCATGTCCTTCACTGGGCTGGGAACTCGGGCACCAGTGACCAGTTCGACCACACGGTACACTGATATCGATGCTTTAGGGTTTTCGCCGAACCCCATACACGTCGTGTGATGGAAAATTAGGGGGGTCCTGAGTTCTTCTTATCGTCGGCCTCGCTTCCTCCGCCAGATGATATTTGATTCACGACAACGAAGCGCCGTTACTCGTGATCGGTATTCATGCTCGACAAGCAGTCGCAGATTGTGCATGTCTGGAAATTTCAAGTGAATCAGCACCGAGTGAAACTTCATAAATGTAACAGGATGGGCATTGGTTTGTTTGATCTTCAAGTTAACGAGCAGTGGCTGTGCGGTCCCCTTCGCCCTATCAGTACCCAGGAGAGACTATGGTATACGGGGAGGGCTCAAGAGACGCGACAGCGCGTTCAACATCGATGTCAAAATTCCAGGCAAAAACACGAAAAACATTAGAAGAGGAAAAGATAAAGGAAAGCGAGTGGAGGTGAACATCATACAGAGCCATGAGCAGCAAGAAAAGGACATCATTAACAGACCGCAGAGGAAACCACGATATGGGTGTTGTGTGTGACAACCCAACGTTACGCGTACGAAAATACCAGGTTCTATCCGGAAATCGAACCGGGGAGACGGAGAGCATGAGCAGGATCACCGAAACTTTGAGTGCGCTTCCGAGCCGCGACTTGCGAGGAACAGTGCATAGCCAGCGTCATCCCGTTCCACTGTGTCCAGGGTAGACGAAGCAAAGCCGTTCGGATGGACTTCAACTGGCAACATCGAGGAAGGTTCGAGGGTTCGAACGTTCAATGATGTTGGATCCATCATTGGCCGCCACCACGAAAAGCCAGTTAACGGAAAGAGAACCAAAGTGATGTCTTGTGATCTCTACGGGATATAGAGAGCGTCGCGCTCTGTGAGGTTGTCGAAAACGTTGGACAGATCTGGCCCTTTTTGAGATATGCTTGCATTTCTACCTGCTACGAGCCAACTGGTGGAGTAATGTAATGTATGGGACTTGTAACTTTGGACTTTCAAATCCCTGTAGCATATTTAAAACGAATACCCAATGGCCGCACTACGCACCTGAAACGCAAGCCTCCAAGCATTTAGCTATATGCGCCGTACATTGAACGCTCGCCTGGCAGCACGTATGGGGTGAAGGTTTTGGACAATGCAGCGAATTAGGTCCGCATCCAATACCGCCAATGATCTATGATATGTTTCGAAACATATTGGGCTGGTGATACAATTCCTTCTTGCTTCATGATGTGTGTCAGACCTTCGTGACACTGCACAGCTGCATGGTGGAAAACTTGAATGAATTCATAATAATTACTCGTTGACAGAGCTCAAAGGACCACGTCAGCCTGTCTGTACACCACGAAGGCCGCTTTGCTGGCAGACAAGGCGAGCAGCTGACTTGAAAGGAAACTCGGAGAAAGTCCGCGACACAGCAAGAAATCGCCAACGTATATTGGTTGCCCGTGGGAAAATGTACACGTAGGCAGGACGAATTTGACGTGGCACGAAACAGAATAAATAGGTGACGAACATGCATTCATTTCTTCGTTCACTACCACCACCACCTCTAGCCACCATGGCCCGCCGACCGTCGCGCACGCAGTCACGACATCTTCTTTCTTCTCTTTCAATCGCTTTCTTTGCTCTCATTGCAATCGTATGTTTGTGTCCAGTCGCAGTTCGCGCCGAGGATGGCGCATCTGAGTACGGCACTGTTATTGGTATCGGTGAGTCCTTCAGTTCCATTGCTTCATACAGGGAAGCTAATATAGCCCCTGCAGATTTGGGAACAACGTGAGTGTGTTGTAAATCTTTTCAAGAAGTTTTCTCTGAGGCAAATTGGACGGCTAGTTATTCTTGCGTAGGGTGAGTTCAAAGGTTCATTAAATTTGTGAAATCAACTGAAGAGCATTCTATCAGTGTACAGCGAGGTGGCCGCGTTGAAATCATCGCCAACGACCAGGGTCACCGTATAACACCTTCATGGGTATCCTTCGCTGATGACGAGAGACTGTAAGTTACGATTACATGGGACGAGACTATTTTCTAACTTGCATTAGTGTCGGTGACGCCGCCAAAAACGCATACCACTCCAACCCCGAGAACACTGTCTTCGACGCGAAGCGTCTTATTGGTCGTAAAATGGATGACCCCGATATCAAGCGCGACATGAAGCACTGGCCCTTCAAGGTTCGCGAGAAGCTCGGCAAGCCCGTCATCACAGTCAAATACCACGGCGCGGACAAGGACTTTACTCCTGAAGAAATCTCTGCAATGGTTCTTACCAAGATGAAGGAAACCGCTGAGGCCTACCTCGGTGAGAAGGTCACTCATGCAGTTGTCACTGTCCCTGCCTGTAAGTGTCTACTTAGGCTCGAAAGCCAACGTAACTAACCCAGTGTAAAGACTTCAACGACGCTCAACGTCAAGCCACCAAGGACGCCGGCACCATCGCTGGTCTCCAGGTCCTCCGTATCATCAACGAGCCTACCGCCGCAGCCATCGCCTACGGTCTTAACAAGAAGGCTGGCGAATCCCAGATCATCGTCTACGATCTCGGTGGAGGAACTTTCGATGTCTCACTCCTTTCCATCGATGACGGTGTCTTCGAGGTTTTGGCTACTGCTGGTGACACCCATCTTGGTGGTGAAGATTTCGACAACAGAATCATCGAGCACTTCACCAAGCAGTACAAGAAGAAGACCGGCACTGACGTCAGCGGCAACCTTCGGGCTATGGGCAAGTTGAAGCGTGAGGTCGAGAAGGCCAAGCGTACTTTGTCCTCGCAGCAGAGCGTTCGCATCGAAATTGAAAGCTTCGAAGACGGAAACGACTTCTCCGAGACCCTCACCCGCGCTAAGTTCGAAGAACTTAACATGGATCTCTTCAGAAAGACGATGAAGCCCGTCGAGCAAGTTCTCAAGGACGCTAACGTGAAGAAGGAAGACGTTGATGAGGTCGTCCTCGTTGGTGGCTCTACCCGTATCCCCAAGGTCCAACAGCTCCTCAAGGAGTTCTTTGGTGGCAAGGAGCCTTCCAAGGGAATCAACCCTGATGAGGCTGTCGCTTATGGTGCCGCCGTCCAGGGTGGTATCCTCTCTGGCGCTGAAGGAACTGCTGATGTCGTCCTTGTCGATGTCTGCCCCCTTACCCTCGGTATTGAGACCACTGGTGGCGTCATGACCAAGTTGATTCCTCGTAACACTGTCATCCCCACTCGCAAGTCACAGATGTAAGCCGCTACGCTTGATCCCCTTTGACTGTATGCTCATATTGCCTCGTAGCTTCTCTACCGCCGCTGACAACCAGCCTACCGTCTTGATCCAAGTCTTCGAGGGTGAACGTTCCCTCACCAAGGACAACAATCTCCTCGGCAAATTCGAACTCTCCGGTATTCCCCCCGCTCCTCGTGGCGTTCCTCAAATCGAGGTCACCTTCGAGATTGACGCCAACGGTATCATGAAGGTCTCCGCTGCCGATAAGGGAACGTGAGTAATTTCTGGTTAGTTGACTCTTCATTTCGCTGACAACGCCGTTCCATGCAGTGGCAAGTCCGAATCCGTCACCATCAAGAACGAGAAGGGCCGTCTGTCTCAGGAGGAGATTGACCGCATGGTCGCTGATGCCGAGAAGTTCGCCGCCGAGGATGAAGCCCAGCGCAAGCGCATCGAAGCCCTCAACTCCCTCTCGTCATATGTCTACGGCCTCAAGAGCCAGCTCGGTGACCAAGAAGGTCTCGGTGGCAAGCTCTCCGACGACGACAAGAAGACCATCCTCACCACCGTCAAGGACACCACCGACTGGATCGACGAGAACGGCTCCAGCGCCAGCGTCGAGGACCTCGAGGAGAAGTTGGCTGAAGTCCAAGCCATTGTTAACCCCATCACGACTAAGATCTACAGCCAGGGTGGCGCACCAGGAGGTGCTGCTGATGAGGAGGATCCTATCAGGGATCATGACGAGCTCTAAGACTTTCTAGTTGCGGAGACTTATTACACCCCATAATTTTATGGAAAACTCGTCTAGCATACTCCATCGACGAGAGATTGCACGCAATTTTGTTATTTACATCTTATTGTACACTCAATTAGACACCCGCTGCATCTACCCTCGACCGTTCTGAAAGCTGAATGACCCAAATCCAATGGTAACACCGGAACTTTGAGTTCGCATCCTCATCATCGTTCGTAATTTGGTATTCGGGTACTCTATGAAAGGCTGGTGCCGAGTCGGGCCCGTGAATTAACGGTGTTACAAGCTACGACGGGTACCTTGAAGACTCCATACACGTCCTAAAGATCTTACGATGTAATGGATATCGAGGACGGAGCCGATGCGCTGAGATACAAGCAACATTCCACAGATATCCGTACTGGCTCGTGCTATTGATTGCTTTCTATACCGAGATATTGGCAGGGCCGCCTCGTCGTTTGCGGCAGCGCAAAATAGTCGCGTTCTTCAGCGACAGCGGACGGAGCAGAGCTCAACGCGTGTCACATCAACACAGCCAGAACTCAACCTCGCACTGGGGCTCTATAAGTACAGAATGACCTTTAGGTTCACACTTCTCAGCACCAGACACTGTCGACAGCAACCAGGAGGACGCAAATCTCCTCACCACCCTCAAATCCCGTCTCGTTGAACTTCCCTGCTGTTCCCCACGCAATCCTGACGTACCACTTCGAGTCCGACAGGGACTCTGCCATCGAGATCTGTCAGTTCGAAGGCTAGGATACTTCCTTGCTGCTCTACTTAATTCTGTGGCCAAGTAGATCGGGGCCTACGCTTAGTTCCCAAGGACAAGGCGACTGGACGATCTCACGGAACACTCCGCTCTCTGGTAAGTTGTTGGGAGTGCTCCGTCATGATTCTCTCTCGCAATAATGCTATCCTGTGGACATCAGCGTCAGTTCGTCGCAGCGTACTTCGTGTATGATGAATTCATAGTTGCCATATCATACCCTATAGACAGGTGAGGGCGGGGTGCGTGGTGTGCAAGCCGTCAATCTACACGACTCAGCGCTTACATGCAACATCGAACGTCGACCAACAACTTTCGAGTGAGTGAGGATGAATATACATGTACCAGAAGAAACATTACACGAGGCATATGTAGAGTTAGTACACCGAGAGCATATGTAGGAGTCCGAGTCGGTTGTTGGAGTTACAGAAGTACAGTGAGGGAAAATGAAAAAAGACTTGGCGGTGGGAAGCAAGGAAATTAACGCGCATATAGAAAAGCCTAAAGCCTATACCTTACGCCTAGGCTAATTCAGCGCGAAGACACGTAGTCGTCTTCATCATCGGAGTACGGAGATATCCTGATCGCGCGGTAGGGGGGAGGCCTGCGTCGCGACGACACGCTGCTTCGAGTGGATGCTGAGAGGTTGTCGGTATCGTCGGATTGGGTATCGGAGGAGTTCTCAGAGGACGGGGGGACCGACAGGACGAGGCGGAAGGCATCCTTGCCATTGAGGTAGAATCGATAGAGCCGCTTTTCGCGTATGAATCCGAGAGACTCGTAGAGCGATAGAGCAGCGTTGTTATCGTATTCTGTCTCAAGGACGACCTATGAATGCTAGAAATTAGCAGCGTTTCAAACGTTATCATTGCGTACCGCACCTCATCCACGCCATCCATCTTCATCGCTTCGACAGAGTTTGTGACGAGTGCGCTAGCTAAACGAAGAGGGGAATGGGGGAAAGAAACAAAGGAACCCGCACCGCAACAGACAATGCGTGTTATCCCTCATCTAAGGATCATTTGAGAGGAGACGGCAGAGGAAACGGAACGAGACGAACCAATACCACGCTTACGCCAGTCCTTCGAGACGCTGAGCATCGCTATATACCCCCGGTTCGAGAGATTCCGGTGCATGCTCTGCTTGCACACTATCACGCCCACTGGGTCCGAGTGGCCATGGTCGGTGGGAAACGCCTGCACGTCGTATAACCGATGTCAGCCCATCTGAGCGCCCATATGGGATTCGCTGGAGAATATCATGCTCACCAGAAACGCAAGATGGGGCCTATATAGGGTTATTGTGAGCCAACGAGGTTATCTGGGTGGTCGTACGACCAAGAATTACGGAACTAACCACTGATGAAGGAAATACCGATAAGTGTAGACAACGTAGGGCTCGCTGAGCTCGTTCTGCACCAAGGACATTATGTGTGGTAGGTCGGATTCGCCTGCGTATTGTCTGTACATGATTCCTGCCATCGTGGACGGTGATAACGACCTTGCGTCGTGTGAGACACGCCTCTCGCACCGAACGGTCCATCACGTGATATGCAATTAGGCGCGCATTCTGATTCCGCCGCCGGTGTAATTCAAACTTCCATGGCCATAACAAATCTTAATGGACCTGAATGGACCTCATCAATTGACGGAGACCGCTTACCCCGAGTTAAATGGCCGGCCCAATCACCTATATTCCTTGTGATCACTCTGGGGACGCTTGGGCCGGGGCCTTGGCGGCCAACGGGCATTGGCTTTTGTGAGCAAACCCCAGAGCTCTGATCAGGCTACTAGGGTCAAGTAATGGCGGGATTTTGTGCCTTGTAAGACTCGGATACGCGTCGAATCCAACCTACGGTTTATCGGCACCCACGCCCAGCAGACCTTTGCAGAATCTCGTCGTCAGCGGAGGAATCAAAGCCAATATCGCGGGCAGTCCTCTCCCTCCATCATGTTCGGAGGGGTGGTTTTGATGAAGCGCGACCGCCCCATAGGCCACAAGGCCCATATGTTATTTTGGTCCAACAGCTCGAAACTAACATCAAGTGATGGTTATGGCCGCAGCCGCATCGGTTCGCTGGATTTCCCAACACGGAGGCCGGTTCCGAACTCTCAGGCGTCATCTACGCAGGCACTATCGCTCACAAAGCTTGGGTACGCCGTGGTTTTCCCAGCTGTTATAGTCGTATTCTCAGCACCATATAGGATTATGTATATCTCACGAACTGAAGACATCATGTGGCGGTGGCACTCCCCTCCCAGAATTCCAGCTGGGACCGCGAGAGAGGTACGCCCCGCGACCGGTCCCCTCTATCCCCCTTCGCACAGATTCACTATCGTGGATGCCTGCTTTTGGGAATATACAGGCCGTCACATGGAGAACTCTTTGTTCAAAACATCATGATGCGGAGATGGTTGTGCGGGGGTCACTTGGCTTATAAATGTCTGGCAGGCGCAGTTGGACTCCCCAGAAACTATCTGTCACCCACCCCGTTCGGCTTGACGTCGACTTGATTATGTCTGACATTAACAGATTCATCGCACTGTACAAGGGCAACCTCATACCCTTGACCACCGTCCGTATGTAATTTCCGTCAATGACCCATGCAATATTTGACTAACAATTTCTCCGTAGCTTCTGCTCTCACTTGGATATTACATGATTACTGTGGGCCATCAACTTTTCTTCCTCCTTACAAGTGTCGGTGTACTCACTTTGTGGTAGTTGTCACGCTCGAAGACGAGGTATGCATAGGTTTCCGCGTCTCGCCCCCTCGTATCTAACGTATAGATAGGTTCGCTTCATATGGGTCTGTTTCAATCTTCCCCGTCTTGAGTCCAACCACTGGATATTGAATACTTACTCTCAGACTCAAAAATGGTGCACCTCAAAAGCCATGTTTCTCTGGGTATGTTTTCGAGCCACACCTTTCAAGTGCCACTCCCCACTTACTCTTACTGACTTTCAGATACGATACTACAGCATTGTGCTCCTTATATTCGACGTTACACAAATACATCTATTCGCTCGACCTGGGATTACCTCTGACAAAGTGTATGTTCCATTTCTCTCCCTCGTCGAATAGCATTCTCATTCCAAGCATCAGTTGTCTAGGCATGGACCCGACTATCCGAGTAATTGGCGCCGTCTCCCTATGGTCAATAGAAATAATTATGCAGCTACGCATATACGCCCTATACGAAGGCAGCAAGAAGGTAACCAATAGAACCCATCGTTCCCCTGTCTCTCCGCTGACAATTACTATACGGTATTCAATTGAATAATCGAATTCAATAGGTTGCCTTGTTTAATTTTACCCTATTCCTGGGATCGATTGCTGGGTTTCTATGGGTTCTGATATACAACGCCAAGCTACGGCCTGCTCTGATTGCAGATGCTGTTCATCTACCTTTACCTGGATGTCCGAGTATACACGCTGGTATTGAATGGGCGCAGTGGATTCCAGGTAACGCCGTGTCCCTTAATTTCTCCCGTTCTATATTTATTCAGACACTCGTCATATTTTCACAGCCACGGCGTTCGAAGGTGTTTTGTTCTGTTTTGCCTTGTACAAAGGCTTGCAGAAATCGTACTGGGAAGCGAGGACGCAGAAGAGATTCTCGCTGTACGCGTTGCTCTTGCGAGATAACCTGCTGTACTTCTTCGCGTGAGCCCCGCTTTAATGACGGAAGGGAATACTCAACTGACTGACAATCAACACCATCAGAATAACATGCATTCTCATATTTAATAACTTGATGGTTGTTGTGAGTATTTGTCGTCTTGCCTCGCTTTGGTCCGAGATCTAACCATCTTGATCAGGGTGTAACGCACATTCCTTGGTTCAGCTATGGGTAAATGATACATATTTGCAACCCAACTATTCCCATCCTCACCGCTGCGTTCTCATTACAGGCCATTCCACGCCGCTCTCGAAATCCTCACCGTTCGTATGCTGCTCAACCTACGCAAAGCCACCGCCCACGACTTATCTAGCGTCCATCTCACTGAAGTTCACGTAGACCAACTCAAGAATGTCAGACGCAAGGATACTGCGGTAGCGAAGCGAAATTTGTCGGCGCTGGCGTTTCAGCGGTCAGAGGAGTCGGAGACGCTGAATTCTCCGATGAGTAGTGTAAATACTACGATGGGACGATGAAGTACATAGACTACTGAAGGTTGGCGAGACCAAACTGTAATAGTACTAACATTATCATATGTATTTAGATGGCTACACTGAGTCTCTCAACTTTGAGGGTTCAAACGTTCAATGTTCAACGTTCAACATCACGCAGATGCTGGAAAGTTCGGGCCTGAAAATTAGGTTCACGCTCGGTTCGTGGAACTAAGGGAGATGTATTGGCAGATGGTAACTGGCGATAACGACATGATAACAAGCCGTTCATTTGCAAGGAACAGCCTAAAGGAGTGGTGAGTGAAGTAAAACCGCTTTGGCCTCAACGATCGGAGTGTGACCTGCATTGGAACTTTCGATTTCCGACCAAGAACGCCGAGTACTTCCGGGAAACGTAATTGGCCAGAGCCACTGCCGCCGACTCACAACAATGACAACATGTCACGGCGCCGATCCTTGCTAGAACCTAGAACCATGCAGCAACCTTTGAGCATGGCGAGTTCAAAGCTACCCGACGTGGATGCCCTGAGGTCTATGACTGCGCCGATACACACCATAGGAAAATGGACCCACATGGACCCACCGTTGCCAACTTACCTCTAGTGTCCTATTGTTCGCGTTCTGTTGTTGCTCAAGTCCGCGCTTCGAAAATACAAGGAACATCATACATATTTCAATAATAGGATCCAGGAAGTACTGAAGTACTATATTATCGGACGCCCACAAGACACATTGTGCAGGCCCACACCAGCTCCTCGTTGATCGAGTCGTCGCCGCTATGTTACAAGTCGTACCAGCCACCAAACCGTCTAGGGATGTAAAAGAGGTAGGCCTTCACAACCGCTGCTACAATAGTGTTGATATACTCAAATTATCCGTTAGACAGTTCATCGATTCTTCAGAAAATTGACCATTCCGCGCGGAGTCAAGCAGCCGACGATATATGACATGGGACTAGGCAAAGAATTGGTTTGTCGCTATTGACTTTATGAAGATCATGACACTAAGCTCTACTGCTTTTGATCATAGCCCCAGGACCTGAAAGGCAAAATCGTTTGGGAACCACTGGGCCATATCGGCGAAGGGGGTGGCGGGAAAGTGTATAGAGGCAAATGTAAACTTGGTCGCGGCAACAAAGTCTGGGTACGTAAATCCTCCATCCTGACCTTTTGGTCTGCTCATGTCGTACCTCAGGTTGCAATCAAATTTTTGGAAATGCGAGCTGGCTCGAACATGGATATCAAGATTGTACAGGTATGTCTTTGCGACTCTTTATACATTCATTTCGCTGACTACTTTGCCGGCGTGCTGATAAGTATCTCCACAGAGAGACTCTGGTGTGGCGCGACCTGAAGCACCCTAACATCTTACCCTTGCTAGGGATTTGCTCCGACCTGAATAATCCAACGACCCGCGTACCCGCCCTGATATCTCCCTACTGTCCTCACGGTAACCTGAGAGAATACTTGGAACGTCATCCCGATGTCCCACGTCTACCTCTGGTACGTGCCAAGTGCGTCTTTCTGCGTCTTGTTTCTGATCGTTCGGTGCGTAGGCACATCAAGTGGTTAGTGCGATACACTATATTCATGCAAAAGACATAATTCATGGTGATATCAAACCGGTAGGTGCGACTATCCACCAATACGTCGTCAAAGACTCAGTACATAATGCCCCAGGACAACATCCTTATCAACGAGGAGGGCAGACCTCTCTTGTCTGACTTCGGCAGATCCAGAATCATCGGCGTTGACGGCTTTGAAACAACCTTGACGTCCTCCCAACATTACACCGCTCCGGAGCTTCTCAACTATGAAGAAGATATCGTGCCGTTGACCAAACCGTCCGATATATTCTCGCTGTCGGTAACACTACTTCGGGTGCGCGAGGTCTATCTTCTACCGTCCGTAATATTTACCCCTAACGCTCGAAGGTGATAACGGACCGGGACCCTTTCCACCCTCGAAGGGGACCAATACTTGGCAATCTCTTCCGCGAGGGCAAGAAACCGACCCTCGAGGTGTATCTCGACCACCCTCTAATGTCTCTAGGCCTTTGGGATCTGTTAGACAAAGGATGGTCATACGACCCGGCTAAGCGACAAAACGCGGACGAAGTCATGGAAGCTTTGGAAGCTCTTCCTGTAACTCCTAGTGTAATCGAGTAGCGTCTGGCTGCTAAGTAATTCATGTAATATAACACACTGGCAGGCGTAATTGTTCGATGCCGTGTCCATGGGGTTACGATCGTCTTGTATTGCGAAGGTACTTACCAAGATCGGACAATGGACGTATGTTGCACAATTAGTGGCTACAAAGGTCCTTGTTTATACAATAAGTAAGTACTTAGCGCTGATACACTTCGGGTTTGTTTGGCTCTTATTTGGCTTAATGGGTCCACTATTACACGCACTGAACTTACTCTTCGCCCATGTCGTCTACGGCTCACTACCTCCATCTCCCGAATGCCACGACGTCTGCGGCCAAGCAAGAGCGATGAACCCGCGAGACCGCCTTCAGTTAAGACGTCTTCAACCATCTTTGAAGTTATCCCCTCACAGATACAAGCAGGACATTACTCGTCTAATCAAAATTACTCAGTATGAGATTCGGGACGGAATCATGGCCAGAGTGTCCTTGGGTACGATACGCAGAGGCAGATTTCACAAAGAAAAGGTGTGCCAGCATGCAGGGTCAATGTCAGGCAGACTCACCTTTTTCGTGTAGGTAGCAATCAAGGTGTTCAATGGAGGTTCGTCCTCTCCCTCCTTCACCGCCTCCCTGAAGAAGGTACTGCTATTCCATCGAGACTAACCACTACGTGCTTCTGACGATCATACTCCCTAGATGTTGGAAGAGTCTTCTCGCACTTGGAGTCGCGTCGATCACCCAAACCTAGTACCTTTCTATGGGGTTGCATACAGCCTCTTCTACATGCCGGCGCTGGTCTACCCATTTTACGCCAAGGGAAATATACTGTCGTATCTAGAGAACAAATGGCCCGGAGATATAGATCGTGACACCTCTGATAGATCAACGACTATACTCAAGCTTGTGAGTTTCCACCACATAATGAAGCTTTGCTTACCTTGCCTGCTCAGATGACGGACGCCGCCAAGGGACTAGAATATTTGCATGCCTTCGATCCGCCAATAATACATGGCGATGTTCGAGGTGTACGTTCCATATTGATGCTATTCTCGGGTTGTCTGAGTAAAATGGAGCACTTAAGGCTAGCATATTCGTCAACGACAATGATTGCGCGATGCTCTGCGATTATGGGCTGACCTTATCTATGCCCGAAGACCTTCCTGATCACGTCTTTGCAAGGCCCGTCGGTGTTGCCCGTTGGATGGCTCCCGAGATCATGTCCACGATCGCACACGAAGAAAAATACGGACCTCCGATGGGTCGCACCAAGCAGACAGATATTTACGCCTACGCAATGACGATCCTCGAGGTCAGCAACGTATTTCCTTCGTCGCGCCGCCTAATCCTTTCGTAGGTTTACACCGGACTCCCTCCATTCGGGCAACTTGTTACCGATGAAAAAGGGACACACCCAGTCGTCCGCATTGACGCCGATGCCGTCACCATTGTCCTCAAAGGCGGCCGGCCTCCTCTCTCTGAGAGCATTCGATCGAACGAAGTTCTTCGAGATCTCGTAGAGAGAGCGTGGGACATGGCTCCTGGGAATAGACCCGACGCCGCTGAAATCGTACGAATATTAGAACTCATGGCCCCCAAGGCCCCTGAAGAGGCCCACCTAGCTTCAACACTCGTTTCCCCTGGAGGGGCTCGTGTAAGCGGCAAGATTTATGGCGTGTTTCACTCCCTGGTCGTCAGTCCCTGGGGCCATATTCGGACTTCTGTCAAATCTGGATATGATTCATTACGGAGATCCTTACATTAGTGTACGTCTACCCCTTTTCCTATATATCACCATCTACTACTGTCGAAATATCCCTGGAGTTCATTCAATGGCATTCAACTTGGAGGGTCGCCGCGAGAGCTGTCTATGAACTCCGTCCCCCGACCGTTACACTCCTGTGCCCGACTACGCCCCCTCTGATATGATTTTGAGACTTCTGAAGCTTGGGGTAGAACCCCGAAGTTCCCTTGGATCCTTCCGCGCTGAGTTGATGAAGCTCAACGTGAGTATCGTTCGAATCTGCAGGCTGTATATATCATTGGCTGTTGCCTTCCGGAGATTGAGCAACATCCGGACGGTCAAGATTTCCACTGCAGCATGAAATGGGCTAGATGGCGAATCGTTGTCAACACTCGTTGATAATAACAACCGACGTCTTGTATCTCAAAACAATGTGTACTTACCCAAAACTAAACCAAGGAATGGAGTCATTGACACTCGCTACTGAGTAAAGGATTCCAGCTGATGTCAAAATCGTAGACACAGTGCCCGAAAAATCAGACGTCCGCCACCTGCCATTTTGGGCCGTTCGGCATGGAGTGCCGAGCCTCCGATCGTCAAGCTGCCGCCTTGGCCTTTGGCTCGAGAGTGTCGTATAAATTCTAGGAAATTCACAGAAAATTGACGATGAGCTTCTTCTGCTCGGGGTGAATGAAGCGATAATTCCCCATGACAGCAAGAGAATGTTGTTGCACATTGTGCGGCGCGTTGTGCTTGGACGCGTTCAATCGGAGTTCAAGTTTGCTTATGTCATTTGCCCAAGATGGCAAGTGGCTGGATGTCCGGTTTTCCGGGCAGTGTCTACGATTTTGACATCAGCTGTCAAGTGAGACTTACCACATCCATGAGGTTGTTGAAAACCAAGATACATGCGACGCTGGACGACCTTTGTGAGCATTGTGTGAAGGAGAACCGGTTCCGGGTAGAGAGCATACGCAGAGAAATATAGCAGATTGTCTCGGACCAGCAGGTGTTTCCTCTGTGTCTCTTGACAGTGCACAGCTCTGGCGATAGCCTTGTATACCGCAAAGCTGAACAGAATGCCTCCATATACTGTAGCTTGATAAACGTAGGATAGACACATTACAGTACAGTTACTGATTCTTCATCAATCGAGAAACATATCTGTACTAACGTAGATAACTGGACAACCAGGAAGGGGCAGACGGACTGCGTCCGCGATTAGGGCCTCTGTTCTGGTCACGTTGTGGACTAGGATGTACACCCAACCTGCGACAGACCCCAGAAATAATATTCTGTTTACCACCGCAACCTAGAACCATTGTCAGTCAACTATCATCAAAGGACAGGCGAATAAAGTATCTTTTTGTTTGCTCCAAACAATGCATAGATGCGCAGTTGCAGTATTATTTCAACAGACCACAAAGAGATAGACTCAACTATTCGCGTTACAGGGTTAACTGCCAGGCACTAAGGTATAGGATGTAAGTTCGGAGTCCCAAGTAGCACGTTGTCGACAGGCACTATGTCAGATGTGATGCATTTGGACGGGGTCGAATACCAGCAAGAAAATTGAATAACGGAGCCGGCTCACCCAAATACACCGAATTTCGTCCTCAATAGTAAGAACGGTCAACAATTACTTTAGCATTAGTTCATGTAAGTGCTGCCACTCACAGTAGTCATGAAGGATCCATGTCAAACAAGGAACTGGAGGATACGAAGGTGGGTGAAAGGACGCAATAAAACTTTGACTGACGTACGAACTGTTCGCAAAGGAATCAGCCCGCCCGCATACAGTATGATAAGGTTGGCTTCGCCCATCGGAGAGCGGAGTCGGGCGCGCAACAAAAGGACGACAGGGGGGGTGCGGGAATGATCGATATATTAGTTCTGGAAGATTGGGCAACCTACGTAGTTTTCCATGGTGTCTTGGTTTTATGGAACTAGGATGGGCGGCACCGGACGCAAACTACATGGTCAATGAACGCCAGGGAGGCATATGCCCCCCCATAAGAATGATGATGCGAAGAGGCACGTCGTCGCTCTCGTCCGATGCGCGCAGAAAAAATCAAAATCAAAGGAAGAACGTCAAATGTGGCGACGAAAGGTTGCCGTCAGTCCAATAACTGATGCTGATACGATGGGCGCCGTATGTAGTGAGAAGAGTGACGCCTGACATAACACGGTTCACCATACGTCGGTCGATACATTCAAGCACTGGAGATTATCGTTGGCATCGAAGAAAGTGAGCCCTTCGGCAGAGTTTTACCACTTTGCGCGTACTCGAAGGAAGGGGACGCAACCTTTGTCCTGAAAATCACTGGACACCCGAGTGCCACATTGCTACAGCATTGTCAAGCGTGTTTCCCAAATGAGTGATGGTCGTCATCGATGTGCATAATGTTGCCAGGCACTTCCTACACGAATACCCCTCGACATCAGTTGGAAAGAAGCGCTGGAAAAGACCGATGTAGCGATAGTTTTTCATTCGCCAATATCCTCCCCATATTCCAATTACGCCGGTGTCAAGTGTACACATTGCTCGATTAATTTCACTCGGGAAGTGCCCATAGGCGCGCCCAGGCATCCGATACGTGTGAGGAGGTGGGACATGGTGGAAGGAGATTCCCGAAGCCGAGCGCGGAAGCGATCAAAGACGTCGGGCGGTATCATCGGGTGAATACATGAAACCATGGTGTGGGACTCGAGGTGCATTCGAACCAAGGCGCTGGCGTGATGGTGAAAACAGGAAGGCCTGAGAGAATGCCATCCTCGAGAAGGAGGTCGGACATTTACCTTCGTTCTTGGGGACCCTCGTATGAACTGGTCTGGAATGGCTCTTTGAAGCTTAACAGCATCTCTTGACAATGAGTCGACGGTTCAACACGCGCATTGCTCGATTTGTGCTTCGGTAAGTCGCACCCGATATAAATTGCAGCGTGGCAGAGATCGACCTGACGGGTCGCCGCGTGTGTGATCGGTCGTACGACAGAACCTAGGTCCTTCTGTGGGGAAAGTGTTAATTAACTGATCAAGATTATCACCGTTGCAAACGGACGATTTCGAGTGAAAGGGAAATGTGAATTGAGGCGCCGTGGTCTTCGACTTGTAGGGTGGTGGTCTAGTGAACGAAATTGAGATGTTCAGAAGACTCCGAATTACATGGGTCATATACCTATTACAGCGTCGGCAATGGTCGATATTATAATACTGATCGAAAGTGACTGACGCTCGACGGAATGATCGGTGGTCCCGAGGGTAGTCAGAAATCGCGGTTTGCGATGCCTCATAGGGCATATTCCTGTGGAAAAAGGCATTCACTGACGGAGAGCGTTAAACCTGTTTGAACCCGAGTTAACCGCCGCCCAATCATATTAGGAGCGTCCTCACTTGGTGACGGCGGGCGTGCAATCCGCATGCTACTCCGATAAGTTGGAGCTCGGGAGTAACATGAGTACGATCGCCGATTCGCCACATTCTTTTGATGCCTATTTGACGGACGGAGTAATCATTGGGGCGGGGACAGCATTATACGCAGCTGGGAATAATCCCAAGTCCGATTCGAGATGCAGTGATTGACTAGTAGAAAACACAATTGAGGGCATCATCTGAAAGAGGAAGAGAAAAGGACGTGTCCACCGTTGCTCTCAAACTCTTCGTCTCAGTACACCAAGACAAGAGTGAATAGCGTGAGCGGCTCACGACAAGCACCTCTTGCCCAAGAATCTGAAAAAGGCAAAAAGCCACGCTCCCAGATCCAGGTCGAAGTTTGTGGGACGTTCAACCGGTGTATGTTACCTCCCGAACTCGCTTGATTCGGGGTCTGGGAGACGTTACTTATGGCTGTCATTTAGGCACTTCTCAACATGCCCGAGCTGCATGTGGATGGCTGCTTTTCGCACCAAGTTCACAGCCTGTGTTACTTGAGTGACTCACAGCGAGGGGCGCCAATGCAATCAACATCATCGATTCCTCGTGTCTGTACGGAATTCGAAGGGATGAAGGATGATATGAGTGAAACGTTCAATCAGTGTGGCAGAACAAGACGTACTGAAGAGCAATTCGGTAACTTCAGTGGCTACCACGACTTGCCTCATGCTGGAAGATAATTATGCAGAAAAGCGAGCCATTTGTGCAGTTCATCAAATGTCTCTCGGCACCAGTGTGGTGCGCGAATAGGAGTGAGGCGAGATACTACCTGAGAAACGCCACAGAGGGCCCACAAACCAGCCACCACTGGCACTGGCGACAGAACAAGGAGGAAGCGGTTGCATAGCTGAGCACCAAATAAACAATTGAGCTTTTGTAGGATTGTCTTGCACAAACAAGCTGCTTTGAGATTTTCCTTGTCGGCGAGGACAATGGCTTGTTGACAAGCCGAAAACGGAAGGTTACATAACGCGCAGTGTGGTTTGCGTTGAGCTGTTGTCGAAAATGGTTCAAATTGGTTGTCCTCGCCATGGGGCAATAATAATATACATTGCCCCCGCCTTAATCCACAACAACCATCGCTATCAACTGGCCACATTTTCAAGACCACGGCCCTACCCGTAATTTTGGGATTTTGCCTCATTCACGAACTTGTATAAATATCCACGGGTACGTTGTTCTCGGACTCGCAGCAAACTTCATCTTAGTTCCCTTCCTTCACCAGATGTCTTCAATACCTGTAACTACGGACTGCCCAATTCTCGTATGGATGCTTTCGTTGAATCGAGAGTACACGAAGGAAGTGAGTGAATGAAACCCTTTGTGTTTTTGCTAGAGGTGACTGACATGACGGTATTCAGGAATATGACGCCAGCTATCATATTATAAAGGAATGCGTGCCGCACGAAAACATTGTATATAACCCCCAAAATGCTGATACCTTCCGTGAGTACTCCGGCGCTCGTCGTTTGATCTTGCCTTACCGTTACGTATCGTCCCAGGACAAATGATGAAATCTATGTTGCCATTACTTATGATGAGACACAGGCGAATACCCAGGGCCAAGTGGCGGGATTGCGTCACTCCAGCTGGCAAGCATTGGATAGAACAGGTGCGGTTGTGCGACTCGTCCTTGGGCTTCTTTTTACCATCCAATGTCGACGAATAAAGATTCCGGATGATCTCCCTCCCGAGAAATTTCTTCATTCAATGATTGGATACCATCTTGCGACGGAGAACTCGTTGTGCGGGATGGCGATGACACAAGGAATTCAACGGAAAGTCGTGAACATCGGCTTGGGGATGAAGCAACTCATTGCCGAACCGCGGGGGGTTTCAGTGCGGGCGTACGTCGAATCCTTCGCACATAAAGTATGTCGCCTCCCATTTCGTGTTTCACCCATTGACTCCGTTCGTGCTCCTCAGCTTACCCCTCTGGAACTATCCCTAATGGCGCCAGAGCTTGGAGACGAAGTCATGCTACGCAGATTATGCATTATTATCTCCCTCAAACAAGCGTACATCAAAGCGATCGGCCAGCCAATAGGGTTCGACCTATCGCGTCTGGAATTCAACATTCCCCAGGAAACCGTCATCGGCGACGGCCACCCACTAACGGGTTGGGAATTCCGGATATTCAAAGCCAACCTCGGTGTTGCACGCAAAGACCTCCTCGTCGAAGAGCAGTACCAATGTGTCTGCGCCTTCTTCCGAGGGACACCCGACACCAAATTCATATGGCACGACTCGCAAAAGGAGCTGGAATCTTGGGTTCAATTCATAAATATCGACCAGATGATCAAAGTCATTCCCAAGCTAACCGCGTAATTCGCCATGCACACTACTTCTGCCTCCGCAACAAGACAAGATAAGACGAGCAACGCGTATTTATATTCAACTTGGCTTTCTGTACTACTTGCTGCTACCCACTCCGTTGCTGCCAGCGTTACCCCTTGGATTTGCTATATCATTTGTAAATTAAACCTACTTGCCGGTATAATTTGTACAATGCCTGCCAGTGTGCATTAGTATACAGATACAGATACTTTGATTCCGAAGCTTGTACATTGTTAGTTGCGACGATCCACTACTAGGCCAACCGTCAAAGTGACCCAGTTCGCGAGGAACTATTCTTAGGCAGTTCTGGAGTGTCTGCTGCAGCGTTTTGTCTTCAAGACCAGGTGCCCTGCGCTCCGCAGACCCCATGACGATCGAGATAAGATAAGATAAGATAACAACTACAACACCCTTGCTTAGTCCCTTTAACTGCTATATGCTGTTGTTGAATCTTTCTCTGTCTGTGGCATTGGGGGTCCAGAGTAATGGTACCTCCCACCTATAGCAAGCATCATCATTATCATACTGCACATTCAATGGCAATAGACCTACTGATCATATACCAGACACCGCTTATAGCGCCGAACCCTACAAACACAGCAGAGGCATAATCTGTGACGGCAGCGTCGTAAGTCCCCATTTATAATTCTATAAAGTTTGGGGAGGACGTACTCATAGAAGATCTAGTCACTGGCAGCGTTGCTGGCATGGAATAGATAACAACCAAGAACAGCGTCCACAGCACGGCCAAGACATTCAGCGGAACTCCCCACCGTCCTAGATACGCAGGCGCCCCTTTGACATGTGTCCTACCATGCATCAAGTTGATCGCCACAGGCATGGCGTAACTAGCGCCAAGACAGGTTGCTGCGACGCCAACGAAGGCATTGAACGCCGCGCTAGATCCTAGGTACAGCAAGCCCAACAGCACCTGTATGAGCGTCGACAGGAGGAAGGCGTTGAGTGGGATTTCGGGGAAGTAGGAAGATGGATCGTTGTTGACGCGAGAGAAGATGCGGTGGAAGGGAAGCGCTTTGTCGCGGGCGAACGCCCAGGTCGCCCGAGAGGCAGCTGTACATATTGATATAGCGCAGAAGACGCCGACACCGAAAACTAGACGTAACGGCATGCTCGTCAGCGCATTCATGCAAATGTAGGTATCTCTGGAACGTACCGATGAACCACTGTATTGGGGCGTAGGTAAGAATGTCACATCCATGCGTCAAGATAAACTCAGGAGCGTACCATGCCAAATCCACCAGCCTCGGAACCCATAATCAGCGTAAACATTAGGCCTGTGGGTTGGGCGCCATTTCCTGCGGGCGATAAGCATCAGACCACACTACCTTCCGATTTGTGGCAAATAAACAAACTAACCTTCCAACAATGCTCCGATATCAGGGAGCGTAAAAGCTATTGGGAGCAAGAACACAAGACCCATAATAGCCGAGATGGGAACCGACCAGGTGATCGCTTTAGGTACTTGAACGGCGGGATTCCTCACCTCTTCTGCCATGCTGGCAACTACGGTGGGCGCCTGAGGTCACGATCAAAGCAGAATAATGAAGGAAAGCGTACTCATGCCAATCGCAGAGAACGTATACGCTAAGAAGTAAGGCTGCCTTGAGTAAATTCTTGGCGGGTGAACGTATTGTCAAGACTGACCTGGCTATTGACAACACAGTTCCAAGTCAAGATAAATGTCAACACGAATAGATGATGACTTACAGCCAATAACCCTATGAAGAAAGACCATCCCGGCATCCAACCAGACGGGGACGGATCGAAATGCCCTAGCGCAAACGATATTGGCCGCCGGCCAACAGCAGCCCGTGCAGAAAGGGAAATCAATATAACTTCAAACGGATGCCAAAAATCGGTAAGTAACGTTGCGACGCTCAAAGATTATAATATACATATAGCCTACCGATGATGCCGACCATGGTCCAATATGCTGAAAGCAACTGAGGAAGATAGATAATTGGGATGATCAGCGGATAAGGTTGAGTGGATGTAGACTTAGACTTCGCCACTTACATCTAGGGTAGGAAGAGCCTTATTGAACACTATACAAACGAAGCTGATGAAGGCGGTGAAGGCTAGAAATATCACATCTGCTCGGATGAAAATGAAAAAGGAGCGCAGAGATATATCAGTTATGTTCAGCGTAGCTCAGAGTCTCAGAAAATGCGTTTGCTTACAAGTTTGCCAAGCGGTTGCTACCCAAGTCGGATGGAAAATAGTCGCACCGGCGACGATGAACTGCGAGACACCTGGGCCAAGATACAATATAAAATGAATAGTTCTTAAGTACGCTTCTCACGTAGACGAAGGTAAGCGGGTCTTTATCTTCTCCCTCACTCACCAAAAGTGACACTTAGTGCGATTGTCCAGACTCCGACCATCGTAAGCCACCCATTAATCCATGAAAGGAGCAATCTAGAGCGCGGAGAGGCTAAGCGGAAGCACCAGTAATAGGCCCCCGCGGATGTTGGGTATTTCGAAGCTATTTCGGCGAGCGAACAGGCCATGGGCTGGGATAAGACACAAACGAGCAACCACCTAGGCAATTCAGGTGAGTTACTGATAGGATCAGGATCTGGTGTTGACTCTATCCACTAACCCCCATATCATAGTCACGGGCCCACCATTAACAAATGTCGTGGCTATGGGCGCCGTCAAACCATACGCTGAGAAAGTGAACATGAAACTTCGAGTGATCAATAGCGGGAAATGTAATCCCACTCACGGACGGCGATTATGGCTGGTGGTAACGTTGGGGTGTATTCAGAAATTGATACCGACCCAACTGTCAAGCGATAAGCTCATACCTAGAGTCACTGAGCAGGAAGATAGGAATGAGTTCACGACACGAAGAGTCGGCAATATGAGCTTACTGAATAGCATGTGGGCTAGACCACGATTCTAACCAGGGAGGTAGCCCATCAACAAATGAGATAAGTAGATGGTAAGCTTGAGTTCACCGACTTTGACCCTAGTACTTACTCGTCTCAGCTCTTGCTTGTAACCAAAGTTGTCCGCCGAATCGCTCTGAGTCATTGACGACTGTGATTGCTCGCTTTCTGCGTCTGGTGAAGGCGACATAGTCATTGGAGAGGTACAAGAAGTCAGGATAACAGCAGGCCGTGCTAATTCCCTGATGCCCCGTTATCAGCATTTTATATACAGTTGCATAAACCTTCCCATGGCCATGTCAACCACGATGGTTCTTCATAGCCTGGGAAGGGAAATTCTGTTTTTTGGCACCACGGTAGCATGATTCGCTCCTCGTATCGGTGAGGAGTGACATACTATGGAACTTCGGACGAAAGTGTCCTCATGTCGATGAGGGGAGCTTTATACAGTTTGGGCCTTGACTAGTGACCAGTGACCTCCGCCACTGATGTGTATCATAAAAAGCTTCAAGGTGTGACGGAGAGCAAGTATACTTCGCTGTGGAGAGCAATATGAAGCCGAATTTAGATCTCTGAAGCTTTTTGCAAGTGCCAGTAAGTATGAGGAGATGGCGGCGCACTTTGTGTTCATGTTGGATATGCTGAATTTGGTGTAAATTCAAGCTCCGACCCCGCACTCTGAGGAATCGGCTAGCTCACTTTAGTTGCTCAGCGCTTTGGTCTCCGCAACGTGAAGCTCGGTTGGGGTGTGTGGTCGACTTGTCGTTCATCCTTTCGTGCTCAGGCTGCAGTACTCTCTCATGAGAGGATGTGTCAGGAAGCCAAAGTCGGTTCCCTTGACGCTACAATCTCTCCGGCGCAGGTACTCCAGGCAAATGCTTACAAAAACGCATATCGCGTCTATATTATTGTCACTTCGGGCTCCATGGATGTCTCAACGTTGCAGGTGCGTCGAATAAAGGTCTCCCGACGCCATTCATTACGGCTTCGCGTCCGACTTACACACTCCAACCGCCTCCCTTTTTTCCCTTACCGTTGTGGTGTCGTTGTTGCCCGCTGTCACGGTAATCCTGCTGCTCGCCCACAGATTCCTTCATTATGCAACGAGTTTTTACTCGCCGCGGGAATCCAGTCAACAATTTCAGCGCCGTTTCATTTTTGAGATACCACTCCAGGCTATTCCGCTGTAATTCAGTCATGAGGACAACCATACGGCAGAGACAACTGCGAATCCATCAATCAACGAAGCGGCAGAAGGAACGTGAAAGAGAGAGAAAGATAACCCGAACGGCGACCTACGATCCCACGTACCCACAAACCACACGCGATGCGATGCAAACATTTTATGGAACGAACACAAGGGCGACGATGGAGGTGAGACAGAGAAACGGAGCGTAACGAGGAGCGTAACACGATCTTCGACCGACATAACTCGCTGAAGGAGTAGAAACATATGGAATAGGGAACAGGGGAGGAAATAGGAGAATAGAATCCGGAGACGAGGAAGAAACCTATCCAAGAGAAGCTTTAAACGGAGGAATGAAGGACAACTGCCTCTACCATCTGCTGTTGGTGACCCTTTGTGGTGCAACGGTTTTTTTTGTTCCATGCAATGACTCGCTTTGCAAAAGCATCGAGGATCGCCAGTGTCCTTCGGTCAAAAGCAGAACCCAGGTTAGTGAGGAATCCTATTGATTGTCGTATGAGTTTCTGATGCCATTGCAAGATTGGGGCAGTCTTCGAGTAAAATCATGTTCTGTTTAACATGCGGATCTGCACTCCATCTTATATGTAGTTCGGCCAATCCCGTTTAGTCCATCCAAGTAGTAGCTCGGTTAACACCCACACACTCGATTACTTGTCGTTTCAGCGCCCACCGGAGAACGGGTGCTAAGCTATGTCGACAACGGTTGTAGGGAGTTAACTCCCTTACCGTGGCGCAATCCTGCATCCACCGCACCAAACCTCATCTGTGTATGTCTCGCCACTTCTTTTGTTGAGTTGAAGCAAGTTTGTTACAGTGTTTGTGTTTTATCTAACATCTCTCCGAGCAGTTGCGCCACCCATCAGTGAGCGTCGTCAATGCAACCATTCCCATTGGCTAAATGCCCGGTCGGTGGTTTTGCATGACTATATACAGTGTTTAGTCTCCCACACCGCACAACGCGGATCGGTGGAACTGTCAGTGGACCCGTGTGCGATCACCACTCCGACGGTGTGTCGTATACTCAAGCGCCCCCCGGTTGCCCGAGAGATAACTCCTTGATGAGTCTACACCTTGGAGTTATTGGCTGACAATGGTTCATCCGAGGGCGATCATGCTGTTCTGGGGAAGTTCGTGGAAGGTGCAGTATATATGTCGCTGAATGTCTTGAGACATACAACGAATTTCGACTCCCACAATCTCTCAATTTCAATGGACGCTGCAAGATTTCTCAAGTTATACGAGGGGAATTTGATTCCGCTACGGACAGTCCGTATGTGATTCCATTCCGGATTACTGTGTTGATTCTCGCTGATGCATCTCGTGCAGTTGCTTGTTTAACTTGGGTACTTTATGATTATTGTAAGCTATGATATTCCTCCAACATGAAGGACAGACTCACTCCTTGGCTTCTGTAGTTCTTACTATCGAAGATGAGGTAGATCCGAGTCCCAGACCTTTGAGCTTTCGCGAGATTGACTGCATCACCTTCAGGTTCGGTACATATGGGTAGGCGTGCAATGGCACTGAGTATCTTGCCAGGGAGTTAATGATTGCGTATAGACGCAGAAACGATGCTTTGGAAAATTTATGTTCTTCTGGGTATAGTCGTCTTTGCGTTCAATGCGGCATTTTTCTTACACTATACGTGAGGGATAGATCCGATACTACACCATCTTCTTGTTGGTCTTCGACGTTGCCCAAATTCACGTTTTTGCTCTCCCTGGCGTTACATCCGACATTGTGTTCGTTGCCGCACACTATTCTTGCAGGAACCGCTGATCCTGACCAACGCCCCTTCCAATTTTAGGTGTCTTGCAATAAACCCTACTACACGAATCATTGGCGCTATCTCGCTGTGGTCTGTTGAAATCATCATGCAGCTGCGCATCTACGCCTTGTTTCAATCAAACAAGAAGGTAATGTGTCCATCCCCCTTGTCTGTTGCATGGGTTACTAATAAGCCACAGGTAGCCGCAGTCAATGGGATACTGTTTCTAGCATCTATCGCCGCGTTTCTCTATGTCTTGATTCACAATGTGACCCGGACGAAAGCTTTGTTAGCTGACGCAGTCCATCTACCCTTACCTGGATGCCCATCGGTACATCTCAGTACGGAATGGGCGCAATGGGTACCAGGTACGCTATCTCTGACAATATCGTTGCTCCAGATGGGTTGATGCGCCTCTCTAGCGACGGGGTACGAGGGCGTCCTGTTTTGTTTCGCAGTTTACAAAGCCGTCACGGAGGCTGCTCAAACCTTCAAGCATGAAAAGCGTATATCTCTCTACAGTATCCTCATCCGAGACAATTTGCTGTATTTCTTCAGGTGCGCGTTTTATTCTCAGGAGTTATGGTTTCTACGGCGCTTCGCTAACATACACCACATGCTACATAGCATATCGTTTATTTTGGTTTTCAATAACCTGATGGCTGTAGTAAGTCCAGGCTTTATGTAACGGCGTCGTTTCATTGACCTCGTTAAATCCGCAACAGGGCATCACCAGAATCCCTTGGTTTAGCTTTGGGTGAGTGCATGTCGAAGTGTCGGTTGACATGGGCCGCTGTGTTAACAGCGCTCTATCATTTCAGTCCGTTCCACGCTGCCGTCGGAATTCTGACTGTCCGCATGTTGCTGAATCTCCGCAAGGCAACGGCCCACGACGTCTATACTATAGGCTTGACCGACATTCATATTGAAGGCCTTGGGCATGATATCCACAAAGGAGGACAGCCGACTCCTGCTGCCCTCTCCACACTGAGGTTCACTGGCTCTCCCAATGCATCATACGCAACGACAAGTGCGAGGAAGGATGGTACTGTAGGGGCAGATGACCCTTTGTTATCAGGAGGCTCGGATTAAGCAACGGCTATCATTGACTATTTATATATTTATAACCTAACTTCAAGCATTTTGATAGGGACAAAGAGCGGTGTGGTAACATGTATGTATTAATAAAATGTATTATTCAGGAAGAACCAGAATATGACCCAAGGCACGAAACACAATACAGAAGGCTAGAAGTGCATGATTAAGACAATGTAGCGTGATTATAAGTTGTCTATGCGGGGATCTATGCGCATTACGGCTGCTGTGGGTTGGGTAGGAACTATCATCACTCGAAGTTCCAGTTGACCTGGATTCTGCCGACATCCGGATTCTCAAGCGCTTGGAACGCTGAGGGAGATAGATCGATACTATCCCCGGCGCATCCAGGGCAGAGGTCGACGACTGTGGCATCGATGAATTTCCCTCCGTCTAGGAAGATGCCGCGTTGAGTCCTGAGAACCCTGAATCACGGAGCACAATGCCTACAGTTAATGCCAGTGTGGCGGAAGCAATTGGCACCTCCAGCAAACTGGGCAGGAGAAAGCGCAACAATGAGATCCGTGGGTTGGCTGACGGCGCCGCAGGCGCCTAGTCCTGGAGCGAAGAACGTTGCTGTCGCCGAAGTACATCAGCATGAATGGGGAGTGTATGAGAGAGTAGATTATACCGTCTCCTGCGAATGCATTGGCAGTCGCCGAAAGTGCAAGGGGAATCGTGGCGATTATGGCCGCCCACATAATGCCGGAAGAGGTGCTGTACTGAAGTGAGTACGTACCGCGTTGGATGAGCATATTATATACGATTTTGACCATCCTCTGCATCAGAGCCTCGGCATTAGTATCCAAGCTCTCATAGTGAGCAGTATGTCGAGACTCGGGGCTTGGTGATGATGATGCATAGCGAATGCTACCTACGTGTATCTCTCGACTATGATCAATAGCGTTGATAAATCCGGACACTCGGCGACTGATTCCTTACAGTAACCAATAGTCCATGGTGCGGATAGTACAACATCGGACTGCAATATGACAGGTAATTTGACTATACCTAGGTCTCGACACAACCTCATCCTCGTACGCGCTCATGTGGCTCTTGCCATGGCACGCCCAATATCCTGAATATTTCTTGTTCAGTCTCCGAAGCTATCAATGACCCTAGCAACTTGACATCAGAGGAAGTTAAACAGAACAAGATATGAATAACCTTTATTGGTTTTGATCCGTCGGTCTTGGGGGTCGCGCACCACGCCGGAATACAGCCCTCTTTGGTTGAGTGAGTATCCCATAACGTTAGCTTTATATCTCATTGCCCGGTTGAACTAAATGAAAACTATGAGGGGCAAACAACATGAACAGTTAAGAGACATACGATATCGTCGCCCTGCAAATTTGATCAGAAAATGACATGTTAACTAGATCAAGCAGCGCTCACCGTATAATATAGCAACGCTGCGCCGCGAGATGTCCAGGGAACGGTCAGAAAGTCAATTCGCCGCCGCCGAGAGCCTGGCTCGGGGAGTCTACACAGACCGCGGTAAACGTTCTCTTCGTCATCCCCCTCTGGAATTGCCAAGTCTTCTGTTATGATTCCGATTTCGTGTAGTTTTGATAACAGAGTGGGCAAAACACCTTTAAACAAAGGTTTAAGAATTCGTGGAAAGAACACGTATAGATGAAAAATCACCAGCATGTGTCTTTCCGTCAGCGGGGTTGCGAGTAATCAGTATATCGATATCCCCACAAGTGGACTTCCCTCTGTAGCACTAGTATCAGACATCGGAGTTGGGATAAGTTCGGGTGTTTTCACCTTCGATAGCTACCCATGATGTCCACAAATAAATCGGGGTCAATATTCAGCGCTGAGGAATTGGTATATCAGTGGTGAGGTAAATTGTAGTGGGAGATAAAATAACCGATGGGCTTAATCAGATCGAAGAGGGCTTTGGCCTCATCCCTAGGCATCCGGGCGTTTATGTCTATCGGAATAACCGATTTTGAGCAAATGCACAGTTAAAAATAAAAATGTCGTTGTACCATCGTAGAATTTTAACCCAATTTCCTGAGCGGGAGAAAGTTTTACTCCGCTTTTGCCGTTCTTCAAATCCTCAAGTGTCCTACATCCATTAGCGTACCATTTTTGTGCTGTAGATTGCCCTGCATTGCTGGGTTGTATCAAACTCTTAAAGAAACGAGCGCGAACGTACCAACACCATACACTCCTTGGAAGAGGGAGCATACCTCTACGTCTTCTGTGCGTTCATATCCAATACGCTTCAAATCGCCGGTTTCCAGAATCTCCATGATCTGCCAGAAATTGTCAACCTTCCAGTTCATTACGACAATGAATTCATCAACCTTTCGCGCCGTCTTCTCACCCACACCGCGAATGGATCTTGCTTCCTTAAATGATTTGATGCGGGTAGGATGGTTGCGCAACGCCCTTAGACCTACAAAAAACGAATCCTGTTTAACCTTCAAGCATTGGCACAACTGAGGAGAGGCGTGCATTTTCCATAACTAAAGACCCGCCATCTGTCTTCTACGCTTGGCTTGGCTTTATGAAGATTCATCAATTGTTGGATCTATTCGAGGGTCAGCTAGGATGGAGGGGACGCCTCTCATTTACCACACCTTGTCGACAACATCCTGATTCGGACTCGTGATTAGTTGAGGTTCCTTTCTATCGCACGCGAATCCCTGCGGCGATTTTTGAGTAATTAATATCATAGAATAACAAATATCACTGACTCTCTTGATAGGAGGATGCGATGGCTTGAAATCTTCATCATCAGTCCCTGGATCACTTTCATCGTTGTCCTCGGCCTCGGTCCCAGAAGGAGCGGAAGACTTGTGTCATGCATGAGGTAGATAGGAACGGAGTATAGCTGGCCACGTACTTCTCCCTCGAGTTCAGCCTGTGCTTGTTCGTAAAACTTCGCGAACGGGTCTTCCTTATTCAAGCGTAAGCTGCCTGGTTCTGTGGACGCTTCTAAATCCGACCAGCGTGGTGAAGGCGAATTACCCCCTGATGTTTGAGGTTTTGAACCCTTGGGGATAGTTGGTGTGAACGACCTTAAAGATACAACGCGTGGTAGTAGGTGAACCGATCTGCTGAGGAACGACATACGAGTTACGGCTTGAACCATTCTCTACACACTCTCCTTCAATTTCATTGAGATCAATAACAGTATCACCCTTAGCCACGCGCGAAGGTTGTTTGCCCCTTCCATAGGTTTCCGCATAAAAGCTGACTTCGCTGTTGAAAGCAGCGTGTTCAAACACGTCGTCAATTTCAATTTCCGATTCATCTCGACTTTGATTGTTGGCTCGCCGCTTCCTCCCAAGCCCCGCTGATACCCAAGTCCATGTAACAATGGGAATGCGCTTCGGGACTTCTCGCAGGGATTTCACGCCAAGGGCGCGTAAAGTCGACGCTTTCACTGTATCGGTAACAATGTGGGTAAGACGAGCAGGATCGTAGGCAGGGAGGAGGGTGCCTCCATGTCTGACAATCTGTACTTCGTGTGAGGATTGATGGTGATATTTCTCCGAGAGCAGGGCACGTACGTAATCCATGCGGCCACGGGTGGACTGGCTCGCGTAAATCATATCACTTCCGATGTAGAAGAAGACCTTTCCTTTGAGAAATTGAAATTTATGCTCTTTAGGCTTTTCGGCTCTAAGTAACATCTTCTCTTGAAGCGAAAGAGCGTATTCGTATGGGGTGCATTTGGGGCCTTTCTTGCTCTTGTCCTTGGTCTTTGTTACGGATTTGGCCACCTTCGCGGATGCTTTGGCGGGGACCTTCTTTCCCTTTGAAGGGCCTGGTTCCGCACAATCTACAGTGTCGGCGGTGCGTGAGCTCGACGATAGATCTGCTATAGATGAGGGTCCTGCTTCAGGGTGTTTCTTCGCGCGGTCTGCTAACTTTACCACTTTCGTTCCTTTATTAGTGGTCGCGTGGGCCGACATCTGGCGCTCGACACCTTTCAAAGGGGAGTCAGGGCTGGCCTTGCGGGTTTTTGGTTTGTCATTCGATGGCAAAGGTGTGGGCTCTTCAATGGGTGAAGAACTCAGAGCTGCCGCTCCTAACTTGCTACTCACTCCGCCTCCCTGAAGCTGCACAAATTGTAGAGCCTTCTTCGTTCCATTTTTGCCGTTGGCTTGCACTTGTGGCTCCTGCCTGGCGGAGCGTTTGTTCCCAATGCGGCGCTGTGGGGACTGGGGTTTGGTAAAACCGACCGTCGGTTCAGTGAACCTGCAACATAATAAATTGCGTGTCTACCATAGCGGAGTAAATACTTGACTTACACGCTTATGTCTTCGGTGACATCAAAAGGTGCAGGAGACTCAGACGCAAATGTATCCTCCCTGCACGTCGCGTCTTGTGGAGCTTGGGCCTTGGCATCGTAATTAGGGATAGGTTCAATGTTGAGCCTAGCGCTTCTCAGAATTGAATCTGTATGGGGGTGCGCGGTTACTCACTGGAGAGCGCACTTGAATCCTTCTGGTACACGGGCCTTGCTTTGTTTTGGGGGCGCGGGAGAGGTCCTGGGTCGTTTTGAACGGGATTCTATATCGTCGCTAGGAAGCCGTTTCCGCCTACGTAACCAGTTATGATGGCTAGGTTATGTAGCTTTGATCTAGAACATACCCGCTCGTTGGCTTCGATTGGAAGGCCAGCTCGTGCTGGGGAACTGACTCAGCACCACCACTAGGCAATTTGACGGTGTCGTTGGGAAGTCCGTCCTCCCTTCCAGGTTCGCTGTTCGTGTTTCTGTCTATCAGGAGTGACTAGCGAAGCAGCACAGATACATACCGGTGAGACGCCGCTGGAATGGTAGCAATATGCGAATCTATGTCACCGTCAGGCATTCTCATGATTGCCTCTTGTTCTGCGAAGAACTGTTCAATTTCGTGCGCGTCCATCATGGTGGTTCTGAGTCAAGCCCGCACAACACGTCGCGCCCTTCAAATGAGTCCATGTGACCATCACGTGGTACACCCTGCCCCGCCCCTTCACGCCCCTATGTGAAAAATTCCATTAATTCATCAAGTTGGAAGTATGTCCCTCCTTACGGGCACACTACAACGAATGGAGTAACTTGGCAATCCGAGCCGTAGTACGATCGCACCCCCTCTCGTCGCACCTACACCAGGCGAGCCATGAATTCGGACCGTGGCAACATTCTCTGCGGTTTCTCTCACCGATGTTGTCTCGTGGTACTTGCAGCCACTAGTGCGCTTCCGGTAACAGCTACAACTCTTGCCTTAACGCCTCGTTGCGCAATGCGAGACCCTTGGCAAACCACCTGGGGGTAGAGCTCCGATTTCAAAAATGACTTATATCGACGGAGAACCAAGCTTCGATGCGTTTATAGGCTGCATCACGAGCATCAAACCCCGGCGATGAATTCTCCAGGCTGAGTATCTTTGCAGGACACCGGTGCTTCGCTTGCGGTACCTTGTAGCATCCCCCAGGGTGGGGACACAAAATGTCCTAGCACTTATCAATCGGCGAAATTCCATCTACTCCCAATAATTAGGCACCCAAGAGCGTGACGGTCTTAGAAACGGTCCCAGCCTTTATTGTAACCACGGTTGGAGATCTGCCCCTCGAAGAACCGGGAAGCGGAGAAGAATTCTGGTGCTTCTCTCTGCCCTGAGGCTTGATCCTAAAGCTATTAAACCGTACAGAAACAACTCCGCCGCTTATTTATGCCCACAAGGATCCATATAATAACACAAGCTACAACAATCTCAACTGGTACTCGCCAACCTACCATGCCCGCCAGAACTGCTTTCAGCACTAGGGGGCTGCAAGGTTCTCGTTTTGATGTTCAGTCCTGGACATTTCAACCTGACCTCAACTGGGCAGACGGTCAAGACGAAGATGACGAAGATAGCACTGATGCTTTAGAAGGCTCGTTGGTCGAAGTGACCGAGTCTGAATTTCCGTCGTATTTCAGTGAACGTGACGGAAGACTCTTCCATTCCCATGGCGCCTCCCCTTATCCACTGCCTGTGGATGCCCCGGAACAACGAGTACGTGCTATTTTTCCTGGTCCTAACCGACTGTAAACTCACAAATTGGCTCGGATCACTCGTAGCGATTGAACGTCCAACACAATATCATCAAGATATTGCTCGGCGCCAACTATCGTGGTCCGGTGCCCCAGGCATTGACCAACGTCCCTGATCGCCGTCGACTGGTCGTCGACCTCGGCTCCGGCACTGGGAAATGGTTGCTTTTCCGCTTTGTGGACTCATACATAGTTTAATCTATTCCTTTGCAGGGTCATGGAAATAGCAAGGCAGTTTCCTCATGCTAACGTTGTAGGCCTCGACATTGGTGAGTCTTCGATCTTTACGGCCCCCACGTACGTACCAACGATTTGATCTGGCCAGTGCCTATCGGGACAATGTACCCACTCGACAACGTGTCTTTTGAGGTCCACGATATGAACGAACGATTCCGCTGGGTTGATGGAAGCGTTGATGTTATACATGCCAGAAGTATCTCTATGGCAGTACGTCACAATCTGTGTTCTCACAAGCTCATTTGCTGATAACGGAGGATTCTCGTTTCCCAGATTCATGATTTCAAGGCATTACTCACGGAGGTGGCCAGAGTCTTGCGTCCTGGCGGACTGTTCCTATCATCCGAATGGATTCGCGCCGCCTGCGTTCACCCCAACCTCGGCGTAACCCCAGAGAGCCATATCCCAAACCTCGTTCGGTTCTTCGAAATGCTTCGTGCCGCCCTGGCTAGTAACTGTGGCACTCGCAATTTAGCGCCTCACGTTCCTAATCATCTGTCCGCGACAACACATTTCGTCAACATCGATCCGTGCCGAGTGTATGTGCCCATTGGCCCTTGGGTAGATGATCCAATCATGCGCATGATTGGCAGGGCTTATCGCAAGGCGTTCAGAATCTATGTCGAGTCAGTGAAGCCGATCTTGCTTGGCGTCTACGGCGAGGAGCTTCAAGAGGTGTACGATGGGGTCAACGAAGAACTGAGGACTAGGCGAGGCTTAGTGGGCATTATGCATGTGGTGTGTGCTGAGAGGGCGTAGAAAGGATAGTCCAGGCTGTATGTTTCCGAGTCGACGAACGTGAGGTGTTGGTGTGATATGCGATTCGCATGTATCCGTTGCAACCTCGCGTGACTAGCCTGTCATGAAGGAGATTCGAATATGCCGGAAAGATGGGCACATGAGCGATTGAGCGCTGAAGACGTCAAAATGGAAACACTCACGACTTGACATGGGTATGGTTAATGGTGCCACTAACGGACACTATCCTAATCACTTCTTCTTATCCCTCACTATACATTCATTGAACGTCTGTTCAGTGTTGAGCGCGTTGAAACCATCAACGAATTTGAACGCGTTTGCAGATTACAGTGGCGCTATGGATGAGTCTTATGAGTATAGGATCCTGTGGTAACCCACCTTCTCCCTTGGGGTACGTCTTTTCGTGAAGACGGTGAGGCATAATCTTCAAGACGACGCTTTGTCCACAAGCAACGGTGGTCGAATCATCCAAGAAGTAAATACGTGTTTTTGTTTTAAATAATAGTGGGACATAGATTTCCCACGGTAAGAAATGGACCTTACCAGTCCGTTAGCACGGGACTTCCCGGGAATTGAAGCAATTCAAGTCGGAGTTAGACGAAATATACTACAAGTTTCTGCTCATCGTCTCCCGCAACCTTCGTGATGCTTGCTTCAAAAGCGTCGGCAGCCCGCAGCATTTCGCGCATAGCGCGCTCGTACGCCACTGCAATCGACACCGCTGGTCTGAAAGTCGCTGCAGTCGACCCGAGCCAACCTACCGCCGCTGTTACCGTTGTGGTTAAGGCCGGAAGTCGCTATGAAACGAAGCCTGGTGTGGCTCATGCGCTGAAAAACTTTGCTTTCAAGGTGAGTGTGGGTGCGTGTAATACATCTAGTTCTTCTCACTTTGTTGTCTGTAGAGCACAGCGAAGAGGACGGCCCTCGGGACCATTCGGGAGAGTGAGTTGTACGGCGGTGTCCTCTCCGCGTCGCACTCGCGCGAGCACCTCGCTTTGACGGCAGAATTCCTTCGTGGTGACGAGTAAGTAAACTCTTGCACGTCAATTCAACATGTCCGTTGACCCGCCATAGGGAATTCTTCGTCGATGTCCTCACGTCGTTCATAACTTCCGGCAAGTTTACCCGTCACGAGTTTGAAGAATACGTCCAACCTGTCGTTGAGAGTGAATCCCATGCCGCCACTTCCGATCCAAGCACTCATGCTATTGAGGTCGCCCATGCACTTGCCTTCCGTTCCGGCCTTGGATCATCCCTATTTGCTTCACCACATAGCAGCATTACTGCCTCCGACATTAAATCATACGCGGCATCGGCATTTTCCAAAGGCAATATCGCTGTCATTGGTTCTGGTATTGATCAATCGTCCCTCGCGAAGTTGGTGGAAAAGGCTTTAGCCTCGGCCTCCACTTCTAGCGCCCCGACCACCACCGCTTCTTCGTATTTCGGCGGGGAGACACGTTTGGAAGCCCACTCGGGCGCGCAAACGGTGTTCGTTGGGTTTGGCGCCGCAGGTGCTCCTACCCCAGAGCTTGCTACTCTTGCTGCACACCTCTCGACGCAGAGCTCCGTTAAATGGTCAAAAGGACTCTCGCCTATCGCAGCATCAATCCCTCACGGCTCGAGTGTACAATCGGTATACCTTCCTTACTCTGACGCCACTCTCTTTGGCTACCTCATTCAGAGTTCTACCCCTTCGGGCGTTACGGAAGCTGGGAAGATCGCCATTAAAGCCTTGAAGGATGCTACCAGCGCTGGTGGCCTCAAGGCTGATGATATCAAGAGAGCAGTTGCGAAGGCAAAGTTCGCCGCTGCCAGCGCTGTCGACAGTAGAGAAGGTTTGGCCGCTTTAGTGGGCTCTAAGGTATCTATCGTTTCATCACGAAGACAAATCTTCCGAGATTGATGAATTTCTTCCCCATAGATCTTGAGTGGCTCAGAGGCTTCTCTCGACGCCACTTTCGCATCTTTGGATAAGGTCAACGGGGCCGGAGTATCAAAGGTAAGACTGTTCAAAGATTTCGTTCAAACAATATCTCACTGTCGTATCACAGTTGGCCTCGTCATTGATTGCATCCAAGCCAACATATGTTGCTATCGGTGATGTCCGCGCTTTGCCATACGCTGACGAATTAGGGCTTTAAAAAGCATTGTGCTAGTAGATGAGTTTTCGGCGCAATATATACACTCTTAATACCTAGCTGAAACCCTGGGGCCGCGAGCTCGGATGCTTACAAACACAAGCAATATGGTAAGCTGCTTGTCCAGCAACTGCGGTTGAACCTCGCACTACACGATTGGATGATGCCCATGACTCGACGGACGGGGTTTTTGCGTTTCCTACTGCAACGCACGATCTCCTTGATCATCGGTCGATGTTGATTCATCATGACTATGTTTGGTTCGCTTCCGCAGCTCTGAGGAGAAACTATGCACCGCAACTGTGCACCTCTCGATCCTTATAAAATGGCAAAGCTTCAATGTATGGTCCACATCAACAACTCACATAGTATTCCTTCGTTCACTCGCTCTCATAATACAACAATGTCGAAGTCTAGTGTTACATCATCCCCTTCTACGAGCTCTCTGCAATTAACCACATCATCCGCGTCGAGCACAATACCTCTTCGCTCCTCGGTAGCTCGGAAGGATTACTCCGCAGCCTTTGGTGCCCTGCAGTCGACATACGGGATGGGTGCTGGGCAACTGTCTTCATCGATGCCTACTCCGAAGACAAAACCCTCTAAACCCTTTCAGCTGGGGTCACTATTCAGACATTCGGCCAGACCATTACCGACTGTGCCGGATAGCCATTCTACCGAGAATACGACTGCTCGCCCATCAAAAAGTCCCAAAGATTACGAGGCAGCCTTTGGCGCCCTTTCATCTTCACGAGGCTTGGGACAGCCTTCACTTTCGTCGGGGAATTGGTTACGAGACCGGAATGGAATGGAGGCTCGTTAGTATGAAGTGCTCTGAAACTTTGGGACAGGGTCCAACGAGGAGCTAGGAACAGCGATCTCATTGGTTCGGCTGGGATTTCACAGCCCGCTATTGGCTGTCTGGATGCTTGTCTTTATTTGCTCGAAAAAAAGCTCTTTCTCTTCTGATTGGCTGGAGTGAGCGCCTGACATCGCCAGACGCTACGAGTCAGTGGTCATGTGAGCCCCCTTGATAGCCCCTGATAGCAAAGGGCAAAAAGAGGGCACCCAAAACTAACCAGGGGCCGAATGAGGCCAACCGTAGGTTGGGCGATGAGGCCCAATTTGCAGCAGCTTGAGAGAGAGAGTAATTAGTGTGGGGATGGCCTACAATAGTTGCCAACATCCCTTATGCAGTGCAAGATGCCACAAAACAAGGTATGAAGCACCAAAGTTCAGATAGTTGCAATTGGGAATTCTGAACATGACCCAAATACATGTGGCCCGAGTGTTGAGTATGCTCCAGTCTTCAACGGTCTCGTACATGCCGTGCTGCTAGCATCGGCCCTCAAGCCCAAGTCATTATAGATGTTATGTTCGTTCCATTCATCTATTAATAGCATCGTACATTCTCACGTCTACTCTACAGAACTGGGCTATACCCCGATGCTTCTCAGCAAAATTGACCTATTTCGGTAGTGTAAGATAGAGGAAACTCCTTATGAAGTCTCATCATCAGTCTGGGGTGATTGTGAAGGGTTTCTATCGATACCCAGTGCAGCTACTATATACATACGCGTCTTTCTAATTTTTATTATTAGCTAGTCAATTCCAGTCAGCATATGCTCCGTGTTCTTTGGCTAAGACATCACCGTCTTGCGCGGTGGTACTTCTGAGAATGAAATGACCAAGACGACCAGTTGCACAGCCACCCATCGTTACGTGCTCCAGTCATTTTTTGAATTCTGCATTCGACCATCTAGTTCACTTCCTAGTAGAAGTACAACCAAAGGCACGGTCGACACCTCTCATGATGCACAGGTTTGCTCATTTGATCGAACGCGCCCGGCAGCAAGACGTGGGCGGAATTACTTTCCCCGCGACGACGTGCCCAGTTCCCCGTACGGAAGTATTGGGAAGGATTGATGGACCTTGTTGTACATCGTGTTCAGAAGACGTGCCTCGTGGGAAGGAGCCTGAAATATATCATGCTCGCATCTAAGTCGCTTCGTTCTACAGGAGACAAGGATAGCCACCATGTCGTCTTCCCCCGGAATCCATGATACTCTGGGCGCAGCATTCATTGGTTTGCTGTTTGGCACCACGCAAGTCTATTCCTTTCGAAGTGACGCTGTCTTCTAACGAAGCTCACTAGGCTGTACGGGATCACCATCCTGCAAGCGTACCAGTACTTTCTCAAGTACCCCAACGACACTAAGGTGCAGAAAGGATGGGTACGTCTTGTATCATCAGATATCACGGTCGATACCGCTAACACTTCGATAAAAGGTTGTCCTATTATTGTGTGTACATCGTCCCCTTCCCCGGCAACTCAGTTTCAACTGATGATCTGCTTAGCCTACTTGACACGGCGAACATAGTGTTCGGCATTCACGCAATGTACTTCTATCTCATCTTTCGGTTCGGGGATCTTTCGTCGCTGCAAACATTGATATGGTGAGTTGTGTCTTAACTGGAAATCATGCAGTCGCTAACAAGTATCTCAGGAGCATTAAAGTATGTTGCTCCCGGAATTCTGCAATGTCGAGGCTTACGCAGTGCTGACCGCCAGCCTTTCGGCGTCGCGCATGTCAGTTATCTTGGTTCCGTGCTGAGTGGGGTTACTGACCCTTGGCGCAGGTATTGGTAATATGGATCGTACAGAGGTCAGTTATCTATGTGGCGCGTTATGACAGCAAGGCAATTGATACCGTTCCAAGTCTGTACTTATGGAGAATATGGCGCCGTAAGTCACGCATACTGGAGAACTGGAGTTGCCGGACTCAACCCTAGCAGTCACGAACTCGCTGCGCCTCCCTACATGGATTGTCAGGGTTGTGATGGTACGTCGTCTTGCACATTCTCTCACTGAGAATGCTTCTCACTTATTTTAGATAGGGTTGGTTGTAATCGTCCTAGTAGGCCTCGGTACGTCATCAGTTACTTATAAGTTTGCCCATTATTCAAGATCCCTTCTAGCTGCCGGCGTTGGTAAGCGGGACTGTTTCTTCTAAAGTTGTTCGTTTGATTAGGCCCTCTCGCAGTATTTTTAGTCGAGCTGTGAGCTATCCTCAGTGTCTGGCCCTTTGGATCCTCACTGAACTATCGTTGCAGAGAAAAACTGCAGTCCATCCTCATCCCTCCCTCATTTGCCGTCAGTGCTCTCTCAGCACATCAATGTATCTTTTCTTAATGGCTTTTTCTGTGTTGTAGTGGGTGATATTGTTTCTGGGATGTCTTGTACCTTTGCTCGTTGATATGTCTATCGCGACCACAATGTTCTTCCTTCTGTGGTCACAGAAGGTTGACCTCCCGAGGTAGGCGTACATTGTTCGTCATCTCATATCTGCTAAAAATACCCACCAAGTCGAATGGACCGTGTCGTTGCGACGTTGGTTACATACATAGTCAGTACTGGTGTTTTAACGAGGTGTGTTTTCTATCTGTTTATCCAGAGCTCCGCTGAGCGTGGTCCTTTAGTCTTATGAAGCTCGTGTATCTCCTTATTGTGAGCGGCATCTTCACCTGTTTATCCATCTAATGACTTCTGATAGTTTTCTGCTCGACCCGACACCCTTTTGTTTTTGTGTGTAGAATTCTCGGGGACGCGACGTAAGTACTGTCTATCCCCATTTTAGCGTGAGCTCACCCAACGTTTAGTATACGTCAATTCCTACTACGCCTTGTAAGTATCCCATTCCTGAGCCTTTGGTACCCCTAATGCCTCCTATTTCAGGCTCAACGCCCGAAAATCGCTGCGGGATGAACTCGACCCGAGCCATTCAATTAACTCCCCTAGCGACATTCAAATTCGTTTCGCCCGCACTGCAGAGAGTCGTTATTCCGCGGTCTGAATCTTATCTAACGCTACTCAACAAAGATATCATTGTGGGAACTTCATGGAACATCGTGGACACTGATGTCCGCGTCTGCATCATATATCAGCGCCATCTGACTTCTCGTGGGTATCAGTGATTGTAAATGGATGATCTACTTGTTTTTATGTGTATCCGAATCGTGTGCGAAACCCGCTGACGCTCTGCCATTGGGCCTCTCCACCTGGTCCGTCATGTGTATCCTCTGCTTCTGTTGTTCTCTTGCGCGTGTCGAGCAGCAGTCATGCATGGTCTGTTCATATAAGATAGAAGCTACCACGGCCTTCGACGTCGCATCCCCTAGGGGCCCCTTCAATCCTTGCTATGTTGTGGAGCTCAGTTTCTTGCCTAACGGCGGTTTGCCTGCTCTACTCGATTTCGGGGACGAATGCTCAAACATGGTGAGTTCTGACTGATTTAATCTGTCGGCTTGCAACGAATACCTGCGGCGTGCACCAGGTGTAACAAGAATTACATGTCAACATCACCAATTGTTCCTCCGGGCGGTCAATTCCCTGTCCCACCCTCCTCAGCAACGCCGTTTCTATCCCTCCGATGCGCCCCTGCCATCCGCCCTTACTTGCCAGCTGACGTAGATTCGAGAGATGAATTCGCCGTTAATGCGATTCTCATCGATACACCAGTCCGCTTCGCGCAACTTCCAAACTCAGCTCCGATTACATCCACGTCTGGCTCTTCGTTGAGAGTGACAGTGGCCATCGATGGAAGGACTCTTGCTTCGGGCATCGTCCCTCTGAATGCTACTAAGCACGCTTTGTCTTTTTCGCTGAAGTCACTCAAACCACAAGCGAGTCCGTACAACTTGTCATGTACTGCTACTCTCGACTCTTCCCCAGCGCAAACCTTTCACGCCAGTGGCGCTTTGACGTTCCTACCCGACCCTCCTGCCGGGATAGGGTCAGTCACCAAAATGGATCTACGAACCGGAGCACTTCTTGCCCGTCCAGCTAACGGGAAAGGTGGTGACTTTGCCCCCGTCTTCCCAATTGGTTTCTACACGCAATTCGATAGCTATCTAGCCAAGAACTTGAGTGTACTGAATGAATTAAAGGCACAGGGGTACGCACATCATTCCAAGAAGTCTTCCTCCTCCTGACATAACATAAATCAGCTTCACCATTGTATGTGTCGAAACTAGCTCATTCCGTGGCAGTCGCGCTTACACCTTCAGGTCCACCCAGTTCCAACGTTCAGCAGCCCTGATGCGTTGAAGGCCGTTCTAGACCGCATGCAAGAAGTTGGACTCTACCTAATGTATGATATGCGGGGGTAAGCTTCAGTATGGTCATTGGTGTAAAATCTGCTGATCTTGCCATCAATAGTACATACATGAATGGAACCTCCGTTACTGCTCAAGTTAACGACATCAAGTCTCGGCCAAACTTGCTCTTGTGGTATACCGCAGACGAGCCCGACGGAACATCTGACCCTCTTTCGGCAACAGCAGACTCGTACGACCTGATCACCTCCCTCGACGGTGGCCCCTCTTCCTCTGCAGCTAAGACAGGGGGGATAGGGTACCACCCTGTCTCACTCGTGCTCAACTGCGAAAATTTCGAGTTCACTGCGTATACGTCGGGAGCAGACATTGTCATGCAGGTATGGACCCTTGACCAAGTTGCTAAGTACCGAATAGACTGACTGACAGATCACCATCTACAGGATACCTACATGATCGGCAATAACGTAACGTTCTCTTCTCAATGGCATACACCTTGTACCCCAGACTATGGCGATTGCGGGTGAGCGCAAACTTGACTGTGTTGTGCCACATACCCAATATAGTACCCTTCCAGATGCGATAATTGCCAAGGAGAATTTGAAGATATTTCTCGACGGATGGATGAATTTGCAGATCGCTTGTTTGTCAATGGGTGGGACAGGATGAAGGCTGTATGGACGGTGCCTCAAGCTTTTGGACTGGAAACATACTGGAAACGCTTGCCCACTGGCAAAGAATTCATTGTGCAATCACTCCTTGGTGTCAATCATGGCGGCCTCGGTATCGTTCCATGGGATGATCCCACTCCCGCAGACATCAAGGCTTCTGCATCCTTGCTAGCCCTCGCGTTACCCAAGATGACGCCGTTCATATTCAACCCCATTGCGTCCTTCCAGCGGACCACTCTGAATCGCGTAGATATCGGTTTATGGACTGTTGGAAAGGAGACGCTCGTCGTTGCCACGAATATGAACAATGCAGAAGTGTCGGTTGGATTATCAACCCTACCGGGTGGTGTGGGATCGGGCGTACGGATCGCCCAGGTCTTTGATAGCGCCGCCAGGACGAATACCAATAATAGCGGGTTTACATTCGAAGCTATTGGTAGTGGTGCTTGGGTGATAACGAGGAGGTAAGCCGATTGTCCTGGCTTTCTGAATTGGGTTCTTCATGAACGTGTGTTGGTCGCGTTGATGAATAAATTCACAATGACAATTGCCGATCAATTCCTCCTGTCCTCAGTGTGAACCTGATCTCATGACCTTGTGCTGCAGTGATGTGGGCTCAAGTGCGGACCCCGCTTCTCCAACGACCCTCGCAAACGACGGCCCGAAGGCCTTCTCGTGGTCATGTATATCGCTCGCTGTCACCTTGCTTTTTCACACTTTGCGCTATTTGTGAACCTATACCATGCAATTCGGACGCCCATTGCTTCTCCAATCGGGCGCGACATCGACAAAATGAAAAGTGTTCTCGTGGTAAGAATGAGTAAATACCATAAGGTCGTGACTATCGTGGTAGAGATTCGTGGGTGCTGATATAGTATAGTCTTCACTTTCCAAGGTTCTTGCGAATGACATTCTGCAAGGTTACGCCATCGTCCTGGGGAGAGACGGTCGAGCCTCGCTCTATTATGAATATTTGGAGTATAACTATGACTTACCTGATCTAGAGACCACGTGAAACAGCCTGCCATTCCGTTCTGCTTCGCAAAGAGAGCCTTATCTCCCAAACTCCACGTATCATCATACGTAACGACGGTACGGCGGGAGACGTTGTACAAGAACTAGAGGTGCATGTCAGAACCCGCCCTGCGAAAGAGGGGAAAGTCATACCGGAGTGTCGCTGCAATCATCCCAGGCTAAGGGACAAAGGATATAGTTTATATTGGCGGATCAGGTAAGCGAATCTCACCCATGGTATAACCAGCCCCTTGTCCGTAAGTACCGTCCGACTTCTTCACAAGTGCACCAGAGGCCACCAAAGAGTTGAATGGAATTTGTTGGCCAAACCAACCATTCAAGTCACCGCTAGCCTCGACCGAAACCTTCTGCTCCTTGGGTCGTGCATGTGCACCGTTCAAGAACTCTCGCTTCGATGCGTCTGCGGGACTATTCGCTTCTTGAAGGAGAAGCATATCTTCCGATGGCATCAAGCTACCTGACAGTCCCGTTCGTGTGCTTTGTGACACGTATCCGTACTATTTCATGGACACTCAGTAGATATCAAACGTTGCGGTGATGATGATACTCACGAGGGGAAGCCCAAGGAGTAGTTTGTTCGCAGGGAACCCCGCATTCTTCCATTGGGCTAGCGCGGCTTGGGCACTTGCCTGAGGCTGGCTAGATGTGCCGCACAGGTTACCTTAACATGAGGTCAATGACAGGAGGATACTTCCAAAGACTGATCTAGCGTACCCAGAGGAGCGTTGGGGCCTGGGTTGGATGATGCACCCCAGACATCATAATTCCTACAAGCAAACTCAGCTAACTCCACGAGATCAACCATGCTACTTACATGATGTTCACGTAGGTCAGCTGCGCCGCGTACGACGAAACGTTCGTTAACGGCTGCCCGTTTGCACCGAGCCAGGGAAGGTGTGGTACCGCTGCCGAAAGAATCTTCGAGGCGCCAAGGGCACCTCTTAATGTCTGGAAGAAACTAAGGAGATTTGCTGCATCAGCGCTGGAATGTGGGTTGCCCGCGCCGGTCGAATTCGGGTATTCCTATCAGTGATCAAGGCCATTAATATTTGTAACAGATCGACAAAAGTTGCACAATGGTACCCAGTCGATGTCAACGCCTGTTTCGATTTTCAGCTCAGGCGTCTCAAGACGTAGAGTAACAATTTACCATCAAGACCAAATGAATTAACCGCGCTTGTAAGCGAGTTCTTGAACGTGGTGCGGTTCGCCGAGCTGCTCATGGCTTGAGAGAACCATGTGCTACCACCCCAACCACCTGAGAGGATATAATGAATAGTAAACAGCTGGTTTGGTAAGTTAGGATTATGACTATAATATTCTTACCAACAGAAAGCACAATCTTCGTTCCCTTTCCGCTGTTTCGTGCACTTGTAACTAATCTGCGGAGAATATCTTGAGCGCCTGAGTCCCAGGTCAAGGTAGATGAAGAGTTCGGCATGGCAAATGCTTAAGAATCACAGCATGTTAGGCACTCCTTGAGGCTCCTAGTTTGGGGCGAGACGCACCGAAGAAGAGGATGTCAAACTTCGAGAAATCGATCTTCTCGGGTGGGTTACTGCCTGCAGACCAATCTGGGTAATATGCAGCAGCTATGGGAGTCGCCATAGTGTCAACTTCGTCTTCGGGTGTAAACTTGATTCCCGCTTTGCGAGAGAGCGTTGAGGGAAGGACGTCCTCCAAGCTAAAATGTCTAGGAGTGGCCGACGCATCAGGCGTGAGGAATGCGAGAAGGGCAGAATTGTCTTTGAAGTCATCGGAGGACAATAGGTCGCGAAGCCAGCTCGCTAATCCCGTCTTGCGTTCCGCAACGAGGGCGTCGTCCACCCACGCTGATGGGATGAACGTAGTGACGAGGAAACGTTTGGGTGGGAGTGTGAACGGGTCGTGAAGCGAATCATGGAGCTGTACGAACTATGGTTTCGCTATTGTCAACCAGAGAACATCGAGGATCCACACTATTCCTACCTCTGAGTAACGCTTATCTACAACTCTACGTTTGCCATCGATGTTGACTTGAATGGAATAGAGGATATGGGGCCTAGGGACAGAAGCGGTCGTGTGGCTGATGATGGTGACTGAAGGAGGCATGGCTAGATGAGTTGGGAGGTCAACTCTGCCACATAATACTTATACGCTCCAAGCGTAGCGATACCGCCAAAGGGGACGCAACGAGAAGTAGGAGCTTATCGAGAGTGTACCTGCTTTCGCTGACGGTGGCGAGTGTGCCGCATGGCACAGGTGATGAACTGAGAAGCACTTTGTTCCAGTTACACCTATGATACTATCACAGAGTAGCCACTGTTATAGGAGAGAAAACGTATTGATAAGGAAACATCGTACTCTTTCGCTTTCTGGGCAAATGTCTTCTATTAGATGGAAGCAACCCCCTGGGAAGCGTGTAATGCTGGCAGAATGGCGAACAACGGTGAGAGCGTGATCCTGTGTCCCGACTCGGCTCACATTCCACTAGCGGTGGTCGATGCGAGTCTGGCAGGACCACGCCTGAAATCGATATTTCAGGTATCGTTGGCATTTACAACAGCAGCGGCCCGAGGGGCAGGAATTGATGGTCGGTAAAACACTTACACCTACTACATCCTATGTATAGACTTGATTCAGAGGGGTCACGCGTGGCACGTTGGAGACCACTCACCATGACACCGCGAAGAGACGAAAGTAGGTTCAAACATTGATTGGGATGAAAATGAACTGTGATCGCCAAGCTTTCGTCAGTCAAACACAACAGTGAACATTTCGTGAAGTCATTAGTGTCGTTACAGGTCGTTTAGCTATACGTCAAGTCGTTAACCAAAAGATAATAATGATCCGAGAAAATAATTAAAATAAAGAACTCCCTTCTTCACAGCACCCAAGAAATCACAGCACCAGCAAACCAAGGGGTATAGGCAGAACGTATAAGAGGTTCACCAGATAAGATTCGATGGCGCTGTTTGAAGGCACAGCTGTTGGCGTCGGAGTCGGGCTGGCCGAGGTTAATTCACCATTTGCCCCAGATACATTGCCCAGGATGCTGCTCGACATGCCACAGATGGTACGCATGCCATCCAAAACGCTCGGGAGATCCGGGGTATCGAGTACGTCCGTTTGGTTTGTTCTTATGAAACTGTATAGTGACCAATGTCCATAGTCAGCGGTGAAAAGGCACATCTAAGCCACGATGTACGCACCAGTCCACGCACTGTGGAAAGGCCGCTTGAAATGTATCCTATGAATGTCGTAGGTCACAGAGCTCGGTGACTGCTGTTAAGAACATACGGCGCAAGCGCACTTGATCACATCAATGAAAGCTCCGGGATTGAAGATGATCTACGCATTTTAGTAAAATCCCTCGGCATTGGATTCTACCAGGCTCACGTTGGTGAAATTAGCCAGCACTGGAGCAGCTTGAGCACAGGAATTGATGCTGGGGTAATCCTACATTGAGACACCCTCAGTTCGCCTGGAATCAGTGTAGATGGCCCTCGAATGGACTACCTGTGCACATTTGGGGCATGAGGGCGGTTCTTCCGGGAAAAATGGGTCGGTACGGCGGTGAAGACTGGTGGATCCCAGGGTTCGAGGAGCAGCCAAAGTAAAGGAGTGAAAAATGCTGAGCAGAATTGCGGTAAACAATAGGGCGTTCATCATCATGGTGGTCGGGGCTGTTTGATCCTGTTCTCTCAGCAAGTGGGGTGTTGCTGAGACTCCGAAAAGCCTGCCAAGCGAGTCGATTATGATCAAGACGGTGATCAGGGACCTGCCTATCCGGGGACACTCAGCGCTAATCCGGTTATCTTTAGCTTCCAACCCCTATATAGTCCAAGTGTGGCGCCTTCGAACTACTCAAAGAGCACCTCGGCCGATGCCCGGCTCAGTACCCCCTGCACAGAACTCGTGGCTACACCTGATTACACCGGAATCGAGAATCCGGCAACACCGGATGCACTCATCGAGAACGCTGTGATCTAATCGACCTGAAGACTCGGAATATGATTCTCCTGAGGGTACCATCTTTCGTGTATAGTCTACATCACTCGACGGACCCACATATCATAGTACTGAAGACCCATAAGTATTCTCCAAACAGATCAAGCTTCAACGTCGAAAATCCCACCTACTTGTACACAAATGTCTAGTAGTTACCTAATATATATACAAAATATTTATGCGACATCCTTGTTGTTACAGAGAAACACAGCTGTCGGTCTCCGACGAGGTATCACTCGCTGGAGACCTGAGTAGTAGGCCAACTGAAGGGGGATGGTGACGAGAACGCGGCGCGTGCCGGGTATATGGTGTTATATCATGGCGACGAGAGTGAGTTAGAGACCGTTGGCCATGCTGTTGCGCATGGGATGTATGATAGTGTTCCAGCGCGCGGGACGTAATCGGTTGTCTAGCTGACCCCTTGCGAACGAGGGAGCTAGAAGCACTAGCAAAAACGAATATCTTGAATAGCGGATTCGACGCTAGGTTTGTTGCAAGAGGTTTGTACAATGGGGGTACAGGGGCGAGAATTTTTATGGTTTGTTGTCGAATGCATTGAAGAGGTGGCATGAAGTTGGGATACTGGAACAATTTCTCAAACAGCTTCCGGAGCGCGTCCCAGTGAAATCGATTGACTGTTGTTGCATGTTCTTCACCGGATCGTATCTTGCGGATGGAGGCGAGTGATAGGAGCCGTACTTTTCCGTCAACGATCATGATGTTGCTCTCTTGTACGGAATACACCAGACCACGGCTTTGCACCTTGGTGATCGCATCGTATACAGCAGCGCGATCGGGGTATTCGACCATTCTACCGGTGGCGGATTCTGTCATAATTCCGATGATTTGTCCGTCGCGGGTTACATGCCCTAGGACCTCAAAGGTCAAATCAAGCCCTCTAAGACACCGATGCCCTTGAGATCATGATGAGGTCAATAACGAAGGGAACTGAGTCTAAGAGTTCTTACCCTCTATTTCACGTTCCACTAATTTCATCCACTGGTCATTCCACCCAATCATGATGTCTAGTTTTAGGTTTCGGCATCAGAGTTCCTCCACGAGATAACGGAATAAACAAATCGTACGTACCAACTTCTGTCCCATTCCACAAACCTTGTCTTTGCTCGCAAGAAATGAACTTGGTGGTAATTATTTCGGCTTCCTCGACGAGAGGAGCCAAAAGATTGCCGGGAGAAATCATGGGGTGTAGTGGCTTATTCTTGTAGATCACATTGAAGGACCCGTCAGTCCTCGTCGCAAGATAAGCCCAATTAGCTCGGTTGAAATCAAGTTTATGGACCAAGGCGGCAATTTTCTCCAGGCCAAAGCGAAATTCAGAGGTTGACCGCTCTCTCGAAGCTGTGTCGAAGCTCGTAGGATCCTCGTGAGCAGAAAGAACAGGTGGGGCTTGAAGAACAAGCAACTGGCCGTCTCGCCATAGGGCGTAGAGACAGCAGTCCAAATCGTTCTCTCCGCCAACGTATGCTGTTACATGGGGAGGAATAGCGTCTACTGCCATCGATTGGCAATGATTGTGGGTCCAAAGCGAGATTTTCTACCCAAACTGATCAACTTTTCCTGAACTTACTCAAAATAAGCGCCGTGCGCCACTCATTTCCCAATCCGTCACAGTGCCGAAGCCAAAACGCGATGAAATATCTACTTCCTCAAATACTGTGCGAATCCCAATCAAGGACTCTAGGGATCAACACAGTTAATGATTATACCGTATCCCATCAGGTTACATCCCAGATTTTTTATGGGCGTAACAAGCATCGCACATTTGTCGCACATGCGATTCCAGTGCGAGTCCAAGACCCAATCCGAGTCGCCTAGGCAGGCTCGCGGAGCGCCCCACAAACTATGATAGGAAACGATTCGACCGGAATTGAGCGTCTGGCGCCCACCAGCACGGAACACATAGCTACGGGCCCTCCTCTAATGAGGCTTTGGGTTTCGTGATCGTCTAAGAGAGACCATGTACCACGGAGCTATGAAAAGGTAGCAAAGGGGGCTCAATCATCAATAAGGTCAAACGCCCTCGAGTCCTACGGTATAAGACAGTAAGTGGCTCGAAGTTGAATAATGTGTTGCCTTGCTGATATGTGTGTCCTACAGAAAGCGATCTGTCCTTCATGCTCGTCCTATTTCTACTTCAAATTATCGCCATGCAAACCTCAATACTCGCATGCAACATGTCCTAATCAAGTTATCCAAGATGGCCCTCCGAGACAACGCGTATGTCCAAATTGCGGAGGCCCCCGTTGATTGCAAGGTGAGTTAGTCTACATACCTACTAGAATCTCCCGTATTTACGCTTAAATTCTCTTCAGAGCTGATCACAATGTGCCCTCACCATACCTTTGAAATCCATCGTCGCCTATACCCCCTAATGGCACCCTGAGGGATCTACCAGGTCTATCGCGACCAGAGCAAGACACATTACAGCGCCGCTCACCGAATCATCCCTCCGATGGTCCTATATTACCCTTCGACCACCCTAATGGTATATTACTCGTCAAGTATAATCACTCTCAGGCAAATACCATCTTAATCTTAATCCACAAACACAATCCCCACACCTAGAAATGGACGGACACATATTTATACCAATACTCAATGCACCCCCTGTATAATGCTACTAGTAGCCCTGCCTCAATGTATCTATACTCGTGACGTCGAAACCTACGAAGAATGTGCTAAGCATCCTATAATCGTTATGATAGGGGCAAATCATGAACCAATCTCAATGCAACGGTCCTCCTCCTCGCAAGTCGTGTCGCTATCATAAGAGGGTAGAAGGGGTAGACGAAGGGCGCTTTCAGAACCCCACTGCTTGCGGTCGTCGGTGATACGTCGAGAAACGAGAGTGCGCGAATAGGGGTATTTTGTGTGGTCTCGCTCGAATAGGCGGGCACTGACAGAGTGCATGGAGGTAACGCCAATTGCATGTTCATCAACAGGTTCCTGTGGCCTACGGCCCGATGTAAGCCTCTTTTCTGTTCTCGTTCGCTTTTTGCGAGACTCCTCCGGGAAAAGCAACGTGTTGGTACCCACAAACCATATCTTGACGAAGGAGGATCGAGGCCGTTCTGGCGCTAACGGGCTTGGGATGTACTGTAGTTGCTGCGGCCATGTGCGGGGAGGGGTCATGAAGTTTACGCCACCCCTCAGAGAGTCGAACATCAGCCGCAGGGCAGTCCAATGGTACTGCTTCTCCTCTGGAGTGAGCAGGCGAGTTGTCGCGATGTTTGTCAGTCGGACCTTTCCACCTGATATCATGATGTTGCTCTGGTGGATCGATCCGTAGAGCAAACCTCGGCTTTCGACTCTCGCAATGGCTTCGAACACTTGTGCCCGATCACAGTGTTCGACCATTCTACCGATGGCGGGCTCCATCACGACACCTACCACTTGACCGTCTCGAGCGACATGAGCAAGCACCTCGAAAGTCAGATCCAACCCCTGTAACAATCGGTACGCCTGTTGATCTCCATCAGGCATATTAGTCGCCCGACATTTGACAGCTCACTGTACCCTCATCGTTTGCTCTATCTCTTTGAGGCGTCGATCGTCCCATCCCATCAATAGATCTACAGGAACAGGGTCAGAGGGGTTAAGTAAACCAAGAAGTCACACAGACCAACTTCCTGGCCTTTCCAAATGCCGAGTCTTTCTTCAGCTATAGGACACATGTTGGCCGTCTCGCGCAGAGATTAAGGCTAATAATGGCAACATACCACTGATCCACTTCGTGATTTCTATGTCACTCTCGTCAACCACAGGGGCCCAAGTAGGATATGTTACCTTGAATGTTGGCCGATTCCTGTGAACTATTCGACATCCACCGTCAGGTTGTAAGATCGTGTACGCCCAATTTGTCCGTCCAAAATCGATCGTTCTGGCGGCCGTTTGCTAAGGAAAAGAGATTGTCAGCAACTATCCACAGCCCCATATTGTGCCGATCCATTACAATCTTTTCCAGTGTGTAGTCATACTCCTTCTCCCAGCATTCCATATCATGCATTTGATCGTAGTCGCCATCTTGGCTTATCGTCGAAGGAGGGGCCTCCACCACCAGCAACTCGCCATCTTTGTAGAGGAGGTAGGTGCGTATCCCAGGTTCATTTCGGCCACCTATGAGGGCGATGATTGACCGAGGAATAGAATTTGATCTTAAGCCCATTGGTTACTCAGCGATTAGTAGGTCCTTGTGGGTCCGTTGAGTCGAAAGCTGGAAGCTTCACGTGGTCGATTCGCAATGGCTCCCTAGCGCTCCAGCGCTTGAAAGTTGGCGGTACAGAGGCAGAAGGTGAAGTCGGAACCGTTGAACGCTGGAAGATGGTGGATCGTGTCCAACGGCAAGTCACTTTAAAGTCAAAAGACTAGCGAGACAGCGAAACAGATGCGCTCAGGGTTAGAATTGTTGAAGTTTCCGCACGTCCAACAATAACGCGATTTCGACTCCCCTTTTAGCAGTTCGGCTTGCACGGGAGTTGTATGGTACCCTGTGCATACCCCAACGGCAAGGCGTCAACTGGGGACCTACGTTCAGTCTCGGTCAGTCTTATGACCATTACTTGCTCTCAATGCTATGGAGAGGCTGCGAGGGAGGCGCATGCACCCATTTGGAAGTGTAAGACCTTAACCCATTTATCTCAACAGAAAGCCGGTCCTCTGGTTTGTCCTTATTATCCTCAGCTCGAGGGTCGGCGCGATGAATCCTGTTTACTTAGTTTATTAGGCGACAGTCATGGAGTCCGCCCTTGAGGCGAGTTTGGTCGCCGCTCTCCGACGGCGAGCAGCACTATAGCAGCACGAGCAGTACTTCAAGCCTCGTTGACGCACCAATAAAGCATAGTAAGTGATATATTTCAGCCTGCCTCGATTCCCTTAACGATGTGTCTCGTCAAGAAAGTTCAGTGCCCTCGTTGCAACATCTTCTACTATCAAAAAGTGAAGGTTTGCGGACCTGCTTATTCGGCGACCCTCTGTCCACAGCAAGTTATTCAGGCTGGACCACCCACGCAGGCCCTCTGCCCGCCATGTCAAGCAAGATGACACACCGTCGACAGTATGTTCTCTGGCTCATCTTTACCGCGGCACGGAGGCTTTCTGGGTATCAACTCGAAGTGATCGTACGAACGGTAGCTCTGGCCACGACGACCTATAGAATAAACAACTTGCGGCCCGGCCTCTGACGCATCCCCCCTATACATTATTCCCCCTCAATAATTGAACACCAAGACGATGCTGGTCCGCGGACCAACTGTACTGGTCGCTGTTGCGCTGCACTATTACGAATCTAGGAAGGCATTCGTCGCTGCTGGGAATCTATAAGCGAACTATATGGTCACAAAGTCCTCTCGCAGACCCGCCGCTCGCTGCGGACAACCTTCCCAGGCTGGTATACCTGCTCGTACCTACCAAGCTGAACACCCTACTGTTCGCCGTCCGGCAATCTCTTTGGACCTCGTAACACCGTAGCGCGTCTCCAAACAATAGCACTCCAAATCCAGCTTAATGTCCCTCGTGCTCTAGCCCACGCATACTGCTTCCGCCACATTTGATCCATCTATTATTACTCTCGTTATCCACCCCCCATATTCAGGCTATCATCGAAGGCCTACCGAACCGTATCTAATGATTTATTTTCGGCCTCTCATATCCTGGCATCAAGATACAACCGACCAACTTAATCTCCCCTAGCTTACCACCTTGTAATCTGTGATGTTTTCGAACCCTTAATCTATTCTTCACTGCAGTCCTAACAATCAACACCGCGGAGCAAATCATTCCTGCTACAAAAATATACGCCTTGCGTTCTTCGTGGAGGGAAGATAGTAGATCGATCATTGATAAAAAGGGGTAAGCACGTACTTCTGAACCCGCAGCTCTAACAGGCGGTCCAAGCGGTAGACCACGACGCGTGACCACCGTATGAGCAGATCCATTGTTACTCGGAGGATCGACATTATCCCGATATGTATTGCTTGGAGAAGGCGGAAATAATGGTTGGCTTGAATGAGCTGGATTTTCACACTGATCCTGGCCATGGGTTAGCCCAGTAGCCATCTCTGTCACCGGAGCTCCTTGTTGATGATAAAAGGCTCGAAATATACAGATCGCGAGAAACAGATAACGAGAGAAAGACCTACATAATAATCACCGCCTTCTACTCATCGTGAAGCAACCCTCGTATCCTGGCACCTCGGCCGGGCTCAGCGTATCTCGCCAACGACCAGCGAGATTTCCGTTAGCCGCTCCCACAAGGTATCCTCTATATAGCCACTTTCCCCGATCACCATCGACCTTTAATCTGGGTCGTTTGAACTATTCACAATCAAAAGATTGTTAAAACTCACGTATTCTTTACATAGGCTGATGAAGCCATCACAAGGTCTAACGCGTCCTACCAGACTGAATTGTCCCCATGCCGAGTGACCCTGAAAAGTGGTAACGGGATAAGCCATCAGAGCACCATTTTTGTGATATCGCGGGACGGCTGACCTCTCCAGTGATTATGACGTCTAGAACACATGGGGTACCGCAGGCACTTTGGTTATTCCCATCAGTCACGACAGATGTTGCTCTTCGATAAACGACTACGTCTTGGCTGTGCGGCTCTCTCACTTCTATTCTCCCAGAGTGTTCGCTGATATGGGTACCAGTGGGAAAGTAGGATTTCAAAGGGTCTCCTGCGGGTAAAGGGTGGATGTTGTCTGCGTCAACATAAATCCCAGAGCTGAAGCTAGAAGATTCCGTAGAGAGAAGGTGATACTCGCGGAGCTTCCATGTTTGTCGATGTCGAACAACCATGCTCTTCTGTAACACCGGCGGAGGAGCCCCTGATAACAATGCGGCATATGCGGTAAATTCGGTATACTAGCATGGGGTCAGGGTGAAGCAGCGGCGGAACAAAATGAACACGTACAGTGAACATTCCTTCCCATATGCCCTCGATACTACCGGGCTTGTATGAAGCCGTGAGAAATCTATCGTATTCTGCATGACCAAGGCTGAGGCAACGGCCCCATTCACACTCCCACTCCAGGCTCTTGGAGGGGATACCGGAAAGCGACGGCGATGTTATTACTGAATAGCTCATGGTTGTTGGTGAACCCAATACTTTATTGACGAGAGTTAGGAACGCGAGAATAGCCGGAGCTGCCAGGGGCGCGGGGAGGAGAGGGAGCGAGCCCAGGTAATGCATCGTTCTGGTCGAGCGGCTTTGATGCGAGTCTGGGACGAAATCGACCCAGCTCGGGGAGGTAAGTTGGTACTGGACTGATGTCACCTTAGGATTAGAGTCAAGAATGGGTAAAGTCTACCTGGTGCGCTCCAAGCGCAAAGATTTTCAAAGTATTTACAACATCCCAGGAGTGTTCGTCGTCCATATATTCGTCTGGGGATAGCATAAGGACTTGATCATACAATGTATGTATCGGCTCACCAGGTTTGAGTAGGAACCAGAATAACCACATGCCTAGGGACGTCTTGTCGTTATTCGGAGGCCATTGATCCATCCGTATAGATGACTTCGCACACGACGCGCCGTGGTCGTCAAACCAGAATTCTCGCAGCCAAACATCGATTTGAGCATAATCTCGCAGTTGTCGTTCGTTCTTTCCATCATTTTCCAACATCATAAGATACGCAGTCCACAGCAAGGACTGCAGGATTTCATCCCCACCCCGATCTTTTGCGAAGGGATTAACCGTTGAATCTACTCGTGCTCGCATGCGCTTCAAATAGTAACATCGGCGCTGCAACTCCTCAGTCAAGGCAGCGGCAGACGGCTGCCTACATCGAAGGCGGCGTAAAGGGGGCGATACATCAAACTTTGCCGCGAAGATACGTGAGTACAGAAGAGTGTTCGACTTTATCGATAAGCACGAGTTAAGACGTTTATTGGTGGACAGCAGCGGAATGATTGCAGACGGTGGGCCCAAGAACTCGTCTGTTGCAGTAAGGAAGGCGATGTGCTCCAGCACTTCTGGGGGAACAGAGACGAGCGACGGTCGAACCCTCATGGGAGTTGAGGACAAGGAAGGACGATGGCTGCAATGCGGCCTGGCAGACGTACCCACATTGTGCTGGGCCAATGTTGTCGGGAGCAATAACTCCAACTGGTCACGGTCTCCTGCTTTGTCACCGAATGTGATCCATATATTTATAGAATTATATCTATATTATAAAAGACGGCCTTTTTTCCCACGGGATAAAGACAAAGACAAACCGGTCATCTCGGGCTTGATCTACAATAGAAATCATCTGCGCACTTTCTCACGGGCCGAAGGACCTAGCCATTGGTTGCCTCCAAAATGGGCACCGAATGAGCCCGGCCGCAGGCCGGGCGATGAGGTGCCTTCACTGCGTGCAAAGCACGGGTCAACGGCTAGTCTATATAAGAAAAAGCATGCATTTTTTCCCACGGAGACAAAGGAGCTCGCTGATTGGCTGGCGAGACCATTTCTGACCTCTTTTGGATGTATCTCCGTTTGCTCGCCCTCTTGCAGCTTGCGATCATGTGCCTTGAGATCTTGAGACACGTCGAAATTTCTGGAACTCTACGCAGTACCGCATTGTCTCTGGGCTCTCTGCTGGCGCTTAGCATCTCTCAACGACCACGGAGGCTATCCCTTTGACTTTCTCTCGCGCTCAACGATTCGAGACAACCATTCGCAAATTGAAAGTCAACGGAACGGGACCTTTGGCTCACGCGCACGCCTTTATGGCTTCTACTAGGTGCGATTTGCTTATATCGCGCGCGCACATTCTTAATTTACATCCGACACTCTCCAAGGCCCTGTGTGCGGTGGATAACCACTGCGACTGTAAGCAGACCGGTACGGGCGTACGAAATCCGCGGTTCCATGAATATGAGCACCAGCGCGGGAACGGTCGTGGCCACGAGCAATTTTTGCAATGCTGCTTATCCTAGCGTATCCTCGGCGCGTATCCAAATACCTCCGGCTGCTGCTCAGGACCCTTACCCGGACACAGTCAACCAGAATGGGAAATGGTCGCCTCTGGTAACATAGGCCACAGTTGTGTGTTGCCTCATGTCATCTGTCCGTCTCAATTCACTCTCTTCAGCCGGGTACGCGATAGTGGTGCAGGGTTCACTCCAGCTTGGGCACGAGCACGAGCACGAGAACTGCTCTGAGGGGTGAGCATTGTATTGTGGCCCATCTCTATGACACAGTTTGGAATCAAATAGGCAGGGCTTAACACCCGCGCGGTTATGATTGCGAACACGGTCGTCAACTCAGGCTTATGCGGCTTCTACACATCGTGGACGCCTCTATGGCCTGGCAATGTGCGTCTTACTCAGGTTCTTCGAATATCTCAATTTCAGATGCGCTTAGGGCCGTGTGCATAAGGATGTCAGGTACTCGACTACGAGCTTGCGCATGTGGTAAGTGCGATCATAACAACGACTGCGGGCAGCATCGGGGTCAGCACGGATAAGGGCCCCATCAGGCTATAATCATGTTTGCGAGCGTGAATCTCGCTACGAGCGCGACAACGCAGACCACTTGGTTCACGTTTGGGCGCGGATCCTTGAATCTGGGCACGACTACCGCACCGGCGCTGCATGAACTACGATGATCTGGCTGACAACTGATGCAAGCATCGGGTCTTGCACGGCTACGAGCTTTGAGGGTCTGAAGGCCTACACGGGGGATATCTAATAGGTTCGTTCAGCCTCGAGATAGATGCAACTGACCTCAATGTTGTAGGAGCGAGTGCACGATGGCTACGAGCGTACATACTCATTAGCACGCACACGGACGAGACACGGTCTTCCCCTTACGCCTTATGTCCTATTATTCAGTTTTCGACACATACTCATTTATTACTCAGTTGTATATGCATAACTGTCATAAGCACTTGGTTCTTACACCGTGCGTAGCACGGGTTAGCCGCTAGTATGTACTGTACAAGCGTGTGTGTATATAATTGTGAATTCTTTGAATACAGCACCAATACAGCAAGTGTATCCTGTCCATTGGGAAGAGGGTTCGTTTGTACTTACATTACGGGCTCCACAGCAAGGTCCATCGGGGATGTATTATTCCGTGTGTTTAGACAGACTGAATGACGCTTCCCAGTTCGCTGGTTCCAGCCCAGCATTGAATTGGCCTCGGGATCGACCAACGAAGTTCTGAGGGGAAGTCACTGAGAAGTTTTCATCGAGTGGGTCAATATGAAAAGCGACATGCACACTGCGGGCTTACCGTATCCCCGGAAAATGCTGGGGTTTACCACCTCTAACTGCTCATCGTGGGCCACTTTATAAGGATTACATGTACAGAAGACAATGGGGAACACTCACCGCCTCAGCAGCCAATGCCACAAGTCCATCTGACAGACGGATGCGGCCGATACAATTAAATCCTCCCCAGGCTGCCTTGTGCGTTTCATCGGGCTAAAAGAAAAAAGGTCAATTGAGGACAGCGTGGGCGACACACACACCTACCTTTCCAACAACAATGATATCAATTACGTTGGCCATATCCGCGAGATCACCGCCTGCCTTGAACGATTTGTAAAAGCTGTAGAAAGAGCCATCTTCGTCAAAAACTTCAATGCCATCCTAAAGGGTGGTTAGCGTGGACATGGGCGGCTGTTATGATATTCTTACGTCTTGCTCAATCCACTTACACCCGGCGGGCAACCAGGCGTTTTTGATTCCGTTCGTGGGTTCGTCAGATGGGAGGCGAGTGGATTCGTCGGTGCAATAATACTCATGCAGAACAAAGTTGAGGGGGCGACGTCCAAAGGCAGGAAATGGGGTAGGGATTGTGGGAGTAGACAACCATTTCTTGTATGTGTTGTCGATACAGGGGACCTTGTCAAGTTGAGGCGCGATTAGATCAACTATTGACTGATGAACGTACCATCATTGAGCCTTCCCATCGTCCGGTGATGTCGCCAAGCACGTAAGAGGGCTGACCTGTAGGGCACAACCAACCATCATCTCGTTCCGTATTGGGCGATGCAAACTTGGTATTACAATGATCCAGAAAATACTGCATATCCTCACGTGTGGGCCCGACCCGTTGAGAAGCAATAGCGCATACCCGGTTCAATGGAAGATGCGGTGGAATTTCGAGAGGCGTGAGATCGGCTCGGACAAAGTAGTTGAGGATCGCGAATAGAGATATGGGGGGAGGTCGGCATTCACACATCAGATCGCCAAAATAAGGGACGTCTTCCGGCGAAGGGCCGTCTGGAGGGTAGACCCCATGAACATTAGAGGTTACGGTTTCCGCTGGCGACATTAACGAATTATCGCCCCCGAAGTTGGCTTCAGAACCAATGAAGCATGGATACTGTGAGAGAAAGATAAGCAAGAGGTTGAACAATGATAACGGACTGCGTACTCGAAAAGCAGCTTGAACGAAGGGCAGGAGGCGAGCCATCAACAGCTCACTCTCGTCTTTCTTTTCCTCATTGAGTATAGCTATTCATGTTTAGGTACTTGTTCGACATTCCAGCATGAGTTAGTTTACCTTTGGATGATAGAAACCATAAACATGCGACTGCCAACGAATTTTGAGCGCTTTCGACAGGCCATCCATTATTCTCCTCAGCGCCTATATATAGCCGATGCCGAAGGAAGCTCCGTAGCGCAGCATGCGCTTTTGCCCAGCGTAGTTGCTGGAGATTATGTCCTTGATCCTGCAGGATCATAAAGTACAGCGTCCATAGCGCTTTGTCGAGCCTTTTGCCATGCAGTCGATCATGTCGAAGGTCTTTCAATATAGTGACTCGAGTTCGTAGTTCATCTTCGACCTTTTGAGATAAAAGTCGTCGATCATATCCGAGACAACGGAAAGGGGGGTCGAGGTCGAATTGGAGAGCAAATATACGAATGTATAAGTCTGGTTTGCATTGCTGAAGTGCGTTATAGAGGTGGCGACATGTAAGACGCAGACTCGATAACGCAGCTGGGGGACCAGCGGATGGAATGGTGAATAGAAGAACGTTTCGAATGACATCGCAAGGAACATTGGTCCAGACTGAAGGGGCCATGGAGAGGTCGGGATATAGCGAGATGGCCACACACGCGCCGGAGTCGCATTACTTATATCCAAGTCTTAGAATTACATCGGCGGCGACTAACGTCCAAACACGATCGGTGTACTTCAAATTTGAGACCCCACGTGGTATACAGCTAAGGAGTAGATTCAGAGATTCCGACATATGAAGACATTTTCTGCGTCTTACCAAACACCGCTGCTCCTTTAGACTAGGCCCATATGGTGCACGCAAGCCTCCGATCAGCGGCTAGGTTTCAGCGTGGGACTAAAACCTGATATAAAATGGGTGGTAAACGTCATAGACTATAATCTGACGAACTTCATATGTGGTGGCCTGGCAAGTTGCGAAGCAGCTGAGTTAGTGAACTTGCGGAGTAGACGCAAGGTCCCGAATGGGCGGAGAGATCCACGAGTTAACAATGAGTAAATCGCGCTTGTGCCATAACCATTAGGACAAGACTCACGGGCATTACGAATGTTCGTTATATTCAAACCGCGCCGTCCCGACGATCTCCACGCATGTACCTTTTGTACCTTTCGAAAGGACCGGCCTGAAATATGTTTGAATCAGGATCGATGCCGTTCATTGCAGAGATCATGACGATTGTTACGAGATTTGAGCGAGCGAAGCGTAAGAAGTTGATCGGTCTGCGCGCTTTTCAAGAGCCTCGACGGGATGTTCAGCTCGGACAGGTCTTGCCGGAAGGGAGTTCTGCGCCCAACATGTACGTTATTAGAGTCTTATTCTCACAGACAAGGCACAACCATTTTTACACTTGCAACTTCAATTCTTGACAAGATGGCCGTCTATGAAGTGAATCGGAGTTTGGACGCTCGGAACCACCCGATCCTTGTACAATGACCGTAGGTGGTGGAACGGCGGCGTCTGCAGCAAGACTATATTGAACACCATGGCAACTCGTCTTGCTTACTTAGCGCAGCGTCCCATGGTGGGAAAGGGTCGAGGAAGTCACCGATAATGGCCGGAAGTGCTGAACGACCTCCGATTCCATCAGTGCTACGCACAAGCGACCGATGGATTGAGCAACTTACGTCAATTGACCCATTGGAGTCTCCGCCGGTATGCAGGCGATCCGGGCACTGGGCACTGCTCTACAGCTCGTCAAGCATTTGGGTATTCCAATACGTACCTCAGGGGAACCTCAGCAAAGCCGTAAGTGGCAAACTAGAGTTCACAATTAGTGGTTGCCGTAAGTAATGCTTTTAATTAACATCACCGAGTACGCAGTTGTCCAGCTACTTGGATAGCAAATGCTGTTCGGAGATGGATCGCAGCGCAAGCCGTTTGAAGCTACCACAAGCATAGGCCTCCCTATCAGTCCGCAATCGCGTGCAGCCGGTAATCCTGTTCGGGAACACGGTCAGCAGAAGGTCCATCCACTTAATAGACAAAGAAGCGGAGATTAAAGGAGGTTTGTGAGGCTGTTTCTCGAATGAAGCCAGAACACTAAACGGAACCAGAATACCTGTCCGCATTGGGTCGGTTATGCAAGCAAGTAACCACATAGGCGATCAACCTTTGAAATATTGGCATACAATTAACGAGACAATAATGAGGTGAACGTACTCACCTGGCAGTGGCGGTTGACTTCGCATTGAAGTCGTGGTCGCCGGAGAAGAACACACTGTATGGACTCCGCCCACCGATCGAGCCCTCGAAGAGCGTCCAATTCAACATCTGGTTCACTAGTTCGGAACGTAAGCAGTACGTGCGCTTTGGTTCTAGGAGGCACATTCTCTCTGGCTTCATAGGAATCATAACTGGTGGCCGAGGAACATCTGATTGTGGTAGCGTTCAAGGATTGAATATTGAGTTGGGTTGGTCAAAGGCAAGCAGTAAGTCATGTGACTTGCTGAAGCCTGCCCTAAACGGAGATGTTATCGGAAAATTTACTGTAGCGCTTCTTTCATTATAACCATCATCGATAATGGCCAACCTCACGAAGCTCGAACAGCACCTCGCAAGCCGATCCTACGTCGAAGGGTGAGTAAATGATCCATCATCATCTGAAGGATGAGTATCGCTATGGTCCGTGTTTCCAAGAAGCGACTAGACACCGCTGCACAAGCATGCCGAACCTCTTTTACCTAGCATTCTGATTCTTTTTCATATCTGCGGTCACTATCCAGACATCTGACCTTCCTTCCTTCAGATACGCTCCATCGCAGGCAGACGTACACGTTTTCAAGGCCATTGCATCGGCTCCAGATGCCTCCGCCCAACCTCATGTAGCTAGGTGGTACAACCACATCAAGTCCTATGCTGCAGAGCACGACTCTCTTCCTGGGAGCAGCACAGCAGGCGAAGCTTTCGTGGGAGGCGACGCCGAAGCCCCCGCCGGCGCTGCGGCTGATGACGACGACGACGTTGATCTCTTCGGCAGTGATGACGAAGAGGACAACGCTGAGGCTGAACGCATCAAGGCCGAACGTGTTGCGGCTTACAACGCAAAGAAGGCCGGAAAGGCTAAGACTGTTGCTAAGGTTAGACATCACCCTACTCAGCTGGAATATTACAGTGGTTTAATCTCCTTGGATTCTAGTCCGTCGTCACTTTGGAAGTCAAACCCTGGGACGATGAAACGGACATGGCAGCTCTGGAGAAAGCGGTACGATCAATCGAACAAGATGGCCTCCTCTGGGGTTCCAGTAAGCTTGTCCCCATCGGATACGGCATCCGAAAGCTGCAGATTACGCTTGTCGTTGGTATGTTACTGACTATCATATTGCATTCAGTACTGAGTATGGTACAGAGGATGAGAAGGTCTCTACCGACGAACTCCAAGAAAAGATCGCTGAGTTCGAGGACTACGTTCAGAGTACTGATATCGCCGCCATGCAGAGTAAGTTGTCATCCCTTTAAATTACCATCGTCGTTGAACGTCTTCTAGAACTGTAGTTTTACGAGGGGAGAACAAAGCATTAAATCGAAGTGTAAACAAGGTTGTATATATCAATACGTGGATTAGCAAACGTGCAATAGCAATCGCGGCGCGTTGTGTCGAATGTCAGTTTTCCGCCAGGCACAAACTCTTGATCATCATTCCAAAATCTTATCCGTCATCATCAATCTATATCATTAACGGCGCACATCATCTGTTTTCTGGAACGTCCGATGCAGGCCGGAAATGAAATTCTGCTGTTCGTCGTCATTTTTTCTTTTAACATAACTAAGGTTAAGTTGATCTCTGACCGGGCCTGCCGGGGGGCATTTGCATGGCCATTGTTGACGTTGTCAGTTCCATTCGGAAATCGAACCGAACGCGACTACGTTAATGATGCAGATGGACTGATTTCATTTTGACTGTTAACGACAGGCGCTGGATATCGACGGCGAACTCGATTGTTAATGTTAACCACAATACCGCTCCTCAAACCTACAGTTCGCCGGTACCCACTTGCAAAAAAATCTAGCCCAATTCCGACGGCTTCTTCCCTACTTGGGCATCACAGTTCTACAGTCCTAGGTGCCTCAATTCGATCTTTATTCGGAGATAAACGGTCAGACGCGGGACAAGGAAACTTCGGAAGTCGGAGCTCAGCACTAAACCTCACTGACGAGCCAAACTCAGCATCTCTAAGGGTACCACTCCGCGAAACTTGTGGAGGACAACTCGAGTTTTGGTATCAAATACATTGATCAAGATGTGATCGAACGGGCTGGGTTGGAGGATGCGTACATACATTCCGTGCCACGGTCATCATTTGGGACTGGGACCTTTAAAATGGCCCAGTGTCTAGCTGAGCATTCTCCAGCAACACAATGTCCTCCCCTTTGGAAAGAGTTCCGCGAGACCTTCTCCAATACATCGCTCGGCTCACTGTCTCGGCTTCACCCTTCGAGTCCCTCACAAATCTCCTCCACTTATTGTTGACGAATTCGACCATCTATCACCAGCTGTCTGTCCAGCATAGCCCACACCTCTATGCTCGCGTCTTTCAACTCCGTTTCGACACCGTCGCGCCGCGTCGTCGGCTCCACGCGTCGCTGCTGACGGACTCGTCTCTTGCTGGTGAACTCATTCTACGATGTCGTCTCTTGAGACGCATCCGACGGCGCGACCTGACAGGTCTAGACATCGAACAAGACATGTGGACCCTCTACTGGCTGATATTGGAAAACGAAACACTAAACGGGGCCCATCTCATGAGGGCTGGTTCTTCCGAATATCTCCTTGAACTCATACGACATCGGCTCCGCCAAGGCAGCACTGAGGAACAATTCATGGATATTTCTCATGAAGCCTTATCGCTCGCCCTTTGGTCGTATTGTCTATCCGTCTCGAGTCGTGGGTTGCTTCCTTGTTTTTTCTTCGATTCGGATAATGCTCACTCGACTCTTCACGTCTAGGAGATATCGCGGATCTCACACCTGAAGTTGTGCAAGAATTGTTGGCACTCATACGTCCCGTGGCCATGTCGACGCATAAGGTATGTCCCAACCATTGTATTGTCGGTTTCACACACCGACAGACGTTCTTCTCAGGACTTTGCTCTAAACCCTTCTCCAAACCCGTTCCACCTCCCCAAATCGAGATCCCCCCCTGCACGAGAGCAGCAGCCCTGTTCCATTTTTCCTTGCAATCGTCCGGATTGCAGCAATGATATATTTCACTATTCCAGAAAATGGCATCTCCGTTGCCCAGATGTTCTTAGTGCGGCGATCATCATGACGTTCGCACTCAAAGAAATAGTGCCTCTTCAAGTACCCCCACACCTGCCACTAGATCGTGCCTCTGCCATCGCTCAGAATCGTGCCGGTCCCACTATGGTCGACTATCGAGCCTTGGCGACTTGCCGAACACCCCTTTTCAATGATCCCATCGCGGAGCCCTCTCCTCAACCCAATTCCAGTGCTATGTGCCTTAATCTGCCGCGAAGCACGCGACTAGAAGAGGACTTCAGCCGCATGGCATTGGTCTCTCCCAATGCCCTCATCTATGGGGCTAGTTATACCCCCGGAATGCTGTCTGGCTTATGGGAAGGGACGTTCATGGTGTGTGAAGCATTCATTTTTCCGCATTGCCAGCGTAGACGCTCAACATCCTGGGTAGATTTGTCCTATTAGGTCGATCGGGGCCAACACCTCGAATTCTCCGTTCACCGAAGACTTTGTTGGCCGTAAACCTATGTACTGTCAAATGACTGAGTACATGTGTTCCGGACAGCACGTACCAATCCCCACCGAGTCCCATGAACCGTTCAACTGGGATTACCACCCCAACCGGCTTCTTCCAATCAAGGTCAGCTAGCCATGTTCATCGGGAGAACAGTGCAACTAAACCCTTTGCAATGCTTCTCGATAGGGCGGGTTCCAAGTGTCTTCAAAGATCTTCCATTACGAGAAGCTGGACGCCACGACCACTCGGCTCCTCGCACGCCGTGAGATGAACTATGACGTTAAGGACATTTTGGTGCTAGGCGAGGTGAGCTCATTGTTACACCAAATACCTTAACAGAGCACTTACCACCTCCAGACCCCGGACGTCCAGGAGGAAGCATGGGGTGGATACCGTTTCGCGGGAAAGGTCAGGCTCTCTGATGGATTCATAACGCTCAAGCGTGTGTCCGTGAGTTATCTTATCTATTTCGTGAGATCCCGTATCTAAAAACAGGACTCCTTAGAAAGATATCCTTGACGATCCACCCTGGCTTTTCGAGGGGTATCTGCACTATGGCGCCGCGTTCGTTGGGACATGGCGGACACATGGTCAGCCCTGTGCTGTAGGAGGCGTTTTCAGTATGAGAAAACGTACTAACACATGATGCATGCGGCTTCCGACGAAGTCAGAGCAGCATGTTCGTAATGCTTCGGCATGGGCGGATGGTTTTATTCATGATGGCTGACTAGTGGCTGCACATACTTATTGCTTTGTCAATTATTCAAGCTGGCCTTCAATACTTCGATTTCCCATTAGTACATATTCTATTGTACCGGCGATTTACCGTCGTAGTAGTACGAATTATGTGATCATCTATACTTACAATTTGGTGCCACATGTACGATCTCTAAAGGTAAATGGAGGTGTGCCCAAATACGACATCGATGACAGAGCACAAAAGTGGATAAGCTGCAATTAGAATTCCAATGCATACGTGTGTCTAGATCAGGCTTGGCTGGAGGTGCGGTAGGTACTATTATAGGGATGCACGAACACAGAATACCCCAGGAATAGGGCGTCAAACCTTGAAACACATTTCTTGTGTGTACACTTTGGTTATTTTCGCCAGTTCGTTAGTTCCGGTGCTCGTGGCATGCCCGTATTTAAACTCACCCTAATGTTTATTGAGATTAGCAAGATACGCTTCTAGGATATACCGGTAAACCCAGATAGACTGTCACCTTGTGGCCATTCACTCAAACGTGGTCAAACTCATAATCGAGCACCTATCTCGGCCCCTGTAAGATTACAGGAGGCCTAAGAGCCAAAAAGTTAGGCAATCGACTGGACGCAGCTTGAAAAATACACGAAGGGGAAATTTCTGCAAGGAGTTGGTGGACAATCGAAGACTCGGACAAGCTGATTCTGCGTGCGCAATTGTCCACATCGGGATCGGTGAACAACATAATAATGCAAATTCAGTGCTCAGCGGTGCAGAACCTTTTGAGGTAAAAATTACAAATGTTCTGGTTACATTGCTAGCATTCTTGGAATAGCGGGCTTCCACGAGAAGTCATACATCATTGATACATGCTGGTCAAGTACGTATCGCATCTCCATTTCCGCTTGATTTCCGCTGCAGGTCATGACCGGGGATCATACGAGAGGTCCAAGCTGGGGAGGGGGTAAAGTATTCACTCTGCGAGTTTGTGGAGCAAGTCGTTCTTTCGGACATCGGTGGCGAACTGACTAGCATCGCCCTTACGCCAATTTGGATGCTCGAAGCTGCTAGTGTGGCACCAAGGCTTCTCTCGCAGCTCTGTTTCAACTACGGTTGCGAATTTCTCCATCCAACCTTTCCCGGAGAACTTTGCGAGTGCTGTCTCCATCAACTTGGGATGAATGAGATTGGCGCGACTAGATCATTTGTTATTTGATCGGAGCAGATGAGAATAGGCAGAGATAGATTCTATGAAAAACACGTACAGTCCAACATTGTCTGGGCGTAGACATACACCATGAGCACACGTGAAGTGATTCCAAAGTTGACAACCCACGCACCCAATATCGTGGCCAACTGCAGGACTTGGCCGATCACAGTAATATTTCCGCTATTCGCGTTGTGTTAGTGTCAGATTCATCGATATAATGGCGCATGGTTTGGCTGACCCTTTCACAAAAATATCCTGGTGTCGAACAATGGCATCACAGACGCTGTCTGCTTGATCCTCTACACTGCCTAATTGGAGAAGTAGGTCTCGAGCCACGATTGCGCCCTTGAACTCAAATGATAGCTTGGTCTTCAAAAGGAATCGCTCCGCAGTACCGATATCGTGCAACAAGCAAGCGAGATAGTAAGTTTCGGGATCGAACGACCATGATGGGAAGTGCAGCTTCACTATTGCCATGCCTGTTCACAAACCATCAATATCAACAATGATGTACCTCCATAGTCCGTTATCAGAGCGCGGACCGTAAATATAAACCCTCTTAGAATGATTGATGGTTAGTTGGTCCAGCTCCCTCTAAAGACGTCTGTGAGCGCAAGCTCGGCGTTTTCCATGGGGCCCACCGTAACAAATGTCTCAGCCTCTCGTACGAGCGGTGATTCCGGGAACGGAAAATCTTCCACCGTCTGTATGACTGTAGCAGGTGCGTTTGCTGTGGGATGGTCACGAAACAAGACATCAGGATCGCGGGGGACCGGCGTAAATCCATAGAATTCGACTTGATCAGACATTTGAGCGAAGTTAGAGGGGACTAGTGTAGAATACAGCGTTCGCTTGTGGCATTTGTACCCCATCCCACCGCCTGAGGTCATATGGCCAGCAGATGGCCAAATCGCCGAATTCTGATGACTTCTGGGAGCGAAACATCACACGCAGCTAGTCAAGAAGGATCACCCGAATGTGGAGACGTCGAAGTGCAGAGCTGGACCAGGAGCCTGAAGGGACCACGAATTCTGGCGATAAAGCGTATTTAAGATGGCCTTGAATAGCCCCCCTATGCTTCCTGGGATTTCATTGGCGGTATTATGGTTGCAAACCAGTAAGTACGGCGTCACAAGCTGTCACCCTGTGACAAAACATGACTTGATCGTAACCGTGGGAACTGTTGTTTGTTTCTGCTTGCGACCAGGAAATATCAAACGCTCACTTTTCTCTTCAAACCTTCACCCTTTTGTTAAACTCCATCGCAACGTGCTTTGTGCACAGAAACCAGTCCGCTCTTTGCTCTTTCACCACCATGATCAAGTCTATCGCCATCGCCTTTACCGCCGCATCGGTCGTCCTAGCCCAGTCTTCAGTGAGCAATATTGGATTGAGAAAAAGAAAGAGGCTGACCTTGTTGTAGGCATCCTCTGCAGCAGGATCCCAGAGCACGTCAACAAGCCCTCTGATTCCCAAGAACATCAGCTCTGCTTGCACCTCGTTTCTCACGGACTTCAATCAAGATACTTCATTGAACGCCTGCACGGCACCTTTGATTAGTGCTACCAAGGCATTCGCGCCAGGCGGCCAATCGACCGGCTCGCCTACCAATGCTCAAATTGTTGCAGCGCTCAACACTTTATGCGCTGCGGGTTCATCGACTTGTAGCGACGACCAGATTCGCTCCCATTTGGCCAATTTTTACTCGGCTTGCTCGGCTGAATTAACATCGCAATCAAATCCCGATGTCGTCCGAACTTACGATGTTTTGTATATGTTGAAGCCTCTGCAAGGCGCTCTGTGCACGAAGAATGACAACGGCGATTTCTGTGCAACAAAAGCCAAGTTACCTGGCTCCACTTCTGCGGCACCCAGCGGTCTTAGCAACGCCGTCGCCAACACCGGTCCAGCCCCCGTTGACTACCAGAAGTATCTCTACTCAGAGCAGACGCTTACTCGCCGCGCCCCCACCGCTGCGCTCATACCTAACACCACCACGTACTCAGAGATCAACCTTCCCTTCCTCTTCCTCTCACCCGACGATCCTACCGAAACTCTTTGCACGTCGTGCACGCGCAGCATCCTCGTTTCGTACATCAACTTCGAGTCCAGTGTCCCGTACGCTCCTGGTCTCGCTGCCAGCCCAATGCTTAACAAGCAGCCCGCATTATATACTGCCATCACCGATAAGTGTGGTAGCAACTTCCTTGGTGGCGCAGTGCAGGCTGCAGGAGGTCTCAAGGGTGGCTTTTTGGACAACGGTGCTCCTCGAGTCATCGGTGGCGAGGCTGCCTTGTCTATCATGGCCATTGTTCTGGGCGCAACTGCTGTTACCACCTCCTTCCTTTAGATGGTAGTAATATGTGTGTTACCTCATGGTTGGGATGTAATCGTTCGACTTTTGATATTCTCTGCTAATCTTATTGCCACATACCCTTGTTTCGATGTTTACGTAGGGCAGACCTCTTTTGGAATACTACTTATGTCGCCCATACACGTTCGTCAATCAACTACAACTTGATGACTCTAAAAATAACAATGGCTTGTCAGGAACTAAGGAATCCCATCCCATAATTAAAATTCAATCCGTTGGTCTATCTGCTCAGTAATTGTTATTTTCAGTCAGACAGGTCACAGAACGGGCACCGATCAAATTATGCCAAACTTGAAATTATCAGTGCGTGCGGGCATCTCATTATTCGACGTGGTAGCCCGCATATCTCCCGCCTCTCACGTCAACGGCTGAAGGCGGTAAGCTTTAAGTGTCACTGATAATTTATATGCTACATAACTTGCCCGCTGACGATGCCCGAAATAACGGGGTTACGCTGATATGGCCTTTTTGTGATCTCGCCGCTCAAATCGCAAGCATCATGAACCTTATTCTAGTTATCGTTCGCTTCGCCTACCACACCTCGAACACACCTAGGGATTATCCATGATCATCGAAGAAAGTGCAGATTTACTTACAAGTTTGGGCTTCGAAGACCACGTGACACGACGAGGGCACGAGCCTCGAAGAAGTTGACCTATAGTATTCGGTTCCTCAAGCTCAAGTAGAAGGTTGAAGGTCAATAAAATGGAAACTAGAAATGCCTGTGGTCTCCGCCGACCGATAAGCAGGACCGTGAGGATGGCCTATTTGTCGTATGACAGCCCCCAATTGAGCTGTTCAGTCTCTTTACGCGATCCTTGAGCCAAGCCTATCCGAAACCCGACATGCTGGCTGATGGAAGTGCGTCGAGAAAAGATCATTGGAGACGTGGATGATTATTTTCATGCACTCCGTGATACTCCAACTGGCAGTACCTTAAACTTAATATAGGGCGGCTACGAACCACACAGCGGACGGAAGCTTCAGGTGGCGTCGCGGTCATAGAGAAACTCCCATTACCGTGCAGAAGGAGTCGACCTTGCGGTGAGAACGCCGCCATAGATTAGCTCCATATCAAGGCAGGGCAGATGAAAGATGAAAGCCTCATCTGAGTAGTCGCCGTGCCGAGTGATTCACTCTATCGCCCCAAACTCAAATCATCCACTGCTTCGAAAGTCCTAAGTCTGATTTACTGGTCTTTTTATTGTTTCGCCGAACGGCCGAGAGAGTATGCATACGCCACACCTTGAAGAAGGTTTGGTGCAGTGATTGCCGGGCGCACTGTATTGACAAGAAGTAACATCATAGATGATGAACGCCGTTGTCATACATTCAATAGTCTCAGACTTGGTGGAGAGCTGAACCGGACTCGGAGCGATTAACTCGGAAAGTAGTCTAGCATGCCCGCGTCATCTGCGGCCGTTGTCTACGGTCGGATACCGGAGGGGGATGCTACTTCGCGAGCTAGAACATTGTCACGGTTACGATCGCCTTCATGTTACGACTCCCCGCTGTAGAACTAGGAGGGGGATCGATGCTGCATCACGGCATAGAAAGGATAACTTGAATGATAGAGGGCAGCGAGAACTTCTCCAGTAGTTTTAGGCGAGCCAGACTTCATAGGCGGAGAATAGTAGCTCTTGAATGACAGCAAGCCTTTCGTAAATGGTACACATCCCAATACGTGATTACAGCATGAAGTTGAGCTGGGTGCATTTAATGCCCGTTATGGCTTCTGCCCCGATTGTCGTCGGTATGAGAATTCAGCGACTAGCTGAAATTCGGTTCCTTCGATATTCGTGGTCAGAACTGAACTGAAGCACTAGGCACTAATAGACGTACATGAGACGTTACATCGTAGCCCCATAGATCAGGATAGCTTCATTACGGAGAGTGGCCATCCTGGGATCTGTGTATCTGAATTGTTGTCCCGCAAGTCGACTGGAAAGAAGGGTCTTGGACGACAAGGGACCTCACTATCGTAGATTCGTATTATTGTGACTCACAGCCAACATTTTGATCAGAATTCAGTGTTTCATGGTCGATAAGCATCGGCACTCCATTGACGTTCAACACATTCAGTGGAAAGCATTCTAGGAGGATGTTTCCAGACCGTCTTTGGTCCGGTCATTGCTGATGGCGAGGATCGATCGAGTGTGCTAGCAGAAGTACGTTGTCACTATCGATAATGGAGCACGGGAAAATAACACTCGCCGACAGTGTAACACTTGAAAGAAGGTCCAATCGGCCATCCATACGGAACAATCGATTTGGTTCCGGCTGGGGATGAGATGCATCGTCTGGCATGCATGCTCAAGGTGACAAGGCCTCATGGGATCCTAGGGGGGGCCGCCGGAAATATCAACACGAGACAACCCTTGACGCGTACGAAAATAAACTCAGAGTCAATTGCTCGTAAGACTTCACGTTGAAACGAGGCGAGAAGTTGGAGGCTTGTAGCTGGCAGCAGCAGTTGTACTACCATTTGGACTGCCATACCCATGCGTGCTCAGGTCCTGCGGTGAAGTGCCTGTGGGTCCAGGCCGGATGCTATCGATGGGGACTAGTGAATAGTATCTCGACATGGATCTGGGACGTCTGTAGCAAGTTCTTAGGTGGAGGGAATCGGGACAACGTTGATAAGGAAGAAGCGCTGGAACGCCGCTGAGCCATAATACGGCGTTGTCGGTTAAAAATTAAATTCGTCCCTGCACTGCGTTGATAAAGAGAAGGACTTGTCGCACCGTGGTCCGTGGAAAATACAATATGCGGTAGACCAAGTGGAGCAGAGTGGTCTGAGATTTCCGTATAGTATATGGCTGGTCCAGGTGCTCTCAGGATAATATAAATCAGAAACCTCGAATCAAACATTAATAGCATGCTTCCATTTGGAGTGCTGGCGATATTTTATGCCTGTTCGCCCCCTGATACCCCTATCTGGTCCCTTTTTCAATTTTAGCGCGCGCTTGGCGGCTGAGTAGTAAGCGCTCAACGTTGGTACCAGCTTTTGTCCACTACTCACCTCGCGCACTTCGGTCGCGGCACGGTTCTTCCTCCCCGACGCTAGGCACAGCCAGAAAGTTGTATAGAACGGACTCTGAGATCCGCTTCGTTTTACCCTTGGAAGGATGTCTGCTACTTTGATATGCTCGGGAAAATTCGCGGCGAAGCAGCAGAACGCTAGAATTTCAGTGTCTGGTTTTTCTGGGTGCAGGTGAGTATCATTCTCTCGCCTGAGGGCTTGTATGACTTGAGTCTTCTCAACGCGCGTTGTTTTCTCAGAGTACCAGCGCAGCAATATGCGTATGTCACTGCCCGGTGGTTATCCTCGGTATAGTAACTCATACGCGCTCACGCGATGCAAATAACTCAATGTAGACGTACTAGCACAGACATCCTCACGGAACGGGATAATACGGTTGTCCCCCTCGTCGACAACGAAAAGTGCGCGACTATCGAGGAATGTGCTCATTGGGCCTTTGATTGTCGGCGGACAACGTCGAAGCCTTTGGTGGAAATCATCACCACCTGCGTCGGGGACGAGCGACGTGCCTAATGATGTAGACAGTGTCGCTGGTTCGTCTAGCACACTGTCGCCTCTGGAGCTCACACCCGCGACGGAGACTGCCTCGACTTCTGCGAGCGTAGCAGTGGACTCCGCCACCACTTCCCCAGAGACAACTGAGACCGCCGTATCTAGTGTGGTTGACTCGCTTCCTCTGGATGCCCCAGCAACACTCCTTTCATCACCTCTCCCGCTTGAATTCGGGGACCTAGCCGCGCTGGGACTAATCTCGTACACTCCTGCGGGTTTCATACGTTGGTCATTCGAATTGATTAACGTTACTACCGCCCTACCCTGGTTCCACACCATCATCGTCGGTTCTCTCCTCTGGCGTGCCCTTCTCACCCCGTTCGTCATCCAAAACCTTCAAAACACCGCTCGTTTACAGCCTATCCAGCCCAAGCTTCTCGAGCTCCGGGACGAGATGAAGCGCGCCAGCGAAAGTGGGGATAGATTGGCCATGCAGAGATGTGCGTTGAAGCAAAAGAAGATCTACGGCGATGCGGGGGTCAGCATGGGTAAGATGATGCTAACGCCATTTATACAATTGCCCGTTACGCTGGGTTTGTTCTTTGGTGTGAGGAAGATGTGCAGTTTGCCTGTTGAGCAGCTGAAGGAGAGTGGCTTTAGCTGGTTGCCTGATTTGACGGTTCCCGATCCTCTGGGTTTGTTACCTTGGGTGTTGATGGTTGTGGTCAATATTCAGATCTCCGTAAGTGGTGTATTTACGTTTAGATTTCTATTCTAGCATTAACCCGTCCAAAAGGCTGGTGCGAAAGAGATGAATCTCAAGGAAAGGCCGGAGATGGGTCATTTCATGAACGCCCTTCGGGTCCTTACGTTGGGAGGTGTATGGGTCATGGGTGACTTCCCTTCCGTCAGTATTTTTTCCGTCTCCGCTGAGAATGGGACTGATCAAATTACAGGGTCTCATGGTATCCCTCCTCGTCACCTCGACCGCCACGACCGCTCAGACACTCATTCTCCAATCCCCCACCGTTCGCCGATACTTCAACATCCCTATCGTCCCATTAGAGCACAAGGGAAAACTCCCATCGTTCAGACAAAGCATTCAATATGTTGTTGACACGTATCACAGCAAGATAGAAGAGGCGAAGAAGGCGCAACAGCAAGATATGATGAAGAGGAGGCGGTGATCTTATGGAATCTAACGGACGATGAGGATACTACCAAAAGTGCTTAGATTTATTTACAACTAATACGTTCTTACGCGTGGCCGTGAACCCCACCTCTTTTTTTCCGGGCATTGGAGACTGCGGCGATTGAAGGTCTTGGGCTATTTTCACTTTCACGTCCTGCAGTCCTGTGGTGACATTTGGAGTTGGAATATCAGCATGTGTGAATTTACGTAACTTGAACGACCTCTCAGGTCCTCCCTTGTCCTCTGTTGAATGTCTCCCGTTGAATCGGTACCATTCAAAGAAGACTGAAATAACGCTTTGTGGAACTTCCACATACCCCAGGAGTCGCAGAGCCGTAGTACTCCTAGATTTGAGTAGTAATGAGTCGTAGATACAGGTAAAGCACCGATTTGCTTCCACCCATCCTTGCTCACGGAAATCTGCGCTTTATAGAGGCCACCGAGCAGCTTCGTTTGAACCTGTCGATATAAACGAGCTCGTTGAACTACGTGCCCGGCAGCGCACGTTCCATGGCGCGTATAGTCGAACAGCCCTAGGCTGCTTGGGATATTCCTTGACAATACTTAGGCTGTTCGACCGCAGATTCTATAAGAGTAAGCACCGTTACCAGACCGAGTTAGATAGATCCTGATGCTCTGCTTCGGCTGGTATAGTTGGCCTACTCTTCGCGATCCTCGGCGGGCTGATGTTCGTGCTGTCGTTCCTGCGCGCCCGACATTCTCGACACGATTTCGCTGATTATAATGAGGAAGCGAAGGAAGGGGAAACTGAGACTGCCGAGAGCGATACCAAAGGGCGGCGGCGAGGGATGCGGGATGACTCTGATTCTGACGACGGTAAGCAAAGCCACGGCGCGATTCTACTTATCTCCGTAACGATTACTCACTCGCTCTCCTTCTACCCATTATCCCGTTACACAGAGAGTAAATGCGACATATACCGCACGTACCATTACGGCCCCCTCAAATACCACAACGTCGTGAAAACGAAAGGCCAGACCGGGAAACGAGTGTTCGGGCGCCCGTTCGTTAGTGCGGGATGGATCGTGTTGAGCGTGTCGGGTGTGGTGGCAGCGGTTGAGATTGGCCTGTTGGTTTTGGTGCTGAAGATGTGATCCATTCCCCCAATGCCGGAAGTATTGGATAAAACGGCCTGAGTTGCCGACGGTGTATCATGACCAGTGTATTTATACGACGGATTCAGAATGTTATGAGATGACGCAGATTGTGTCTGACGACCTAGCCTCCTTCATTGTCAGAAAATATTGACATTGGGGCCCCGAGGAGAGGATAGAAGTATGATACATGATGTCAGATATCGTTAGACACGCTATGGATGCCCAAAATTACATAGTTACAACACAAGGACTGATACATATGATGTACAACAGAAACGCGGGATCGAGACGACGAGCCGATGAATAGCAAGGAAGGAAAGCTGCAATGATTATGCGTGGAGATGGTTTTGAATGATTCTATTGCAGAGCGCGCAATAAGCAAGCGTATAGACCCATGATGCCCAGACCGACTCTAGATGGGAGGGGGGGTGGAACAGCAGTGGGGCTCGGTAGGTCGAGCTTTTGATGTGTGACGTAGCTTGAAGCGGCGAAGAAGGGCGAGTGGGGTTCACAATAACGTCTTCTTGAGCTTGCCTTTGCCTTTCACATCGTCCCCATGTTTGCTTGGTCCAGCTAGTTCCAATGCGCCGTCGTTATCGCCGTGAGTTTGATAGCGAACGTCTTCTCCTTCGGCTGCCTCACGAACTGCTGCCTCTGTAGCACCTCGAAAGACAATTGCTTTGTCTCTACTTTGAGCCGTCGAAGGCATGCTCGAGGTGACTCGGCGCGATGCTTGACTCGATTCTTGGCTAGCTGAGGGCTCAGTATTTGTTCTTTGTAACGTTGGTGGTGCTTGTGATCGTGCAGCCCTCCTACTAGCGGCCTCTTTCTGACGCATCCTTTGTTCTTGCCGTTTTTTATGTTCGATATTGAATCTCAATAACTTCATTGCATAGTCCACGACACGAAACTCCGAATAGGGAAGTGCTCCTACGGAAGGAAGTAAGGAATTGGGGGCAGAGAGACAATGCAGTGCCACTCACCAGTCTGGGCCAGCGTCTCGACTTCTTCAAACGACAGTAATACGGAAGTATATGAAACTTCGTCGGGCATCGTTGTACCTTCTTGCCTGACCTGTCGTGATAAGTAGTATTAAATTGAGAAACGACAATGCGTACAAAGATAAAACACGCAAAACATGGCTTACCGCGTGTTCGTCTATGAGCCCTGCATACCAGTGAACTAGATATTCGCCGCCACAGTCTACCATACGCCGTCTCTTGATACATTGCTTTGGCTTTGATGTACCGGCATCGATCCAAAACGTTCGTGCCGGGGACTGTTTCTGGGTCTCGTCACCTGCTGGGCCTCCATTGTGTTTCCGCGAATGCGTTTTCGAGCTAGGCGTTACTTCCACTTCCACATACTCATCAACCCACCTCGGGGGCCAATAGATAGTGGAGATCATGATCGGCTCTGTATCTGGGTGATCGCGCAAGCGAGGTGAGTGAGGGGGACTTGGCTGAGCCGTGTGTTTGTATAGGGAGAGATGCATGGGCCTGTAACCTGACTGTTGCATGGCTTTGAATTAGTCAACGAAATCATCTACGAAAGGGGCGTATCCAACTAACCTCCTCCCAGCCTTCTCTGAGGGCAGTGTGTTCGATTGTCTCCCCTAAATCCTTGCGCCCGCGAGGTAGAAAGTAGAAATGCTTCTTCGTCTCGTAACAGATAACGATCTTCCAAGTGACATCCTGGAATATCACCATCCCCGCACCGAGCATGAAATCGCCAGAACACCAGAAGGAGTCAGGAACTGAGGGTGTTGAGTTCTCCGATAGTTCAAAAGGTGGAGAAGGAGAGAGCTCTGGCGACTGCGCTCTAGAAGAGTTGGCGCAGTTCGAGGCGACGTTGCCACTGTGGGTGCTCATGATGGTAGGGAAGCAAGAGGAGATTGTGGAAATTGGGAGGCTCTTTATCCATACAAAGGGGTTAGGGGCTCATAGTATACAGTTTGTGAGTGTCGAAGAGGGGGTATATGCTTCTGTGGACGGAGGTGCTCGAGCAAAAGTGCACGGCGTACCAGGCACTGCGCGCCGATCCCCCTGAATGCAAGTAGGGGCAAACAGGAGCTTGCTTTCACGCCTCTAATTTGAGCATGCTCGAGAACGGGTATCTATGGGCGTAACGAAATGGAAGTGCGTACAAATGATGAGCTGAGCGTCATCCCAAGCGGGCAGTGTTCGTAGATATGCAGTATGCAGTACAAGAAGTTGCTTGTGCTTGTAGTACCAGATAATATACTTGATTGAAATATTGACCAAAGAAATGTGACACAAAAGCATACGGCAACGAGGAGATGTAGAGATGTCAAAAAATATAAGTAAATAAGTTAATAGATCATGTGCTGATTGAATACCAATGCGACACAATTACCACAAAACGTCGGGAACAACACGAAAATGCTCACATTAGATCAGCACGTCGAAGGTGGTCTCGTAGGATAGATTCCTCCACTGTGGGACAATTAGTTCAACAAAACACCCGTGGTGTCGCGTGAGTCAAGGCTTACCTGCCCCCAATGTCGCCGCCGTCGATTTAATATCCTGGTGGGAGATCAGCGACAGTATTGGGCCACTAAAGCCGCGTTCACTTACAATGACAGACGTTAGGTGGACGTAGAAAGGTCTTGGAACGGGTGAGAACTGTCTTGATATCTCCTTAAAGTGTTGCTGGAAATCTACACCCCGAGGGCCGAGTCAGACCTCGAGGCTTCACGTCAATCAAGTCCGGAGTCACCAAGCTACTCACATCTCGTAGCGGTCGGCAAGTCATTGCGTCTCTCCCCAAAACTTGGGACATGGTCTCGTATTCTGACGCCTCGCATCAGCTTGGCTTGAAGGAGATCGCATTTATTGAGGAACAAGATAATCTGCGTGCGCGAGAGTAGCTTGGTGGAGCAGACAGACCGCCATAATAGGTAGCTGTCTTCCAGGCGATTTACGTGACGGTCCTCGGCAAGCTTCTCATCGAAGCATGATATAGGAGCAAGGAAGATGATGGCGTCGACTGAAACACGATGAGATAGATTTCGGGGGGATGCAACAGGCACGTACCATCGTCAAAGTATGGATACCATGCGGCACGCTGCATTCATTCGAATTTAGCTGAGTTTCGCTGCTGATATATAGGAATGATACTAACGCTTGAACGTGTCCCGCCAACATCAAACATATGCCATGTCTGACCAACGGTCCGGCCTGATTTATCATAGATTAGGGGGCCATCATATTAACATGGAAGATTATGGAACTGGTAATGAGATACGCACCGTGATCAAACACAAATCTATACTCTTGTACACCCAACGTGCGCAGCCGTGCGCGAATAACATCATCGTCTGTCGGCTGGTATGATCTAACAGCCACACGCTCTGCATCATTCAGGAAGCTATACAACGAGTTAGCAGCGAGTTAAAACCAACCGTCGAGCTCATGGACAGCTGTAACCAAGACTTACAAGCCGGGTGAGTCCTCTATTCGGGCCTTTCGCCGGTTCAACAGCTCTCGTACAACAGGGTCCTCCCATATAGCTTTCATGTCCTCTCTACATGAAGCAATGACTTCTGTAATTTCGTCTTCCGTGTCCTTCTTCTTCGTCTGGTCGCTCTCAGGGCGTGCCGGCCGTACTGTCCGCAAAAGAGCTGACTTCCAACCGTTGTTTGAGTTTATTGAGAATTCCTGAAGGGCACGTTTCCGACTGGCCGGTAGCTCAAATGGTGCGGCAGAAGTAACGTCCGTGCTATCAGGTTCCAGGGAACCAGCACCAAGGCGTTTCTCTAGTTCCTTTTGTATCCGCTGCAGGGGACTTAGCCGAAGCTTAAGGACGCGGTGTTTCTCGCCAAACTTGAGTTTCGGCCCCGCCTTCGCTGGCGCTGCTTTCGGCACGGTTGCGATGTGGGTGTGGTCATCTATTGAGTCGTCGTCGCTGTCGTTGGGTGAGACGGGTGTCGAGACGGAAGAGGCCGACATTTCCTGGGTCAGCGCATCCAGGATGGCATTGACATTGCGAACCAAGTTGAGCTGTATCACCGCCCGCCACGAGTCTCGTTCCTCAGCAAATTCACGTTTCGAGTATGTGAGCTGGAAATCTAGCGGACAACCAGTGTCAGAGACTCCGCCGAGAGACGAAATACACGCAAGTTACTCACTCTTCAACGTCGCCGTCTTTCCTGCGGGCGATATGGCGGGTGAGACGATAGTCCCTGGGCCTGAAACGTTGGCTGCACGCACCAGACTCGCTCTGTCCCAGCAGGAGGACCTTTACTGGCCGTTTCTTTTTCCGCCTCGCTTCCTTTTCTTTTCTTATTTGCTCGTCGATCTCGTCACTTATTCTCTGCGCCTCAGCTTCCCGAGCCTCTCGTGCCTGCCGTTCTTCGGGCGTCTCATTGGGGGGCGGCGACATGGCCAGCGTCAACGGATCCTCCTCCATCGAGCGACCCATTATTGGTGAACTTTGCGGAATTAGTCGGGAAGGGGAGAAAGAAGAAGAAGAGACCTGCTCAATTGGCGTCCAAGTTCATCATATAGCTCGAGACGATTCAGATCACGACCGTACACCGCCTCAAACCTTCTCAGGAACGGGTCCAACCCGGGATCAATCCAATTTGATTCGGAGGACGAACTGGTGCACGCGTGCTCACGGTGCACCACCATCACCGGCGCCTGATGCCCTTTGATGCAAAAACTCTACGAAATTCTTTGCAGAACCGGACTTTGTGCCAGAAATTGACCGTGGAACGTGGAATTGCAGGCTCTTTGTAAATCATGGAGTCTGCGGTGAGCGTGGTGGCCCTTGGGCTTGGCCATGAGGACTACCACCGACACCGGGAGGCAAGCCAAACGGAATAATCCACTCCACGAGTCGCAAAACCTTTCGGCTTCACCCCGAGCTCATATTCCATGGTCGTCGGACATGGCGACGAAACGATATACGTCTGGAAATTTTCCATTTCGTTGAGCGCGACTCGGACGACGCCTCTGCTCTGTCGCGATGCCCCCGGACTCACACTATTCGGAAATGACAAGGCCAATCTAAAGCCCACATCAGTCAACTGCGCTACATAGACGTGCTGGCTGCGCCGCCCGTGGTCATTTTTCGTCAACTGCACGTCAATGGTCAGCCTTGCCTAGCAACCAAAGTCAAGGTTCATCAACGTCCGACCGACGGCTTGATGTCTTGTACTCAGCGAAATGCTGCAAGATTGCTTGTTGTCAAGGTTTGGCCTGTGGACTTCGAATTTCTCATCATCAACTGTCCGTCCCACCAGTAACTTCGTTTGTTGGCATCAAGTTTTCGCACCAAAGCGCGCTCCTTTTGGCCAAAAACATCCACAAGAACATTATGTCGTAAGCTAAGACACTTCAATTCAGTGTCGCGTTTCTAACCGTGAGCTTCCAAGTACCTCTAATGGTCAATCCTTCCGGAAGCGAAGCGCAGGAGATAGTCAGCCGCTACACTCGTGCACCGTATCTTGTGGGATAATGATCTACAGAAGCCCTCCTCTTCCGTTACCGCTCCGTCGCACCTGGCTTCCCGGCGAACCGGTTTGTGACCGCACGGTTGGTTTACATCCGCTTCCCGCTTCCCTGAATGTTCACTGATTTCGAGGGTAATCTGATTGTGGCCCTACAAAGGGTTTCATAGGGTCCATGAAAATACCATATGGCTGACTGTGGTGAAACGTCCCGATGCCTGAAGGTATTTGCTGGCGCTATACAGCTATGCGTAGTGATATTCACAGGAACTTCATGCATTTCAAGTGTACCACGGCATGCACATGCACTACATGTTTCGCAGTCTTCTCAGATTAGGAGCACCTGCGGAAGTGCACAATTGCAAGTACCACTTCGCTCCAACAACTCCAATGTACGCTTGGCACGATGTTAGTGTACCCAGGATAAACGATAGCCGTTTCCGGCGGTTCCATCAGACAAATATACGACGAATGACGTGCTACTTAGAATTCGAAGTCAAAAACATCCTTAATGCTGCCTACGAACGCGTTTGAAGTCGACAGACATAATACATACTTCCTAGCGGACCAGAGTGAGAAGGGAATACATCTGGACACATCGCTGATCCGGTACGAGTGATCCGTTCCCCCTTGGCCTGCTTCAGCGCAGGCTACATAAAAAGCGTCAGCATCAAACGTGTTGAGCACGGAGTAACCTCGCCACCATTGCAGTACCCAGCTTATCGATATGAAGAGTGTATAGTCTCGTAGAGTCCGACGAAGTACAAGCCGGTCATCATGCCTTCACACTGGACGTAGTTACACAGTCAGGGTCGAGCTACACCTTGTACTTACACACAGGATCGGTAACCTTCATATAAACCGGACTCGGGATCCCCTTGGGCTAACTCATTCTTGGGCGTATATGTACGACATATGTTGCCTGGTGCCCGTAACGACATGGGCGGTCAATATGCATATTGTACCTGCTCCACAAAATGGATGGACGGTGTCCACTGCATGTACACGGTGGCATGATACTGCACATACGGAGCATATTTTGAACACACTGTCATCCCATGACATGATGGAGTGATGGCATAATGCAAGCGAGTTCTTAGTCGTATTACTTCCGTTATACCAATGAAAGCTGAACTAGATCTCAGGCAAGAGTGAATATAGCCTACCACGGGGCACACGAACCGTATCGACAGCGGCAATCAGTGGTGCATCCGTGGCGACTAGATACATCAGTACCATCAATAAAGATGAGTCCGTTCACGAACGCCTCGCTATCTTGGGCACTTTTATTCCCGACAGTCAACAAATACAGATGAAATTCTGGACATTAATGCAAGGAGCGGGCGGACAAGAATATCCAGCTCGCGAACATTTGAGAAAAGAGGCAGTTGATTTGCGCGACATGGACTTTGGTGCCGCTGTCCAGGAAAGAAGAATACACTCACTCGCTCGCTCACAAAGCAACCTGCATGAGTCGTCGATTCGTTCGTTGGAAGGATACATCGTAAGAAGAGGAGCTACATAGGACAAGACTCGATCATAAACAATCGCTAGCGCAAATAACAATCAAATACTCGACACGGTCCAAAGGGATACACATAATAAATCAGGAACTACGGCAATGTGTCAGCAAATGGCGGTAACGGCGGGAGGATGTACCCACTCGGTCTTCTGCTTCTTCTCTGCATCATCTCGTTCGGCGACTTCACCATCCGGCGATCGTCGCTTGGTCCCGATTTCCACTTTGTCCGTCGAGTCCTTCTCCGCGGCCTCGCGTTTCTTCCTCTCATCCTCAACCTGCTTTCGAAGCGCCAGGATTTCTCCTTGCATCTCTCCCATCTGTCTCTCCATCTCCCCCTTCACACGCTGCAGTTCGACATTCTGGTTCTGGACCTCTCCAAGTTGGGACTGAAGATCACCCATAGCCTGATCCATGAGCAGCTTCTCAAGCGTCCACTTCTCGATGTTCCGTGCTTCGTTTTCTTTGAGGTGGTGGATATATTGGACGGCCCGGGATAATATCGCGCCCTTGGCCTTCTCGCCCGAGCCGTTGGGGACGATACGCCCGAGCTCGTTGATGCCTTCGTTGATATTACCGCGCCGTCGTCGCTCAACTTCTTTCTGTGACGGGCGTGAGTACGAAACGTGACGAACAAGTCAAAGCGTCTCTACGTACGTGGTTGTCTTTTCGCTGTCTGGCCCATTCGTCACTTCCAATGGCTGCTGAATTGCGTCCGCCTCTCCTCCCACCAGCTGAGTTAGTGGGGCCAGAAGGAGAGCCGGACTGGTCGTTCATCTGATTTCCTTCATCGCCATCTCCGCCGTCATCTCCTTCGCGAGGTCCCGATTCACCGTTGCGAGGCGCAGCCATCGATTGGGCTTGAATAGCAAGAGCACTCAATTGCCCGAGATTTGGGGGTCCTCGAGGGTGCGAGGATGGTCCTGGTTCGCTCATGGTGGGCATAGGAAGACCATGCTGGAGAGGCTGGCCGTGCGTCTGCACTTGGTGCTGGGGGACTTGGTGGCCTTGGAACTGAATGGGGAAGGAGGCCCCTTGCGAAAGGTTGGAGAGCGTTTGTGCGGCATCCGAGTCTTTATGGCCTTCAGCGAGCTGTCATCAAAGGGCAAGAAGGTTGCGTCAGATGTGAATCGCGAGAGATTGCGAGGCATCAAGGGTGATGAAAGCGTGATGAAGATAATGCAGTCACGTGTGGTATAGATTACTCCCTCCCATCTACATCTCCCTCTTTCTTCCCTTCGTGCCATCGACGTTCCCCTGGGATAGAGCATGCGAGTAGGGACATACCTTGGTGAATACAGTCGGCAGGTTTCGCAGCAGCGACATGATTTGGTTCTGATCGAGGTTTGAGATAGACACCCCAGGCATCTCAGTGGGCACAGCTCCGGCTTGGGGCTGCGCTGAGGCCGTCTGGGGAGACCCAGCTGGGGGCATGGTCTGTTCTTGAGTGGTAGGCGAAGTTGGCGCCATGGGAGGTCCGTTGATGTTGGGAGGGATTCGTAAAAGACTGGCGCGGCGGGGTCGGAACTGCGGGAATTCTTTTAGGGACGCTTGGCGAAGAAGGGCCTCTCTGGTGGCGGCTGGTGGTGGTCGCTGTCGATGATACCGAGCTCGCTGCCGCCGACGATGGCGAGTATGAGTTTCCACTGAGGGGGTTGATCACGTTTCGGGGGATGGGGTGACCTTCAGGTGACTTGGATCACGAGGTCCTCTTTATTACTTTCGCTTCGCACTCCGCTTCAAAGTCAGCCACCCACGCCACCATCACCGTGAGAGTGCGGCCGTAGTCCGATTGGTTATTCCACTTTAGTTCGCCTTGTGCGGCAAGCCTCTGCGGAGACGATACAGTCTGAGATTTGGGGTGCTTCCACTAACGAGGTCTCTGATGGCAGAAGTAGTAGGGGAAGGTTCAGATGTAGTTGTCCAGAACTCGATTAAATAATGTGTATCCTATACTATGCGCAATGGTGCCTCGCGAAAATACATACTCTATGAGGCTCGGCCGCCGCTAACCTCGCCTATGCCCCCACTCCTCAGCATCGGGCTCCGTGTGTCCACGGCCCCACCCCTTCTCGCACCCTCGAACCCTTCATCCTCACTATCCATCGGGGTACCGGGACCACTCGCGTATCCCCCGTCTCCTGATCGCTCGTCGCGCCCACCACCAAACGCGTTGATGTCAGCAGATCCACTCGCCGTCCTCTGATGAGAAACTCTCCGTGCTCTCCTTGCGTGGAATGTCCTGCTGGCTGTCGCATTCGAGAACAACGGCAGTAGATACCTCTCGTCGATGGCTTGAAACCACTCCGCACTGGGATGTGTCGCCATTCCTCCACTTCCTTCCTCAGCTCTATCATCGGTCTCTGCGCGACTAACCTTGACGTCAGCACCAGTACGCGAACCGCTTGCATCACCTAATCCAGCAGTTGGCGCCATAGGCAGCACCTCTCCCGCCTCCGAATCCGTGTCTGAGGAAGCAGCGCTGAAGATGCCCGGCGATGCTCCTTGAGGAATAAGCGGTGATGGTGGAACGCCTCGTTGTCCCTGCGAAGCAAGGTGGTGATTATAGTTGTAGTTGTAATCATTCGAATACGGATGCCGTCCGTTCTGGTCGGGGTAGTGCATTCCTATCCGTCCTCGGTTCCCGCGATATGAACGCGATGAAGAGATACCCCTCCCGTTGGCCAAATAACTCGGTTCATCGTCTTCATACCTGCCGTACCTCCCCCTCCTTCCACCCAACCACCCACTCCCAGATTCCTCTTCGTCACTACTCGTCGCAGCCTCGTCCTCCACTCCAGTCCTGATCCCCAACACCTCCAACATCTTCGCCGTCGTCCCACCGAACATCAACACCGTCAACACAACAACAACCAATACCGTCGTCCGCAACATTCCCGCATTCTTTCCCTTGAAGCCTGCCGCCAAAGCGACACCCACAGCCCCTCGTAATCCCGCCCAGAACAACATCATTTGGTACGAATGCGGTAATTCCTCCGAACGCTGGCCTCGTACATGGCGGTGAAAAAAGTTGATGGCCTCAGCAAGCGGGAAGACGGCGGCGTAACGGGTAAAGACAACACTGATAGTCGTGATCACAATGAAGATCGGCTTGATGTATGTCCCGACCTTCGCGTCCTGCGGCGCGCTAGTGAACAGAGCCATGCCCAAATATATAAAGATGAAGTTCTCAGACAACCCCGCCAGGGTGCGGAATATATACTTCGTCGCCCTTTGCGTCCGCCTGCTCATCGTGTGGTATGCGTAGTGCTTGAGCGTGATGCCGCAGAATAGCAAGGCGACGATGCCGGACATGGATACGTTACTCATCGAAAGACCATTGGAGAAGAAGTAGCAGGTGTATGCGGAGAGGGCGACAAGGGAGGTCTCAATATGGGGGTAGAGCCTGAGGTGCGAGTGCTTGAGGAGGAGGGATGTTAGCAGGCCGAAGGTGACACCAATGAAAAGCGACACGGAAAACGAGACTAAAAAGAGTCCGATGCTATGGAATACAGAGCCCAGATGGAACTCAGATCCATGGAAATGAGATAGTGTCCTAAGAATACGATTAATATGGGCAAGGAAGCACGAACGCATACTGTACTTACTCATACATAACGATACTCACGGCATCGTTCAGAAGACTTTCTCCGAAGATGATGCTGTATAATTTTGGGTCGACCTATGTCAGGACATTTAATACGAGTATTTCACGACTGAGTTCAGAATTCAGATGCTGACTTTGTACTGGTTGAAGATGGCGAGGATTGTGACGGGATCCGTTGCTGAAAGCGTGGAGCCAAAAATCAGACATTCCACGAGCCCAAGTTCAAGTGATTCTAGCCCAAGGAATGAATAAATATAGACCAAGACGCTACGTGCATGCAATCAGCACGACGTGGCGGGGCGTCAGCGGAAGCGAGGACACCTACCCTAGTCCAACAGCCGAAATAAATGTCCCAAGGAATGCGAATGTGAGGATGGTCCCAGAATTGCGAAAAAAGTTTTCCTGTGATATCGATAGATTAGCTCATGTAGAGTTATCAGCGCGATCAAAACGCAGACGCCAGTCTCGCGCGAAGGGGAACAGCGAGATGGCTACGTACCTGCTTTAGTTCGTAGCCTGAGTTGAGGATGATTGGCGGGAGGAGAAGGTTGAAGAATATCGTATGTTTGAATGTCTGTAGAGCGTGTTGTGAATGAGCCGTGTTTATGGTACGCCGAGGTTGGGAGATATTGGTGCTTGTGGGCGCATACAGTCCGCAGCATACCGCCTGCAGCCCTGTGCGCGACGTCTCCTCGCCTTCACACTAAAGGACGGACAGAAAATGCAGTAAAGCAAGACTCACCAGCATCTCCCTTATCATCCCGCCCCCGCCTGGCACGAGCCTAATCACCATGCCCACCGCCATCCCCGCAAAAATCGACACCAGCGTCTCATGCACCGCTCTGATGCGCTTGATCTGCAGGTAGTACGACGTCCACAGCGATATGATGAGAAGCACGCAGACAAGGAAGAGCGACCACGATGAGTAGAACTCCTCCTCCTCGGCGACAGGTTCATTCGTCGGCGACGGCGCGGCGCGGCTGGTAAGGGAGGGTGCGAGTGTGTCAAAGAAGTGCGACGACATGAAAACGGAGTGGTATGGGGAGTAACCTGGGAAATAAGGAGCTTTTGGTTCGAAGTGGAGGATGCGGGTCCCGACTTGCAAGCAAGTAATCTGCTGGGAAGGAAGGCTATGATTAGTTGAACGGCATCGAGATAAGATGAGGCGTGGCGAACCCCCTCTATTACGGCGCCGTCAAGCAATACACTGCTGGTGACAAAGGCGGCTTCGGTAGTGGTACTTGATGAACGATGCCTGTGGCGGGCGGCAGTGAGCCAGTTTGGCTTGGGAGCCACTTGGATTCCCACGGTCAGTGGCGCGATCAGGGATGGAGACTTATGTTCGTGATATAGAATCAAGCGGGCGCAGACGTGATTAATGCAGCTCAACTACGGGGGATACATATATCGCAAGAACCAGAGATCTAACAAAGGCTAGTAGGTAGTAATACACCAATACACAGTCAAAGAGTCAACATGAAGTTGTCACCGTATCATACACTTATCGAAGATACTCTCCCTTTTCTCCGCCTCTGCCCTGATGTCCCACACTTTCCACATCTTCAACGCCTCCTGGTACGCACACGCCGTGAAGACCTTCGTGCCATCGGGGCTGAGACAGCTATGCGCAATCACCCCGGGGTGCGCACCCGGAATTGTCAGGAGCCGTTTCCAGGACGGATACGCGTGCACGACAATCGAATTCGTCAGCGCCGACTTGCGTACGACCATCTTCGACCGCCACGCCTCGCGCAGTGTGTGACTATCGGGTTCCATACCCCCGCGGGTATTTTGCAGGACCTTCGGGGGTTCAAAGGAGGAGCCTTGCGTGCTGAGCAGCTCGCGGCAGTGGGGGGACCAGTGGAGTGAGAGGACGGATGTGTCGAGGGTTACTGAGGAGATGGGGGCTGGCGGCGAGGAGAGGGCCGACGCTGAGAAGACGCGAATCGTGCCTTCGGGGTATGCACTACCCGTCGCAAGTAGATGAGCGTCCCAAGGACACCACGCAAGGGCCTGCGGACGAATCATAAGGAAACACTCACTTCATCGACGTATTCACGCACCTTGACAGGTCCTCGATGTCTCATCTTCGAACTCCTCTTCCCAATATCATCATCCCACAAATTCTTGCTAGCCCTCGCATCCCAGATTCGAACGATACCAGATTTATCGCCACACGCCAAATACTTGCCATCTGAGCTCCAGCTGGTACTCGTTACTGTGGATTTATGGCCCTGAATCTGCTTCGCTTCGTCTTTCGTCCTGATGTCATATAGGTCAATGATCCCCCGTGCACGACCAACTGTCAAAACACTCTCATTCCAGTCCATGCTCGTAACACGAGCATCCCCATCTTCCCAACAAACATCCATGTGGTTTTTAGGTCGCTCATCCATCGCCGTATGCCAAACCTGCACGGTCCCTTCGTTCGTCCCTATTGCTAATAAATGTGATTGGCTCTTCCCGGCCCACTTCAGCGATAGCACTTGAAGACTTCTATCGGTAGGCAGTCGCTGCACGATCTTCGTCTCGAGGTTCTGATAATACACGCCGTCGTTGCACGTAACCGCGATATAGTTATCCTCCGACCAAGATATCGGGTTCGCGAACGTGTCGATAGGGATACCAGGCGTGTCCAGCGCCATTATAGATTGTTTATGCACGGCGAGGTTAGACGTTACCGAGGTCGGCCGGAGGACCGGACTCTGAGAGTACAGTTGGGATGCGGAGTCGCGCAGGAGGGTGTTGAGCTGCGTCTTGTGGCTAGAAGTCGATGGTTCCGAGTGGTCGTAGCTAAGTACACGATCATCGACGAGGTCGAACGACTTGGCGATACGCCGCGTCCTCGGAGTGATATCCAGCGGTAGCGCAAGTTTCGGACGAGCGGAAATGAAACGATCCGCCTATTGGTACGTCAGTTAGGTCGGATTTGCGTGTAAATGAGTAACTCACCGCTGATATGACACCCGTCCGCGGTCTGCCTTGCCCATCTTGCTCAAAGTCCAGCTCGCGAGAGAAGTCTGTTGAGGCAAGCGAAATCCTTCTCCGCTTGGCGGAGAACTTGTTCGTGACGGACGCCGGCGATGCGGGGCGCTTGTTGGCCGCCCTCTTCGGAGATTCGGTGCAGTTCATGGTACCCGATGAGTGCGCCCTGGGCAAAGTACTGGCTTCGGTGCTTGAAGCGTGTTGATGGTGGTGGTTAGAGATAAAGTGAAACAGGTCACGCGTCACGCGTGATCGAATGATCTCGCAAGTCCCGTGGGCGCGGCGCGCACAAGAGAAGATAGGAGGTAGCGAAGTGCGACAGATACTTGGGTAGCATTGAATATGATTAGTATATAGCACTGGGACAAAGCCTTTATGATACAAGTATGTACGACAAGAAGTATGAAAGCGAAGATAAACATCATGACTGATAAGAAACGAGCAAGTACCGTGACGACGTGGAAATTGGTGAAAGATAGGTCAAAGCGGCATAAGAAATAAGGTGGGCTTTGGGCTATGAGAGGGCTTCCCATACACCAAGCCCAGCAAAGAATGTCCCTAGAGAGACGAGGAGCCCTGCGTAGACGACTGTATGTACGCCGAGATGCGGGAGGACTAGCGGTGTGTGGAGGGAGGAGAGGGCGAAGTGGATGAGTATCAAGAGGGGGAGGGTGATGAAGAGGCTTTTGTTCGTTTGATTTTGTTCTGATTCCCCGTTTAGAGTAGGCATTATGTCGGGAGAAGGTAAGAGGGTAGATGTGGAAAAAGGCGAACGGAGGTATGCAGAGGCTGCGAGGAGGAATATGCCCAATGAAAAGAGGACACTGTTCAGCCGTTGCATGCAGGAAAGGAACACCGGTATTTTCTGCGTAAAACGAGGTCAGATGTTAAAGAGGTGATGATATACTGATATTGATAGTATACTCACGATGTATGGGATCCCATACAACTCTTCCAACTCGTCTCGAAGCTTGACCGCCATTAATTCCTCAAAGTCACGCTCGAGCTCGAGTTGAATCGCATCTTCTTCAGCTATGTCAGAAGCCCGCTGCTGTAAGGCTGATATCGAACTTTTTGTGCTTGAGATCCCCTGGTCTGGTGGTACCGAGCGGGGTGGCTCTGGACTTTGTCGCAGTGGTGCCTTCCCATTCCCACTGCTGGGTGTACGAATGGGGCTGGCCTCCCTATCATCCTCGGCGTTCACCGCCACCATAACGTCCTTGTAGGCAGCCAAGGCACCATATCCTTGCCATACCGCCGTCAAACCTTCCGCGAGAGCCCAGCCCAGTGCCAAGAACCACACTCGTACAAACGCGGGATCGCAATAAGTGGGGTGCCCGTGCGCATGGTGCAGGGGAATCTGCAGAATGGCGAGCGATGCTATGCATAGAATCAGACTGACCACGGTGTGTAGGAATGTGGAGAGCGCTGTTGGTAGCAGGCTTGAAGACGAGGCTGGAGTTGTAAATGTGGAGGCAAAAGATACGATAGTGAATATGGGCGGACGAGAGAGGTACGCCAGACACCAGAAAGCGAAGGCGGTAAGGAGTTCTGGGAGCGGGAAGGGGAAATAGGGGAGGTATGGGTAGATGGTTGAGGGATGTCTTGTCGAGTATGCGACCGAGGGGAGAATAGCGAATGATATCCACACCAGGAGAGTAGTCAAAGGAACCAGAGTGTAGATCAGCAGAAGCCGCGAGTAGGAGCCTATGCATTGTGCCAGCCGTCAGAATTGGATGTGGGTACGAGGAGGAGACCTGACCTCTGTAGAACCCTTGTTCCTCCAGTTCCTCCTCAATTTCAGCATTTTGCTCGCTGGAGTTATCCTCGTCGTCCTCTTCCCCTTCCGGCACCTGCTGCAGATACCGGGCAGCGCTCTCTCCTCGTATACGTTCGGGGCTGCTGTACACCGGTCTCCCGGCGTCGCTCGTTGCGCCGTAATAGCTATTGTGGTGACTCGTAGTTGGGCTAGTGCTGGTGGGGTTGAGCAATAAAGGTCTTCTTGGTCCATTCCAGTCAGGATCGTACGGTATCCCTTCGTAGTGCACATTCTCGCCGTCCTCCTTCTTTGAGCCCCTCCATTTCTTCCATGCGTACGGTGCTGCCGCTGCAATTTGAATAATCGAGGTTACGCCCATCCTCGTGAATAGCGTCGATTTGACCTGAAACGTGCTCCCAGGCCGTGCGCGTGTGGGTTAGGACGAAGAAATGAACACGCTCTGGTCACCTCAACATGGCGATAACCCGCGCCATCTTAGACCCTGAACGTGAACGTCTTGAGGCGTTCTCCCGATATATTTCCTTACGGACCAATGGACCATAGACTTGCTATGCAACACGGTGCTTGGGTTCGCTTTTTACCATTGATATATTTGTTATATATTTGTCACTGCAAAGGATTAGTACGAGGACCTTTTCCCCTCGCCAACTTGTCTGAAAGATCAGTTTCGTAGACGCTGTGGGAATATTTTCCAGACCCTGAGGCGCTTTTGGGACAGTCATATTTCGTTCACCACCATCACCAACGACAACAGCAATGGCTCCGGCAGCACCAGGAGGTCAGATACCCGCCGACACCAACGGAATTCACCTGAAATGCTCACGATAGCCCCCTCTTTTGCATAGAACCTGGAGAAGGTCACAAGCCGCAGCCTCTGGGCGGGAACATGCCCATGATCTTCCTATTCACGACATGCACGCTGTGCGCACTATTTCTCCTGTGGAGACGCGCCGAGACGCTACGGAATATCGTCTCGCAGGCCCTTCAGTGCGTACTTTGAATTAAAGACCTGCTAAGCGAGCTAACGCTATGCGAACCGGCTTGTGTGCACCCGCAGTTTAAAGACATGGTCAAATTCAGAGGGCAATATCAGGCTCAGTGAAGACGACGGGCCGTCCTCGAGGGAGTTCCTGGATAATGACGACGACGACGATGCTCCTGTGCTGGACCTGACGGACTCACGCTCGCTGATGGACGTGTCGTCGGAGGCGCGATTAGCATTTTCTGATTCGCCACCACGGAGCCCGCCCCCACTGCCGATTCCAGCCTCGTTGCCAACTGCAACTAGCGGAGCGAATATATAACCTGTTGGTGGAGTGTGAGGGTAGCGGATCTGTGTTAACGTTTGTATTCTACCCTGTTATGTTGCGGACGGACGCCATCTACTTACCTAATGTCCACCCTCACTGAGGCAATAATTCAATATCTGCTGGCGAAATGGCGCCGGCTGCATGCACTGGATTGAGGAGAAGACGAGGGCCCCGCGCTCCGCCGAGATCTCGAAATGCTAAGCCGTTACAACATCGTGTTATACCCCTCGGGGCTCATACCTTCTCGGGACTCATATGCTGGAAGACACCCATCTCGTTATCATGATCAGGCGCCGCGACACTGTCGCATCAGAACTATGGGGGCAACTCCCGAACATCGTCCGAGTATCTGACTGACGTCCCGGTGCTTGTGTTCGACTAATAACACCTAGCGCATCCTTTGTCCAATCTGCAACGACCTCGCGCACTTGTTAATCGATTATCCTTCTGTCATCTATGTTCCTGAGGCTACCCTGCTCGTCGATTCGACATGTATATCGTCGCAATACATCAGTCTGCGACGATGCTTTACTGAATCATGACTTTACTCCCTGGTACCAGGTTGCTTCCTTTCCTACGCGCAGGGAGTTGGGCCTCCACACGCACAACGCCCCGGCGTAACACACGCAATACCTCTACGACGTCTAGACTAGCGACCACTCCCTCACGCTCCTTGGCGGCCGTCGCGACGTATGTGTACAGACTCGACTTGCATCTTGTACTAAAGCGGAACCCCACAGTGATACCGACACACATACTTTCTCTCTCCCATTACTCGATTATACCACGCCGCATCCAGATTCCTCCTTACTCAATACTGACGCTCAAACGTTCGTTGGTCTCTCTGGCTCGCAGATCATTCTAAACGTTCTCGCCCGAAACGGCGTTGAGCACGCATTTGCATACCCTGGAGCAGCCAACGTACATCTTCTAGATGTCGCCTGCACAGATGTCCGCATCAAGTTGTTCATGCCTCGCCACGAACAAGGCGCAGGGCACATGGCCGAAGGATACTCTCGCGTGGCAGGTAAACCTGGTGTTGCTTTCGTCACATCAGGACCAGGCGCCACGAATGTAATAACCGCGTTGCAGGATGCTATGAGCGATGGCATCCCCTTGATTGTCATCGCTGGTCAAGTCGCCTTAAAAGAGCTGGGGACTGGCGCATTCCAAGACGCCGACATCGTGAGCATGACTCAACCGTGCACGAAATGGGCGACCATGGTGGGAGATGTCGAGGACCTACCAGCGTATATCGACGAGGCCTTCCGGATCGCCACCTCCGGTAGACCAGGTCCAGTGCTGCTCAGCCTTCCTAAGGATATCCTTGCAAGCACTCTTCGTGACGACGGACCACGGATAAAAACCATCATATCACCGTCCCTTCCTCTCCAAATTAGGCCTCCACCACCTCATTCGTCCAAGCCACCCGCAGCCCAGGTTCTCAAGAGCATCAGCGAGGCAGCTGCGCGTATCAACAACTCAAAAATGCCGCTTATTATCGCTGGTGTGGGTGTTTTGTCGTCTCCAGATGGTCCACGGCTCTTGAAGGAGCTGGCCCTTCGAGGCAATATCCCCGTAGCTACAACTTTGCACGGTTTGGGTGCCTTCGACGAAGACCACCCGCTTAGCCTGCATATGCTCGGCGTCCACGGGAGCGTGTACGGTAACTACGCTGTGCAAAGGGCAGACACCATCCTCGTTCTAGGGGCGCGTTTGGACGACCATGTCACCGCAAACATCGATGGGTTTGCCCCTGCGGCTCGATCAGCCGGGAGGTACGGTCGCGGCGGCATCATTCACTTTGAAATCGACCCCAGAAACACGAATAGGATCATCGACGCTCACATTCCAGTCATTGGTGATGTGGTCGAGAATCTCAAGATACTCGATCCGTTGATCGAACCGCGTGCTCGTAACAATTGGCTCGAACACGTCAATGAATGGAGAACCAAGTTCCCTTTCGTCTATGAGCCTAGTGCTGAAGGTCAGCGATTGAAGCCGCAAGAGGTAGTAGAAGAGTTGGATAGGCAAACGGCCGGTATGAAGGACGAGGTGCTGATTACGACCGGGGTCGGGCATCACCAAATGTGGGCTGCGCAGTTCTATACTTGGAAGGAGCCGCGATCGTTGATATCGTCAGGGGCTCTTGCGGTATGCCCCTCTCTCCTGCCTTTACCCCTGTTGACGATTCCGCTAGACCATGGGCTTTGGACTTCCTGCTGCAATCGGTGCCAAAGTGGCCAGACCAGACAGGATTGTCGTGGACATAGATGGAGATGCATCTTTCCTCATGTCAGGCTTGGAACTCGCCTCTGCCGCTGAATATAGCATCGGCGTGAAGGTGCTCATAATGAATAATAACGCGCAGGGGATGGTTTACCGATGGCAAAGTAAGTTCACTCAGACTGGTGCTGTCAATTCTACTGATATACTTCGTAGAACTCATGTTTGATGATCGCTTTGCGTTGACCCGCATGGCCAATCCAGATTTCGCGCTGCTGGCTCAGTCAATGGGCGTACACGCTATTGAATGTCGAACCGCGAAAGAACTTCCGGAAAAGATGAAAGAATTTTTGACGTATGATAACAATCTTCCAATTGTGATGGTTTGTCAGGTCGATGAGGAGGAAGCGCTGTATCCGATTGTACGCTCAGTTTCTTCCGTTTCTTCACCGTGTCTGAATCACCACTAGGTTCCACCTGGAAAAGCTATTCATGAGCTCGTCATGCACCCATCTCTGCCACTCAATCCTGTATACAAATAAATTAAAGATGTAGGATCCGTGAACAACAAAATACACCCATACGTAGTGGAGCCGGTATACTATATGTAGTATGTAGAGTACTTTCTAGAGCGTTACAACAATATCCAACATGTTTCACGTTCCATGCATTACAATTACCGAATTAACTTCGCGAAACTCGGCGTCTTTTTTATTTCCTTGCGCTTTCCCCAGACATCGTACACCTTGATTTTCTTTTCGCTCGGGAGGGAGAACGCCATCTTCATGCCAGTAGGATTCAGGCAACCCCCCGAGACGCCTTTGATTCCTATGGCGATGGGCTCCGTGATGATGTGGCGGAGCATTGGCAGAGAATGGACGGAGATGGTATTGCCGGTGAGGCCCCGGGGCATGGGGCGATCAGCCTGAACGCCCGATGTACGAGCAATCACTTCGTCCGAGCCTGGACCATGGGTACTCAGGAGCTCCTGGCATTCGATAGAGAAATAAAGCCCAGTGATTTGCGCGTCCATTTCGATTCTTCCGGGCTTGGCGGCATTGCATACCGGATCGGGATGAGTGACGAGAGGGTTACTTCCCGGTGGAGGGAGTGAGACGTCCCACAGGCGTATTAAGTTCTTGCCCTTCGACGAGGAATCGCCAGTGACGAGCAACTTGGGCTTCCATGGACACCAAGTCAGAGCCTGAGTCAGGAAGTATGAGTTTGAGGCAAGGTCAAAATGGGACGGCGAAAAATACTCACCGTGATCGGTCCGTCGTGCTGTATTTTCTTTCGTCGCTGGACGAACTCGCCAGTATCAAGGGGAGTACGGCCCCGGGCATCCCAGCAATATACGGTCCCGTTCGAATCGCCGCTAGCAAGAAGTCGTCCATCGACGTTCCAGGCAAGGGTTGAGATATAGGCCTGATGCCTTGTCACCCTCTTAGCTTGTTCCTTCATTTTCGTCGAAGGATTGATGCGTGTGTCAAAGTGACGTATGCCACCTTTCTTGTTTCCGACACTAAGGATCGCGCCGTTCCAACTCATAGCCGTTACGCCCTTGGTCGAGAATTGCAGCGTCTTCGTCTTCGTGCTGATATCCCACAGCTGTACGGTGCCTCCGGATGTGCCAACAGCCAGCATGTTAGGCACGTCAGGGCGGCATTCCAGCGCGGTAAACTGGCCCGATTTTTCTTGCAGTCTGCACAACTGGAATACCTCCGAGTCTTCGGCAGCTGACATGTTCTTGTAGTGCATGCGGCTTCCTCGGGGGAAAAAGAGAAGGTTGTCGGCGGACCAGAGCATAGGTGGTGAGGTAATCGGACCTTCAGTAGGGGGATCTGGGGGCGTGTAGTCGATGGTCGTCCTCGTTTCCCGGAAGAAGTGTTTTGCTGATATCGCAGAGTATATGTAATTAGTTGTGTAAGCGGACACGACTGGCGTTGCTGCCCGACTCGGAGGGTCCAGCCCAAGGAAGGGAGAACTGATGCGTGCGGGCATTGTGAATCTGTCCTCGGCTTCGTAATACGCAGGCGTGACGCTCCTTGAGCTGCTGCGAGACGACAGAAAGCTCGCTGAAGAGGTTCTGCGCAATCCTTGGCTTCGAGGAAAGCGCCGTAAATCGGACGTGATCGTAGACATGCTCGCCGAAGAAATCGATGCCTACGATGCATTCAATTATTGCGGAGAAGTCGCCAATGGAATATGTGCGTACCATTGAGACATCAAAGCTGGCGCTGCCAGCAAAGCTTGAATCTCTTCGAAGGCGTTTATTGCCGCCGCCGTAGATGGGATCATCATCGTTAAACGTAGAAGACAAGGTGCGCTTGCGCACCCCGCTGAGGGAGTCGAACGGGGGATAATTCATAGTCGTGGTGGAAGTCTGGGATGAAGAGCTTCCAGCAGAACTACTGTCATATGAAGAGGGAGGTTTCTGTGACCGCAATGAGCGCCGGGCTTTAAACTGAGTGACCGAGGGTTTGTCCATATTTATGCCGCTGCTGGCCACGCTTATGTCCGGTGGCTTGGTTTGAGGGGGACTGGCTACAATAGAAGTGGCATCTACCTGCCACATTTGAGCCTATATACTGACATGCGGCAGCTTTGGCCATCGCCACCCGTAGTGGCCCTTTACGCGAGATGGGCCAAACTTCGCAGAAGAGGCCCCTATCCTCTTGGGACAAATATGCCACAATAACGCGTCCGCGTCTGGTACATTTGCCATGTGGCCGCGACAAGCCCGCTCATCACTGGCCCGCCACTTCCATGGAATCTGCGACCACCCGAACGCAGACAGAGAAGCAAAAGAAGGAACTCCTTCTGAAGCAGATTGCAATATTGCAGGGCGAACTTTCCAAATTCCCCGACGCCCCCCCTCAAGAAGCGCCATCTTCACCAAAGCGCAAATCACCGGAGCCCACACTACTCGCACCGCCTACGCCCTCACCCAGTACGCTGATCTGAACTCACTTATTCTACCCTGATATGTCTCATCACAACTCATAGAGAAAAAGAGAAAAGTCGACCCGGCACCACACGCACCTTCGACATCGTATCACCGTAAAGCCGTGGTTAGCAAACCGGTGCTCCAAGTGACGCCGCAAGTACCTCAGCCTGGCCCATCGACATTCTTGAACCGGTTGAAGAACATTTCTACGAAAGAGGAATCTGAAGTAGCAGTGGTTACCCGATCCTCTGCATTCGCCGAAAGAGCAGAACCTCCAAAGCGAGACGACGATCTCGCCCTCATCGAGGACTTTGAAGTTGGGCCGTACAACCACAAGGCGCCTTTTGATGACCCACATTTTGAGTCTTTGGAGCCTCATTCTGGGATACGTTTATCGTGCGTTAGCGTCATTGTTGTCATGGAAGGCGCTGACTTGTATGTAGCTCGAGGATTATTCCATACGAAGACTTCCAAGACTACCTTCGGGGGCGTGTCTACATCTCCCCATCTCGACTCTACAGCTGTGTCCGCCTACTTCCCGATAGGCAAGCATATGATGTTCCTGTGCCCGGCGACTGGGTCACTGTCGCCGTTGTTGCGGAACGTGGTACGATCAAGTTCTCCAAAGCTCCTGTAGGGGTCAATGATGAAGAGGGTGATTCTGCGGGAAAGGGCAAGAGGGCGAAGGAACCTCCACCGAAGCCAAAAGGCAAGAGATACGTCAATCTCAAACTTGTCGACTTTGGCGCAAGATCGCGCCCGAATGCTGGGTCGACGACCGCAGCCATACGCGGAGATGCATTTCTATCTCTACTACTATTCGAGGCAGACAAATTCGACCTGGTCTCTCGTGAGGAGGGGGATGGAGCGCTGACGGGGAAGATGGAGAAAGTGTATAGAGGAGGGAGCGGAGGTGCATTCGAGGCGTTGTCGAAAGTGAAGGAAGGAGACGTTGTCGCGCTTCTTAATCCTAGGATTCTCAAACCATTCCAAGTATGTGTATCGTCCTCACTCGTTTCCTCTGCTAACTCGTCCATCCGCACAGAGAAGTGAGGATACCCCACACCCAGTAAATAATATCCTAGCTGTTACACCCTCATCAGCCGGCACGATCCTTGTGCTTGGACGCTCGAAGGACTTGGGCATGTGCATGGTAGTAAAGAGGGACGGCAAAGTCTGTGGGTCCTGGTGCGACAAGCGGGTGAGTGATGCCTGTGAGTTTCACGTCCAGACAGCCGTGGAGAGGCGAAGGGCCAGTAGACCAGAATTCAGCGCAGGGTACGTTGCATCGGCTTTGTACATATTTCATCTTGCTGACAGTCCGTCCAGAACATCTGGGATGTCAGTGTCAGCAGTTTCCAAGCGAAAGCCTGCATACGACCCCGCTCGACAATGGGGTCTTGCACCCGTTGCTAGTTCTTCAAGTTCGGTGACGACCTTTTCGGCCCCAACATATGTTGTTTCTGGGCACGTCGTATCCTCCAATTCAGACAATATAGGACGCGAAGGTCAAGCAAAAGCTCAAAGGAAGCTGCTAGCCCACGAAGCAGATCAGACTCTCAAGAAATTACTGCGAAATGATAAGGAAGGGATGAAGGCGGTTCTTGTTGCTCGGAAAGCCGGGCTAGAAGTGCGGAAGCGAGCTACGAGCGATATTAAGGGTGCACAATGCAAACGCAATGGAAAGCGGAAAGCGAAGGAGATCGCACCCAAGAGCGGCGAGGATGATAGTGGCAGCGATGAAGAAATGGAGGAAGATGTAGAGACAAACCATATCGCGAAGAAGCCCGCGTACTCGGCCGAAGTAATCAAGAAGCTTGGTTTCGATCCACTTGCGAAATTCACCCGACAGAAGCAAAGCGAAACTGTCAATACTAAAGTAAGTCACTTTCGTTTGAAACGCGCTATGAGTTAATCAGGTCTGTGTAGCTGGAAGCACTAGCGAGCCTCCAGAATAATCGACAATCAAAAAGCATCGAGCTTGGTCCTCGACCTGGGCCCAAACATCGGAGCAGTGTCAAAGTACCGAAGGGACAACCAACCAATTCTCCGTCCGCGCCTGACCTTGTGAAATCGGACGCAAATGCAACAAAGCCGGCCGAGAGCGGTATGATTGATCTAGATGACTTTTGAAGGAGACTGATTAATCGATGTGTTCTGAGTATGTATGGTGAGTGAATCAAACGATTTACATCCTATCGTTACTCATATCTCGCGCAGCAATATGTATCTAATCACGTATTTATATATGGAAGGAGACTTACTGGGTGGTTTCTATAACTTGCCTCAATTTGCTGGCCGTCATCCTTTGTCGTGGTTGTCTTGCTTCAACGATAGTCTTTGCAGTTTCACCCTAAATAAATTTCAGGGGCGAGCTCACGTTTCCTCTAGCGGGGTTTCGTCGGAGCTCCAAACGCCTACATACATACAGTCGCGATTTTTTTTCTGAAGTTGACCTCGATGTCGTCGCGTGCGATTGCCTCTCAAACGCTGTAGTAGACGATCTTTGATGGTGAGTCGCCCTCCTTCTCTGTCTGCTGTGATGATCCTCCTTTATACCATACTTTACCACATTCCGAAGCTTCATGTGGAATACATAATCGATTTCAGCCTTGTCTGATTTTTTTTGCTGCATACATTTGCGTTAAACAGTGCTAATGCGCATTGCTCTTCCTTAGGCCCGTATGCGGACAGTCGGATGATTCGTTGGCTACAGTGGTGAGCATCTTGTTCTTTACACTTTCTTTTCTTTCTATTTTTCTGTGGATGAGATTTTTTCGATGGGCGGACACGAATACTTCCTGGCCATACCAAAGTCTCTTAGTGTACAAAACGGAGGCGGTTTAGGTTGTTTGCTGAAACGCATCGAGTAACTGAGGATTCTAACTTTGTATCTGTCATCGATTTGGATGAATGATTATCTGACACACCTTCACAGTTTCCCGTGTCAATGACTTTCCCTTTTTCGAAGGATGTATTTTTACCTGCTGTACACATATGGTTTGCAACCAAATGAATTTGAACCTTTGCAATGCCGTGTGACACGAGTGTTTCTGGGGAGACGCCAAAGATGTACGACAGTACAACGACGGGGATCATCAGTCTGTTAGATAGCTGGTAAGTGGCGTCTGTCATCGATCCCTTGTCTTCGTCCAATTGTTCGCGACTTATCTATCGTCTGCTGCACATGACAGTTCTGTGTATCTCGGGAATCTTTCCCACATGTCGCGGGAGCACCCACCCCAGTTCTTGCTGAGTCTGGTTCTTCGTGGATGCTTGAGACGCGTTCCATCGGTTATCCAACGCTGTCCGTGAGACGTGCCCCACTCTCAGCTGCAACTATGCGAAGATAAGATGGCAGTCTCCCCAGTCGTTCTCACCAGAGTAGTGACAATGTTCCGATATATCCATCGATGGCTTCCTGGAAGAATCTCATTTACAAACCTCAGATGAACAGGCCTGAAGGGAACTACTTTGTCCGAAATCTACTTTCTGTATCGATTTCATTCTTCGGCAAGTCACCCTCGTTTCTTCTCTCGGCCAACGGGTCGCCGAACTTGTTCCAAACATTTCACCCACCTGTCCCCACTCACATGTCCAGTATCGGTGATTTTACCGACGAAGTTGGCCAGACGCTGACTGAGGAAGTAAGTTGTTTCGGGCACTGAATCTCTTCCCCGCCGAAGCATATATTGATATTCGCATCTTTCGTAGCTAGAGAAGGACCTTTCATTAACCTCATTTCATGATCTTCGGCCATGACACCGAGCCTCAGAACAACCACTCCACAAGCTGCACAGAAGCTCATTGACGGATGCTTCTCATCTTGTCTTCAATGTATCCAAGACTTCGTATGTAAGGTTTGATTTCCCCCACTGGGGCACATGAAGCGCGGCTTCAGTAATCCAAGGTCCCTCGGCCTGTAGCCCGGAAAGCTTGGTGAAGGTTGTCAGACTTGTTATTTTGAGCTAAGTTCGCTCCATGTTCTTCGATCCAAGGAATCGCTTACCGTGGATGTATCCGTGGTCCTATAAAGCTTCGTACAATCTAAGTCTGACTGATTTTCCAACACCCTTCCATGCCATTAATGGGTCAACTTTCTAGCTCCTTTGCACCAGTTTTGGGGGTTGCTTTGAATCTCGTAAGTGCAGTCGTCCGATCGTATCGTTGTTCGACTTACCGTCGAAAGTTATCATATTGGGTCTTCAAGCGTTATGAACCCAATTCCGTTGGAACCGTGACAGCGCTCCTTCTGGGCGTACCCGTGCTGGTCTCCAACATAGTGGCTCAGCATCCAATATTCTCCAGGTGTAACTATACCCACACCATCCTCATCCTCATAGTGACACATAACATCCTCCTGGCGTGCTTTACTGCCGCTTACCGCCTATCTCCTTTCCACCCTCTCGCCGCCTTCCCTGGACCTGCGTGCGCTAAGCTGACGAAATTTACGGTCGCGTGGGTGACTTCGAAGGGAAAGCAATATCAATTCTACCGCGCTCTTCATGATAAATATGGCGACGTCGTACGGATAGGTTTGATTAAACAGGTTCTCACACATTCGGACCTGACTGTGATTAGGGCCGAACGAGTTGTCAATTCGGCATGTTGACGCTGTCGCACCAATTCTTGGTCATGATGGCTTGCCTAAGGGACCTTGTGAGTAGAATATCACTGTCGATGGAAGTTAGCACCCATTAGACATCTTACACTTGTAGTTTGGGACTACCGCGCGGACGCAGGCTCGCACCCTCCCTTGGTTGCCGTACGAGAACCCAGAGAACACTCGAAACGACGTAAACCTTGGAACCGAGCATTCAGTCGAATCGCACTCCAAGGGTACGAAAAGCCTCTGTTAGGCAATATTGAACGCTTGACGGAAGCCCTCGATGCTCGCACCAATCAGATCGTGGATATGACGATGTGGATGGGATATTTTGCGTAAGCCTGACCCTATCATATGCTTCCGGTGGCGTGCGTTTACAATGTCACTCAGTTTGGATTTCATGGGGGACATAGTGTCAGTGTCTTATCTGTACTCTGGGTTTGCGTCTAGAACTTACCGTTGGCTTCGATGACATGTCAGGTTCGGTCAGCCATATCGAATTTTGGAGAGTGGGATGGACGCCCAGGGGGTCCGTGGAATACTTGAAGATGGCGTAAGGTGCGCTTGACAGCTGGAATCCCTCGCCCGCACGGTTGAGACTAGGTTAGATCGTCTGCGATTACCGGTCAGATACCATGGGCAATTCCCATACTACGATGGCTTAGAATCACTGCATATGACCGTATGAAGCAATATGCACGATCAAGCGCCTTAAGACGCCTAGAAGACACGGAACGGGCAAAGGATATTTTCCACTATCTCGTATGTTGATCCATTTATTTCAATGCTGCTCATTTAATCCCCCATGAACCAGAACGACGAACAGGGCGTTCAGTCTGTTCAGCGTCCACTCGCCCTTGTGGCATCCGATGCGGGCCTGGCGATGATAGCAGGATCCGACACAACCACAGCCACCCTGTCTGCAATGTGGTATTGTCTTTTGTCCAACGATGTTGCCTACAAACGATTGCAGCAGGAGATAGATGTCGCCTTTCCCACCGATGAACTTCCTACCAACCTTGGGACCATGGCTTCCATGCAGTACCTCAACGCGTGCATGTAAGTTTTCATACAGACCCTTTTCGAATCATCCCTGAAGAAGTGTCACTAGCAACGAAACTTTACGATTATTCCCTGCTCTCTTAGGCGGCGCTCAACGGTCCGTTCTGCCTGGTACAGGTGGAAAGATGATCCGTTCCTTGTACGTATACCATCCCTCTGTCAGTGCTATATTTATGTAGCCATCAATCAATCATTAGCTTTGTTCCCGAAGGAACTCAAGTCTTGGTTCCTGCGTATTCATTGCACCGAGACCCTCGTTGCTTTTCTCCGCTTCCAGATGCCTTCTGGCCTGATCGCTGGCTGCCTGAGGGAGACAGAGCGTACCCTCCGAGCATCTCCCAAAACGACCCCTTCGTCCTCAACGCTGCCGCTCTTATAACATTCTCTCATGGGCCAGCTTCGTGTGTGGGTAAATCTTTGGCGCTGATGGTTCTTAGAGCGGTCGTCTGCTCCCTCGTTCACACATTCGACGTGATGCCATCTGGGGATATAGGGAGCTGGGAAGAACATATAGAGGATTATTTTACGGCGAAGTGTGGTCCATTGATGGCTGTGCTGTCCAGAAGGAAGGAAGTCCAAGGAACTTGAAATGAAGGTAGCTACAAGAAAGTTACTTGTTAAGAAGGCATGCATACGTAGTCGACTGTTGTTTGTACAATAGAGTAGAAATATCGATCACCTCTCGCATCGAGCAAATAACGTGATAACACACGAGTGGTAACACGAAATTCCTAATACCTGATTTCTCATCAAACTCTGACGCTCTCTGGTGGACCTAAGTAACTGGGTCGAAGGCCGCCGGCGTCTTGACGTCGCAAAACGAAAATCAATGATCGCCCCTAGCAACATCGACGGAGAAGCAGCTCACCAATGAAGATCTTCTGGACCACGACAGCTGGTTCTATCATCCAAATCTACGATAAATGAATTTAGTCGCTTCTGAGAGGTATGTGGCAGTGACGTGCTGACCCTCAGGGTGTGCGTTCCAGGCTGTAGCCCAGTAAACGAGGTCTGGACTGGGACAATGGAATTTGCAACGAACGCGTTCCATTCGGATGGCAGGGCACCTGGAACAGCAGGGGGTATGAAGTATTTTGTTTGAGGATTTAGGTTGTCGATCTGCACGGCCACCCCCAACGGTCTGTCTAGTCCGTTCGCATTGAGAGAAGGGGACACTAATGTGGTCACGTTGAGCCCGCCTCCTATCGTGTTGAAGTTAACAAAGTCATATTCCCTAAGTGTATTAAATTTAGTCGCTTTGTTGTCGCCGAGACGAGAGAAAGGGCTCACAATGATGGACCGCTTCCTGCCGTGAAATTTCCGCCGTTGTTGTCTCCGAACCTCGGCATTGGCGTCACGGCGGACAGAGTTCGGCCATATCCTACAAGTTCCGTCCAAGTTATACCAGAAACAGTGGTATTTCTCGAAGCATGTGCTGCTTCCATAGAAATGACGCCACTACCTTCCACGAAGCCTGCAACGACGATAGATCGACGATAATGGATTAAAACTCCAATCCAAATTGTTTCCACTTACCTTTGAAACCGCTAGGGACGTCGTTGCGCGTTGCCGCGACATTTACAGTCACGGTCGAGGAGGGTTGGCCCTGTGGCGTCGCCTTGAACGAGATTACAGCCGCACTCTTGCCAGCACTTATTGAGTTCCAGTTCTTGACGCTGACAAAGACCCTCTGCTCAGGAGAGTCTGGCGAGATGGACCCTTGCGAGGGGCTCAGTTGCAGCCAGGACACGTTACTCGTCGCCGTGAAAGTAAAGGGAGTGGGTCCACCTGCACCAATGTCGATGTAACGGTTGCCGAATGGATCATTTGAGTCCAACGAGACACTCGGAGGACCGCAGTTGAACCCTTGACTGCATTGATTTGGATTGTCGCCTGGCCTGCATAAGATCAGGGCAATGATCTTTGCTTGGAACTTGTCGGATACATACCATGCGCCTAAGGTGCCTTCAGGGACAATCCTCATGGGGCCTGCGAGTGCTTGCTTCTTCGGCTGCACCTTTGTGATAGCGGGCATACTACCGCAAGAGCCATTTTGTTATGGTGGTTACGAAGATATTATACTCACTCACGTATTCGCCATGGGTTGCTGCCAGTAATAGTATCCGAGATCTACCAACGAGTCAGAAGTTGGCATATGAGATTCAATAGCGCGACTAACGGGTTTGGTCCATCATACTGACGTTGCATGGTTCCATGATCAAGCCGCAATCGACAGCAGATAACGAAGACTCACTGATCCCATTTGCCTGTTTACACAGTGAGATCGTAACATGATTGACGCGTAACAATCTAGCATACCATCAAGTAGAGAATGATATTGCGTTTCCAAATCAAAGTCCTGCATAAAGAGGTCTTCGACTTGATCCGCGAGGCTATTAGTGCTGAGCCTGGCTTGCGAGGCTCTCATGTTATTTTGACCAGCAGAGATCAGCATCCTTCCTACAATGTCGCTCGCTACGACGGGGTGCTGGACCATCTGGAAAAACGCGGGCTTCATCGCAGAGGGGAGGCTGTCGTACACGGCTGTGGATGCATCACGTAGCCGCTTCCAGCTGTCGATGACGCTCTCGGCCCTTTGACAAATCAGCCTAATAGTATTTCGCTACAAACGCGGGACGTACTCGCGATAATCAATCAGGCTGTAAGTAGTGGGGCTAAGCAGTTCGTGCTTCCTGCGTGCGTTGAAACGTGTCAGATTGGCTACAATCTCGTTCACCTTTCCGGCATCGCTGGCCGAAAGATCGAATTCACGTTGGGCCCAGCTTGTGACAAAGGTGTCCAGATTATTGGGGTTCCATCGCGTCGAGTTCCATGCCATGTTGATGAAGAATTCCGTTTCTCGTTCATATGGTTTAAGGTCGCCGACGTTAACGATCCAAATTCTAGTAGCTTCACGATCGACAGCAATGGACATTTGTTCATAGACCTTAGAAATTTGATTTGTCTGCAAATAGTGATTAGGTCGTCGATCGCAACAAAGACGAACGATCTCGTACCGTTATCCATTTGTAGTCTCGGGGGTCGCCGACCTAAAGGACTTGTCAAGCATGGCTCCAGATTAGTAGCCAATTCCCAACATACATAGTCAAACTGATGGGATCCCCATTAGTGTCCGAATGGAAAGGAAGGTGGCAACATACGTGATAGTATACTCCTGCGCCACCAGTTCTGTTACGTTCGCTTTCAATAGGGAACCGTCTGATATTTCCCCAGCTGTTTGTTACTGTTAGTGGACATGGCCTTGGAGAGGACATACATGGGAGAGAACTGACTTATCGTCCGACCATAGTAGAGTTATGTCATCAGGAACTCGCATACCATCTTCGTAGTAACCCTCAACCTCTTTGTCTGTGGTAATCGTTAGAAGAGTCACTGATAGTAGCAGGTAGCTACTACGCACAAAGAGCCCAGACCTGGGGGACAGTCGTGATATCTGTGCCGTTGAAAACTTCCATAAGGATGTCACGCTGGTCGGACACGATTCGCTGTAGCAGAGCAATATTTGTATCTTCCGAGAGTGGTTCTAAAAGCCCGTCAGACATCAAGCACAACGAACACTGCGAGTACCAACCATCACCAGCACCACGCATTCCGACGGTGAATACGGACTCGAAGTTCTTCGCTCGTTGCGCTCCCTCGAGGAAGTACTGCCGGATAACTTCGGAGTTGGTGTTATAATCCCAAGGACCGGTTTCAAACAGGTTGAACTCGATCGGTGATGATCGCATCATGGGTTCCTGGTGACTACACTTGAAATGAGATCGATTTAGAGCTGAAGTATTTCTGTGACTATACCTAGTACCCATTACCACTCCGCACCAATCGGCGAGCGGCTGATTTACAGGATCGTCGATTGCGAATGCACTAGTTGAAGAGATCAGTAGAATTCTTAAAGGATAGAACCGACCCGCTTACCTTGACCATATCGCTGTACAAGTTAGCTTAGGGTTGTGTACCCTATAGCTAAGCTAACAATGACGCACCTGGCCACAAATAATTCGCCTTCAATCTTAGAAGAAGCTCAAACCTTCACGCGCCAAATAAGTTAAACCGCATAAACTCCATTTTCGTTTTCCACGTACAATTTTGTGTAGAACAGATGGTTGAACGGCGAGCCGGTGAGTTTAGCACCTGTCCCGTTGGTAAACTTTTCAGCCGCCCAGTTCTGCAAGGCAGGCTGTTCGTCATTCAGGAAGATGCCTCTATATTTAACAGTCGGGCTTCCGTGCGAGCATCCACCTGGAGTCACGAAGACGTCGGAGTGTTTTGTAGTCGGGACGTCTGCCCACCTGGTCTCGTCAGTTGACGAACTACACAATTATAACTCTGATCGGTTAGAACATACCAATACCACGGGGATACACCTAATAATAGCATGCGTAAGACTTCACGATGAAGATTCCACCTACTTACCAATCTGCTCAGAATGATCGTATATAGCGTAAATGGTACCCCGTTTGTCGGCACCGATCATGACATATGCGCGGTCAACGCCGGGTAGTGGGTTTACGACTACCCTCGTCATGAACGCCTCCCATTTCCCAGCAACGGAGGACACGTCCAGATTTGTGTTGTTGACAATTTGGTTGATCAACGACGACTTGCCCAATGTTCCAATAACAATCGGCAACCCTCGCAATGTAGAGGCGGTGACGTTAGATAATGATGGTTTTATACCAGTGACTTTCTGGATGTCGGACACAAAGTCGGACGCCGCCTGCTGAACGCCTGGCCAGTCATCGGAAGAAAGGACCACAGGGGAAGCTTTCTGTCCTTGAACCACCGGGAATGACGACGAGGACGACTGGAAAGAGACACAGCTGCTCTGCCCGATAGCATGGACTGTTCGGACAGCGGCAAAGAACGCTAGCAGAACGCCAGTGAGAGGCGAAAGCATCTTTCCTGGCTGTAGAAGGGGGCAAATACATCTGTTTAAATAACAGGACCACCATAAAGAAGAAATAGTCCCGAAGCAACCCCATCTCCGGAGCGCGTGCATAAATAGTCATTGCGGTCTGATGGAGGCTTGCAGAACACCTCCAGCTTCGAGGTGACGGACTAATATCGGCGATGTGGAGAATTTGACGGCATCAGAGCGGTACGGGGAGCCTTGTACGAGCCGCGTGGCGTAAGTATCATTGGATGGAGAGCGCTGCGACCTTGCGGAGCTACTACGTGCCATCGACTAGAAGCCTGAGGCCTGATCACCTGTACAAGTGCCGAACGAGCGGGTAAGGGTTAGACGTAAGTTCCTGAGAGGTTGCTGGCCAGTCCCCTTGCATGTGTGCCGACGAAAGGATGAAAGTTTACTAGCACTACCGACTCTGGAACAACTCACATTCGTCTAAACGCCTAGAATTTGTGGACACAGGCCTGAGCTTCATGAAGATGTTGATTTGATTTGTCGCCCCACGGTAGCCAAGGAAAGTCAAAAGAAAGTGAAGAAGAATCCTCGTTCGCATATCTGCTGCAACTGTGACCAACTGGTCCATCCACAGACCCGGACTCTTGAGGAGAGTCAATATCGAAACGTTCAGTACAGTAGTGACTTCAAGAACTTGACTCGTTTATTCTCACGTGTGACGTGCGTGATGAGTGTGTCACGGAGTGTCCGTATGGGGAATCGACAATCTCTTCAGAGTCCGCCAATTTTCACCAACTTCATCTTTTTGAGCAGATCGAACTCGCAAAGGGCACAAAGATCAGACTTCGCTAAACCTCTCGAAAACAATGGCATTCGGTATGTCCAAAAGATGATTGACCTTTAGAAGGGGCTGCTTGTTTATCGGGAACTAGGAGCATCGGGAGGCCGTGGCGGTTTTGGTGGAAGAGGTGGTGGTGGACGAGGTGGTGGAAGAGGTGGTGGAGACCGTGGCGGGTTTGGTGGACGGGGTGGACGGGGAGGAGGACGAGGTAAGTCTATCTGCAGTATACCTGTTCGTTTTCTTCACATAATTCCTCATATCTAGGCGGAGGTGTACGGGGTGGAGGTGTGCCTTCTAGAGGTGGCCGAGGAGGCAGAGGTGCGCCCGGTGGTAGAGGCGGTGGTAGAGGCGGTCGCGGCGGTCGGGGAGGAGCCAGGGGTGGTGCGAGAACCATCGTCGAACCCCATAAACACGAAGGCGTCTTCATTGCCAAAGGCAAGGAACACATGCTGGTCACCAAAAATCTCGTCCCCGGAGAATCTGTCTACGGTGAAAAGAGAATATCGGTAGAGGGGGGCGTCGACGATACGAAAGTCGAATACCGAGTGTGGAATCCTTTCCGTTCCAAGTTGGCTGCCGGTATTTTGGGGGGTTTGGATCATATTTTCATCAAGCCCGGTGCGAAAGTGTTGTACCTTGGCGCTGCTAGCGGCACGAGTGTGAGCCATGTAGCAGACCTTGTTGGACCGGTAAGCCTTTTCCCTCGTCTTATCTTCCTTCACGCTTGTTGACGCTTCGTAGGAAGGCGTTGTTTACGCCGTTGAATTCTCGCCTCGGTCGGGGAGAGATCTTATCAACATGGCAAAAAAGCGAACAAATGTTATACGTGCGTACCTCCCGACTCATGCATCTGCGTTGATACTCAGCCAGCCCTTGAACAGCCATCGTCGAAGATGCTCGCATGCCAAACAAATATCGCATGCTGCTGTCGACAGTCGATGTGATCTTCGCTGACGTTGCCCAGCCCGATCAAGCCCGTATTGTCGGTGTCAATGCCCACAGTTTCCTAAAAGACGGTGGCCACATCGTCATCTCGATAAAAGCTAGTTGTATCGATTCAACTATGCCCCCCGAGGTCGTGTTTGCGCGAGAATTAGAGAACCTCAAAGAGCAGCAGCTGAAACCGTTGGAACAAGTCACACTGGAGCCGTATGAGCGTGATCATGCTATGGTGTCAGGTACGCTCCTTCGTATCTTCCGTTCTCCCTTGTTGATCATTATCCAATTAGCTGTTTACCTGAGAAATAGGATGCCCACGACGTAGTGCTCTTCGTTCTCTCCTTCGTTTTACCTCGGGGCTCTGCATGCCAGCCGCTAGAAAAGTATTTCACCTGTTGTGTCGCTCTATCTATTTCGTGTAATATGATGAATTGTATCACCCAATACATGCGGCGCTCAGTGCTAACCACAGTGCACGAAAACAGCTTTCTACTAGTCAGATCTTCACAATCCAAATAAGCAACATAAAAGACATTGCGACGACCGACGTTGCTTGTGCTAATCCCTGTTGTGGTGCCGATCGCCTGTCAGTCCATTCAACTTTGACATGGTGCTGATTTCCAGGCTCGTCCATCATGAATATCGTCTCGTCCCGCCCAACCTCCCAGCTTCCGACTCCGACTCCTTAGTATTAGCTTATCTACTGTCGCATATCTCAACCGAGGTCAATTTGGCGGATGTGACACGCATGTCCAGACAGATCAGCATCAGCATTCGAAATTGTCGATTCCTACTCAATAGGAGTCCCCTGAAGCGTTCTAAGTCTCGTGCACTGTGGGAATACTCTACTCAATTGGGTTGTGATCGATCCATGCGTCTTGGTCCAAACTTGGTTCTACAGTCTCCAGATATCCGAATTGCTGGTTCACGACCGTAACCGAGACTTCTCATGTCCAAAAGCCCACCATGCCTCTCACAAATCGTTCCCTCATGTCCTCAACGCACCAGGACGAGCTCACCTCGACCGTATTTGATGCAATACACACTTTGCCACCAGCACGCAAAGCCAACTTCCTTCTCGACATGTCACTGGCCATGATAGAGGCCGGCGAGTGCGTGCACACGTAGGGGTCCTTTCGATTTATTTACCCTTCAATTTGCAGGTATGGCTCCGAGGTCGAGAACTACCTGGAAGTCTATCTACGGACACCCAACCTACCAAACGAAGATGTTGCAAAGGCACTGCTCGCACGGGGGAATGCCAGGAAAGCAACAGGGGAAAAGCTGTTAATCAAAGCGCAGCAAGGTGTGCAGATGCGTACTTCTTGCGCTTCGCTAGCTAACAACTACAGACTTCCAAGCCGCGTACAAACTAGACCCCTTAAACCGGGAGATACAGTCTCAAATTCGGAGGGACAAGCTGGTACTATTTGTGCCATTTATTCTACGTACCGTACAACCAATTTCGTGTGCTGCAGATACACTTCCAGAGCGAACCGGCTTCGCAACGTGCACCGCCAGAAGTATGGGAAACGATCGCGCGACATATACCGCGGCACCACCTGCGAACATGGCTGTTCGTCTCTGCATTCCACCGCAACATTGCTGTGCGGATAATATTCCGCACGCTCGACCTCTATTTTGGCGAAGACCAGGAGAACCTCAATCGAGGGTTGGACATCTTCGATCGCGTGAAGGCCGACCCAGTGTTTGCTAGCAGGGTGAAGTCGCTGAGGCTGCATTGGGCGTATGAAGAAGGGGATATGTTGGACCTTATGGCCCGTGAGCGACCCTCCACGATACTTCGTATGGCTTGCTTATCCTTCGTAGGCATCTTTCGCACTGCGCTTCCCGAGTTCAAAGCACTAGAAGACTTTGAATGGATAGGCTATCCCGAAATGAGGGCAGACATGGTGCAGGCCGTTCTGCAAAGCCACTCTCATCTACAGAGTCTCGGTCTAATGTTTGTTCCTCTCCAGCGATAGACGATCACCCGCTGAACAATCCTCTTAGCGGCTGGCACTTCGACGCGGTGGGCGTGTCAGCTTTCCGTAATCTCCGCAAATTCACCCTTCGCGCTGAGGATGACGATGGGTTTGCCGACATGGGGGAAGTTCGCACAGTTCTTGACCAGAACGAACGCACACTAAAGCACCTTGTACTCGGTGCGTACCTAGAGCGGCACCACTCCTGGGACAGCGCGTTCCAGTCAGTCACCATCAAGAACCTCACACATCTCGACCTCGTCGACACCCGCATCTCGCACATTGTTCTCGCACGCATAGCGCACGCACACAATCTCCAAAGCCTCACTCTCCACGGTACATTCGAAGAACCGTCCTCCGCTTCGGTCGTCTTTGGGAGCGACCACATCATCGACGGCCAACACACGTTCCTCCCCCACCTAGAAGCCTTCCGATTCGTCTTAATTGGCCACGATGATAACTTAGGCCTCTTCCAGAGCGTCACGCAGTTTCTGAGGCGAAGGCAGAGGTTGAGGAGATTGGATCTGGGGAACTGTCCGTGGGAGTTGGTCGCGGGTGTACTGCCCGATCTGAAGGGGCTGAGGGTGCTAGGTGTCAGGATCGCAACGCTGAACGCGCAGGTCGTCAAGTTGCTCGCATCATCGTTACCGGAGGAGATGTGTGCTATCACGCTCTCAACGGCCGTCTCTGAGCAACCAATGGTTCGTGTTCTCTTATATTACAGCGTGATTGCGAATCATCTGCCTGACGGATCGTTACCGTAGGACGAATATGCCTCGATGTTCAAGTCCTTCCCCAACCTCTCCTTCCTGCACTTCCAGGCAACCTCTAAACGCCGCCCGAAGCCGAACCTCATGTCTGAGAAGGAATACCTCATGCAGACGGAGATATGGCAGTCGTCCGTCAGGAGCATGGCTATCCATGTGCAGACCCTGGATTTCGTGGGGTGGCATGGGGAGCACTACGCCGTTGTGAGGGGCAGCGGATGGCCCCATGCCCCGTCGACGTCTTCTTACCTGCCAGGACCCTGGCGCGAGGGTGGCATGGTCGAGCTGAAGGAATTGCCGAGTAGGAGGCGTCTGGATTGCGGGAAGGGCGTGGATTTGGGCACGGAGGATGCGGCGTGGCTGGAGCGGAAGGACGTGCCGATGGATTATGAGATGCCCGGGCTCGAATGAGAGGATATTCGTGATGATGGTTGACAGGCAGTGCGGCGGCGGCAGTGGTGGACGACGACGACGACGACTGACCAGGTATTTCTGTTTTTCCGGACGGCCGCCGCTGAATGACTTTTGTATCCTTCCTTCTGTAGCTAATCCACGACGGTCGATATACTACCTACACTTTATTCGTCCTTTCGCTCATTTGTATCCGTATCATGCACACTGATATAAACGATAAACGATGGAAATCCTCAAGCCCAGTAGCTACTACTTGTAGCTAGATTTCAGCTAGGCCGAAGACAACTGACTACTTACGTGTTCGTTCCCCTATTGGTCGATTCTTTACTTCCAAGGTCAGTGCTTGACGCAGAAGCCCATGCCAAATCATGACGCCATGCGAGGCTGACTGATCATACGCACGGACGATCATCATTCATCCTGCTACGACTGTGGACCGCACCAATTACAATGTCTAAGAACGTAGTAATTGTTGGCGGACATGGCAAGGTTAGTCTCAGTTTGCCGACATTTGTGATGCGGTGCTGATGGTGATCTTTCGGTATGTAGGTTGGCCTTCGCCTCGCGAAGCTGCTATCTTCCAAACACACCGTCACCTCTATCATTCGAGACCCAGCCCAAGCAGAGGATATCGAGAAAGTTTCTGCGATACCTGTGGTACTTTCCATTGAAGACGACTCCCAATCCGCCTTTACCCAAGCGTTCAAAGACGCGGCAGCGGACGTTGTTGTGTGGTCCGCAGGCGCAGGCGGGAAAGGCGGCGCGGAGCGCACTGAGAAAGTGGACTACAAGGGCGCAGTTAAGGTGTTCGATGCCATCGAGGCTATAAATGGGAAGGTGCCGAGGCTCCTGTTGGTATCTGCCATAGATGTTCGGAACCCAGACAAGATTCCGGCCCATTATGTATGTCCCCCGAATACGGTCGTCAGTCTGCATTCATCGAGCTAATGACATCTATAATAGAACGAGGAAGACATCGCACTTTCGGAACGCATGCGTAAAGTGATCGGAACTTACATGAAGTGGAAGTACGAGGCAGACAAGAACCTCGTTAAGCGGGACGAATTCAAATGGACGATCCTCCGCCCTGGCGGATTGACTGACGAGCCAGGGAAAGGCACGGCGTCCATTGGTAGAACACATCTCAGCCCGACCATATCCGTAGGTCTTCGTCGCCTAGCTGTGTTTATGCCTCTGACCCTTTATATACCTTCATAGCGAGATGATGTTGCCCAAGTCCTCGCTTTGCTGGTCGACCGCGAAGACGCTGCTGGCCTCGCTATTGATCTTGTTGGTGGCGATACGCCCATTGAAGGAGCTTTGGATGCGATGATTAAGAAAGGCGAAACCGATTTCCTGGGATAAATAACGAAGTGAATCAAAAACAAGAAACGTGCTGCTGGAGCACTGTATATAATGGCAAACGCCTGTAAACTGTATGTCATACTTGGCATCTATCACTTGGAACATAGTCTGAGTCCTGCCATTGCGTGGGAGTTTTCCGGTGAGAGACTTTCGTGCCAAGAGTAGTAAGTACGATCAACTGCATCATCAAACTTCTGCCAGTACAGCGGACGTTCGACGCAATCGCCATCTAGGCCTGGATTTCGGACGTTACACAGCTGCCACGCTAGGCCGCAAAGCAGAAGCCCATCTCACATTTAGTACCGCGCTTGCAGACAAACAAATTCGGGCCCAGCCGCTCTGAACTTAGTGGGGAATTCCTAAATTCCCGCTTTTCCTTGGGTGAGCAAATCGGCCGCATGTTATTTCTACAACATATTCAGCGACCGGCGCCGTATAGTCTGAAAGTAGGTGCATGCTATGGACGCTATCCGCCTGCGCCAAATCGCTCCAAATTTCATACGTCATGGGACATCCTCTTGACCTTATAAACCATGATCGTCCGCTTTCCAAGATATCCAGTAAAACCAGGACCATCACACAGCCATGTCTTTAGGAGAAGGTGAATTGTCCCTCTCTTCCGTGTATATAACGACATAGATGCTTATGATGCACAAGCCGACGCAAAGTTTCCTGAGTCCGCCACAAACGGGTTGCCGCCGTCTCCAACGAGAGAGAACCCCGGACAGGTACCAAACATACTTTACTTCCCTGACAATATAATTAAAGGAACCCGCCCGTCACCTAGGTCTTTCCCAAGTCCGACCCTAGCCCAGGTCAGTAACGGTCGCTGCGTGGAATGATATCGCTGAAACTAAGAGGTAAATATAGCGCCGCCCGCACGGGAACCAATCGTCGGAAACGACCAATTTACAGGCAATCCATTCCTTATCAGATCCGCCTTGCAGAAGTTAGACCAGGCGATTGGTGAAGTCGTTGATATGCTAGAGAATGAAGGACAGGCAGTCGGCGGATCAGCTGAGGAGGATACGTTCGTGCACAAATTGAAGAGCTGGAAAATGGAATTGGAAAAGTTGCGAGGGAATCACCGTAGCGGCGGAAGCCATCAAGAGGCAGTGTCAGCCCCGCCCGAGACGGAAGGCGGTATGTTCACCGATTAAACCAGACGGACAGCACGGGGAGTTTGTAGCTTCGTTCAGATCGGCGGAAGGGATGTTGTTTCAATGAATATAAACCAGTGAACTAGAATTTGGGTATTATTGTCGGTCAGACCTCATACTAATACAGGAAACGCCGAGTATGTTCGTCGTGCCATGCGCAACCCTGCAAAGCATCGCGCTCCAGCAACCAGACCGCTAATCGTGGATTTGGAACCTCATGGCGAGATAAAGGCTAATCTACTCGATTCGAATTGGTCTGACGGTTCGTGATCGCCCAACCCGCTCGGGACGCTGGTAAGGCTCCCCTTGCTGATGCATCGATCTGTTCGGGGTACAGAAAATCCCGAATCGATATGGCCGTGGTCTAAGCGACGGCGTGACATTCACAGGTATATCGTCTTCCTGCTGTTCTTCATCGCTGTCACTGCTGCTGTCGCTATCGTCATTCGTCTGAGCCCTGATTTGATACATCCGAGGGCGACCCTTGGTTATGTTCAACGGGAGGAAGCCCCTCACCATTTGGCCGCGAGAAGTTTCCTTTCGAAGGCGACTGGGTGGGAAGGCATCTGGGGCTGAACAATTAATTAGCTATTGGTCGTTATGGCCAAATTCTGAGGCCTCGACCTACGTGGCATGAGGTTTGATGAGTTGTCGATTGTATTTTCCTCAACGGATGAATATTTTCCCTTGTACGCCAGTCGTGGAGGCATTGCAGAGGAGTGGCCGGTAGCCATGCTGCCCACAGAGAATCTTCGCTTGGCGCTGACTATATTGCGTTCTATGATGAAGTCACCAGAAAGCGGGAGAAGCAATTTGTTGAGTCGAGCTACATGTAGCCAATCAGTATCTCCGCTGCTGAAAATGGGGTCATTAAATATACCCTTGAGTGACGAGTCGTTAGTTAGTAAATAGCGGTGAGAAGACAATTCCCGCAGCAGATCAAAGTATAGGTTCTTGAACGGGGCACGGCTCGGCGAGCAGCTAGAAAACGAATATAACTGGATGCCAGCGGCCCGTAGAGTCGAGCGCGCCACCTGGATCGAAATATCAATGAGCACCATCGTGTGATAGTATATACGGAGGCGCCTCGTGTATTTATCTACGAACTTACCTCTGTCAAAGCGATTATCTGGATGGCCGACATATGATTAGTCGGGACTTCAGTTGAGTATAAAGGGGTCGTCAAACCTTCTTAGAATCTCTCTGAATTTCTGAGGACGTGAGGGTTCGGATTATGGAGAGGAGAGTCTGGGAAGCCTCGAGGAATGATTTGAGCGAACTTAGGTCCGCGGCTAATCGGGGGGCCCTTTGTGATAAATCCCCCAATGCACTCGTTGTTTGGGACATGCCCCAAAGCAATTTGGAGGTACACGATGAAAGGGATAAATTCGAGGATGAGAAGCAGGAGAAAGGGAGCTGGAGGAGTGTTACCCTTTTGAGAGCGGCACAGGTTTGTTTACAAGTTGTGTGTCAGGTTCAACTGCCCGGATCCGTAGCCAGTGTGCCACGGTACATGCCGGCGTTAATGTGTCTAGACAACGCTGAGACAACGGGATCATCAATATTAACCCGTCCGGCACCCAGTTCGAAGCAGACACATTAATACGTCCTGTTTCCGTGAGATGCCCACAAAAAGGGTCCGTACTGAGAGAGAGCTCTTCCTCAGAACCCGGCTGAAGCTGTCTCGGAGTGGCTACTCTCGCGGCGGGGGTTATCTGGGCTTGAAAATCAAGGAAGTTCACTCTCCGCGTGAACTAACTGAACCATGGAATTGTCAGTAAACTTCTAGTCGTATTCTGGACAAAGCGATGGCTTTCGGGATGTCCCTTATTATCGCCGCAAAATACTTGTCCCAGTGCTGTAGGAAATTCGGACACAGTTTCATGTCGGGCGCTTGACCGAAGCTTGATTACCGTAGACCTAGACAGCCATTCACATTCAAATGTGATACCCATGGTGACGACGGCATCGAATGAATAGATGAAAAGAACATAGACATCGCTGATGTTCAACATCGTTTACCAGCTGCCATATGGATGAATATCCACCGGTAACCTACATAATCAACAACCCCAGTCAGAAAAACATGGCGACTGTCGCGTGCGATCGGGGTGCTGTAAAGTTCTTTTATGGATACCCAGAAGCAGGGTTCCGCGTAAACAGTGGTAACGACACGGTTTACTATGCTCACGATAGATTCATGCCTTGATGTGGGTGAAGGACCTCAGAACCTAGAAGGTCGAGCTACATCAGTAATAATTGTACCCGATGGACGATGACAACTCAACGGGTGTCAGGAAATGACGAGGGTTGAGGAGCAGCTCAAAAGCCAGGTATAATCATTAAGACTGATCTGACAATAAAATTACACACACACTCAAGACATCAGCTACATACTACACGGATGATGGCTAAGCCTACGAATGTTATGACTCGGACAACCCGTTCGGCTTTGATTTAGCCTCCACTTCATCAGATGCATCGTCATCTAAGTCGTTGGCTGATGGAACAGCAGCAGAAGTGGCGGCACCGGCTGCGACCTGGCCTAGTTGGGGAGGTGAAACATCCCTGTGGCCCAAGGTGAGACACTATCTCATGGATGTGGGTTTGAGAAGCACGCACCATTTGATCTGGAAGCGGGTTACACGAGGCTTCTGGCTGATATCCCGTACTAGTCGCTCAAAGACGATGTTTTTAGGTGGGTTCTCTTTCATTTCTTCGTTATCGTATTCGGTATTTTGATAGTATCCCACGCGAACGAACTCTTGGTCTTTGTACGAGGCGGTGAGGATAAGAGCCGCTACACCCAGCACGTCTTCCGTGGGAATTTTTGAGGGTTCGGGTGGTGCTCCAGAGAAAACGAAGGAGTTAACGCCTGAGGGCACTGGTCCTACTAGGCAGTCGTCGAGTTCTTGATCCAGTTCTTCGTGGTCGGGCGATGAGACATAGATGAGTTTCCACTCCAGATCTGAAGAAGAAGGTCAAGGGATACTCGGGCATCATTGGTCCGCATGCCCACCATCTGTTAACGGGGCAATACAATCGAACGTCACGCGGAACTGATACTCGTCCAAGAAACGAGCAGGATTATTGATAAATTCAACGTTCTGTGGCGAGGGGAATTAGTGACTGGGAATTTTGGTAGATATCAGAGTACGCACTCTGATGGATACTATCGACATGGAGAAATCAGAACAAAAAGCAGAGGTGGTGGTACAAGTTCAAGCGATTCGCGACTGTCGCGACGGTACACGTGACGTGTGACTGTGACGGTCACGCGACTGTATTGTACCCTGTGGGCCTTTCTTAATGTCTTTCCTGCAAAACAATAAAGGGATGCAGTAAGATTCCGACGCCGCTGGGACCCGGCTTTGCTTGCTATCTAATCCACTTCCATCCGTTTCCAGCCCCAAGCTTGAACCAGCTTCAGGGGAGTGGCGCGGGTTCACATCCACAACTGTACTGCTTCGACTGTTATCGAGATAATCGCGCTCTCAAGGCCTCATGGCTCAATCCGACCAAGACGACAACTCACGCCCAGACACGCCTCAAGCGATTCCTATACCCGTAGCCGACGTTGCTGCTCCAGGCTCGGCCTCAGGGAGTCCACCTGTGAACCCCCCTAGCACGTTCCACCTACCGATACCCGCACCAGTCCTCAGCAAGCCACAGGCTTCATTTACGCTACACGATATCATTAATGACCACGATGAGAACGACCCCTTGCCTTCAGAAATAGCATCGGCAGATATTTCCATTGCTAGTATGTCTCACACTGTCTATACACATCACCCACTAGAAGCTGACTTCTCCTAGCCGACGGCAGCTTTGTAGAGACTTCTTCAGGGCCAGCTGCACGGGAGTTGAAGAGACGCTATGATCAACAGTATGGGGTAGGCCTGAACGTTCGCTCGCCATACGCAATCACTGCGTTCGTGAATCAGCATGGGAAGCAGATGTATCGAGTTGGGTGAGTGGCTATCTGACCACTAGTCGAATGGGAAATGAACTGGATGGTAGCCACCGGGACCTCACAGCCCCTGGTGCAGCAGCAGCAGAGATCGAGGAACGGCTCTCGTCTAGCGACTCACTTCAGGCTCCCCGCCCAAAGAGACGTTCACGCATGAGCGTACATACATTTATACCTCCTACGGTTCTCAAACTCGCTGGCGCAACGCAGCCCCCACGACCGCACACATCGTCAGGCCGCAAGCTTAGGAAGACTCGATCTATTCCCGACATGTACGGGGGTACATCGTCAACCTCTAATGGGGTGTCGGCACGCGCACACTCGCAGAGCGTCACGGCGGCAGATTTGCCACGGCCACTGATCATAGACACCTCCTCTTCGCACGGGGACATCTTCAGCAGCCTGATGGGGTGGTCTCTCCCTTCAACAAGCACTGAATCCACCCCCAGCTCAGAAGGCTCGCACAGGTTTCCGTTACTCCTTGCATATCCTTTTGGACCAGAGGTATCGTTTGACTCTCCGTCTAGAAAACCACCGAGTTACTTGCCGACCCCGCGGTTGTTGCGCGAGATGCAGTCGTTTGAGTCGGTGATGACGGCTCGCCAAATGGACGGGCGGACGATGACAACAGACGATGAGCCTAAGTCCCCCGAGACACCTGAAGAGAAGCGGCCACCATCAGCAATACGAATACGGCCATCGTTGCCCTCTCTTGACATATCGTCCGAGTTTACGCCATCCTTTGGAACACGATACTCTACCGATGTCTTCGACGTTTTGCAGACCTACCGTGGTTTACCACTCCTCGATAAGCTTCTGCCAGAGTCAGAAGAAGGTCCCGTAATCAAGATGTCCCTATCTTCTGACGACACGGCTGCACCACGCGACGACCCACGGTTTGTAATCTGGGGCGAGGTGCAGGTCGAAAACGACGGGGACGACGTGTCCGTTTCTCAAGGGAGCTATACGGATATATCTGTTTCCGCTCGGTCATCCACGATTTCACGAAAGCGTAGCATTATAAAGGGCAAAGCACCCGAAATACGCAAGCCGCGTCCCGGGTCAACGACAAAAATCCTCGTTGCGGCGACCATTGAGAGATGGATTGCCCAATTGACTAGCGACCTGAACTATGACGAATTATTGGACTTCTTCATGACTTATCGGACATACATTAACGCTGTCGACCTTTGCCATCTCTTGATTTGTCGTTTCCATTGGGCTCTAGCGCAACCAAGTTCGCCGACAGACGAGCGAGTTCGGCGAATAGTTCGCGTCAGAACCTTTGTGGCTATACGATATTGGTTACTGACTTTCTTCGTTGTTGATTTTACCCCTAACCGAGAATTGAGGCTCTTGGTTGCTAACTGGCTTAACACCCTCGTTCGTGATCCGACCTTGCAGCAGCATTCCGACGGCCTGGTGCGTTAACTTGTTTGCTGTGTCGGTTTCCCTCTAGATTCATAAACACATCCTTTAGAGTATTGTACGCAAATTGCGCAGAGTAGCGAAAGACTGCAAGAAAGCAAATACCCGCACAAATCACGCTCCTTCGTCACAGCCTCGCCCTCCAAAGCCTGAAGCTACCAAGCCAGAGCACGTTCTGGGAGAGAAGTTCGCCGAGGCCACACGACAGCTACGCCCAGAAGACGAGGACTCGGATGTCGACTTAGACTTCCTCGACGATGCTATTCCTGATGTCGCTGATACGGCTGACGCTCCGGGCATCCAGAACTCCGATTCGTCTGACGGTGTAAGCTCTTCCCGCCCAACATCCATTCCTTTATCTTCGCTCCATATCCTTCAACAAACCAAACGAGCTCCTGGCCCTGGACCCGAGCCGGACGGCCCCTTCGTCCAAACACCTGCGACTCTTCCCATACACCACAGCGCGCTTTCCCGCGTCATCGTCAAAACCATAGGCCGACTTGGCCGATGGAAGCGTGTGCTCAATTCAAGAGCAACGGTGCGCGCTCCATTGGGAGTATGTGGGGATGTGTCTGCCTTTGACCTGGAATTAACGGCGTCTCGAGACTTACTCACGGTCAATGGAGGTGTTGAGCAATATCTCAAGATGATCGAGCCTGGTCCTAGACAGCCTCCTGTGATAACCAGCCCAGAGAACACCCCGGTCGCTGATAGCCAAGAGAACACGCCCGTCGTCGAAAGTCAGCCAGAGGCTGCTCCTGATCCTGGTGCACCATCTTCCCCTCCCTCATACGAAGCATCGGTGTCAATCTCTTCGCCAGTCGACCAAGATGAACCCGAGGAAGAACCCAAAAGTCCCCCGGGACTCGATGTCGAAACCGAGGAATCGGGCGCGACGCAGGTCCCAGTGGCTCCTGTGGAACGAAGCCCATCTCCTCAGCCCTCAACGTCAGAACTCGATTCTGCGCCTTCCGAAAGAGCACTGTCGTTTCGGACGTCATCCACGGACTCTTTTGGGAGCCCTTTGGCGCCAGGCGCGTCCACATTCACCTCCGGTCCAACGCCGTGGGGCTTTGACGTCGTCTCCATCGATGATCTTGATCTGTCGGACACGTCTGACGATGAGCATGCCGGTGATGCATCCGCTCATCCCGGAATCCGCCAACCTGCGAGGCGACTGCCCCTCAGACGCGATTTTGAGTTTGTTCGTCGTGACACCGTCTCATCGATCAGCGTTATGACCAGAGACTCTGTGGCGTCCATTTCATCAGACACGTCAGGGCGCGGAGACCACGTACTGGGTGGTGGCATACAACAGTGGCAACTACACGCATTGATTGATTCACTCAGCGTCGATGAAGGTGGCGATGTTGATGATGCGTTGCAACGACTAGAGGGCCAAATCAATCCCAAGAAGCGGAAGGAGAAAGCGATGAAAGTTGATGGTTGGATAAGAGCAATTCAGGAACGAATGGCTGCTGGGGATTACGAAGACGAGCCACCTCGGTTCCTCTCTGATGAGGAGGACGATGATGAGGAGACTTCTTCGCTGCGTGCTGGTGACATTAGGTTGCAGGGATATGGCGACAGACTCTCTATCCCACCCTCGTCACCTGAAGGACTAGAATCCACACGCTCGATTTCACCCATGGACATGGCGACAACTCCGATGGCCAAGCAACATACAATCCCTCCCAGACCGGTAACTATGGCATCCATGGACTACTCGTTAGAGTCACATTCACATTCACACTCACATTCATCCACACTCGATGACGTTGTCCCGTTGGAGATTCAACAAAGCCGTCTCAGTCTGTCGAGTTCCCCGCAGTATTCTAACCAATACGTGAACCCTAATGCTCCTCGCATCCATCAGTCATTCGTGCTCCTCCAACGCGCCGAGGCACTTGCGGAGCACTTCGCGATGATCGACCGCGAGCTTTTCCTCGGTCTCCGCTTTGAGGAACTGGTGCTTGATGACTGGAAGTCTTCTGAAGGGGTTAATATTCTAGATTGGGCTCAATATTTGAAGGATAGAGCACGATGGAAAGCCGAGGGTCGCAACGCCGAGAAGACCACCGCGCTTGCTGCAATCCGCGGGCGGTTCAATCTTGTTGCGAATTTCGTTATTTCGGAGATTATCCTGACACGCCCTGAAGCTCGCCCGCTCCTCTTCAGTAAATTCATTCGGATTGCAATTGTACGTGAAATGCTCTATATTTGGCGACCTTGACTCATCTTGACCGTCAGAAATCCTACGAGTTGAGCAGCTTCCACACGCTCGTCGCCATCATGGCCGGGCTGGAGAACCCATGGACGCAGATGGCGATGAAGCGCTCCTGGAGCCGAGTGGGGATGTACGAGCTGCGCATCTACGAAGATCTCAAGGTTTGGACGACCCCTGACGACGACTTCAAATACATGCGCAACACGATCGAGTCCATTGCCGACAACAAACCTGCGGATACGAGCACACACGCAGCGTCTGTCACTAGCGGCGGAGGGACCAACCGGAGCAAGGCAGGCTCTGAGAGCAAGCCCGTTCCTACAGCGTGTGTTCCATTTATCGGTATGCCATCGTTTCCGTTCCTTGTGATGGTTGCTCACGATATATTTTCAGGCGTATATCTTGCTCAACTGCGACGGTATAGCAAGCTCCCCGATTTGATTGATCCCACAGCTCCCAATGAGGCTGTTGGGATCGATCTTGTGACCGGCAACTTCGAGACACCCGCACACCCCGAGGTCTTCTCTTCCCTAGCCCCCCTTCCGCCGTCGATGCATCTAGAGCCCCTCATCAATGTCCACAAGCAACGCAAAATCGCGAAAGTGATCAAGTCGCTTGTCGCAGGACAGCATCTGGCGAGTCGTGTGCAGTTCCAGGTCGACAAAAAGCTGCTCCAGCGTTGTCTCAAGCTCATAGCTTTAGATGAAAACACGCTGCAGCGAGCCTATGCCATGTACGATTCATGAAAGTAACGGCTGGTATTGTTGTATCATACTCTTTTCTTCTCGGATGGGCATTGTTTTCGTGTACGTATTTAAACAGATAGAGGCTTTGTTTTGGAAATTAAAGTTACTAAAGTTACAAGCATTCACGAAGGGGATTAACTAGGACCCTTATATAGTACACATTTCGGCCGCTCGGCCTGGGCGTTTCGTACACTTCGAAGTTTGGGGTCAAAAATGGACGAAAACCATGATCCACAGTACAAATTTGAGACGACTCCTCTTGCAAGTTGGGCAGACGTGTTCTTCATATGGCAATGTATCTCACTGATTAGCTTACAGTCTCTACACACACTGAACGGGCTTCAAAGCTGGAAGTACAGCGTATAAAACTTGTATAAAACCCAGAAAGCGGTCCTGGGGGTCCTGCAATCAAGGCCCCATTGAGGTGCTCGAACCTCGTTTATAATAACCCTGCAGAAGTTATTATAATCTAGCCGATGCCAAGTATTGCTCATCGGCATATTGCCCGCATTCCCTACACTTCCTCAGGTCACGCCTTTCCATCCACTTCTTGATCACCGGCTTGAGCTGACTTCCGAGGTCGGTGACACGGAAGGCCTCTTCGTGGATTATTGTGGGTTCGCGATGGATCGGCGAATGACAGTACCACCGTAGGCGATCTGTCCAGGCATTCTTCATCCACAAAGATAGAGAATTTCGGAACTCGGAATACCTACCTAGGGCGCCTGTGGGTCTAACTCGCTCAACCACGATCCCAACCGTATTAGCGAAGCGCACAGGGTTGTGTGGAGTGTTAGCTGCATTCGGCGGGAGCGTCAAGACTCAGATCCATCAGTCGATGCAAACTTTTGCCGGTCATTACCTGGAAGTAAGAACATCTCGCCTTCTTCTATTCTGAGGTCTCGAAATTCCTTCTCCTCTACGATTCGTAACAGCATCGGGCCCCTGTATTGATAGAACCATTCCTACTGCCTCGTATTTAGAGCGGACCCTACAGATGCACAAGTCCCCCGCTGCTAGTACTGACCTCGGTTTCGTTGATGTGATAATCGCTACGCTGATTAGGGCCTCCCACCGCCATAACTACGAAATCCCCGCCCCGGTGGAGACAGAAATTATTCACCGGTGGCTGCAATAGATGCTCATTATCCTTGAGCCAAAGTGGTAGATTTAAGGGCGGCATCATTCAATGAGACCTGCAGATGGACGATGATGGCGGTATCGGATGAACCTTGGGGTATCGAATCATTCAATTGAGTCGGGTACCGGTATATTGCTACACGGCTTATCGGAAGACTGAGTCAGCTTCTGACTATGCTCGAGGCCCATGGCGACCCGGGCACCATGAAAGATGGGGAACCCCTCTCGCGACTGTGAGGTTCTAAGTAATCAATGTGGATCCGCAGGGCCCGACGCGAAAAACACTAAACTTCTAGTAGGTTGAACAAAGTAGGAACGGGAGATCGCCCATTGCTTGTTCTTGTTTGTACGAGCATCTGGGGCCGCAATAAGTTCTTGCCGCCAACTACGCTTGTTTTGTTATACTGCAATGGGGAAGCTGAACATCGCACACCACAAATCATACCATCCGTATCGTCGTGATAACATCGAACGTGTTCGCAAAGATGAAGAAGAAGCTGCCCGGAAGGAGGCGCAGGAGGAGGGTAGAATGATGCTCGCGGTATGCCCAGTTCCTTCTTTGCATAACGCACGATGATCATAAATGGCAGGATTCTGAAGCCCGCATAGACTTACTGCGGGAGCGCGCCGGAACCCAGCGAGACTCTTCCGGCCGCAGGTCTCGAAAGAGGGACGACTTCGATGAGGAGAAGGTAGCGACCACCTCGGCGCCGCAGCCAGCGTTGACGAACCCCAACGGGCACATCAACCTCTTCGAAGACCTGGAGCAAAGCCAGATGTCTGCAGCGATACGATCGTCGTCTAAGAAGAAATCCGACCCCGTAGAAACTGACAAAGGTGTCCCCCTAGCGCCATCCGCCAAAGACTTGAATCCATGGTACTCTTCCAGAAACGACGATAGCAAGCCAGTAGATGAAGCGGAGGAGGGGAGGAGGTACGTGAACTCACTCTTAGATACGCAATTTCGTCGAATTGCGCTCTATATAGGAAGCGCGATAAAGCGCGCCAAGCAATGCATGACCCTCTTACTTCCATTTCCCGACAACTTGCATCGCACCACGCATCGTCAGCACACGCAACTTCATCACGATCATCACATCGCTCGCGGCCAACACCATCAGACGCATCACGCCCACCGGAAGTCAACGCTAGGCTAGCAAGGGAATCATCGGAACGCGAGAGGGCACTGGAACTGATAAGGCGAAAGAAACGCGAGATGATGGGCAGTGAAACGCCAAGCACTGTGCACGGCGGTGGCTATACGGACGTGTTCAACAGGAAAGAGGTAGAGGATGCTCATCGAGTTCGGGATCGAGGTTGGGGAGATGGAAGACATGCAAAAGACCGACGTTGGTAGTAGCAGTAAAGTTCGATTTTCCCTGCTTCACATCGAGCCGATAATACTAAACAAGACCTACGTCGCTCCAGTAGGCTGCAATCCGTTCCTCCCTAAACCCATGACAACGATTTGGACCATCTCTTTTAAGTTCAATGATACGAGTCACAATAATGCCATTTACAATATACAGTAAGTGAGGATGATTCCTTTGTCGGAGGTTGGAGAAACAAGACCCAAATTTCCAAGTCTTTGAGAATCCTCGGCCCGCCATGCTTGATACAACATTTTGACAAGTTCAGAGCGGGACCGCTCAGGTATCATTTGCATTCTGAAGCCGTAAAGGAGGGATGGGGAAATCAAGGAGCCCGGATATCCTGAAACTTCATTGAATATCTTGCGAAGTATCGTTCCTGCGATCTCGTCCCTCGGAGCTTCATCGAGGAGGTGCTCCCAAATGCGAAGGGCTACGAGTGTCTTGCTGTTGATCTCAGCATGGTAACATGCCAAGGGGTCGTCGTCGTCGTATGGGGGCGCATTCAGGGCCACAAGCGCTTCATCGACGTCCATGGAGGAGTCGAATGTACGGAGCGACTCTGAGCCATTGCATGGGCAGCCCTTTTGAGTAATTGATCACGTGGCACAAAAGCACGTGGCTCATCTGCCCCTGCCCAATCTTGAGCTCAGTCTTCAAGTTGTTGAACTCCATCTTGTCTTTCGTTACGGCTGAGACTTCGCCAAGCTCACGTACGCCACGCAGCTTCAGAAAGACCTCCAATTGCACCTTCGTAGTCACCGATTATCGCTGTAATTAGACTTTGGTGAGCCGCACTCACCCTCATTCGGATTGTCCTGACGCGCTATTGCGCTTCTCTGCGATTCTAGTAATGACAAAGTCCGGTGCGAAAGGAAAGCAGCCCGCTGGACGCGCTGACGAATCAAAGCCACAAAGCAAGGGGAGGAAAGGCAAAAGAAACAGGGCCAGCTCGGCAACAAATGCTCCCCCAAGCGCTGAGCCATTGCCCCCGTCTCTACCCCCGCCCCCGCCGCCTCCACCACCGTTTCCATTCGCTGACGTCGTAATCAAGGCCCGTGACGAACTTCTCAGCAAGGCCAAGGAGTTGTACGCTAAGATGGATCCTCTGAAACCACGGCCAATTCACCTTCGAGAGACCATTGGGTTTGGTCCTGAGGGGCTGAGTCTCGAAGACAGCGAGTATTGGGCCTCCGTTCCGCCCCACATACGCAACTCCGTACTCCGCTGGTACACATCGCCTCCAGGGCCGACTCAAGACGGTTTGGTGATGAAGTCGAATGAGATGTATGCTTTCGCGCAGAGGCTAGGAGCGGAAGTGGAATTTAGCGATGAAGACCATGATGTCCCCCAATATTCTGGCTTGCCGTTCGACCCCTCAATGTTGGACGAATTGGCGTCCCATCGGTACGATCAGTACATAAAAGACGCGGCGGCAACGCTCGTCCCGCTCCCAGATATCGAGTTCCCCGTCTGTTTTGGGGCCCAGGAGGGTGATGAGGATGATGTATACTCTGAAGATGTTTCGGACGAATTTGAGATACAGGGTGACATGAAAGCAGTAGCACCGGAGGTACTGACGAATGCGGTAGTGCCGCCGTTGCCGGAGCGGAGTCCGGAGTTACAACCCACGCCACCGTCCGCCGATCGTCGGCGTGACAAATCTTCACTTCCGCCCTCACTTTCTAGCACGACTACAACGATTGGCAGTATGCCTGTGGCCAAATCCCAACAGCCTCCTGCTCCAAGTTCCGTTTCGATGGGAAAAAAGCCAATGCTGTATCCCCCAACGTCCCAGACAACGACGGCGACGACACAGCAGCAGCAGCCCCAGGGCAAGAGCGCCAGGGCGGCGTCGAAGCAGCCTTTACCTGCACACGCATACCCTCACAACCATCCACACCATCATCCATCTCCCCCGTCCTCGAATGCATCGCAGCCCCAGAAACCTCGGCCACCTAATGCCAGTAATACCTCATCAAAGAACAGCAAGATCTGGAGCACGAGCAACTCAGAGGAACGAGAACGAATCAAAGAATTCTGGCTCGGGCTAGGCGAGGAGGAGCGCCGGAGTCTCGTCAAGATTGAGAAGGACACGGTGCTGCGCAAGATGAAGGAACAACAAAAGCACAGCTGCAATTGTGCAGTCTGTGGTCGGAAGCGGTTTGTGTTTTATTTAATTGTATCTTATCCGATTTTTACCTAACGCTCATGGATGTTTTATTCCGGTCTGTCATCTTCGATCTCTTCAACGCGTTTGGTGTACTAGCACTGCGATAGAAGAAGAGCTTGAGGTACTGTACGACGCTTATTACGAGGAGCTAGAACAATACGCGAATTACCAGCAGCGATACGTCTCATCTGGTGGTACGATCCCCCCTCCACCCGGGCCTGGGCCGTTTCCTGGGAGCGTCGAGTTGGACAAGAACGGTGCGGTCATTGGTCCTAACAGTAAGTCACCGCATCCGCCATCACGGACCGCCGGTAAACAGACCAATGGGATAAACGGCCGGAAGCCATCGCACCCACCCCTCAAGCAGCAGCCTGAAAGCGAATTTGATCCCGATGACGACGAGGGCGACGAGGATTATGGAGAGGATGAGGATTATGATGAGGAGGAAGAAGGAGAGGAGGAAGAGGAAGACGACGACGACGAAGAGCAACCTGAAGAGGAAGAAGAGAAACCTACGCGCGGAGGTAGGCATGGAAGGGGTACTCAACCAGCCCGCCGGCGTTCGGTGGCGCCACCCAAGGCCAATGGACACGATGGGCTATTTGGAAGCCTCACTGTCACTGGCACGTCCATCTACTTTGTTTTCCTGCTCTTTGTCACATCTCACGCGATTGCACTGTAGGCCCAGGGAACATATTAACTGTTGCTGATGATCTGCTGAAGAATGACGGTCAGAAGTTCCTGGAAATGATGGAGCAACTGGCTGAGAGACGGATGCAGAGGGAAGAGGAAGCGGCGGCGGATGTTGAGGAGGATAGCGAAGAGGAGGAGGACGATGAGGATGATGAAGACGATGAAGATGACGAGGACGAAGACGAGGACGAGGATGACGAAGAAGAGGTAAGAAGCTTCCGATATTTGTGCATTTTTTATCAACATCTCGTTTCTACAGGTTTTAACGGAAGAGCAGAAAATGGAGGAAGGGAAGAAGATGTTCTCCATATTCGCAGCGAGGATGTTCGAACAACGTGTTCTTCAAGCATATAGGGAGAAAGTTGCGCAAGAACGTCAGCTCCAACTGCTGCGTGAGCTCGAGGACGAGGACAAGATGTCGAAGGAGAAGGAAGCGAAGAAGCAAAGCCAGAACCAGAAGAAGAAGGACAAGAAGAAGTAAGTGCCTATTGTTTTATTGTCATGACATATCTCCAACTCTTCCAGGCAGCAGAAGATGGCGAAGGAGGAAGAGAAAGCTCAGCGGGCGGCGGAGAAGGCCGCTGAAGAAGCTGCGCTGAAAGCCAAGCAAACCGCTATTGAGGACGAACAGCGAAAGCGCCGGGAGGAGGAACGCGCCCGCCGCGAGGCTGAGCGCAAGGCCCGTGAGGAGGAGAAGCAGCGCAAGGATGAGGAGCGTCGGAAGCGTCTCGCCGAGGAAAAAGAACGGGAGGCTGAGAGAGAGAAGAAGCGCAAGGAGAAGGAGGAGAAGGCCAAAGCTGAGAGGCGAGAGAGGGAAGAGAAGGAACGCAAAGCTCGTGAAGAACGTGAAGCAAAGACTGCCCGGGAGAAAGCTGCCGCTGCCGCTAAACGCGAGCAAATGGAAAAGGAGAAGAAAGAGAAAGAGGAGAAGGAAAGAAAGGAGCGGGAGGAGAAGGCGGAGAAGGAAGCCAAGGAACGGTTGATTCAGCAACAGCAACAGCGTACTGTGTCATCGTCCAGCAAGCTGCCACGCGCTCCTCCTTCGCCCCGCGATGCTTCTGCCTCTAGCTCTTCCAGTAGCCAGCGCATCCCGAGTATCAATGGGACCAATGGCAAGAAGATCTTGACAAAGCCCCCTCCAGTGTCTGCACCTGCTGCAGGACCAAGTCAAGCCCAACCATTGCACCCTCAGCGTTCCCAGCAACAAAGTCGGCCACCTGTACATTCTTCCTTACCTCCTACTCCAATCACTCCCCAGACTTCGCAGCACCTCCCACCTCAGCCCCCCATGTTCAATTCTGGTCCACCGGGCATAATCCCCCCAGGTAGTGCAATGTCGCCGCGCATTCCCTTCGTTCCACCTCCATTTGGCTTTCCAGCGGGGCCGTCGATGCAGCCCAGCCCCACCTCTCCTCTTGCACCCTCCGCCATGCCTAGAACATTTGGTATGGGAGGACCAGCCCCGCCTTTCGATCCTCCTTTCCCTCGAGTTACACCCATCGTTACTCCAGCGCCCATCGCACCTCCTCCTAAGACCCCTTTACCACCGTCGTCGCTTGCGCCAGGTGCTAACAGGCGAGCTTCTGTCCCTGACCCAGGACCAATCACTCGTCCGCTCGCGCCGATCGCAAGACCGGGTGAGTCGTCCGGCTCAGGTTCTCCAGTGCGACGGTCCCCAAGTCCAAAAGGCGTACTCGGATCTTCTGCTCTGGCAGCAGACGACGACGAAGTAGTGTCTGCACCGTCCCGTCGGACGGGGTCAGTAGGAACCGTTGGTCAAGGGTGGGGTCCATCGAGTCCTCGTGGAGCTATAGGTGAGAACTCGGTACGTCCACCTTGGGGCGCGCCCGGTCCTCCGGGTCCTTTGGCTCCTGGGCCTCCAGGTTTTGGCTCTCCACGACCAATAGGGGCGCTCTGGGGCTCTCCTGCCAATCCAGAATGGCATCCGTCCAACGGTCAATTCTATCCTAACTCTTTCCTCACCAATGCAACTTCGTCCCAACCGCATTCGAATAGCTGATAGCACGGGACTCTTCAACTTCAGACTGTGAATGTAGTTGCAATTGCTACACATTCTTTCTGTTGCTGCATCTCACACCGCCATTGCTTAGTTCCATCATTCATCCCATCCGTAGTCCACAATTATTTGTTATCGTCTGACAAGCATTTCATCGTGACTTGACGCAATACATTAAGCAAAGAAGATTCCACATATTGCAGAGGGTATACAATTAAGGCTATAGTAGTTTGCTGGAAGCTGCAGGTGCGATTCTACTACGGATTAATTTGATGATATACAGAGGAAGCGCGCTGATTGCCACGATGACGGCCACCTTCCAGGCAAAGCCGACGGTTACGACGAACGATAAATCTAGAAGACGTCAGCCTGTCGCTTCGTGCAATACTAAACATGGACATACCAAAATATTCCGGTAGAAATGCAATGCTAATGATGTAGAAAATCAACGTGACGACTTCGGAGACGACCATATAAAGATGCCTAGTTGAGTGGTTTGAGAAATGAAACCGATAGAATGAAAATATACGTACCATGTTGTTATCTCGAGTGCAACCATGATCAACTCATTCAGAATTAGGGCGGTGAAGGATATGGAGACAATATGCAGGAACTCGTTCTCAAACAGAACAAGCGACACAATCATGATGGTGGCGCCTGAAACGAAGTGAGAAAAAGGCATTGAATGGGGTATTCAGGTATACCTTGATATAAACTAACCATCAACCACTGGAAGAATGTCTTGTAGGAAAGTGCTCGTCCCTAATGCAGAATGAGAAAGGACATTGACCGTCGAGAATCCCGATTCACCTTGGTCAGTTCCTTATATAACTCGGGATACAATAGGGCCAAATCTTCGTTCACGTCACGATCAAGCACCAGGGAGAAGACGGGCGCCATCGTGTAGACAGTGGCATAGCCCATCATCAACCATCCTTGGTAAAGAGCGATTGGGGCGAAATAGAAGATGCAAGAGAATACGGCCTGCATTATAGATATGATAAGACCACGATGGATGACGAATTGGGCCAATTTCGCAGAGCGACGATATGAATTCCGGCCGTGCCATAGGAGGAGTTTAGTGAGGAAGCTGAATTGAGTGACCGAGAAATCTGCGGCTAACGACGCCTGCTTTCCTTCTTTACCAACTATCCCAACACCTAGAAACTTCACTGAGAGGGTTGAAACGGGCGCCTTTATGCATACTCACCAACGTCAGCTGCTTGGATCATACTCACGTCATTGCCACCGTCCCCGATACAACACACACGCTTTTTCGTGTGCTTGCGAATCAGGCGGGCAACGTCGGCTTTCTGGGTAGGCGAGCAACGACAAGCAACAACAGCTGACAGCTTCGTGGCTATTTCGATGAATTCATTTTTGAAGAGGTTGAGGCATAGCTTTTAGGACCCACATTGAGTTAACGTATGGGAGACGATGCTGGGAACACACCTGTAGCGACTCGCCATCAATGACCAGGCAGCAATCCAATTTGTTCTGCAGGAACTCCAACTGATCGCGGATTTCGTCGGATGTCTTGACTATCAAATTATAATTCAGCATATATGAATCCGAACTTCCAACTAGCTCACGTTTCGCGACTTCATGGATATACTGGTTGCGAGCTACCAATTTCGTTGAGATAGCAATGCAACGCGCCGTCTCAATCTTGTCGCCTGTCAGCATCCAGATTCTGACACCTGCATTCCGCAAGAGCTCGAGAGTGCTCTTCACGTCGTCTTGAAGCTTGTCCTCGACCCCCGTCAATCCTAGTAGCTCAAGTTCCTTCTCCAAATATTCCGCAACAACGGCCTGCATCGCCTCATTTCTCCCATCGAGTCTTACGCTAGCCCGGTGATGCCTGTCCTTGAACTCGGCGTACATCTGTGGGCTGAGCCGCTTGCGCGCCATAACAAGGGTTCGCAATCCTTCTCGGGCCATATTCCCTGTCTCCTCTTCCAGCCAGTCGTTTCGTTGCACGATTTTGGCCATAATGACATCGGCGCCTTTTTGAAGGAAGGTGATCTCACCAGAATGAGTATCGCGGACGACAATCCCCATGCGTTTGGATTCCGAGGTGAAGGGGAAGATGTCGAGAACGTCGAACTCGAGGCGTGCGCCTGTTGGTGTTTGCAGCTCCATATGAGTTCGATCGCGAGATACCAGGGTCAGACCAATAGTTTCCGTCCATTTCACGATCGCGACTTCGTCTGGAGAAGATGCTTGATATGTGACTGATCCGTCGTCGTTTGTCACAGGAGTAACCTATAAATGAAACGTTAGCACCGTGTTGCCGGAGTGGAGACCAGATAGATACATTGTGGCACAAAGCTAGGCTTAGCACGACATCACGAACTCGAGAAGACATATCTCGGCGGCCTCTAGTAGCGAGTTGTATCCCAGTGGAGAGTGATCCTTGCCTGCGGTGAACTATCGACAATGCTATCAGCACTCATCCCGCCGGAGGGTGAGAAAAGGTAAACCTTCTTCCCCAGATGCACCAAAGGCAACGGCTAACTGATGAGCAACCTCATCCATCGAATCGAATCCGTAAGACATAGTCCCCATATGTAATTTCTTCATCTCCATCTCTTGAACACCGATTATTCCAAGGGGGACTGCCATTGCAGAAATGGAGACAACATACCGTTCTGAGTTAATGTGCCCGTCTTGTCGCTGAGGAGATATTCGATGCGTCCAAGTTCCTCCGGCAATGTACTGGTTCGAACAATGGTATTCGGTATTTCTTTGTCGTTCATTATCTGCGAGGCATACACCGACTTCCCCATGTCTAGATTGACACGAAGACTGTTCCAAGGTCAGCGACAGTAGATATCACGCACTGCACTGAACCCTCACCTGATCGGGATGATCGACGAGAATAGGATCAAGAACCTGAAGACATATATATACCACAGGCCCCGAAACCCATTCAAAGCCACAAGTACCACCGACAACACAAACGTTACCGCGCAAAGAATCTAAACTCACATTCGTTAGTAAAGGCTGCCTGCCAACTACATTAGCGTTTACCTTCGCGAGTTTATTAATCTCTATATCTAATAGCCCTGTTTTGGTCTCTGGGTGGCTAGTGTTCATCACTGCCCGAGTTTCTGAGCCTGTATAAACTACAAACCCTACTGCAGATCCGGCAGCAAGGACCGTGTTCGACCACAAGACATTTTCGGCCGTTAGGGGTTCGACGGTAGGTACGGGCACCATAGGAACGTCGTCTGGACTGCCAAGAGTAACTGGATGCGAGTTGATAGTAAAAGTCCCGATAAATGAGTGGATATCCTTTATTGGGGCATCAGCTAGAACCTAATGAGTAACTGTCGGGCGTCGGACGCAACTAACTGGGTGACATACCGTATATTTCTGCATCCAGAGTCAACAAACGCTTGTCATCACCAAGCTTCTGGCAAGATGGCACCGCAACGCGCAGCTTCCAATCCGTTTCGCCGTCGAGCTGGTCTGTTCGTATGAAACACGTCCCTGACGAGTCTGATGTGCGAAGTAGAACGACATCGGCAGGGACTCGCTGGTTCTTTTCTAGCACAATGAGGTCACCGACGCGGATCGACGACGAGGGGATGGCACGGGTGATGGCGCTATCTAATAGTGACGATGTGTCATGCGAACGGGAGGGGATGTCGTGACTTTCGAGGATGAGGTATTTTTGTGAGTTGGCCTCTCTATCGCGAAGGTTGCGTTTGTAGTCGTCGTATGCCTCCTTTCCCAGCGTCACAAAAAGGACGAATGCCAGAGGGGCAATGTATGTAAATATGAAGCCTATACGTGGAAATGAGGGCGGTCAATGGCATCCCATGCGGACAGAACTCACCAATCTTCAGCGCGGGTACGAACTGAGACAATGCAACAAGCAGGAAATATAAGTTAAAGAAGAACTTGAACTGCTCATAAAGCACGATGGGAAGGAAGGTGAAAGCGTTGTATTTCTGATTCCGCACAATATTTGGAGGAAATCGCGATTGCAGTTTATCTGGGAACATAATTGACAATAGCTGTGATTCACGTCTGGTTGCAACTGACCTGGCGGTCGAAATGGGATAGTTCGTGATTTATCCTTCTCGTTTCGACTCTTCAGGGATGCAGTGGGAGACTTGTACGATAATTATCAGAGCTAACAGTCGGTAGAGGAGAGTCAATGCCCACCTTCTGCAGTGTCGTTGATGGAGGTGCATTCGAGCTCTCCACCTCGTCGTACTGGCCCCCAAGCAGCGTGTCCTCCTCCTCGGGGTCATCCACGTATCTGTCTTTCTGCCTGGCCTTGCCCTTCCCTGCGCGTCGTGTCGACGCCACGGCTGCAGCTCGAGCTCCAACCCGCATGCTATCTCCGAGGTCGTCTTGTTCGGCGAGTTTCGTGTACCCAGCTCGGTTCTTGCGAATCGAGTTCAAGGGGATATCGTTCATAGGGAAAGCGCGTTGCGCCTACGCCAGAAAGCCCCCGCGACAGTGTGGTTGCGTGCGCCAAGCTGCAAGCGTACATACTACGCGAGTCCAAATGGATTCCCACGGTCAATTATTTCGATATTCTCAGTTCTCCACGTCAATGCCGATATACTAGGCTACGGTGCGCTGGTTAAATAAATAATGTATTCAGAAGGCTGACTGGAAGAGCACACGGGGAAGTCGGTGTATGCCTCGCCGATAATTGACAAAAAAGTGGTGCCGAACACCGTTGTTCGGACCAGCACCTTACGGCGGAGGAACTTGGACGCATCGAATATCTGCTGAATGCCAAGACTAGCACACTGACTCGGATTGCCTTTTGACTGGGACGGTTCCGATTGAACTAATCGTCGTTGTAAGAGACGGAGATGAAGAAGTAGTACACATGGGGGCCGTGTCCTACGGGTTTCTGAGTGAAAACGACTGCGCATCATACATCGAGTATGGTGACATACGAAGATTCCCTGATCGTCTCCTTGTATTACAGCCCATTCTACGAAGTCCCCCATTCCCCTCAGCCCCCCCGTACAAAGCACCGCATACACTAGTACCCTCAGGAGACTGGAGAGGAGTCTAATATTCACCTCGTGTTTCCCCATTCTCCTTTTCGTGGAGCTCTTCTCCTGAACTGTGTACACGATGCTGGAATTATTTTGATTTATTTCCCATGGATTACGATGTATTGGTGTAAACATTAAGTACTATTCCGCATGCAGTGTAGACGAATTATCTTCAGCGCTGCCAAAAGGACACGCCTCTCGAATCACATAAACATCAAAGTTAACCTATTTTGAAATCTGACGGTCAGAACGCGAAAGCGCACGCAGAAATAGGCCGCATTCCTAGAGGGAGAGTCCTAAAAGTTTGGTGAGGAGACCGGCACCCCCGGTAAGGAACTCTTTCACGCGAGCATTCTTGTCGGCGGCAGCGGTGGCGGCAGGTGCGGCAGCACTTGCAGCAGCGGGCGCGGCCGCTTGGACAGCCGGTGCAACGGCAGATACGATGGCGTTAACAATGGGAGCGGCTATACCTCCGATGGCGGGTGCAGCAGCAGCATCGGCAACGGCAGGCGCGGCGGGTGCATCAGCAGCGACTGGTGCAGGAGTTGCGTCTGCTACAGCGGGAGCGGTGACTGTAACGGTTACAGCAGCCTATAGAGATAGATTGTAAACATTGCGAATCGTGCAGAGATCAAATACATACCGGAGCGACATTTGCGTTCTCTGCTACGTTGCTGTTGGCGTTGTTGTTAGTGTTGGCATCGGCATTTGGGACGGGTGTCGCGGCTGTGAGCGGGTCGGGGTTTACCAGAGCCGTCGCGGGGTCAAAGTTCGCGAGCAGAGAAGTGGATTGGACTTGGCGAGCAGCCTGTAGGAACCAAGCATGGGGAATGTGCGGATTAAGCAGTGACCATCTACTTACCAGTGCGGGACGAGCGAGCGCATTCCCAGCGAAGGCCACAACCAAAGGGACGACAGCGAGCTTGGAGAACAACATTGTGAATAGAAGTGTGGTGGAATGAACGAGAGGTGGGAGCGCCGGTAAGGGGGTGTCACTAGGGCAAGTTAATGAATGTGAATGGAGTCGAAGACCGAACAAAAGTTGCAAGCTTGTAGAATAGAACAAAATGCCGATCACAGATCGGATGGGAGAAGATGAGTGTACAAAGTGCACAGTGACGATCTTTCGTCTGGGAGGGGATGCTTATATACGCTCCATGAGATACTGTTTACATGTGAAGATGAGAATGTGGCTTTGCACGAGTACTTGCCTAGGTAACGTCCGGGTTCCTTGGCCACGAATGTGAGGAAGATGTGATTTTGGCGAGTCGCCGTCCATGGATGCACCTGTGACGACCAAGATCGACCAAGTAACTGAAAGCATCGCCCCAGAGTCTAGCGACACAATGCGTCAATTTGACCGCGAGAAGCTATCCCTGTCTGACTCGGAACACATGAAAGTGTCAAGTCGAGATCGTACCCCAGCAACTGGGAGAGACATATGTCACGCCCAAACACATATAGACACGGAAATACCAACCAGCACCGCTGATTCCTGGAAGCAGCGTCAGCCTCTCGGATGATGAAACAGAGCTTCAGCAGAGTTCTGCCTGGGTAGCAGTATATTTCTCCCGCTGGTACCATTTCCACCGCGGCGTATCGTATAGAATCAAAATGCGCGCACCTCAAGAGGGCGGAGTACAAGAATAACTGGCAGATGATGTTTTACAACGGTGGTTTCACGATTGCTCGGCTTATTATGTAGTAGACAATCGATGAATCTTCTGAGGTAATAGCTAGATAGACTTCTGGTGGATTATCCAACGAAACGAACGCGATTTCCAACCTGAAAACACCCATCAGTACGTTATCGCGATACATAAGAGATGTTCTACCATCCCAGCGATATCAGCTCAGACAGAGCGCACGGTAGGACATTCAGAGTGCTTTCTTGGACACAAAATGTCAGTCCAGCCGCATCCGATCGCGAGTGCCCCTATTACTCCTCTAGCGCCCACGCGGAGTTCCACTTTTGTAGGACTCCCGCCCTCGTTTTCGCCATTCTCGTCGCGTGGGTTGTAAGGAAAACATTGATGTCCGAATGATGTCCGATAGCCTCCAGCCCATAATACCAGCCAGCCAAGACGGTGCAGCACTACGGGCCGTCACTGCTGACTCTCAGGAAGCTCCCGAACCAGCGCCCATTACCGACCAAGAGGTTGGAGAATATCGTGAACAAGACCGCTTCCTTCCAGTACGTTCTTTCCAGTTCCTTCATCAGCTGATTTCATGAATATCCCCTTCTTTTGCCCTGTTCAGCCCCGTGCGCCTCCGTGTGACTGACTTGTACCACCTTATAGATCGCCAATGTCTCCCGCATCATGAAGTCTTCCGTCCCTCCTACTGCCAAGATCGCGAAAGACGCGAAGGAATGCGTTCAAGAATGCGTTTCGGAGTTTATCAGCTTCATCACAAACGAGGCTGCGGAGAAATGCCAGTTGGAAAAACGCAAGACGATAGCAGGGGAGGATATCTTGTATGCAATGTCCACGTTGGGGTTCGATAATTATGCCGAGACGCTGAAGATTCATCTCGCTAAATTGAGGCAGGTGCGTTATCGCCCTATCATCGTTCGTCGTGTTGAGTCACTCATTGGTTGGACACGTAGGCTGGGAATGCTTCTGCGCCGGGTGGCGCTCGATTGGATCAAGCTGAAGGCAGGCTAGAGTCGTTAGATGAAGAATGAGCCTGTTTTCGGGTTTGTACTTTATCCCGTATCTTATTTCACGAGGCTTCTACGTTGGAGAGGAGAGACGAAGTAGGTTCAAGAGTAAATATGAACAAACATCACAGTTTGGGGTCGCTGAGGCTACGCTCTATCACTCATGGACTCCTCTACCATGGTCGTCGATGAAACTATCATGGCAGCGCTTGATACGCCCACATACGACGACGATAACGACCCTTTGGTACGCTACAATGCTGAAATCAACAGCAAGATACTTGTAGCCCTTTGCCTCTGGGAGGGTGTCCTCACACTCCCCTGGGAGGGTCGGAGTCGCATCGCAGGAACGGTGCTTCCTATCATATTCGATGTAGTTTCAGGATACCCGGGCTCCTTGATCTCCCCATCCCTCCTTTCCGACTTCGAAATGCAAATGATACCTGAGCGGTTCCGCCCTATACTCGTTCAAACGCTGTATGAAGCCTGGCAGGCTAGGGATTTCAAAAGACTTCGAAATTTGGGTGCGTATTCGATGCTTTGTGGGTGACTTTAGCACATCTGATATCTTCTTCAGAGTTTCTACGTGAACCGGAGGTCCCAGCAACTCCAGACAAACGCGAAACTCGTAAGCGCTGTTGACATTGATTTCCGAATAACCATCAACTATTGTCTCTGAAGTCCTACACGAATCTTTCAACTTGCCATATATCGGAAATGTCCCCGAGCATCTTCTCTCCGTCATAGACTCAATGAGGAACAATGAGCAGTCCTATGCTCCTATTCTGCCCATGATTCAATCATCCGGCATGGGGAAGACAAGGGCGCTTTACGAGATCGGCAAGAAACGGATCGTAATCCACTGCTGCTTTAGAGAGAATGACTCTAGTGTCTTTATGTGTGGGTGTACCCATCACTCACAATAAAACCATCCTCACGGTGTCTAGCTTATCCTCCTCCTGATGTCGCCTTGCGCGACTACCTATTGAAAGCACCGAGTCCACAGGACAATGAGGGTTCTTGCAAAGCGTATATTCAAGCAATATTTTACGCCCTTTTTAAATCTGTCCTAGCGGTGATCGATCTGGTCAAGAGAGATAATGACATCAGCCATAGAGATGTTATGCGTTACTTTCGGCGCTCTGGTTCTTCCAACAACTCTCCCGTTCCCCTCGGAGACACTCAGGACATCACTCAGACAGCGTACCTTGCCATCCAGAACCACTTCAAAATTTTGTTCGATACTCCTCATGAACGACGTGCCTTCTACGACCACGTCATTTTCAAAATCCTCGATATGCCTTTGCCCAACACGAATCAGCTGACTGAGACTGCTCGCGAAATGTTTGAAGCTGTCGAGCTACATAAGGATCATTTCCCCGTTATTTTGGCACTTGACGAAGTCCATGTTTTGTTCAACGACAAAAGGGGTTCGCCCCAACACTCAATCTACTCGCGTTTGAAGTCCGTCCTCGCTGATCTTGGCCAACGCATCGGCACTGTGGTGCTTTCGACAGCCACCTTCATCCCCCTCGTTGCACCATCAAAGGAGATTGCACCATCCGCTCGAGAACGGGCTGGTGACCTTTTTCTTCCGGCGCCCTACACAGAGTTGTCATTTGATGTGCACTGTCGCTCGCACCCCCTGTCCAAAAATCTCTCCTTGAATGACATCGGTACACTGAAGCAAGTCTCAATATTCGGACGTCCTCTGTAAGCTCGAAGCTTTTCCTGCGCCATTCGACTCATCATCGCATATGATCATAGTTGGCAAAGTATGGTCAATTCTCATTTCAACATGGAGCTACCTGGCGAGGCCGTGCAATTGATCGTCAACACAGTGATCAGTAAATTGACTGGACAGCAGTTCAATACATCGCTCCCGGATGGAATGAATGCGCCTGCACTTGCCGTCCTCTGCACCCGAATATTGCTTGATCTCTCCCCGGGTATTTCTACCGCGCAGAATTTCGTATTGGAACTCATCCGCTCTCATCTCCGCGTCGTCTACTCTATACAGGAGGACCGTGAAGTAATCATCTCAGGCTCGTCTTCCGAACCCCTCGTCGCAGAGGCTGCTGCAATCGTTATGAACTCAGACCGGTCGGCCAGCAAGCCCATGGCGGTCTGGCGCATCCTGGCTCAATATGTTACCCAAGGGTTGATGGGGCAGGGCGATGCTGGAGAGTTACTTGGTCGCACAATTAGTATCATGGCCATGGATCGGGCGATCTCTAGTTGTCCAACATGGGCAGAATTGAAGTATCAGACGCCCATCGAGGTCAACAAGTACTTCCACGCTCTCCTTACGCACGAACAATGGGAGGCACTGAGAATTTCTGTTCCTGCCAACTTTTCGATGCTCGGACAAGCAGACAGTGCCCGGTCGTTTGAGGACGCATTCCGAGGCGCCTACGTCCACTTTTCTCATTACTCCAGGGCGAGGGATAGCTCTCCGCTGAATATCAACTACCTATGGGCCTTGTGGATTCGCGGCGTTGCCATTCAATGTCACCCCACACAGGAGTTCACCGACCGGGTTCTTCCAATCTACTTCTCATCGCGAGGCACGATCCAGCCTGCCTCGATGTCGTGTATCCTGGAACAAGACAAGACCAGCCCAAAGCTCACCCCTTCAAGCGTTGCAACGCAGTCTGCCCAGGAGCTGAAAATCTTCAACGGCGGGACACAGCTGCCTTACATTACCGTCCTTAACTGCTATGCCGGCTCATCACTCGCGGGTCAACCGCCGAGGTATCCACAGCCCCGTGCTACGAGACACCCAAACCAAAATGAGGAGGCCCCTCGTTATGAAATCGTTTTACATTCCTTGGATGCGTATATAGGCCTGGGTGCTCATAATGAAAGCATTTCCGCGATGATCAACGGTTCCACATCGTCCCTCTTCGAACATCATCCCCGCAAAACACCAACGGCTCTCTCTCTGTTGCATGCTTTGCAGCCGTACCTAGACGACGATCCCTCGACCACCCAATGGTTCGGGCACTAAGCATTCTGTCTCAATCACCGCTACTGGACTTCTGAAGGGACAGCCGCTGAAAGAACCGTTGTATCTCGCCGAGCGGTCGTTAACCTGCCTGGCTTTGTTTCCTCTAACTTCCGACGAAGGAACTTACTGTACATTGTACATTGTATCACTGTGGCTCAGTCATTCAACTTGAACAGATACTCCGGATTCATTGGCATGTATGAGTAATGACAGATCGGAGGATGCGCGATTTAAGGGTAAGGCAGAGAGGGCGCGATAGAACAATGAACTGTACTATCAACGTCGATTTCTTCCGTGACTTCCATCCGCTCGATACATTTTCTTTCGCCTTGTCAGTTCCAGCGCCCACTCGCGTTCCGATCTCTCGCTAGCCTAGCGTTGACTTCCAGTCGGCGCGATGCGTCCGATGGTGCTGGCGGCAGGCGACCCGATGATCATGAATATGTAGCAGACGACGTTGAAGTAGTGCGTGCAGACGATGCGTGCTGCGACGGTCATGGCCGAAGGCGATTTGACCTACGTTTAGTATCCTGTTCCCACGCATCCGCTGCATTGGGTCCCATCGCCCTCGTCCTCGTACCAACCTCATACCTAAATATTTGACCCATGGACGACTCTGTCACCGGGGTGCTTGCAATTGCCTGCTTCAGGTGAGTCGTGGCTATTGTTTACTTCCATGTAGAGACTCATCTTCGGGAACATTTACAGGCTATTTCTTGCATGGGCGTGTAGAGAATTTCTGCTCCGGAGCAGCCTCTACGCAGACCTGCAGCACCTGTCTGCCCAAACCGAGGGTGTCGTAGAGAACGATGCTGAGTGGGTGGCGCTCCCGACATTCTCGCCTCGACCAACTTCAGCGGGCCGATCACCACCTACGAGCCCCAAGCCCTCTGCACCGCGATTATCCCTACATTCGCGCCTTTCTCGCATAGCCTTCTCTGCCTGCTTTGCTGAGAGCATGACCCTTGTACTGCTCTTAGTCCTGCAGACTCTCGATATACTCTCTTCTCGGTCAGTCGTCGACATGCAACGTGTCGTCCAGCACGTATTCAAACAGACTTAGAACGCGATTGCTCAACTGGATCTTGTCGCAGTTCCTCTTCATCTTCCTACTTCTGGTTTTGATTCCCCTTGTTATGACCATCGTCCTGTCATTAGGTGCGACATCTGGCAAAGGAAATACAGCAAAGAGACGTGCCATCACGATCAGATTCGTGCTCAATGTCATCCCCGTGCTACTGGTCCTCGTGGCGTTCTCGTACGTACCCCTTCCGGATGAGTCGCTATCCGCAGATATCAGGACCTCCACATTATCCCGTTTGAATGTTTTGGGCACGATCGTGCTAGGTTTACTTTCCGGTTTTGGTGCAATTAGCAATGCTTGGGCGTTTCTCCCATTCAGTTCTCGTTCCCGGTAGGCGAACAAACTCATTCGCGCGTCCTACAGTCTAACTAGCGTGTTTGTGACAGCGCCTCAATACCTTCAGAAGGCGACATCAAATCAGCGGACCTCTCGCTTACGCGCATTCGCGATGATATCAACCAACTGAGGCTACAACTTCAAGGTTCTTCTGTACCGAGCGGAGCGGAGGTCAGCTTTCATTATCGTATACCATCCCCGAATCAGTACGCTTACTTGCATCATCATGAATAGACTTCGAAAGATCGTGGCCAAGGAACGTGGTATTCTCGATTCCTCTCCAAGTTCGAAGGTGATGACCGTGAGTAGCAACAAGCTTTGAAGTCACTTCGTCACTGATTACATGCTACCGTGCAGGTCTTCAGGAGCTGAAGGGCCTGGAAGCCCTTGAACACCAAATGAGCCTTGACCTAAACGCGCTCCGGCAGCGCCGTCAAACCGCCATATTCTCGGCCACCTTGAAAGGTCGTTTGTACAACCTCAGCGGAAGACTTTTCTCCATTTACTGTATCATTAGAGTCATCAGCGTGCGTATACCTACTTAATTCAAAGACTAGATGGTGCTGACCACCTCATTAGTCCATCGTGAATATT